CTCCACGACAGAGCCCGAAGAGTCTGTCGGACGTGTTGCAGCGGGCAGCAACCAAGGGTTCTACAACGAGTGAGCAGGTTGTAGACGGAAGTCCAGGTGCTGGCGGGAGCGGTCAATCAGGCACCTACAATAATTCCCCAGGAGGTCAACAAAGTAGCACTAGCATGGTCGAACTGCTCCAACAGCACAGCTTGTATCCAGTTTCGCGTCCGGTTGGTACGAACAGTGTTGGCATGATCTGTTGGGTCGTGCACATGCGCACTCCTGAGTTCCCGGATGGACGGTTTTTTGTCCTCGTTGCGAACGACATCACGCATAAGGCTGGTTCGTTCGGCGTTCCGGAGGACCGCATGTACCAGAGAGCTGCCGAGTTCGCGCGTGCAACAGGATTGCCCTTCGTGTACATCTCCGCCAACTCGGGTGCTCGCGTTGGTATGGTAGACGGCCTCGAGAATGCAGTAAAGCCGCACTTCTCGAAAGACAACAGCGCTACGGCGATGCAAGCGCAAATGTACAACGCTATGCCATCTGGCTTCGAATACTGGTATCTGGACCAGGCTGGCTACGACAAGTTCAAGGAGGCGGTAGAAGTCAAGGAGATCTATGAAGTCGTGACTAAGGGGGCTGACGGAGCAGCTTCATCTGTTGAACAAGCCGGAGCCAATGCTGCAGTCTCAAAACAAGAGACTGTCTTGGAGAAAAAAAAACGTTATCAGGTGACCGCCATTGTCGGAGGCGACGGTATCGGAGTCGAAAACCTGAAGGGTTCCGCGATGATCGCGGGAGAAACGTGCCGCGCGTACCGTGACACTTTCACACTGAGTTACGTCACGGGCCGCAGCGTCGGTATTGGCGCCTACGTCAACCGTTTGGGCTCACGCGTGATCCAACAACGACATGGTCCGATGATCCTCACTGGGTTCTCCGCCTTGAACAAGCTCTTAGGCAGACAAGTGTACACGAGTCAAGACCAATTAGGCGGTCCACAGGTCATGTGTCCGAACGGCGTCACTCATCTCCTTGTCGAGAACGATCAAGAGGGCTGTGAGCGCATCCTAGAGTGGCTCAGTTTCGTCCCGAAGAAGCAGAACGGACCTCTCCCGATTTTGCCGGTACCGGTCAGTCTAGGTGGCAATTCGCCTACTCAAAAGACGTTGTCCAACAGCTCTACGACCGCGACCACTACTGCCGGAACGTCAAGACGCCAAAGCCGACAGGAGCGTCGTCAAAGCCGCGAGCAGAACAATGTCTCCGGAACAGCGACCGAGCACGCCGCCAGTGCCGTCGGCTCTTTCTCCGCAGACGGCACCACGACTTCTGTGAGTGGAGCACCAGGAGTGAATCTGAACATGAACATCCCTGAAAACCCGTTTTCAGGGACGAAGCCAGGACGTGCAATTTCGCTTGACACTAGTGCGGATATGTGGAGTGACGAAGACGAGGAATTGGACCATGATCCATTGGACCGTCCAAGCTCAGCCGTGGCCATACTATCCAACGAAGACGCGGCCGCGCGTCGTGTACGACCTGAGACTGTGCAACGTGCTGTAACCTTCGATCCCTGTGACTACACCACAGGAGGAGCTGGCGCGGCAAGAAATGGAATCACTGCTACTACTCCAGGAGCAGGAGACCAGATGAACTCCTCGAGTAACAGCACTGCAGGAAGTTACGATCCGCGGATGCTACTACAGGGTACGCCAGATGGTCACTTTAGTGGTTTCTTAGATCGGGGCAGCTTCGTCGAAGTGCTAGCTCAGTGGGGCAAGACAGTGGTGGTCGGCCGTGGTCGCTTGGGTGGCATCCCAATGGGTTGCATCGCTGTCGAAACGCGCGTCACCAACCGATCTGTGATGCCGGATCCAGCCAATCTGGACAGCAAAGTCCAGGAGGATGCGCAAGCAGGCCAAGTCTGGTTTCCTGACAGCGCGTACAAAACCGCCAGTGCCATCCGCGACTTCAATAAGGAAAATCTGCCTCTGATCATCTTCGCCAATTGGCGTGGCTTCTCTGGCGGAACACGCGATATGTACAACGAAATCCTCAAATTTGGTGCTCAAATTGTAGACGCTTTGGTCGCCTACGAAGCGCCAGTTTTTGTGTATGTGCCACCAGGTGGCGAGTTACGTGGTGGCGCATGGGTGGTGATTGATCCAGCGATTAATCCGGATTTTATGGAAATGTACGCGGACCGACGCGCTCGTGGCGGCATCTTAGAGCCGGCTGGGGCGATCGACGTCAAACTACGACCTCCCACACTGATGAAGATGATGAACCGGTGTGACGGCATGTTGTCTGGAAAGCGCTTAGAACCAGCTATGCACAAGCGACGTGAGGAGCTTTTGATGCCATTGTATCAGTCCATGGCGTTGCATTTTGCCGACTTGCACGATCGCGCACCCCGGATGAAGCGCACAGGCTGCATCCGTGAGATCCTAGACTGGCGAAGAAGTCGTGAGTTCTTCTACTGGCGTGTAAAGCGACGACTTGCAGAGTGTGCATTCTGGCGACGGGCACAACAAGTCCTAGGAACAAGTTCTATTTCTGGTGGTGGATCTTCTTGTGTCACCACATGTACAACAGCATCAAGTACAACAACAGGATCATCTTCCTCCACACTAGTCGGAACGAGTGATCTGCAAGGTCGAGTAGCAGCCGTTCCAGACACCACCACGCCAGTGTCTCCTGAGGCTCGATCGAACAGCCGGTCGTCAACTCCGAGTAGCAGTCTCTTTGGGCTAGGAGAGTCGAGCAATCAGCTGTGCGATCGCAAAGTGGCGATCAAGGTGTGCCGTGACATTTTGCAAGCTAAATGTGCCGCTGTTCTCGGCGGAGAAGGTACAACAACTTCAGGTGCACAACTGCAAGACGGTCGTGTAGTTGAGAAGACAAGAACTACTAGTCTCGACAAACAACAGGATTACGAGACGCTCGATGATCGATTCGTCTGCGAGGTGTTCGACGACTACCATTCCGACTTGGAGGCCGCGCTTTATGCAGCGAAAACCACACGCACGAAACTTAACGTCTTGGCTCTGCTCAGGTCGCTGCCGAAAGAAGAAGCTGCAGCCCTTGCAGGCGAATTTGTGACTGTTGTAAACTAAATTAGCAGTAGTTAACGGCCTGCTTGAGATAATGTGATGCAACCCTTGTACTTAGTAATTGAGTACCTAATTTGTTTTGGAGTAGCCCTCTTCAACCCTATGTTCTATCCCATTTCTTGTGTAGTATGTAAAAATCAACTAAGACGTTGGCGTCTTGCACTGCGATGAATCTAAAAATTTATATTTGTGCAGAGCTAGTACAAACAAAGGAGATTAAAGATTACCACTTTTCGTCAACTTGCTAAGTAAATCCCCACGCCTTCGGCGAGCTAGGAGTTACCTCCTTCCCGCAGCTGGTACTAAAAATTTTCACTCGTGTCATGTACTTGTTAATATTTCTAAGAACATTTATTTTACGACCCTAATGCGTGTCTTCTCGGTTTACGAGACGCGTAAGGAGTATTACCATTTTCCGTTGTCGTTGATTCATTCTACGTCATTTTGTTACTTCCACCTTTTTTTTTGCAGTTGTTAAAATCGATTGCATCAACGAGAACGAACTTCTACCGAGTAATAATTGGCTCTTCAGTTGTGGGAGTAGAGCATCTCTTGATAGAAGATTCAATCAAAGGAGCACTTACTTCCTTAGTGTATTTAAAGGAACATTTTTTTTTTGTGATGTGCTGAGTGTTGTTGAAAACGCCAGTTCCATACCTCATCAGTGTAGAGACTCGTTTGTTGATATGATTCATGTTTATGTTCTAGCAGATAAATAACTAGTTCCAGTATGAACTTCAACCTTTTTATTTCCATTGTTCCATAGAGCGAGCAGGCGATCTCATATTGTTCCACACTCTTACCCCTCTTTTTTCCACACATAATTGTTCTTCATACGCGCAATGAAGAACTCTTTTACTCAGTTTTTTCAAAAAGACTAAGACATATTTTACAATACACGATATATAGCTATATTTACTAGTTATATCGACATAATATGATTATTGGATCTTACTGAACTGTTTAAAGAATATTAGATATTTTTCCTGTCATGGATGTATTAAGCAGCATGAGAAATATTTATAACTCGTACGTTCGGGTTTCCAACATCTTAGATGATGTGTGTTTTTTGTTGATAAAAGTTTGCTATTTTGTGCTCCCCGTTTCCAATAATGCAGCTTAATTAGAAGGTGGAAGTACCAAAGGGTAGCTTTTGATAAAATAATTTGGGTGATCATCCATGATTAAAGCACAGGTGAGTATTGATATTGAAGATATATCGAGTATTGAAGAAAGATACATTTTTAGTTCCACCCCTATCCCTTTTCCTCTGGTGGTCCACTACTAGTGATGTTACTACTTGCAGACACCTCTTCGCCCTATTATATATAAGGGTTTTTACATGAATGAATGGGATACTAGATTACTCAAAAATGAAACGTCCAAAATGGAAAACAAACCTCCCTGAGAAAAAAAGAAACCAAGGCAACTTTGCGACAAGAAGCAAAAGACCACCAGAAATTCATAGACTCTGTGTTTCGCACTCCGACTAAGGAAAAAATAACGAGATAGACCCCTTTTTTCTTGCTTCATTCTATAGCTACGTGTTGAGAGAAGGAATCTAATTTCTGATTGGACAACATAATGCTGGTGTTCATCAGACGTACTCATTAGCGTTAGAAGGACGACGAAAAAAGTCGTTGCCCAATTATTTGCTGACGAGCGAGACAGAACTGAACTTCTTATTGCTGCTTTCTCACTTAGGCGGTAGGGTCGCGCGCGAACATAATAATAATAATCACTTATCCCGGTACGGAATGCTTGTATCAATTTCTATCTGCAGGTTTCAATAGAAGGACAAAAAGGTGTGCTGCAATGGCGCTCACGTACTTGCCCTCCCTCAAAAAGAGATCCCGAACGCACTATATCGCGACCCCACAAAAAGAGGCCAGTGAACGAGGACGATATGATTCACAAGATGCTTGTCACCTGTAAGTAGAAAGAAAAAATAAAAGTAGAACTACAGGTACAAGATATTATGATATATAGGGGGTACGGGTAGAAGGCGTAGGTCACGCTCACAACAACGTAAAACTTTGCTCGGGCTGACACTTATCAAATAAAATTTTGATAAAGACGAGGATTCACTAGACTTCTACTACGATAGGTTTTCGTACTCATCCTCCAAGAACTCCTCTAAAGTCAGACTCAGTAGAACCTGAAAAACATCACGACCATGCCACGCGACGTAGCCTGTGACATCTGTGGTGGGCGCTTTTTCCCCAGCTCACTGCCATTTCATCGTAAAGCCTGCGCTAAAACCTTTATGGAGCGAAGCGCTGCTGGGCATTTTGATCGGCCTGCTCTAACGGGTATGGAGTTCGGAGAGCAGCAGGAAAATATTGCTCCAGGAGGTGTTCGTGGAGGAGGCTCAACATTTGCGAATAAAAGTACAAGTAGGAGTAGCGCGGCTAGCAGACCTGTTGTTCAACCAGGTTCAGCTGGTGGTGGAAGAGCAAATCATTCGAATTCTGCACGACAGTATGAGGAGTTGTCAAATAGTTTTCGTTCCGGATATGCCAATCATGGAGGTGGCCGCTCCTCTGCATCTTCATCCTCATCAAGAGCAGAGGGAGGACCTTCCACCTCTCGGAAATTTATCGATGCACAACAGCCGCAGCCGACGTCAATGATGTACAAGATGAACGCAGCAATGGGTATGGGAGGTAGTGGACCAGAACAAGCACAACTTGGGGGTCTGGTACCTTGTCGTGTATGCGGAAGAACATTTGCACCGGATCGAATAGGCAAGCATGAGCAGATTTGTGCAAAGACGTCGAAGAAAAAGAGAAGGGTACCTACCGTAGGTAAAGACTGCAGTACGTAGTTGTGACTAGTATGATCTATTCCAGGTAGTAGGGAACTTCTGCTAGAAGGAGCGCAACTTTTTCGTTCATAACATCTACGTACGGCCGCTAGCGTTAGTTGAAATATGCAGTATTAAAGGTATCTCAACAAACTCGATCTACTTTTCCAGGTTTACAATACTGCAGCTCATCGTGTAGCAACGGATGGAACAGATATTGGTTCTGGGTTTGGCTTTGGCATGCCACCGCCAATACGAAAAAAAGGCAGACAACCTACTTCAGGCTCCGCTTCAGCTTCTACCTCAAGATGTTCAAGATCTGAGCCTCTAGTGCGATCGGATTGGCGTGCGAAGTCTCTTGCATTTCGCCAAGCTATAAGGAATGCAAGACAACTAGGCCCCATGCATGGGGGAGGGAGTAGCATGATGGGAGGTGGGGGTATCATGGGTGGTGGAAGTAGGAATATGATGGGTCGTGGAGCAAGTAGTGGTAGTAGAGGGGGTGGAACGTTCGGGGGGCGAGGTGGTCCAGGACCAGGAATTCAACAGACGCGATCACGAGGTTCGATGCCAGCACGTGGACAAGGCTTTCAGCACCAGGAAAGGCCGCTCGGATCTTCTTCGTCCTCATCTTCTCAGGTCAACAAGAGGAACAGTAGAGGAGACGCTAGAAGATTTACGTCTGGAGTTGGATCGTCAAGTAGGAGTGGAGCTGCAGTAAGAAGAGATGGTGGTCCACCAACGTCAGGAGGACGCAGAGCTACTGACTTAGCAGGAGGTTCCACGACCAGGCGTACAACGCGAGCAAATTATCCTCCGAGTGGGGGTGGCGGATTTGGTGATCCACCTCCAGCATGGGGCCGCCAAATGGCAGGTGGTTTTGGGGGTGGTGGAGGCATGAATCTGCTTAACAGTAACAAAACGTCAGCTGATAATCCCATGGTAATGGGAGTGAGGTGAGATGATTGACATGCTGATACACATGCAGCGGTGACCATTACTTATGTTGTACAACTACTGCAATAAAGTTAATTAAAAGCTGCACGTGAACTAGAACTAGAACTACATCTTAGATGGACAACTACAACTAGAACTACCTTATCGGCGCTGCAAAGATGGATTAAGAAGTGCTAATTAGATCGTAACGATTTCACCAACTAACGATAATTTCTTGTGTTACCTACGAAACCTATGTTGTGGTCTCTATGCACCACGACCACACTTTTTACCTTGTTCTCCCACCTGTCGTGGTGCATTGCTTGGCTGGAAGATAACTGTGATTTCTATCTGTCTTGAAAACCACTACAGTTCGCTCTGACTACAATCTGCTGTCCTGAGTTTAAGTGGAAGCATCGTGATTTTGTCTTCTGTCCTGAGATCTTGAGATGAACAATGCGTGACCAGCTGCTGGCATTCTCTGTCTCTGTGAACACTTCTGTGACTAAGTAAGTTAGTATGATTTTTATAGATCCAAATGGACAAATGGACCAGTGAGCACGTCTGTGATTTTTAAGTTAGTATATGAGATCCATCTGCTGGAGAGCCACGACGATGATCGTCTGTCTTGAGAAATATGAGCCTTGTCATCGTCTGTCTTGAGAGAGCGCCGGATTTTAAGAACTGTAAGTACGTAGTGGAGGCAAAACTATCTGATCATACGATCTGGAATCTCTGAAATCAAATTTCTGACAGAACCATGTTGCCATATGTTGTTCTTCACCTCTCCTTTGGTTTTATTCATTGTCTATAACTAGCCCATTCCCATGCATTATACATTCAAAAACAGAATTATGACCTCACTTCTACTCCCACATATTAGAACATGATGCAACAAGTAAGAGATGTAAAAAAATAGATGTTGAAAATCTTCAGCTCTGATAAGTGAACAGGCCAACGCCTAAACCACTAAGCCAACTATTGAAATTGGATCTACTATTCATTATATTTAAAGAGCAACTACATCAAGATCAAATGATTATGATTAGGTGTTTAGGATTAGGTGGAGGGACCTCTACCTCTGCTATCCGGACAAGAGGAATCCGCGTGGCTCTTCTTTTCTGTCATCTTGGTTCAAGCATATCGAGTGCACTCGAACAAAAAGGACAGCCTTCTGCACCAGCTGCAGTGCTAGCTACGAATGGAAAACAACATCAATCACAATCTAATATTTTATCGACTTCGACGAGGACGAAAGAAACAATTCCAATTTCTGCATCCACAACTACACCTTCTTCTACAAGGGACAACTCCTTTACGACAATGACCAGAACACAACTCGGAGAAGCTCCTGAACCTGAAGCTGCGAATCTTACGGCAAGTCATGTAGTTGCACTTCCACTTCTTTCAGAAAATCATGTAGAAGTTGCACTTCCAGCAGAACCTAGGGATGGTGAAGCTGCTAAAAGAACAAGAGACTCATGGACATGGAATGTAGATCCAGCAGAGGCAAGTCGATTTCGGATGCTGCAGGAAGATGCCACTGGCAATAATGCCACGAATGCCACAACTATTGTTAAGACCCATGATTAAGATAATTCATCTTGAATCAAGGACTGCTGAGGGAGTACTTCTACATAAAAATACATAGTTGTCATAGTCTTTCCCTGCTCAGTGTGAGTTTCCCTCTTGGATTCATCTGAGAGTATGGCCCTGTAAGAGATGAAATATTTTGAGCGCTAATGTTGCTCCTACGACAACTCTTGCGCCTGTGCCTGTGGTCAGAGTTTCTGAAGAAGACGCTGACGACACTTTGTGGATTGCAGTTGTAATCCTACTGGTAGCGTTCTTCATCATCATTCTCATCGTGGCGTTCATGTGTCATCGTTTAAGGCAAAGGCTTTTTGTATTGCAATGATATTCCAAAATTGTGTAATGATACTCCAAAATTGTGCATTGCTATTTTGTATTTGTGTGATTCCAGCATGTTGATCCACCGTCACGGGCGTGGTCCGTTTTTTTCTTTAAATCTAGAAGAGAAGATGAAAAAAGGGGAAGTATCCACGACCCTTGGAATGCTTTATAGGGCTTAGGGTTTAGGCCATCAGCTATGTTGCCTGTTTAAAGGCCAAGGACAAGATTGTTGACCAGACGGGTCCTCCTGAAAAGAAGATGAAATACTTATGTAGACATCCACGAATTAACCACATTGCAACACCAACAAGAAGAGTCACGACTTCTAATTTCCAAGGCCCTAGACCGAATGGAGCAAGCGCAATATAGAGCAGACGGACGAGCGTACATGGACCATGCGTCAGAAGCTCACCATTTCCGGGATGTATATGACACTCATGCATTGGGGTATGCACCTGCAGCAAGCTTACAAGGTTCCCAAATGGTAATGTTAAGGCACCATCCTCCACAAAGAGAAATCTATAAATTATATCTCGTGTCCTCCATCTCGATCTTCTTGTCCCAGAGTACCTCGTCCAGGAACATCTTGGCTCCTTGTCCTTACAATCAGACAAATCTAGTCTTTTCACAATTGAATTCTCTGAAGAAAGAACAGTGGGCCAAGGTGTTGGTCGTTCTCCGATGAGATGGAAATGGATTTCTGCTTGTCGGTTCTAAAATTGGCAAGTCAGGCAGGCTGGAGCTATAATGCAGCTGTTTATGCAATGAGTGACACGACACGGGTTAGAAAAGGTTTGAGCGAAGGTCCACCAAGGATGAAAGGAGGATCGCAGCCGAAAAGTCTTTTCGGAAATAAAACTGCTTTGACAATGGGCAAAGGACCTAGGAAAGCGGGAGCAGCACCTGGAGAAGATGCTGTTCCAACAGCTAAGGGCAAGGGGAAGGGTATGAAAAAAGGTAAAGGCAAAGGTGGAAAATTTTTGAGAAAATAGGCGTGAAGAAAGAACTTGTAGTAAGAAGTAGTTGTGCTTCTCAAATCGGACAGGAATTTGGAATTGGAACAACTACGAAGAGGAACATCAACAACAAGGGATATTAGATGCAGGTCTTTATTAATCATCCGCCACTACTATGTCTGTGTGCACACTCAAGGGGTAATATAGCATCTTTAATTAGAGGTCTTGCTAGTTCTTGGCATGATATTCTTTTTGATACACAATCAAAATGATGCACCATCTAGATTTTCATCCTTTTGATCCTGCAGCTGACGACGTGTGAAATAAGATGAAGATTGGAAATTGATTACACATAGCACAACACACACAAAGCACAAAGAAATCCGGCGGGATCGTACGCGGCGCCCGGAGCGCATCAAAACAAACAAACAAAGTCTTTCACCGCGCTGAAAAATCATCATGACATTCACATTGTAAAAATTTTCTCTTGATTCCGAGAAAGCATCAATCCGCAAATGCCGTTTGCAGTCTCTCCAAAGTGTTGAAATCTCCAAATTGTAATTGCTAATGTGTTCGACCATCTGGTGTCCTCCATTCCCGAATAACGTCTTGGGTGTCGATGAATGTTCTAGTTCTTGGCTCCTCTGAATAAGATCGAGCGGATGCGGAGTTGTTACAGTGACTACTCCGTTCAGCTTTAAAAATGCAAGAGGAAGATGTTTGAATTTATTCTTGTTCTGTCCACAACCTTCTTCATAACAAAAATATTTCATCCACAGTCTGTCAGGGGAAATATTCAGCGCAACAAGCACAACGACGTTTGACTTATCGTTATATCGACTAGAAATAAGCTTTTCAAATAATTCTCCAAAATAAATCACTAAATAAAAAAAATGTTTGGGTGGAGTAGTGATGAGGATGAGTCAGAGAAGAAGAGCGCCACCTCTTCACCCCGCGCAAAACAACCTCGTTTAGAAGGAGGCACAAGCAGTGGTCTTGCTCACGGAAGACAAGCTGGAAAGGGTAACGGAGCGGCTCAGCAGACAGCACATCATCAAGGTAATACAGTTTCCGCAGGATCGGGTGCTCAACAGTCAGCTCACAAGGTAGAAGATGAACGAGGAGGATCATTAGCCGCGGCCCAGCGTGGTAGTGCTTCGAGCCGCGACATTTTTAAAAGTCGGCAAGAGCAGCAAACACGACTACAAGATGAAAAAATTACAGCGCCTACACCAGAGATCCACTCACCTGACGATTATAGTGACGACCTTGCTGCTGGCCTAGGTGATGGGCCAACTACCTTTGGTACAACTGGATCTGCAAACACAGAATCTGCAAACACAGGTTCTACTAATATTAAAACACATCATAGTACAAAGACGACGAGCACCAGTTCGAATATTAATACTACATCTTCAGGAGGAGAAGTACTCGTAGAACGAGATGCAGCAGCTAGTAAAGGTAAGACTACTAACACTAACGACCCCTTTGCTCACGTCGAACTTCCCCCAACACCACCTGGCAGCCCAGATCCAGGCCTCACGGCACGTATGGAGAGGTTTATGGACCTGAAAGCTAGAGGAAAGCATCTAAACGACGCGATCGAAGCGAGTGTAGACTATCAGAACCCGTACATTTTGGAGAAAGTTATCAAACTCTTCGACATAGACGAATACTGTACGAACTTCCCGCCAGAGCAGTTTGACCCGTCGTTGTATCTGCAGATAAGTGGTGGAGGAGGAGGGGGAAGTTGAACTTGAGACGGGGGTGGATTTTATCAAGAACATTTTGGTTTTTTTCCACCAGCCTCAGCGTCATCTCTCTTGAACTTAAACATTGAAAACATTTTCATCAAGAAGATGTTGACGTCGCGACACCTCAGACGACCTTACAACCCTGTATCAACAACTCGAGCGTCCATTTTCTCATCCTTGGAAATGACTCTATACCCGACACCGACAAAAATTTCTACAGACAGATCTCAATCCGAGATTTCTACAGACAGAGCTCACTCCGATGTATGTTGAACCGGGTTCGCACAGACGAGGACAAAAACATCAGAGAAAAAACACACCTAGAGATTTTTGGTGTGAAGATGTCCACCCTCATTAGCAGTAGAATTAGAGTGTGATGCGCTACTCTGAGGAGGTTCAGGTGTTTCTACTGTCAGATCCGTCCTAAGTAATCTCTTCCTACTAATATCATGATCAGGGCGTCGTCCACTTGTGGGGCGGCAGTGAGCGACGCGATTAACCGTGTGAACAATGGATGTGAAAAATGCTGCGTCCTTGAGTGTAGCTAGCTTGATAAAATTTCACGACAAGGATTGTATTATTGACGCTAACTGTAAACACTCACTGTTGTAGTTGTATGATTACAAAGACATGATGTCGTAATTGAACAATGAGCAGCACACAAAAAAATAATGATCTTCTTGGTTGAACCTCGTGGTCAATAGCCACGTCCTCGTCGCACGCAGAAGCTAGTGTAGGTGCTTTCCTGTTCAACGTGCTCGACAAGACCAAGATCATGGGTCTTGGCGCAACTTGCTCTACAGGCATTCTTATGGTAAATCAAATCTGGTGTATTCCGCATAAGAATACTAAACGTGGTACACAGCACCAACAACCAGCGCATCGACACAAGACCTAAGTAGAATGTTGGTGTCCACCACCACACCTACGGCAGCTCAGCAGGAAGCAGATGTGCCTCCTCATCCATGTGAGCCTTTTCTTGAAAGAGGCACATCAACTTCAACAACACCTGCTGGAACTACAACTACAGAGGCAAACCGGCTAAAACCGTACTATGAGAGGTTGCGAAAACAGCTGGAAGCCCTGCAGCTAGAGGCAACAGGACTTTCGGCCGCACCACCAGGTGGGACGAGGAAGCAGAAGAAGAGCAACAACAGAAGTCAGAAACTAGAGAACCACGCTTGGCACATACGAAGCATTACGAAGTTGCTGTTTAAGGTACCTGTAGTTACAACTGCTAGCCTGGAGTTGTGTAGAAATGAAGCTGCTAGTATCTACTACGGAACCTCCGCATCTCGAACTCAGACAATGGTGCTTAAGTGAAAAAATATGACTCATAACTAAACGAAAACTGTTTTTTCATCTCCTCGACATATTTCATCACTTGGTCTTGCATTTCGAACATAAATGATCAACACCAGATGACTAGCTATGTCGGCAGCTGCAGAGATAACGGATCTACAACTGATCTTGCTCTCTATCCCAGTGCAGATCTAGATACTGTGGCGGATGCTGTCGATGCTTACTTGCTTGACGGGCTTCTAGACGGCGTTCCTTCTGTCGATGAGACTTTATACGACCGCTTCTTCGCAGCTCAGGACCTCCATCTGGTGGCAGGAGCACCACCACAACATCAACTGGGTAGTCCAGTAACTACTTCTAGCACTTTAGAAGCACCGCATGATATTACTCGACATGTGGATGTGGTTACGACCACGTCCACCACAACTTCTACCAGCTCTCCGGATGCGCCATCTTCGAACACAACAACGACGTCTACTGCAACTGCGTCGAGCAGTCCTCGGGATTCAGGACCGCCTAATAGACCCCCACCGCCTATGCATACCAGTCCTCCGCCACCACCCCGCAGTCGACCGCCACCACCGCCGCCTGGCAAGTTCGAAGCAAATTGCGACACGGGCACCAGAACCACGACGCGGGGTGGTAGAAGAAGTGCTCCTGCTGGTGGTACACTTGAGGTGGAAGTTCACATGGCGGATAATTGTCAACTAGAAGGAGCGACATCGGTGGGAGTAGACATCAAAGGTGGACTACAGCACTGCAAAATAGCACGATCAAATAGTCGCGGAGCTATACCAAGTCCCTCCTCCTCCTCCGACGCAGCTCTTGGTGCTGTTGTAGACATATTTCAACAAGTAGAACAAGGGCCCCCGAGAGGGTTTGATATTGACAAGTCAAGAAGCTCCTGGAATGATCCTCTCACTCTGGAAGACATGATGTTGCTTGACCCCTTACTTGCTTCTTCTCCAACTTCTTCCTTGTCAGCCTCCTGTTCTTTTGCAGGCGTCCCTAGTCCTTCACTCACCACAACTTCTGTAGCCACAACTTCAGCTTGTTCATCGTCACAACGAGGAAGAGGAAACGAAGACCTTTCGTCCTCGGAAGCTGCACCTACAGGTTATACAAATTCGCTGTCGTCCTCTACTTCCTCTTCTGGAGGTGCTACTACAACTTATAGTTGTGGCGCCACCTCGTCCTCTTTTCTTCCTTCCCCAACAACCAACACAAGATCCACGTCCTCCTCTCCATCAACAGGAGGATTAGCATCTTCAACTTCAACAGCAGGGTTAATAGCATCTTCATATTCAACATCTGGAGGTTCAAGTTCATGTTCATCTTCTGGTGGTGGTGGTGGTGGTCGTGGTGGTGGTGGGACTGCGAGCGGTACTAGTGGGAGTGGCACCACGATCGCGGCGTCTTCCTCGTCTTCGAGCAATACAACAAAGGAAGGCAACTTCTACATCAAGAGCGAAGAGGAGATGATGCTTGAGGCCTCTTTCCGCAATGCTCCACGTGAGTCGGACCAAGTCCCCGTTCTCAAATACCGTCCACGCAATCCCTACATTCATTCGCCGAATAACGTTCCGATCTACCCTACCCAGACAGCGCAACCGTGGAAAACGGCGTTTCAAAATTTTGAGACCAAATTTAAGGGCCACCGAAACATGATTGGAGTAATATTGTCCTCAACTTACTCATAACTACTTAATAGAAGCAAGAATTTGAACACTCACTCCATGTCGTCCATCTTCTGTAAGTGTAAGACCCTCTAACAAATACGATCTCGACACGTTGTTTTTTGTTTTCTACTACCAGCAAGGCAGTTATATGCAATTTCTGGCTGCGCGGGAACTGAACCGAATGGCTTGGCGTTTCCACCGACAATATCTCACTTGGTTCCAACGGCAGGAGAATCCTCGGTTGTGTACGGCTGAATACGAGCGCGGGAGCTACGTCTACTTCGATCACGATACGGCCTGGTGTCAAAGGTTGAAACTTGACTTCACTTTCGATTATCGCTATTTGGAGGCTGGCTCTACCGGTACTGCGGCTTCTAGTAATTCTTCCTCTTCTACTAGTTCTTCTAGCAGGAATAAAAGATCGACCAGTGGTTCTGGAGGTGGTAATCACGTAAGATCTTTTTCTTCAGCACATCAGAGTGAAGGAGGAGACAATGACAAAGCGCAGCAACATGGAAGTGGTGGCACAACGAACTGCGCTGCAAATTCAAATATTAGTAGTGCAGCGGATAGGGCAGAAGATAGAGATTATGCAGCAGCCTCAGCTTCCACTACGGGTGCAACGCTTCACCGTACTTCTAGTCGTGGCGGTAAAGCTACGAGTCGTGGTGGAGGAAATGCCAGTAACGTAAATTCAACGTCGAATAGTGGAGCAAACTCCAGCACAGCAAGCAAGACAAAAGCACCACCTGGACTCCCTACTTTACCCCTAGCGGCATAACCTTGAATGATGTTGTTCTATTTCTTGTTTGCGGTGGAATGAATCTTCGCCGTTGAGGCATGACCGATTGCGATTCGGTCCTTCCATGTAGATCAAAGTTTTGACCCTACTACATCTCGCACTCGACTCACAACTTCTTTTCATATGGGATAGGGAAACAACTAGAGTACTTAATACAATCCAAAACCATCAATCTAATCCAACTAGAGTCCTTAATACTTGTTTTCATGATCATGATGAATTTTTTTATAAGTAAATATGTTCTAGTTTTTGAACATCTCACATCATTAAATATGTTGTTGAACATCATTTTCATTCACCCCATGTTGACGCTTCGAAAATTCAAATTGTTCTCTCTCATGGCCACTCTTCATAGTCATACACCAACTTCTTCATATAACAACGCCTACTTCTTTAAAAATGGTCTTGTTGTCACCGTCACGCGACGACTTCTTCTTTATTGTTCACATGAGTAAGTGTTTCTACTATCATCTCTATCATGTTTCTCTCGCGCTCCTGAACCCTCTTCTTGATCTTGCGCATCGTGGTCGCAATCCTTTTCGCTCGAGCGAAATTCTCTAATACTAATATCAACTTCTTCGTGTAGAAAGAAATTCATTTTCTTGGTCTATTTCTTGGCCTTCCCCGCTCGCCCCACCTCCTATCAAGAATATTCCTCAACGCAAAAGATGAAGCAAGTAGTGAATGTAAAAAGTACACCGGAGGTAAAAATATCAAGTTTGAGGGAGAACAAGTACCTGTCATTTGCGGCAGCAAATTTTTCTTGTGTCTAATCACTAGTAGTATTGATGTTGTTCGTCCATAGTGGAAGCACGATGCTGGCGCAAAGCAGACTGGATTGGTCCTTATGTCTATGCTAATCTACTGTGGCCATGGTCTCCCTGTCATATAGATATGCTCTTCTTCACCTGGCCTTGCTTTCATTTCAAGGCTCTAGCTCTCGATTTACTGTCAAAAGCATGAAATTGCCTTCTTGATGGCAGTCTGCAGAGATCATTGTGCGAGATTTAGAAGTGTACTATTCTTGTATAACCCCCCCCATACTGCATACCAAGTATTTTTTCTATTTTTTCTTCTTCCGGGACAGCCCCGGATGAATTTGAGTTCTGGCATAGTTCTTGCGAATTTGCTAAAGCCTGTCTTGGGACGTCTTCTGTTGCGTTCCTAGGGATAATAGAAGTAGTAGTAAAACATCATGGGACAAGAACAAACAGAAGCACGAGGAGGCACCACAAGAGCATCACAAGATGAACAGGATGCAGACTTGCAATCTCAGAAGTTCGTGGAAGCATGCTTGGCATGTGCGTTGGAAGAGATAGAACAAGACAATCCTGGATTCTCGAAGCACTTCGGAGAACATACACCTTGCACTATCGATCCAACTAGCCGAATTATTTGTGTCAGACACGCAACGAGCTGTGCCAATTATGCGCAAGTGGCCGCGACACTGCCCAAGAGCGTGGCAAGAATAGAGGAAATTGGCGGAGATGTCAGGGAGGAAGAACAGCTTCGGAAAATTGGTATACTCTGTTTTTTACTCAGGATACTGAAAGTGATGCTCTTGAGAAAGATTTGCAAAAGGTTCTGGAGTGATCATCCAATCCTCTTTCTCTACTTTCACTTTCTAGTCCTTTCTATTGCTGAATGGTACTACATTTGACCCGTCGTGAAGACCATCTATGACGCCCTTAAGGCAGTCTGCACCGAACTGTGTGCGAGATTAATTGTCTTGTGTTGTATTGTATCGATCCAATATTCTTCTTCAATCATTGATTCGACACAAAAAGAAGAAATACAACTTCTTCAGGTGAACAGCTAGTCGGTGGTTCTCGTGCGTTGGTCGATTGCCCTTTGCACCCGTATGGCATTGTGCAGACAGAAAAGCGCGCTCACCTCTTACATGACGTGGATTTCCATACCGTCTTAGTATCCCCTTTACGCCGAACACTCCAGACCTGTGACTCGCTGTTCAAAACCCATCCACAGCGCGCAAAAATACGCTTTCTGGTCTTCCCGGACGTGAGAGAGTGGGTCAGGTTCACCGATGGCATACCATGTGATTACAGACGGTTACGATACTTGTTTCGGCCGCCAGGAGAGCAGAGTTCTTGTTTAGAAAGTAGTGCAGGACCGGAACCGGAACTACAAGAGGGAGGCTACAAGAGTACTCTCGATTTCGACTGGAGTTTGGTGGATGAAACGATACAAAAATACTACAATGAGAATGAAGTTGTAGTACGCGAAGCAGGTAGTACTACTACAGCTGCTACTGCTATGAAACCAAAATCTGTTATCATTATCGTACTTTTCTACTTAAGAAACTTGATAATGATAACAGATTTTAGTTTCATAACTGCAGACCACAAACACTGGTTTCTCTCCAGCTTTGCGAATAAGGAAAAGCGGACACGGCTACATTCGAAGGTAGCGTCCATCGTTTCTACATGTGCTTTGGCTAGTACTAGTAGTACCAGCACAGGCACAGGAGAAAACAGATACGATCCTGATTTCGATCGCGCTCCACTCTACGCTAACGGCTGTGTGGTAGACAAAAAATTAGCGAAAACTCCCTTAACTGATGCGATGCTACCAGAGATGCGAGACATCATTCCACATCCTCTAGAGGATTACTTCGATGTCATGCGCAGGGCACGTAAGACTGTGCGATTTCTCCGTCAATATCTCAAGACTAATGTCCCAGATGATCATGTTACGGCTAAAAAACCCTAAAAATCATGCTAGTAATCTACTTATAATATGAAAATATACATCATTTTTAGATCTTCGATAACCTTTCTTTTTCTATTAAGTTTTCCTTTTTTTCCTAGTTAGGTCCGCGTCACCACAAATATACATCATCAGAAACAGAAGCATCTTGAAGCGCATCTTGAAGCTGTTAGTCCAAGCAAAAAGAAGCATCTCGAAGCGCATCACGAAGCTGTTTGTCACATCCAAGGAAAAAGAAGCATCTTCAAGATGCACGACCTTGCTTACCCTTAGCACCATGAATTTTGATTTTTAGAATTTGACGAGTACTAAGCTCTAAGAATGAAAAGCAGAAAATTGGTATAGTAGCACATTATCGCTTCCTTGACGCCTTGTTTGCTGCGGGAAAGCCAGAAGATCAGGTCAAAGTTACGGCTTTGAACCTACGTGGCGGCAAAAGTTTCTCGAATTGCGAAATCAGTTCATGGCCCATGGATCAGATGGAAGGAGTGGGGGAGGAGGAAGAAGAACTACCTTAATAAATATTGTTGACTTGTACTTCTAGTGAACATGATTTACTGGCCCTGATTGGCACGAAGATGAAGACCATGGTTTATTATTTTTGAGAAGAAAACGCCCAGCTTTACTAGCACCACACCGCAAGTGATGTTTGCTTTGAGAAGATCGTCGCAGAACAAGCGATTTGCTCTCGCTCACAAATGTGCGTGGTCTCAAATCTTGAAACTCTACTTTGCAGAATGTTGTTATTCGCCTTCGAGTGAGGGGGATGACAAGAATCATGGACATGACAAAAACGAGAGCAGAGCAGGTGCAGGCAATGTTATTATGATTGCCCCATAAAATAGAAACACGATGATCGTCCAGTGTTTATGTTTTTTCAAGACTAAGTGCAAAGATGACCTCTTCATTATCGCCCGTTCCCAAGATGCTACTTCTGCCTCCTTGCATAGTACTCTCCGTACAACTAGCAGGAGTATTTCTGCTCTCCGGATATTTTCCTCGTACTAATGCCGCCGGTGATTCGAACGATGCACCGCATCAGGCGGAATCAGAAGACAAGGACAACTCGAAATGTCCGACATCACCAGGCGTACTCGGAGACGACCCGTCACGAAGATGTGAGCGTCCAGGACGGCAGGGTAACCTCGGAGACTCATTTTCAGACGAGCATTTCGCTGTGGCTTTCGCACACCTTTCATCGTCGAGGACGGGAGCCGGGGCAGAAGGATATGGAACGGACGAGAGCGCTAAACTTGACGAGCTGCAGAACTTACGACGACACTGCTATGACATTGATGCAGCTTTCCTATGTTGTATTGTAAGTAATCGAAAACTCAAATAAATAACCGAGTTACTGACTGAAATAAGGTACTTAGGCAGCTTAACACCAAGGCTACTCTTCCTTCTCGTCAGTATCTCGGTTATTCTGATCAGTTACTTGCTTATTTCAGTTTATCGAATAGAAAGTAGGCACGGTAGATAGGTGTTTACTCCGTGACGGTTTTGTTCCTCAACAAGTTGGGAGTTTGTTCAACAGCTTCTTCTAATATCCTCCACTGCACACTACAACGCAAAGCAACCACTTACTTCTAGTTCTACGACGCGGCAACAGCAATCTCCTCCCAAGAACAAGTGGCGTTCCCACGTGCGTTACCTCTACCCAACACCCATCGAGGTGATCAATGTGACGAGCGACTTAGAGGCAGCCGCGATTGAGGGTCCTGCTTTTAACCGGCGCATAGCGAAAGAGGCTACTCGTGAGTGGCGAAAATTACGAGATACGTTTCTGCCGGCACTGGAGAAAGTTGAAAGGGCTTCGCGTGCACAGGCACGAGGACTACCGAAAAACTTCCTACTAGTCCAAAACGACGAAGTCGGTCTCAACGATGCTTTTTACTACTACCAACGAGCGATGTTCGAGACTGGCGGATTTGGAAGCGATGAGAATTTCTTACAGTGGGCAGAGACAGCCGAGGATTCTCTTCTCGAACAACCTGGTGGCACGAAACGAAAGGTGGAGGAAAAAGCCGAGCATAGGAAAAATTCCACTTGGGCAGGTATGGAGGGTTTACCGGAGTACCAGAGACTCCGAACGCTCATCGCCCAGCTGGCTTTGCGCTATCTGCAGGAGCATGTGGGAGTGATGCGAAATGTGAATCTTCTTGATACATCATTTAAGGGTAGGTTAAAGGTGCTTTTGTGACCGTTTGTTATGGCTCTCCTACGGGGGACAGCCATAACAAGCGGGATAAACGAACACCAAAAACCTACCTGTAAACCATCTGGCGATGAGGAACGTGGCAAGCAACTACCTTCTCCAGAATCCCTATTCAGCATTCAAAGTTGGTTTTCAGTGCAGCCTTTTGGCGGTTGGCATGGTGCGCACACTCACACTGGCGAATACGTCTGTGGAGTCTACTATGCTTCCATGAAGACGTCCTCTTCTAGTAGCACTTCTTCCAGGAAAGAGCGTGAACAAGATACAACTACTACTAGTACATCATGGAAGAAAGCACCACCATCAGAATCAGTGGATCATTTAAGGGTTACAACCACATTGCATTCTTCACTACCATCCTTGAGCTTGACTTTTTTTCCAGTAGGAAAAGGGTCAGGGATGACCAGATGAAGAATACAATGCCGCCACCTCTAATGGATCATGAAGCAGAAGAAGGAAGTGGAGGAGGCAACTTACGTTTTGGAGATCCACGAGGAGCTAGTCCACCCTTCGGTCACGAAGTCCTGTTTAGGCCGTTGCCTGGCCAGATCATCCTATTTCCTTCTTGGATGCCACACGAAGCATTGTTAAGGCTACCTCCGCTATAGTCATCTCTATACTATAGACTTTGGATTTGTTTACCACACATATAGTATAGTCATCCCTCAACCGTATGCGCCCCAATGCAAGGGGAATATTGACCCATACGCTTGAGGGAAGATTTCCACAGGGATGACTTAGGAAGAGGTCTAACATTGTCATCGATGTCGTCTGCCTTTGAATTTGATCAACAAGATCAAAGTGAAGTAGATGACTTGCGTGTGGTGATGGCATTCAACATTGGCCCAAAGGAGGGCAGTCCAGCACCTAGGCATTGGTACCTCGATCCAGTTAGCAAGATAGTTCTGGAGCGCAAGCCCGCGATACAGAATTTGTTTGTCGAGGAGAGAACCAACGAAACAAAAGAAGTAGAAGCATTAAGGCTCAGCTTTCAATGGTCATTGGGGTTGGTCACTGAGATCGAAGAAGCGACTTCCCCTTGAGAGGACAACAGGGGAAAAGGAAAGGAAAGGGGAGAGCTTTGCAGGGAGTCTCTTCCGTTCAGCATCAGTGACCATTGAATGCTGAGCTTTAAAAGCACCAGAAGATAGAACTATCTTCACCTTAACAGGTGGTAGAACAACACAAGAAGAGCACCATGACGACCACATCATTGAAGTGCAATCTAAAGCAGCTTACAGAGCTTGGAATTTCGATTTGCTAGGAGGACCCGATCTTTTTTCATACCTCACACGACCACTCACATTTTAAGGCAGCAAAATAATGGTGGTCTTACAACAACAAAAAACATATAAATTATATATAGTGTACTAGTCGTCAACCTCAATCATGTTCTTTAACTACAGTTGCGGCATGAAGTAAACCGAAGCCTCTTTCTAATCATCTTTGCGGTAGATGAAGAACTTCTTATCAACTACATCACGCGGGGGGCAGGCTGCAGAACAAGATGAAGACACTTGCGCATCACAACATCTAATGAAGAAAGGGTATCTGGATGAAGACACATGAAAATGTACTTGATGATAATGACACCGCTTACTTTCTTGTTGGAAGTCGTTCTACTTATGAAAACAGTCAAAGTTGTCATGATTCTCCTTCTCCTCGCATCATCGAAATTTCAGTGTGGTCCGTCATGGTGATGGAGGTGTTCGTTTTATGTTCGGTTTCGGTGAACGTTGCAATTCGATTTTGTCGCTCTACTGGAAAGGAGCAAATCGCAAAAGCAAGTACCATGTACCAATCGACGCGTGTGTTTCTACTTTTGGTACAACTTCTACAGCCAACAAAAGATAGGTTGATTGGTCCTCATTCAAGTTCTTGTAGCAAGAACTACCTCGTATCCTTGACTTGGTCTAGTACTCCTTCTCTTCGTCTAACAATCTCAAACTTGTCTGAAAACGTGTGAACCTCCTCAACCATGTTGATGTCTTGTCACTATTCTAAAAAATAACTCATCATCAATCTATGATCATCACGACATTCCCTTTGCCAGAAAATAAAACACAGTCGTTTTTAGGCTTCAGAATTATCAATGCCACAGCGTGAGCGTTGAATTGGTTCAAGTCTTTGATAAGGATTAAACTACAACAAATGTTTATGTTGTTTACACGTACTTCTACTTCAGACTTAAGTACAGTTTTTAGATGTTTGTGTTAGTGTTGGCAAGATGAATCAATCTCGTTCACATTCTACTCAATAATATTGAGTCTAATTTTCCAGCATCGACAACATCTCGATTTCGACTTCGAGTTGCTTAAGCTTGCTCAGAGAGAAGTAAAATCTACTCATTGTAACGAAACTGTCAACCTGCTACTAACGAAGGATTTCTTATTATTTTCATTCTTCTTCATCGATGTCTGCAAGGACCACAAGGAAGAAGAAATACTATCTATCCTTGTCGTGAAATATTTTCACTAAGGTTGGTAGTTGTAGAAGACTTCATCCGATTTTTGATTAAGACTTTTGTTGATTAAGACTTTTAGACTTTTAGTAGAAACTCAGACTTAAAAAGAGGCTTAATAAGTATAACCAAACTCAGCACGCGTCTCGCCCAGCCTTCACACAAGCAACTAGTACAAGCACAGTTATGAGGCAGGTCGGGCCTATCCCTCACCGCCGAACGTCTTCCGCTCGAGCTACGTCCCCTCTACAATAAGTTCAATCTCGCCTCGAGGCACTCATCTTAACATCATCGCCGACGTCGTCGCGCATCTTCGTCCTTAAAACTACTATCCCAGCTTATCCCTCTCCGGCAAGACTTATCTATCACCCGCCTGCCCTTCAAACTTGGTCGAATAAAAGGTTCACTACAACAAACAGAAGAGAATGGTCCCTCATTTGATACATGGACGTCAAGAACGGCCTTATTTGAACAATCTAGCTGGGGAACAAGGCACAGATCGTCGACATCCACCACAACATCTGCGTCCTGAACAAGAGCGGACCACAGAGCGAAGAACGTCGAGTCAGGAGCCGCGTCGTTCTTTCTCGAACGAGGAACATTTTCCGAACGGAAGTAGACACGAAGATTTATTCCAAATAACGGTCGATTTTCCAGATATTAGCTTAGATACTCCTCGTTTTCCAGGAGACGAGTATTGTCCAGGAGACGAGACGATCACGATGCTGAACGATTGCTCGAGAGGCGACTATATGCTTTTATGGGCAGACGGCAGGGAGAAAGAAAATACTACTTCTGGAGTCTAATTAAAATAAATGTCTTAACTACCTCAAGAATGGGCACACTACTACTACTACTACTGCTACTATTGAATGTAATAAATAGACTTAGACGGTCTATTTAGTTTTACTAGACTATTATAGACTTCTTCTGACAAGATGAAGTGATATATTTATGATTAATTACAGACACAAATAGCTTCCCTATAATATTATTTGATTAAGGACATGATAGTACCGTAAATTTTGGGTAAGCTTCTAAGTATAATATCAATATAAAAATAATAATGATAGTACCTCCGTAACCTCCTTCCCTCTGTACAACTTCTAATATCCGACCCCGCGGCTCTGGGTCGGCCTCCTCCTGGCCTATTTGACGATGAAGAGGATTTCCAGGATCCCTATGACGTGTCATCCGCTGGACTTTCTTCTGCTCATGACCAGCACGTTTTCCCATTCTCGCGCAGCGGAGGTCACGACAACAGTTAAGGCTTTGTTTCTCCGCATTGAATGACATTAGTAGTTAAGTGCATTGACATTAGTACCCGACAAGAATAGTTCTTACCCAATAAGAATGAATGATTCTTGGCGTTTTTCGAGAACTAGAAAAGAACTATTGAAGCCGAGAATGATGATCCACCAAGGGATGCAAAATCAGATCCTCCAATGTTGAAAGCATTAGCCAAAGCAAGAGTAGCCATCATGCGTGCACATAAAAAGAATTGCAAACAAAAGGTTAAACCCCAAGGGCAACGATGAAGACATGAAGAAAAGACCGTTTCTCCCCTCCCCTCTTCCCTTTTCTTGACGCTTTGCTTACCCCGAGAATGGGTACACTGCTACTACTCAAAATAACCGAGTTACTGACTGAAATAAGGGAGGTAGCTTAAAACAAAGGCTACTCGTCCTTCTCGTCAGTATCTCGGTTATTTTCGTCTGTTACTCGCTTATTTCCGTTTAACGTAACCACCTCTAAAAGAGCAATACATCTGCAGGTGGTTCTCTTCATCAACATCATGCTACGTTTTCCCGCAGCAGCGAATCTTCGCATCAAGAAAGTGACTCGTCCTCTTCAGGTGCAGCACCGTCGTCTGTTGCGTCGATGCCACCATCTTCTAGTTCTACGATACAAGAATCATGCGCGAGTCCTATCAACAACAACAACAACAACAACAACAACACGGGTGAACATTCATCTGGTTCTGGTAATGGCACTTGTTGTTCCGATATTAATATTCCACAGTCTTCGTCGCGGTTGCTCCTCTATCTTCACGCAGCAGGAGACTGTATTAGAGAAGTGGAGGCGTCGAAACTGAAATCCTCGGCATCGAACTTTGGGAGCAAGGTAGAAGTGAAGTAAAGATCTTCATCTTTCATGAGAACCAGTTGTCATGATTCGGACATTGACAGGAGACGATGTTGAGCACAAGGTGTCTACTCTTAATCACAATGGAAATCTTGCTGACGAGCTACATCAAGATGAAGTTCCATTGCGAATCACGACGACAGCGAGGACACCCATTCTTCACCCCCTCGACCTTCATCATGTTACAGTGAGTACTCTTCACCTTTCAGCACCACCTCTTCGCGACCTTTGTTCACTTCAGGTAGTGAAAAGTCCTTCCCTTCACCACCTCTTCACGACCTTTGTTCCCCTTCCCCACCACCTCAGGTAGCCAAAAGTCTTACCGATCTTCAGCAGGGTCTCCGTGACCGGGTTTCGACTGAAACTACCAGAGACCGATTCGCTGACACATGGGGGAAACTTGCGAGATTTCGTGAGGACGTCGAAGCATCGGGAGCTCGTCGAGAGCTAGTCGCGAAAATCTCAAGTGCGCAATTGTATCTGCAGCATTTTCAGTTATGATGACGGAAATTGCCATGATTTAGTCTCCTGATCTTCTGCTGATCCGGCGCTCGCAGGGCGAAGGCAGGAGCCCATCTAATTCTAATTCTAGTAAATAGTATTTACTAGTATTACTAGTAAATAGTATTACTTAAATGATTAATTCATCTTTGTGCTTCTAATTTGAGAGAAGCTGAGTGATGTTTTGACCGTCGACGCAGCACTAGCCGCATTACAGGAGTTGGAGACCATAGCGACTGAGACAAGATGGAGTGCTGTGCGGGATCGAGTGAATCTGACATTGGAATATGGCAATACATATTAAGTAATTAAACATAGCGATAGCACGTCTTAGTGTCATAAGTAATTAAACATGGCACTACTAGAACCTAGCTACTAGAACAACACTAAGACTCTTCGACTTAGTGTTGTTCTAGTAGTTGTAATTTCGATGTGTGAAAGTGACTGGTGCAGCTGTGGTCTTCCCTACTTGAAGGTAAAGGATTTTTTACTACCTTGTACGCAGATGATAGTAGAAGATCAATTATGAGTAATCAGCGGCGCTCAAAGCACTAAATCGAGCAACCGGTTCGTTTTTACCTCTAGAGACTTAGCCCTTCCAACAATTATGAGTAATCATTTGTAAAGGATAATACAACTGATTCTTATTCTACTTGTTGTAGACCTTCCCTCCACTCCTGCCCTAATCGTTCACTGTCTCCTCCACGACGGATTGGGAACGCACCACTTCTTGCATCGCTATTGTGAAAGACTTGCGAGAGGAGGTTTTGAGTTCGCCTTCTGCTACAATCGAACGGATGCAAACGAAGTTCGAGGCAGCTTTTGACGCCGTCAAGGCTTTACGAGAGTCTGCCTACAATTACGCTGGAGGTGACCAAGAAGGAGACGCCAAGAACAACTTCCTCGTAGGTGGTGTGTTTGCTGAGAAGAGTGGAGCGGCGTTCAACTATCTGGTGAAATTCCAGCAGCGTCTGAACAGTCTACACGCTTTGGATAGAGCAGTTTTGGCATTGAAGGATATGGCAGATATCGTCCAATCCGTCAGGGCTGAAGGTAACGGTAACAAACAATCTTCAATCATGCTATTTTCTTGTCAATAGTAGTAGTTAATATTTTGACGACTTTTTTGCTTTGGTCTCCTTGTCCTTATCTATCAATTTTTAGATTTGCATTTGCTGTGGGCAACATCACCAAGAACTTGAAGAACTCCCCAATCATTTTTCTCTCAGTCCCCCTTCCCCCTTCTGGAAGTTCTATCTCCTACTTCATCTATCACCGCCTCACCTCCCCCCCAACAAGGTCGCGAGCGTTTTTTGATGGGCTTGGAATTCTCCCGTCAGAAAGTCAAGGGTTTGCAAAACGAGTTGAACAATTTGAGGGATATGTCGAGACTTCGAGGATTCTACGAACACGCGCTAGAAGCTGTGCGGCAACTGGAACACACGCAGATGGTCAAAACGCAACTGAGGGGAAGCGAACATTATGAAGATGGTGCAATACTAGTATAGGCACAATATAAATTATGTTGATTATCATGATTACACTTTTCCTGGTTTTTGTTTTTTCCTAGTAAGGTCTGCTCCACCACAAAAATTATCATGATTACAATTACTTGCTCAATGGTGCAAAAAAGAGAACAATAGATTATCACTACATCAATTCAGCTAGATTTCACAAGATTTTGTTTGTTATTTCTTTGAGGGGGTATAAAGGTTTTTGGTTTATTTCTTCGGTGCATCTCATCACTACGTGAATTCTTGTTCACTTTCATGTAGTTCACTTCATTCTCATTTTTGTTGTTTCAAACACTAATCATGTAGATGACTAATTCTACACTCTTCATGTAGATTAGTAATTCTCAATCTTCCAGAAAACACCTCCATGACCACCTAACCCTAACCGTTGTAAGAAACACGCCATCTAGAAGTTGCTCAAGTTCTAAGAGCAAGCGTTTTTGCGACAAAAAATTGCTGAAGCTTTTGCGTCGATCGAATCTGTTGTCAAGGAATCCCGGCAATCCCTAGACGAGCACGTTTCCCGAGTTACGCTCAACCAAGCACGAGCTGCGCTGTTTCGCGTACTTAATTTTTTTTAATCTTTCGTATGCATATCCGTGCGGCCTGGGCCTGGCAGCGGTGTGGTGGACCCTCAGCATCAGCCTTAAAAACCCGATCAAAAGTTTTTCTGTTCCTCCCAGTGAGGATTTTCAACAACCTTTCATCCACATCTTCTACAATCTTAGGTGGGTGCGCAGATTCCCGATTTTCCTCGTGAACGACTTCAGCAAGTTTTGTCGCTGTTGGAGACTACTTTGCAGAGTGCTATCCCTAAGGGCAAAGTCCAAGACATCTATCAAGGAGTTATGGAAGCCTTGGAGGGATTACGTAACTTTCCCATATTCTTGCTTTTTTTACTTCACGCTACCTAGTACTCCTTTGCTCATGATCTACCCCCACGCAGCTGAAGGTGGGGGCGATGCGCTTTCTCTACTAGTGCCCCGCAGCGGCCGCTTAAGTTTGGTTAGCTATGTATTGCGAAGGATTTCTGTTCGACGGATTCGGCCGTACTCGAGCCGCGGACACGCAGCCGGCTTCCAAAGGAAGCCTGGCGGATATGGTTTTGCGGCTAGTTTGCTTGCCCTTTCGCAGTCTTGCGCGGAGACGTTTCGGCCCCCTCGCTCTGGGTTGCAGAGGGTTGCCTTCTTGCGTCCGCGGGATCGAATGGGCGGCGTCCGTGTCGGGAAGTCGGCGCGCGAAGAAGTGCGCAGCGCTGGAAACGGGTGGACCCAGCAGACGTGACAGGAGCAAGGAGTTCGCAAGCCTGCTGAGCAATGCGGCGGCGCTTTCGTTTTGGCCATGGCTGGCGGGGTGTTCCTCGAAGGGAGGGCGGCGAACCCTACGGGCCGCGGAACTTGGCCTGGAGGAGGGGGCGAAGGAAGGGCGCGCGTTTATTTTCGGCGCTTGTGTTCGTGCTGGCGGGCTCGACCGCTGGGCACAAGCAGCCCCAAGGAAGAGGCTGAAGAAGGCCGGAACCTTATGGCAATATCCCGCGGGGCTTCGCTGGGTACTTGGAGGCGGCAATCGACTGCAGAGGGGCCCGCTAGCTCGCCCCAGGGAATGCCTCGCGTGGCATTGCTCCCCGGGACGCCGAGTCGCATGCGGCTCCGTCTCTAACATCGCGAGCGCTTTGGGATAACGATAATGCCCTTCCTGTGGTCTGTGCCTCTTGGGGCAGGCGCAGTCTAGGGTCCGGGCGAGGGCTTCTGGGAAGCTCGTGGGAGTGACCCACATCTCCCGGGGGGCTGCTTGGTTATTCATTTGCGGGGCTGTCCTCCCGTGCGTCTTTACTTTTTGCGCCTGTCTAGGAGAAGGGGGGGGCGCCGATGCATGGCGCCAGTTGTTCAGATGCAAGGCGTTCTGCATGCATTTAGCTGGCATGTCGCTCAGCTGCTTCGTTTCACTGACTACAACAAGGCTCCGGCGTTTACTCGCAGACGCGCCTCTCGTGGTGCAGTGTGCTGTGGGGGCTACCTGGTGAGACGGTGGAAGGGCACGGTTGGGGGATGAACGTGGCCCCACGTATGGGCGGCGCATGCTTTCGCCGTCGTCGGCAAAGATTTCCACAGGCCGCCGCCTGGCGGGGGGCTTGGGCTTCAAAGTGGCCCCCCCCCGCTGTCTCATATTCGGCGGGTGTAGACATGCGGGCAGCTGGAGCGCTTCGCTGGAGCCCTTTCCACAACGTGGCTGCCGCTGCCTCTGTTCTCTTCTGTCTTGGAGGGCGCCGGCTTGTTTATTACCAGCTGGGAGCTCAAGAACCCAAGTTCAGCAAGGCCGGACACAGTGACCAGCTCAGGGCCACGCCAGACTTCGGCACGTCGCTGATTGTGACACATGGACCGGAGTGCTTGGGGACGCATTTAGAACCGCTAAAGACGTGATGCTATGGACTTTGCGACCGCAACTGTTATAGCTTGTGAGGAGGCGAAAGCATATAGCTTTAGGAATATGCATCAGCGCCCCCTTGTAAAGCTTAACAAGCGGCTGGACGGCTGACCCAAAGGCAAATCCCAGGCAGAAGCTCCTCCCGCGTGGTGACAGGAGGCGCCATGTTAGTCAAAAGGCTCCGGGAGTACAGTCAAGGCGAGGCCTAGGCGGCGTGGGATGCTTTGCGATTCTTCTAAGTATTATGCCACCCGGGAGCAGTTTGCGCGATGAGGTTCAAGGCAAGAAAACTTCGGACGAAGCTCGCAACGTCAAGCGGGCCCCTTCTCGGCGTCTCGCACGCGAGGGCCCTCCAAGCAAGAAGCGCAAAACGGGAGGACGCTATGAGACTACCCGCGAAGCTTGGCTTGCGGGGGAAGGAGGAGAACGGGCGCACATCCGGGAGGCTCGCTAAAGCTGTCCAGCTGTCAAGTCGAGGAAAGCGAAAGGGAGGACAGGGCGCGCGGCATTGCTCTGCGGCAAAAAGCTTAGAGCTAGAGGGCCAGCCTGGGCTTTATGTCGTAGGTGTGACTCACGTGCTTGCGAATAGCGTAGAACTGAACTAAGCACGAGGGGAAAAGAACCACGCCACCACTGTGCAGCGTGGGCGAAAGCTCCGGCGTCGGTCTGTGTGGCGCACTCGTTTACGGTAGAACAAGAAGAACTGGGCCTGTTTGGTTTGTTTGCTAAACCTGTTGCGGGCGAAACAGTCTTCTTAAACGGGTCGAAACAGATAACGGTGAGGGTGGGCGAAACTTGTCGGAGCCAGCCCGCCGCCTCTTCTTTGCTCTGGCTTACTTTGTGGGTGCTTCTGTTTCGCGAGAAAAACCACTGAGGACCTTGCGTGCTAGAGCTAGTAAGGCGCAGGCGGTGAACCTTCGGTGGCATTCTGAAGGGCGGAAGAGCTGGGGGGGCTCGTTGTTTTACGCCGACGCTGGGTGGGAGCAGAGCAGGAGGAGAGGGAAGCGGGCGAGGAGATGGGGGAAAGGGCTAGCATCCGCCTGCTGCCCAAGAAAGAGAAAGGCCCCGGCGTCGTGTCATGCATAGCTTCCTGGGGGTGACGAACTTGCTCCACACACATACTAGCGTCCCTTCTCCTTTTGTTGAGTATGATGCCTCGCGCAAACAATGCACATGCGACGCAGCGCCTACAACTTAGTCGCGTCAACAAGAATATCGCGACAGGTGGAGCTAGAAACAAGAATACTGACGTCAACAGAAGTAGAAAAAGAGTCTTGTTTCCGCTACGCGCTACACATTTTTCAACTACAACAACAGGTAGCGAGCTCATCGCACTGTCTTCTTTCGGGGTGCGATACAGGGTGGCGATTGACCAGCTTCGTGAAGTTACTGGGAGTCTGCAAAATCAACTTCTGAGTGCGTGTGTACACGCAACGGTAAACACTTGCGCCTACGCTGAGCGCCGTTTTCCTGGTACTGTGGAACGCGGATGCAATTTGCTTCACCGTAGCTTTAAGGCTACCGCTAAAGCATGTTGTTTACCAATATTTAACACCATAGCGATCCAGATTCTGATCGTTGTTCCATCATCTTTTTTTACTTGAAAAATCGATGTGACTCTCAAGGAAGACGTCAACTATTAAGCGGAACAAGTAGCTCTCTCTAATAGCTGGTCTAGCATCAAAGCAGTAGATGACGAGCGCTTTGGATCAGGCGTTCAGTCGAGAATCAAAGAAGCGGCTGCAAAACTCGACGCACGCTTTTTGAATTTAAGGGTGAGAGTGAAGGCTAATTTAGTGCTTCATCCAGGAATTGAATAACAAGTCTGCTAATTTACCCCGAGATTGGGTATACTACTACTACTACTAACACTAACACTAACACTAACACTAACACTAACACTAACGCCACTACTACTGTCTCTTTAGCAGATTCACTAGAAAAGTTACTGCTAATCAATGGTCAACATCGAGGACGACTAAAATGAAATATCTACAGCTTCCTCTAATGACTGGAAAGGGACACGCCACGATGCATCGAGTGTGGGAAGACTACAGCGAGGCAGCATGTGTGAAAAATATGCACGCCGCTCATGGCTCCTAATCATCTATCTTTAAACTAACTACGACTACGAAATGGACATTTTGATTTTAGGAACCACTTTGTATTACGTGACTTTTTTTGGGCTTGTTTAGGTTCGGGTTGGTTATGTGTTCATGTTGATGGAGCTTGTTTGGGTTCTTGATTAGTGGAAAATCCGATAACTACCAGGAACCTATGGGGACATTTTGTGGACTTTGTGTAGGATCCTCCAGGTTGTAGGGTTGAGTGGTTGCGTGTATATTCGAACTGCTGTCTAATTAGGTTTTCGTAGAGTTGGCTTGTTGGTCTTGGTCTGTGTGGGGTTGGTTGTGTTCATTGGTGTAGACTGCGGGTTGGCTAGCGTACTTGTAAGGGTCGATTAGGTTACCGTTTAGGGCTATTCTTATTTTTAATAAGTACTTAGTCGAGGACGCAGGCTTCATCGACTCTCTGCCAGAATCGTTGTCTTCTTGTTGTCCTCGTCTTCTTGTTGAAATTATAGTACTTATACATTCTTCAGATGATCATCGCTTTTATCGTGTTTGTTAAAAATCTCGGAAGACGAAAGAGATCATGAAAAAACGTCGAGATGGAGATGGAGGTGGACTAATCCACCTAATGTGCGTGATTTTCATGATTTGTAAACTGCGATCTTGATGATCATCTTAGAGACTGTAGTCATCTTAGAGCTTTCATCACCTGTAATCAATAGAGGTTACCTCATCTACTTACTTAGTACGAAGGGTTGATGAAGATGTAGCAAGTGATGTAGGGGAATCAATTTCAGTAGTAAAGGAATCAATGTGAACAAGAATTATAGATCATGTCGTAGGAGCGATGTAGCAAGGACAAAGAAGCAGGTTGAGGTACTAGCAGAAAGAGAAGAATAATGAGAATATTCACCTTCATGTTCACACGGAGGCTCATTCTCATCGGTTAACATAAAGAATTGGTACCATTACCTTCCTCCTCCTCACTCCAGTGTGTGCGTTTATGATTAGCTTATCTAACTCCAGCGGGGTCGTATGTGAAGTTAAACGACCTACAATCTAATCCAATCATCATTATTATATATATATATATATATTTATATATTAGAACATTTCGTAAGAAGGGTGTTGGATGGCATGGCATGCATTGCATGGGCCGAGGGGGTCAGCGTGCGACCTTCTTAAGGGAGCGAGACGGGGGCGAAGACTCAGGGCGCGAAATAGGGGGGCCGCCGCGTTGTTGTCTGTTTTGCTTCCTGCCTTTGTCTTTGCACAGCCCGCCTTCCTCATCTTCAGCCACCCCCTTCTCAGTGCGACCGGAGCATGCAGAGCGCCTGGCGCCTGTCCGCGCTTGTTGTGGCAGTACCTGAATAGTGCTGGCACGTGCTAGCTATTGTAAGTAGCTCGACTAGGCTAGCTTGCCTGGGATCTCGACCGCCGTGCTCACTGTTCTCTTGCGCACACAGGCCACGGCGTTTGCGCTGCTCCTTGCTTGTGTCTGGGGCGGGATCACAGTGGGGCTGTGGGCTGTGTTCGTGTATCGTAAAGCAATTCTCCGGCGGAGCAGCCCGGTACTGCCGAGGAAATATGGCGCCCGAAGGGCGCCGCGAAAAATTTATTGTTTTTGGGGTGGTCCATCCATGCCATGCATGCAATCGATGCAATGCAATCCAGAAGTTCAGAAGTTGCCTAATATTCTAATATAATGAATATGGAGGAAGAACAAGTGAAAGAGCAGACGTCATCAAGCTATTCTCACCCAGGCAGCATGATAGAGGACGATCTTCACGGAAGCATCTTATCCTATCCACCTAACGAAGCAAAGAGGATGCCGTCCAACCGAAAAACAAACAAGACGCGAAACGTGGAGGGCGCCCTCTTTCCGTGCCGCTTATCCTATTTTTAGAATAGTTTTGGTTACTCGCTCGTTTCAGCTTTAAGCACTTCTAAAAGAAAGATTTACAACATACTTCTTGGTACGTGCTGTGTCACGAAGATAATTGATGTGACTGTACTACTCATCATCTTCAAGAACTTTGTCAAAAATTGAAATTTTTTCGAATTGTATTCGACGACCTGTAGAAGTATGAATAACCCAACGACCACCTTACTACTGTTTCTGTACTACTATCTATCATGATGATTTTGTAACAACAAAATTAATTCTTATCAGCTTCTTACTAGGTTGCACCTCTTCGTATACAAGCAATCAAGTAGGACAGAAGATGAACATGCTGTCTACATCTACATACGACTGTACTTGTTGCAGGTGGAGGTACAGCGAACTACATATTTAGAATTTATGATTAGGAACAATGTACTGCGTCCAATGTGAGTCTCGCGAGTGAGAACCACGGGTGAGTGGCAAACCGGCGGCCAGTGGTGCATCATGATAGATAAGATGCAAGAAAGATTTGTCGTGTCGACTCGTGGCAAATGTGCTCAGGTTTGTTGCCACCTCTAGGTTCTTAACATCAATTCGTATTTGAAATTTTTTTTGAATTAAGGTTAGACGAGTTGGCTTCAGCACGCGTTTGGCCGTACATGATGACGCTTCTTGAAGGTGAACTTTTTTAGCCCCCGACCCTGTGAATCGCGCCTGGAGTTGCCCATTTTAACTTGACTTGAGAACTTATTTTTTGAAGGTTATATCGAAGTCCATCAAATCTCCAGTACAACTTTTACTCTTCCGGTTGAATTGCTGCATTCTTGTTTATTCAACAAGAGCGTGGGACTAAGCCGGAAACTTGACAACTACATGAAATAGAGAGAGCTACCACGTCGACTTCTCCAAAGAAGTAAACGTTTCAGAAGTTACCTAAGATTGAAAGCTCGTCGTGAATATGAAGTTACGAATTATGATGTTGAAATTTACTCGTGCTACAACTTACTTAAAAGTATATACTAGCGGGGGGAGGTCGCCAGGGAAATCTTAGGCAGACTGCCGAGGAGATTCGCATCGTCATAAATATTTAGCAGTTTTTCTACTTTTTCCGGTTCCGCCCTTGTTGTGTAACAAGAATTCGATCGTGTGAGGATTTTCAGTCAGTTGTCGATTTTCCTATAACGCCTTTTGATCATAAATGAAACGATTTTTCCGCAAATAGCCGTAGTCCTCCTCAACTGTAGAAGTTGCGGCACTAAAATGACATACACGCTTTTTTCGGATATTCAGATACAAGATCTGATCATCGTCTTCATGAAGATGGCCATGCGATTCCTGCTGAGATGAGAGGACGTGCTTATATTAATAAGGGGCCGCCAGCTTGAGATTAAGATGAGGCGTGCTGATAAATAATTGTTTGACTCGGGTAGTTGCTGCGGGACCGACGTCACAATTGAGATTCATCTTGTGCCAAAGTTATTCTATATGTTCGAGCTACTCAGCTGTGGGAAGGTGTATGTCCCGCGACGCTCAAAGCACACAAAGTAAATTAGCGGGCTAATTTTCCTCGATGCTTGTTCGGAGATCGTTCGCAGCCCCTATTTGCAACATATGCTGTAGTTAATCCGTCAAATCTCCAGGTATTTAGCGCACAGCGCAACAGATCTGCTTTTCTTGTTTTCAAAGGAAAGGGCGTTGTCGATATTGGCAATCATGATACCCATAAAAATGCAAAGGTAAACCTAATGTAACATGGACTTCGGGAAGTGGAGATGGATCTCGTGGTGTTTGGGATGGTTGTAAATAGACTGCCTGTGCTGGAAGAAGTCCGCGCTGTTCACCTTAATGTAGTCAATGTTTTAATGAAGGAACATACAGATACATAATTCTAATTCTTCTATTTTTCCTAGTTTTTTTTCCTGTATCTTCTTCTAACTATGGCATGACCACGAGAAAATGGTTACATAATTTTTTAACTTTGCTGGACTTCAACTTCTACTACCTGACAATCCTTCTCGAGCATATGATGAAATGACATTGGGTTGATAAATTTATATGCTCGTTGCTGATTGTTTTTCATCTCATTTTCATTCTTATATCGTTTTCCTTAATCTACTCCCTTCCAAGTCCTCGTGCTATTGGTGTGATTAACCACAAGCAGAATGTTGACTGGTCGAGTCTTGTACGGAGAAATATGCATCATGATGATGCTGGTTTTCAACGTCCGCATGAAGCGTAATCTATGGCCGTTTGTCACGACCGTGTGAACAAAGTGACAAGGAATTACGAGGAATGAAAAGGTGTGGTTGTTGTTCGCCTCTCCCCCCCGGTTTCTTCTTCTGGTCCGCTCAGTCCAAACCCCTTCCTTTCGGCCGAAGCGTGGACCAAACAAGCGCAGAAACCCACACAGACGCGGCAGCGCCTGAGAGTAGGCCCTTTGAGTTGGCGAGTTTGAGTTTAGGTAGATAGCTGAAGAGGTTTGCTACAGAGAGCAAGGGGACGCGAGTGAGGGACTTGCTCGCCGCGGCAAGATGCACCCAGAGAGAAAGCGCAGTTGTACGCGAGAGATCTCACAGCAGGCACGCTTCGGAGGTGTTCGCGAAGTGGAGCCCCTCACAAGGAGGACGACAAGCCCTCATTTGCGGCGCGGCTCCGGTCCGCCGAGTATGAGGCACGCTGCCCCCCCCCCGTATCGTCTCAGGACGTGGTGGAGCAGTCACTGCAGCCACGAGCCTGGTCGCCGTTCAAAGCGAGAAATGTCGACCCAGGTAACGAAAAAAAAACTCTCGCGAAGGCCCCCTGAGTGGGTGAGTGAATGCTGTTGCTATTGGCTAGTCGCACAGCATGGAGAGCTTCCCTGGTGTTGGAAACAATATCTACTACTCAACGTCTAGAGGACTTCTGGCCCACCAAGTTGTGCTACTAATATGACAGCGGCCAGCTGCGCACTAAAATTATAGTGCCTACTAGTGCTACCTACTCCTATTCGAGGTTACTCCACCTACTTGAGGTTCAAAACAAGCCACGCTTTTCCTTCGTGTAAAATAACAGCAGATCACTACATCGCAAGAGCCAAGAAGTCAACAGAACTATTTTCTTAGAGGCCTTATCATGTATCAGCGTGAAGCCGTAGCCATTTTGGCTCAAGGCTTCGTTTGCGAGCGTAATTAATCACAACAGAGAGGCTCAGCCGCTTTTTTTCTAGAAAGGTTCAATTATCAGCACCCATCTAGTTGGCAGGCTAGCTACAGTCACGAATCAAAGTAGGGCTTTTGTTAGACCACTATCGCCCTCCGGCTGGGTCTATAATTTGGACACTTAGGGCGGAAAAAATGCACCAAATCTAGGCGAATCGCAGAGAGTGAAAGCCGAATGAGATGGCTGGGGCAGCTAACGAATTGGCTAAAACTTTGAATATCGACGCCGCGAGATCCATGCCCCGCATAATGATACCGACGCCATCTTTGAGTACCTACGTAAGAGGGGACGGCGCCGGGCTTCTGGGCAGCCGGCGCGTCGCCCAAAACGTAGGCAAAGGATCGCCGGTGGCCCACGCGTCCTCTACTGAGCCAAGTGAATCATGAGGAAGACAACGAAATAGAGCATGATGAAGGACGGGATCCCGTTGGCAGAGTCGTGACGGCCGACGGCTCAGCACGAACACACGCTCACGCGGCGCGAAGATCTCGCGGATAGACCGTCGCACGAGCGCGATATTGCCACACGCCCTCACACTTCGTAGGCCAACGCGCAGCATGAGCGATTTGGAGGCCCACCATGCGGACGGCCCCGGCTACAGGCTAGATAGACAAACACGTAGCCCAGTGTTGCTGTTCTAGCAGAAATCTACGCCCGGAATGATAGGGGGCGCGGCTGTGTAGCTGCGCTGCTGTACTGCTGACGGTTTGACAATCGAGAGCGCCGGCGGCCTCTCTTGTTACTTAAGGCCTCAAGCCGCACGCGGTGTTAGGATCTGATCTGCAGTCCGCAGCCCTCTTGGCCCGGATGAGCAGCCGCCGCGACCGGGTCCGACATTGGCAGCGGGCGTGCGGTGGGATGGCTGCGTATCAAAGGTGGAAGAGAAAAAAATATGTGCAAATACTGACTCGGCTACTGAGAGGAGCAGAAAAGACCCAGAATAAGGACATCGGGAACATTCGGTCATTGGCAACGACTTTACCCAAGTCCCCGCCTTGGTGCTTTTGCTGACTTTATTCAAGTCGCCCATCATCCTCGGAGCTGAGCTAGGAGCTCGGGTGGCTCAGCCTCAATGTGCAGGGCCCACGACCTAACCTAAACTCTATTATTTTCCGGGTCTATTTTGAAGTTTAAGCGATATTAGCAATAGCAATGCTACTATCCTGGTGCGAAGTCGGTCGTGTTTCACTGAAGATGAAGCCAAAAGATAATTGTCGGGGGCAACAAGAAATCAACACTTTTCTGACATTTTTAGAAATGTGAAAAACAAGTGCAAGACCACGTTGTGCAGCCTAGAAGTAGTAGCCACTGACTCTGTAAGAAACGTGAGACTATGGCCATGCGCCCACCTGTTATGTGGTCGCACACGTGTGACAAAGACAAGGACTGCGGCCGATGGCACTCTCGACATTTCTGAATTCTCCTATGTATAGATACATAGATACGAGGACGAAAGCATCCTATGTGGATACCAGGGCCAGAAGATAGGCAGATGCAACTCTCAATGGTACTCGGTCAGATTTTAATGAATCAAATTCAAAGGTGGTGGAGGTGATGCTATTTTAAGGACGATCGTGTTCGCCATCTTCGGGTGGCTAGTATGGCTATGGGTTGTACCTACAGGTACAAATTTCCTGCTATGAAATGGTCCATGTGGGATTGGGTGTTTGTTCGGTAGCCGGGGTTCATCGGGCGAAAGTAGGAGTTTCAGTTGGACGCTGAACGTACGAAGAAGAGGAGAGTGAGCGACAGATTGCAGGAGGGCCTTGATACACGAGGTTTTACTGTCATGGGGATCAGAGTGATTACCAGCAGCTGCCTGATTATCATGTAGAATGAATAACCTAGCCCGGTCTCCGTTCAAGTCTCGCACAATGGTAGGTTGCCGTTGCTAGTTTAACGCACTAGGAGCCCACAGCGGTTGCCGTCGTGTTTATTAATCGTTTGCGGAGTTTTATGTCCCTGGCCCGTCGTGCACGTGCTTCAGGCCTGTCGCTGGGTAATTGAATGAAGTCATAGCGAGAAACGTAGACCCAAGTAACAAAGGAAAATAAATCTCGTGGAGGCCCCCTGAGTGAATGAGTGAACGACGACCGGACTCCAACTAGTATAAGTCCAGCAAAAAAATCAATTACAAGATGGTGCTGCAGAGCAATATTAGATTCTCCTTTCTGCTCGTCCTCGTTTGGGTTGGAGTGAGCAGCAGTTTTCTCCAGTTCGTATATGCTTCTTGTCCTTTAGCCGCCGATTGCGAGTATGTGGACAATGGATCATGTGGCAACGCATGCTGCTTTATGACCTTTGTGGTTCCAGGTACACCGTCTTCGAAAGTGAAAGACGCACTGCAAGAGGGACTTAGCAGCTTGGATGGGTACTCTATGAAGCCTATGGACAACAGTGCGGATGTACATGGGTTTAGCAGCTTTGGCTTTGCGGCGCCGCTTCCGGGGAGTGAACCGTTATGCCGCATGATAATTTTCACTATTCGGTTTTTGCACTTGCGCCACGGCGGTGGCCGTTTCAAGATACGTGCGATGACATCAAGATCACGACAACTGAGGTTTTGCACCCCAGGTCTATAGGAATAGTAGAACTGGCACAACAGGTTCAGCACAGCAGGTCTTCTATAATACAGCCGGTACTGGTACAGTTATAAGAACTGCTCTTGGTCGTGCAGCAGCTTCTGCTTCTGCTTTCTTGTGACTCAGTGACCACAGTGTCCTCTAATCCTTGAAAGGTACACGCGCATCGATTACATTGGTCAGGCTAGCCACGAAACGGATGGTAAGTTCATGCAGCTGCTGATAGACAAGGAGAAAAACATCACAGACGCGCCCCCTGGAAAGCGATACAATGACACGATGAATTTCCTGCTGTTTACTTAAGGAAGCGATCCTCGAGAGTCGCGTTTCTAGTTAAAAAGTCGAGAAGAAAGGAAGATTATTGAATCATCGTCTAAAAAACAACACATTATGTTGTCCAAGAAGCACCCAGACAGTTAATCGCTGATGTTGTCATAGACAATCACTCGGATGGACAATTCAGCAGGACGAGGGAAATGGGTAAAAAAAGACAAGCGTATCACTAAAAAGACAAGGCATTACATTATATATATAATAGAGTAAGGTAAATAACGGGCTTCGGGTTGCTCGAGTTGCAACGGGTTGCTCGGGTTGCCGAAGCGCAGGGGTTCCAAATCTGGAACGGGTTGCCATGGGTTGCCAGGAGAATCCTGACCCAGCAAAATGGGGCGAAGCCGGGCGAAATGGAGGGGCATCCGTGCACTCGAAGCGAAGAATTGGAGAAGAGCGCAGTCTCTTTTTTTTGTTGCTGCTTATGAAAGGGGCAGCCACGTTACGTTTGAAGGGCTCTGCAGGCTTTCGGGCTCTTCTTACTTTTGTAGCGTGAGGGCGCGTGTTTGAAGCGAAAACAAGGAGCGCAGGCCTCTGCTCTCTGTTGTTTTTTTTTTGAGGTGAGTGGCGCTGTGGTGTGTCGTCTTCGAGTCGTTGCTGGCGCTCTCTCCCTTTTTTCTTCGGGTGCGAGCGTGGCCAATCTACTTGGGGGCTGAGAGCGAGTCTCCGTCTGCTGGCTTCAGCGGGCGACGTGTCCAGTCTTGGGTATTGCAGTAAGTATACTGGAGGAGGTTGCTAAATCGGAATGGATTGACGCGCTAGATATTTAGACATGAGCGCGCCGCCATCAGTATGCAACTACGGCGCGGCGCGTGGTCGTGTCGTGCGCTCCTGTTAAGGTCTCCCGCAGGGTCATAAATCTGCGCCCGAAGGGCGCCGCGCAAAGAATTTGGGTTGGCAACTCGAGCAACCCGAGCAACCCGACCCGATATGGGTCAAAAAAAACCTAACTCTAATATAAATATTTAATTAGTACGAGACGCTCCTTGTTCGGCAAGTAGGGGCTTGATCCGATTATTTTCTAAGTTTACGCAACCGAGAAGTACGCCAATGCCCTGACCGGCACGCCTGACGCGACCGTGCTGAAAATGACGAGTACCAGCGACATCGGCGGCGCCTACGGTGACTCCGGACAGAACTACAACAACATTGCGACTCTGGTGAAATACTTGAATCAGAAAAGCAGTCTAGCTCTAGGGCTAGGGGACAAGGTGGATAAAAAAGCAGTCCTCGAAATCGGAGCTGAACGCATTGGGTGTCCAATAGAGAAGAAAGTCGCTAAGAATGCGGTTATCGCTTTGGATGAAGTAGTCAATGCGAGTGACCAGAACAACAGACCAATGTCGTTTCTGGTAGTAGCTTCATGCGGAAGTGTATTCATCCTGCTGATGACCTTCTTCTTGTTTTCTTTTTGGCGATCTTCGACGACTGACAATGTGGCGAAATCGGCGGTCGTGGATACAACTTCTGAGGATGGCGTCGAGTACGTGGAAATCTTGTAGATGGAACACGGTCCACACGCTTTTTAGCGCACTTATTACTTTGTCTTCACCTTGTTCCCCTGCGATATACTCTTCAAAAAAACGGCGTTCCTGGGGATAGTAGTAGAAGCAAAAAAACTCAAAAAAAAAACTAACACAGTTGAGGACGTGGAAAAAACAGTTGAAGTAGATGAAGATGTGGGTTTGAATCGAGGAGATACTTTTTATTGATGTAGTTCTATACACGAAATGATTGCCACTACTTGCCTATGTAAGTATATAATTATCCGTCAGGCTGTGCTACTACTAGATGTGGTAGCTAACGACCTGAGGAGGAACATGATTTTTATGAAAAGGCCGAACTTACCCTCCGAATGAGTAAACTACTACTACTACTAGATGAAGACTACAACTACGCAAGAGACTCGATGTTGACGTGTTTCCAGTTTTGCCTGAGCCGTATTTTTCTTGGAAGACATGACGCTCTTACAAAATCTTCAAGCCATGAATAACTTGGAAGTGGACGCTTTCTTTATTCTCGCCCAGACGCTTTCTTTAGACTCGGCCAGACTTTGCATCATGTTTGCTCCTGTCTCCTTGGAGTCGTATCTCAACCCTCTTCCCGTGGGGGTAAGGCAAGATCCAGCTCTACTTGCAATAAATGCAATACAGAACCTCCATCATGATGTTCGCGATCAGATCATGAGCCACGCTTGTGGAGTTCGATTTGATGAGTAGCCGCCTTTCTGGTGGCTTGATCTCATTTTTCATTCTTCATTCTTTCGGCCAATTTCCTGAACGATAGTGCACATAGTTTGACGCTAAAGTAGATTGGGAGAGGATGAAAATGCGGCGTCGTGCCTGCCACGCGGCAGGATGTCTTACTGTTGCTTGCGTGGCCGAAGGTACTCAGAGCAATGGCATTGGCAAGGTTCTGGAAATGCTTGCTACTATGAAGAAGAAAAGCGTAGAGGAGCAACAGGCGGAGAAAGTAACGTTCGCGAAGTTCTCGCAATGGTGTGATGATACCAAGACCGAACTATCAGCAGCAATAAAGAAGGGAGGGCAAATGATAGACGAATATACGGGAGCAATCGCCATGAACGAAGGAAAAGCATCAGAACTCGCAAGCGAAATAGAAGCACTAGCAAGTACCACGATTATACAACTTCATCTTTCTACAACGTACAACTAGTGGTAGATGAATCAATTCATGTCTCTGCGACGAAGATGATGGTCATCACTTCTTGGTCATCTGCTTTTGATTGGATATTTGAAGCAAATCGCTTGGTCATCTGGTTGGATCATTGTTCGGCATCAGTCAGCTCGATTGATGACAATTTGTAGTCGTGTGCACCCACGAAAAAACTAGTTGCACACTATGGATTGTCTTCAACGAAAACTGACTGATGCCATGCTGCTATTGTAGTACTGATCTCTGCGAGTTACGTCTGAGAAGATTCTAGTAGAACTAGTACTAGTAGGCTACTAATTAGACTTAAAACCGCCCCCCTATGTCGTGCACGACCACGCGTAGAATCTGTGTCACCAGTACCTCTACCACCGTTGAAAAATGCTTTTAATATCCACTTCAGCCGAAGCAGCAGCACTAGAGGAGAAAAAGAAGACTGAAATCGATAGGCGAAATGCCGAGTCCCACGAAGCAGCCCAAGTTAAAGCCGAAATCCAAGAGAACATAGTGGCAGTCGGAAAGGCTATTGATGTACTCAATTATGGCGGTTGTTGTTGCGAATGGTGGATAAATAAACGAGCAGCTTACAGATGGAGGAGGCCTCTACCTCACTTCCACGGCAAATTGACGTTGTCGACATTGAGAGAGATGTGACTTTTGTATTCTCCTCATGTATGATGGCACCTAGCATAGCGCGTTCACAAAATGAATCAAAGCACAAGTAGTTTTCGCGCTCCCCTTGTCTTTAGTCGTAGTCCAATTTACCGTGAGGTTGTTGGCCCGCTCTCTCTAATTTGAGGCGCAGCCAAAGACCGTAAGCCTAGCACAGACACGCAAGACCGCTCTTATGCAGATGGAGTCCTCGTCCAAGATGACCCGACGACAAAAAGACCTCGTCAGCCTTCTCGTCACTGGTACTACTACTGGATTTAGATTTTTTAGATTTTACTTTGACGGAAAATACGATTGAGAATTGGCTATACTGGACTCTGACTAACAACTACCACACAGGTGTCCCAGCGTTCGAGAACCAGTCAGGAGGGGTTATCAAGATGCTAGAAGATCTCATGGATCAATTTGTCGGTGAGAAATTCAAGGCCGAGAAGGAGGATAGCATCAAAGCGCAAGCCAGCGATAAAATTGTACTGACTTATTTCTTTTCAGTACACAGTTAATATGGTTACCAGGTACTAAAAGTATACCTTTCTCGCGAAGATGAGTAGTTCGTGAATATTCTCAAGCAGAACAAAGTACATGATAGAGATTCGTCTTTGTTCATACGCACACACCGTTCCATCAGGTAACCAACCTAAACGGGCAAATCCGACTTGTGACGGAGGACAAGACCCGGTCTGAAGGTTCCAAGGCCAAGCATGATGCTGCTGCAGGTAAGGCTGCCCAGGACAAAGCGGATGCTGAAGAAACACTCGGTAAGAATCAGGCGAACGAGAAGAAGGTCGTTTCAACCTGCGCCAAGAAACATGATGATTATGAAGAAGGAAGTAAAGAACAGAAGAGACTACCATTTTTATCTTTCTCAATCTCACACTGACATGAAATAGTCCTCCTCTAACTCTTCATGGCCGTGCGTGAGAATGTCCGCGCTGGTGAGATCGAGGCCTTGGACAAAGCAACTGAGACTATTGAGGGCATTGCGGGTTTAAAAACTGCTGCAGGCTTGGCACAGACCTCCTTTCTGCAAATGACTTCTCGACGAGGCGGAAACGATAGACAAGTCGCTGTTGTTATGGGCCGCATAGATGAAAATGTTTTAGAAGATTTAGATTTCTAATCGAGGATTGAAGCGGAGCATCCACTGACTACTTTGTGGATAGATGTGTAGATAGATAAGTCTCGTGGTAATCTACAGAGCTAGCACTTCTCTAATCCTCAGAAGGCCGTCGATATGTTGCGTCGTGCAGGAGAAGGACAGCGGTCAAAGCGATTGCAGCTTTTGGCACTGCAGATGGAGGGACGGGAATCAGGACCGTTCGACAAGATCATGAAAATGATTGAGGGCATGATCCAAAAACGTACTTTTTTTAGATTATTTCCTAGAGGTGAGCAGTCTTGTTCTCCTTTACAGTTTTGATTTTTGAGAAGAATTTTTGGGAGTTTTTCGGAATCATACCCGTCATTGTTCATCTTCAACCCACACATCAGTCGAGAAAGAGTCTGCCGAAGAGGAAGGAAAGAATGCTCAATGCGTGCAGATGATGACCGATAACAAGGAAGATATCGCTGACTCGCAAGAGCGCTTGGATGCGTTGAACATCGAAATTGAAAAGCAGACCGCAACCGTGGAGTTATGGAAATGATTTAGTTTAGATTTAGAATTTCGGCTTGCTCAGTGATGGTAAAGAATGATACCCACAACTACTGCTCCCTACGACTAAAATCCCTCATCTCACCTCCCTCGTCCGAAATTCTAATCCCCAGCAGCACCCAAAAGCTCGCTGAGCTGCAACAGGAGGCACATACGTCGAGTGCTACTTTGGCCACGGCTGCTCGGGTGCGCGCGGAAGAGAAGAAGGAAAATGCTGCCACTGTGGCAGATGCCAAGGTGGGCTCCGAGGCCGTTGACAAGGCTATCGGCATCCTCAACGACTTCTACGGTGAGGCAGCCAAAAGCGAATCGCTTGTACAGACTGAACAGGTAATGTTACTGTGTATACTTTGTCTTTGCGCTTGAGTTGTATGATTTAGATTTTTTAGATTTCCTGATCTCACCTCGCAACTAACGCGTTAAAATATTGACTCGATTTGCATTTAGAACAAAACCTCTTCGTCAATCTCGAAGTGTACAGACTCTTGGCAAAAGCTCTGTCCCCTTCCTCTTCAATCAATCTCATTCAATCTTCTTCACACCAGGTCGACGTCTCCGACATGCCAGGAACATTTGACGGACCGTACCAAGGACAGCAGTCTATGGGTGGCGGTGTGGTCTCCATCATGGAGGTGATCCTCTCCGACTTCCTGAAGCTGGAGCAGGAAACCACTGCCGCAGAATCCGCTGCCCAAACGGCATATGATTATGGCTAGAAGATGTGAACTACAGAGTCAAACACAACAAGAACTGTGAATCTAAATTATCACCACATGATACGATGAGAGGGATCTTCTTCCATAGTCTATAACCTAATCAAAGAGCTTAGTAGAAGCTGGAGCACGCTCCTACTTAACAACATGAACAACAGTCAAACCTCGCCCTCTGCGTCTAATCCAGGACCCTCGTCCAGGACGAAAAAGAGGCCAAGGCTGCTCGCGATGCCCAGATGAACCATTTGGAGAAGGAAAAGGCTGACGGGAAAGCCGCCTTGACGCAGGCTACCTCAGACCTAGGCACCGAGAAGGATACCATGAAGGCTGCCACGGAGGCCAAGCGCGTCATCGAGGTCGACAAGGGCTGCGTCTTTGGCGCAGGAAAGACCCCAGATCAGATGTTCAAGGAGAGAAGCGATGCACGCAAGGCAGAGATGGAGTCGCTGGAACAGGCACTGGAGGTGTTGAAGGTGCAAATGTAGTAATAACTCAAGGGAAGTTTATTTTTTTAGAACGTGTGGATGAAGGTTGTGGAGGTTACTTCTAGAGTTTGAATATAGAAGTAAAAATCAAAAAATGAGGTTGACGGGTCTTCATATGTTATTGATGTGACTAAGTTTAGATTTTGTGAAGACAGGCCTATTCCGTTGATGTACGACTGTAGATTGAAGATTCAGAACATCGACATTGCTTTTAGACGAGAAAAAAATGAACAACATCATGAATGGAGCATAGGGATAGGTATCATTTTTCTGTTATTGCATAAAATGAACAGATGACGGCTGGCTTATCGCAGCATGCATTACTCCAAAAACTCCCGTGTTTTCTAACGTTCACAATTCAACAAGGTCCCCTGGAAACTACACATTTCAGACAATAGAACAAGCAAAAGTAATTCCAATTTCATTTCAACAATCACTGTTTTTTCGATATATAGTGTGACTCACTTGCTCCTTTCGTGTATATTGGTTTCCGAATAGTATGCAGATTCAGATTGTATTTGTGACTCAGACTTGAAGGGGTGTGCATGTTGTGAGCGGGCGTTTCAGTCGTTAAAGAAAAGCAAAGCAAAAGCGGGTCCAGGTGCTGGCAAAAGTCGTGGAGAAACCGGTCTCCCCCCGCACTTGTGCTGCCCCATATTTCAGATGACGGAAGCGTGGAAACAGCAGCACTGCCAGATCTTTCTCTCTGTCGATGGAGGCTTCTCGCTTCGGTTCCATTGATGTGTCAATAGACGACTTTTTTGATATATAGATGTGGCACGCGCGGCGCTTCCGGGTCGGGCAGAATTCGTCTGTTGGAGAGAGCATCTACCTCTGTCTGCATGACATCTGACAACCATTGACAAGAAATGTGCTGTACCCTCAATGTTGCTGCTGCGGCTGTCGTGTGTCGTGTGACACCTATTTCCCACATCCCCAAGAAAGTCTTGAGATAGAGGCAAACATGACCTTTGTTTCCATCAAATTTGTCATTATGAAATCTAGAACCTATGATCAGCACTGTCAGTAAGACCTTGGTAAAGGTACAGGCGTTAGGTATTGGAGGTAGGAAGCCGTGATTACGACTAGAAGGAGTTCGTTAGATACAAAGAATGACACCAGCAGGAGGCCGTGATCACGACTCTCCGCAATGCAGTCGCGTGTCCTCATAGTAATCGCAATGTGCCATTCGAGCCTTCAGGTGAAGGCCACGAGCCGCGATCGCAGCGCCGTCTTGGAGGTCGAGGCAGATGGGAGCTTCGACAAAGGCGGGCCTAAGAAAGATAGAACGCGAGTCTCTCACCAGGAAATATCGCAGCTCTCAACAAGGTCATCCTCTCATCTGGAAGCTCCGTCTTCATTCGCTACACCGTCGTCTTCTTCTCGCCCGGATGCGAGTCCGTCAGAATCTCAACGACCGCACGGAGATCCCGAATTCCTAGAGACTGGTTTGCATCTCTCAGATGTCTCCGACGGGAAGCAGAAGTGTTACGGTTACCTGTACGACCCTACCAGTGGTGCCAAGGGAGGTAAGGGAGCCATGTTAGCGAGGGTGAATCCGCTCACATGTACGAAGGGAGTTGACGCGGCAGGGTGCTTCAAACAAAGCAATACTCACTGGGCCTCAACGAAAAACAAAGAAATATGCGTGTGGACATTGCGTACGGGTTTTTAATTTGCGTTGGAACCGTAGCTCTCCACCTAGAATCCGTTCTGGTCGTGTTTTCTAAGTCTATAACATGACTCCAGATCCATCATCGATCATCTGAGAGCCCCATGTGAAAATCGCACCCTCCATTTCATTTCATCCCTCCCGCACGCATACTACAGCCTGCACGTCGATATCCGACGTGAAGACCTTCTGTCCTATCACGGAAAAGCTGGACGCCCTGGCGACATCCGGCTGGACCGCGTGTAGCGACGATAAAGAATGTACCACAGAGAACGATGCCCTATGTTGCGACGCGCCTTCGTTATATCCGTTGAATTCGTTGTGTCGTGTTGGAGAAGGTCCGATCAAAGCTTCCGATACCTATTGTAACGAGAAATTTTTGGCGAAGCACTTGCGATGGCCTCCAGGTCATGTCAACTACGTTGAAGCAGATGATGATGCCGGTTCGTCTGCAAGTAGTGCGGCACAAATTTTAAGGCGGATTTTTAGAGGTTGGTTGCCCTGAAAGAAGATACAGCCATTAGTATGGCTATCACAACGGAACACTAGATTCTACGAAGAAAATGCAAATGTTTGCCGTCTAATTTCGAAAATGCACGCAGGGCGAACATTACGGAGAAGTGAAAAGACAAACCGAACATCTTCATCAAGTGGAAGAAGTAAAAGTTCTTCAACATCTTCTCCAGGTTCAGCCTCGTCATCACTAGCAGCACAAAGCACAGCCGCTTTACCACCCAAATTCTCAACCGATGCCAAGTATCACGAAAGTACTGCGGACGTACTCAAAGAGGTACCGCACGAGAATCAACCTGCCGTTGGGGAAGCAGTTGGTATGGCGTTGGTGCTTTTAGTATGAGAAGTTTTACATTTACTACAGCTACTTGACAACTACAACTACTCCAGACTGTACACAGTGCCAGTTGTGCCAGTTTGCTAGTAAATTGGCTGTTATATTATTCGCGCAGACGCAATATCTTCTTGTTCTTCCGTTACTACTAGATCTTGCGCTACGCCTTTCCATATACTTAATTTTAATCTCGCTTGTTCTTCTAAGACACCAAACTCAGACGGCAATTGTCAGTTTCAAGTCGGCGACGCGAAGGAGACGATGTACATCTGTTACTTTCCGGTCGATACGGACCCTGAAATTACGATAGGACTTTCTTAGATTGTTATACGAAGATCTGAGTCCTCTCGTCAAATCCGACACAGGGAAGATGACTCTACTTCCTCTAATACAAAGCGTGTGAGTCCTGCTTGGTGGCCAAAGGAGAACCAGGATGAACTGTTGGCCCGTCTAAAGGTAGACCCGATGGACCCGACGATTAGAGACCTGGTTTTCATAACCTTGGCAGTGGGGATTGTTATGAAGATTTGAATGAATGAAGAGTTCTAGTTCTAGGTACTTATCTTAAGATGCCTTCTAGGTTGTACTCATAAACTTATCATATATACAAGAGGAGGTAAAATAAACTATAGAAGAACAAGGTGGGTGACTATAGACCACTAGTAGTAACCTCTCGTATAGATCATGGTTCTTGGTATTGTAGTTATAAAGACTTGTCGTGTAAGTTCTCCTTTCTTCTTGGTCACTTTGACGTTGTTTCATAAGCTACAAGAACAGTCTGACCATGATCTTAACACACCTCTAAAAGGAGACTAACAGCAATCATCTGCAGAGGTACAATCTGTGCACCAAAGCCCCAACGCGTGAATAACAGTGCAGTTGGTGGAGGGGCTGCTCTCGCAGATCGTATGCGCTTTCTGGAGGAACTTCAGACTTTATGGTTGGATCCGGACGTGAGGCACAAGCACATTTGGAAAAAAAACACGTGAGAGGATGAGCAAACGATAGTGTCTTCTAATTGAAGTTCAAGTTGTAAACTTTTGTTCCCACCATGCAACTAATTGAAGCTGGAAATATCCCACGTGATGTCCTCTGTACCTGTATAGTCCTCGCTCACCAGTTGTGGGGTCTCCTCTTCTGCTTTCTTCATACCCCCAGCAAGCGAAGAACGCGAATAATCAACAGCAGCAGCAAACAGGAGGTGGTGGTCCGGATCTGATGGGCTTTCTTTTCTACAACTCAAACTCTTCTTCGTCGTCAACTTCATCCTCGTCAAGAGACGATCCCGAATGGACAACTACTCCTGAAGATGGATGACGCTGAGTACGCGAGGGTTGAGAAACAGAAGCCGTTTGATAGTGTTACATGATTAGAGAAAGAAGTCACGTTGTCCGAAGACGACTTGGAAAATATTAATATTTTTCACTCGTTCGAAGACCTACACGAATTATTATAGTGGATATAGTTGTCGTGACCTGTGTAATAATTGAGGTACAAGAAGAAGAAGAAGCTGAAATAATAAAGTTAAAGGATACAACTACAAAAAAATGACGTTGAGATTCTGACATTTTTCTCTATGACACAAGCAAGCTCAATCAAACCCGCATGATGAATATAGAATCGCAACAACGATCCCGTAAAACGCGTTCTCCTCAGAACCACAGACCCATCAAACTCGCCACCCTTGTTCCAGCAAAGCGAGCACCAGGAGGTATTTTTCAGATCATTATTTTCTTAGCACCAATTGAATTTCGGACTCTTTACAGGTTTGCGTTTGGCGGCCGCAGCATGTCGCGTCTTCTGGGCCACTAGAGTTTTTTGATGTTTTGACAAGTAGAACGATGTTGGGTTAGACTGCATAATAAAAAGAAATACATTTATGCAGCAGCTAGAGCAGCTACTCTCTATTATTTCCGTTCCTCGTTAGTTTTATTCGATCGTGATTGATGGTAAAAAAGTAGCAACCACCAACACCGTTACAACACACGACCAGGCTTTACCTTTAGAAGGTACTTCTCAGTCATCAAAAAAGTCAACATCTTCTTTGCTATTAACAAAAGAATGGGTAATCGACAATCCTGTGGTGGCACAACATCTTCGGACAACCGAAATGGCACCACGGCAAGCAAGGTTCCTCCTCCGCCACGGGCAACAGAGGCGGATCGCGCTATCCTGCAGATGAAAGTGCAGAGAGATACGCTCATCCAGCAAAAGAAGAAAGTAGCCCACATGGCCAATGCCGAGCTCGAAAAAGCAAAGGACTTTTTGCGCGAAGACAAAAAGAATCTAGCGGCCTTCTGCATCAAGAAAAAGACGATACACGAGAAGCTGGTCACGTCCTGTGATAATGCACTTTATGATTTCAGGATACTGGAAAAGTAATTTTAGTTATAGGTAAGGTGAGACCTATGATTTCAGGATACTGGAAAAGTAATTTTAGTTATAGATAAGGTGAGACCTATGATTTCAGGATACTGGAAAACGAAAAGTAATTTTAGTTATAGATAATGCTGTTGTTGACCAGGAGACAGAAGTCTCTACTTGTTGAAGATATCTTCGGAGGTTGCTTTGTGATGTTGGGATCTCGTGTTCTTGGCAGTTTTTTTGTTGTTCCTCTAATCTGGAATCAAATTGTACGAGCTGATTGACAATGTTGAGATGACAGCGATACAAGCAGACGTGGTAAAGGCGATGGAAGCCGGATCTGGTGTCCTCAAGAAAATGCAGCAGGAACTCACGCTTGATCGAGTGCAGACGGTGATAGCCGAAAGTGAAGAGTTTAGGGAATGGGTACTATTTCTATTTGTTTTTTGTTATAGCGGATCATGTATCCGACGTTTTAGATGTAGGAGCGTACCAAAATAAAAAGGAGTTCTCACTCTGTGGAACCCTACGCAACAAGCAGAGTACGTGTTAAAAAAGTGGATTCTCCTACTCCTCAAATATTTTTTTGACATAATTTGTTCTTCTTGAGTCGAAGATAGCATCATGATCAAACGAAAATCACCCCCCACAAGAACAAAATTCAACAGAACGAGGAGATAGCAACAAGGATGGGAGAATTCGGCATTACGAATGACGATATCGATGCGGAGCTCGCACAGATAGAAGCCGAGGAAACCATGAAGGATATAGATGCTAACACGCAGGCAGTCCCGACTGGTGGAGCGCCGGCAGAACTGGCTTCTAGAGACGTAAAGCCAACAATTCCTGAGGTAGTGGAGGAGCAATTATCCTCAAGGGAAGAACAGCAACAAGGAGTAGCAAGAACAAGTAGTGAACAGGACAAGCCTTCTAAGGTGGCAGAGATGGTTCCGGCTTGATTCATGGAGCGAATTGCGAAAGCTTCAATGGATCAATAACTTTAAAATAATGACCGAAACTCAAACTCATTTTAATGCCGCTAGCACATTTACATCTAAGGAAGATACGCGCATTGTAGATGCAAGAAGAGGAAAAAGAACGACACTGTGATTTAATTGGAGCCTACTTATGTCTCGCCCTCGTGTGTAGGTGTTCTCGAGCTTGTTCAGTCTAGTGTAATGGCTCATTTTGCGGCAAGCACGGAAAAATCGTATTGTCACATGATTCCCTTGTGGAAAACGATCAGCGTTTCACATCGGCTGACGGTAATAATGTGGATCCTACTTTTTACTCATTCTGTTGGGCAAAATCCAGGTGTGAATGAAGAAGCTGAGGCAAGTGTGCAGTTCTCAACGTGGTGATCATGCTTGTAGTTCTTGATATTTTGAATTTCATATTCTTCATTCTGTAAGTATAGAAACTCTGGTGTCCTCTCCCACTGTAGTCACAGTGGCAGTGTAATGTACAATCTCCATAAAAATCACGGTTTCTCTGACGCAGGTACACCCACCTCCCCCATTCTTCTAGACATTTATCTAGAAGCCCACGCGACCAACTGTTTCTGCTAGGTCCTTCTTTCTAGAACAAGAGTACTCCGACATTTAGAAGTTTTATAAGTTTTGCCCTAGCACCCCTAGTACCTCCTACTTTTCAATTTGTTGGGAATAACGATGGCACCTCTCGTCCCCCAAAGGCGCTTCTTGCTGAAAGCGGCTACAGCCGCATTCTGCGCTTTTGAGAGTGCAGAAGCGCTGTACTCCAAGGGCTCAGCAGTCCAGGTGATGGATGCCGCGACATTCAAGAAGAAGGTGGTCAACAGCGATGCCCCATTCATGGTGGAATTTTTTGTTAAGGCATTCTGAAGAACTGTAGGTTATCTAGTTCTAGAGAAAGGCCTTGTTGAACTTGATTCTTTATTCCGCGCGTGCTGTTTTGTACATGTCTAGTCATCATCTAGTCCCTTCTAGGACAGATGTTTCTGTTTCTTCAGAAATTTTTACCCTTGAAATGATCTCCAGTGAAGTAGAGCGACCATACTCTTGCCAGATGGCAGGCGTTTACTGCTACCGCGCAAAGTAGAACTGAAGGTCACACTCTAATCTTGCCTCCTGGTGCGGGCACTGCAAGCAGCTCGCACCAGAATACGAGAAAGCGGCACAGGCGACAAAGGGTATACCTAGAGATACATTTGCTGAACACGTACTGTTGAGTTTGTAGTGTGAAGTTATCGACAACCATTACTGTGCTGCTATATTCACCAACTAAAAGCAGCTATTTTCAGATACCGCCGACGACATCAATAAAGACGACCGATGAAAATAGCAACCATTTTCACTACACAAGGTATCGTCGGTTTCGTCGCAGTTGAGGATCAGGCAGCAATGCAAGAATATGGCGTACAAGGGTTCCCAACCCTGAAATGGTTCGGAAAGGACAAGAAAAAGCCAGAAGAATACAGATCAGGAAGAGATGCGAAAGGTAATTTTTTATTGCCGTCATTCTTTCGGCTACTTGTTTGGCGGGAACAGTTTCGATGAAGGAGTTCTGGCAAGTATAGTGAAAGAACAAGTATTATAATCTTCTCTTGCTATATTTCTCTTACACCTCCTCCCATCAAGAACTCCTCCCATCAAGAACTTCTCCCATCAAGAACTTCTCCCATCAAGAACTTCTCCCATCAAGAACTTCTCCCATCAAGAACTTCTCCCATCAAGAACTTCTCCCATCAAGAACTTCTCCCATCAAGAACTTCTCCCATCAAGAACTTCTCCCATCAAGAACTTCTCCCATCAAGAACTCCTCCCATCAAGAACTCCTCCCATCAAGAACTCCTCCCATCAAGAACTCCTCCTAACAGTAACAACTCATCAAGAACTCCTCACGGAACATTTATTCGATCCCCAAGAAAAACAGGTCTCGTCGAATTCGCTATGAAAAAAGTGAATGAGCTAGTTTCATCCCGAATTGGTGGAGGAGCTAACTTTGGCGGAGGTTCAAGCGGTGGCTCAGGCGGAAGTGGAGGTGGCGACACTGTTGTCCTCACCGATAGCAACTTCGACGATCTCGTGTTGAAGGACGACAAGAACGTTTGGTTCGTCAAGTTCTACGCGCCATGGTGCGGACATTGCAAGGTACTTACTACTACTTAAGTATGTTCTTTTTCGTCTTCGTGGATCCATCTCTATGTACGACGTAGTTCTTCGACCTCTATTTCAAGAAGTCCTTCTCAAATTTGATTCTACCTACTTCAGCGGACCCTTTTTATTGCAATTCTCATTCATCTCACAGCGGAGAAAGAACATTACACCTCATATTCTCTATCCTTATTTGATTCTACCTACTTCAGCGGACTCTTTTTTAAACCTTCCCTAAAAATTGACAACTGAAAAACAGCAAATGGCCGGCGCCTGGGATGACGCGGCAAAGAAGCTAAAAGGTCGAGTCAAAGTCGCCAAGATGGACGCGACAGCCGAAACCGCGGTCCCACCAAGATTTGGCGTCCAGGGCTTCCCAACGATCAAACTATTCCCAGCTGGAGCAAAATCGGATTCTATTACGCCCAGCACATTTTTTTTTTTAACAGATATATTATAATTTTTGCCAATTTGAAGTATAAGTAATTAGAAACAGATAAAATTGTCAATTTGAAGTGAGTAATTTGTATGGTTCTGGTATTTGGTAACCTGAATTTGATCATAAGGGTTCCCTTCTTGTTTTCCCTCATGATCAAACTCAGGTTACCAAATACTGGAACCATTCATAATTGTACTTGTAGCTCATCATGACTATGACATACTTGTTCTAGCAGATAGTTATAGTCCTAACAAGTAGAACTTCTTAGGTCAAGAATGAGGCAACTTCTAACCCCCACGTGGTAGATTACAATGGTGGTCGGGATACCGGATCAATTGTTACGTTTGCCGAGAAATACTTCGCGATGACGGTTGAGGCGGAACAGCTCTTAAGCCAAGAAATGTTCGACGAAAAATGCAGTGGCAGCAGTCTGTGCCTGATCGCCTTCTTGCCACACATCATGGAGACGAGTGCGGCCGAGAGGAAGAAGTACTTTGTTTGATGTTGATTTCGTGCTAGTTGTGAATGATGTAGTTGTATGTAAGATGAACAAGATGTTGTTGACTGATTTGCTAGTTGTGAATGATGTTGTTGTATGTAAGATGAACAGATGTACTAGGAACTCGTACGTTATTTTTAGCTACATCAGAGTGAGCTGAGCGAAATGAGAGTGAGCGGAATAGAGACGTGGTCGAGAGAAATGTGAACAACGAAGAAATTTTGTACTATTCATCATACACGGAGGAGGACCGTTCAAAAATTTTCACTAACATACTTACAACTTCAACTTCTACAAACAGTCAGTTTTACCATGAAGTCGAACACATCATCATTTGACAAATTATCTCCAACATCACGAGTCTCCGCCAACTGAAAAAATCACAAGGTACCTCGAATTGTACAACAAGGCCGCTCGCACGGCTGGTGGTGTCCCAGCCAGCTTCTTCTGGAGTCAGGGTGGCGACCAATTTGAATTCGAGGAGAAGTTGAACCTTGGCTTCGGTTTCCCAGCTCTGGTCGCATTGAGCCGAAAGAAGAACATCTTCGTCGTCCATCGTGGTTCCTTCACGGAACAGGCAGTCAGAGCCTTTGTCACTGGGTTGTCTGCACCGAAGCATCTGAACGATCTCCCGAAAGCGTTGCCAAAATTGGCGACACAGAAGAAGTGGGACGGGAAGGATGCACCAAAAATTGATGAAGACCTGTAAAGAGTCTCTGGTGAAGAAAGTATTGCTGATAGAGGATTAGGAGTATGTTTAGGATCCTAGTTCTTCTAGAGATATGGTCATTTTTCTGGATCATAGATGAAGACAACATTGAATTTGAATGAATCTCAAAAATTAGCACTTAAGTATCCAAGTTTTCAAAGATAACACATTGATTTGGTGTTACTTCTTGGTGTAGACGTCGGACGAATAGTTGTGCCCCAGAAAAGACCGATAAACCATATCGGATTATGATCTCTTCCTCTCTGGATACGCATACGCAGACGGTTGTATCCCACCGGCATCACGATGGCCCGATCCTGGAGGCCGTGATCTTCATATCCTATGCCCCAGTCTCCGTTGACTACATTATTCAGTTTCAGAGTTGATCACCACGAAGATGGAGTGCCACCATACTGAGTCATGATTAAGCATCGATGAGCTTGAGCATCTGGCTGGGGGGTAACAGGCCCCACAACAGTAGCCGATGTAGAAACCACCTTCACAAGAACTCTCTACTGTACCATGATTCTCGCAACAAGTAGGAGGCAGGAAGGAACACGTACTCAGGCGGACAAGATGCGCAGCATATCCTCCTGGAGAAAGAGGATGGACCGGCAAGGGAAGACATTGTGCTGGCTGGCGAACTCCATTAGAAAGGTGGCTATTTTGCCCGGGTTTGAGACACCCTGGCAGCATGATGCGCTTCTTCTACTCCGAGCAATCTGTAAAAATGATGATCGAGTCGGTTGGTCGTCTTCAAAAACTATTGAAAATGGCAGCACATACTAAGTGCCCGTTGAGAAAATGTGGCCCTCGGCACAACGAGCGATTATGACCAACAAATAGGAGTAGCGCCTTTCTATGAATCGCCACGGTTGTCATGTGAGCAATGATTACTACTAGATGTTGTCAAGGTCTACTAAAGAAACAAAATTATGGCATACAAATGTGCATGTCAAACCCGTTTCCATGTCCACGAGAATGCCCGAAGGAGCCCTCTATGGGAATTCGTCCGCGAAATCGGCGTCCTAGCAGTTTCAGCCACCGCAGCAGAGATCGAATCCATGAGCACATTTCCAGAATCGACATAATAATGCAATAGTGCTAGAACACCTCGTGTCGTTTTGTAGCGATCTCGACGCCTGCCCAGAAAGCCAGGGAGGTGGAGAAGCTGAATGAATCCCGGCAAGAACATCTCTTCACAAGAACAACCGTCGTGTAGAACTACCAAGAGCTCTTCAATGACCGCAAACGGCGTCGGAATGCAGCAAGAGCAGGTTGGTGGTTCATCGCCCTCCAGGGCGCCGAAAAAAGCGATGGACTTGGCAAAGTTCCCTGACGAAAAACTCCGAGAGCTGATCGTGAAAAGCTTAGAGCGCACTAAGAGAGCAGAAAAGCACATACAAGAGATACAGGATGGACATGGAGGAATACTAGGTACTAGTGCTAGTGGTGGTGGAGGCGACGAGGGCCAGCAAGTGCAAGACAACTCGGGATCTGGAGGTAATCCTGATGAGACTAAATCACCGTCATCTTCATCTACTACTAATGCGGAATCGAAAGAAGCAGCACAACAAGAGAAAGTTTTAGTGCCTGTGCGGAGAGAATCACAGGCACAGTTGCAGGCATTGCAGCAAGAATTAGAGCAAGCGCGGAAGGACTTTGTTGCGACATTGGCGAAGAAGCGTGGTGCCGTTGAAGACCGGTGGTCAGCGAGGCTAGCAGAATTGCAGACTCTGCAGTCCGATTCTCTCAGAGTACTCGAAGACCGGCGTGCGAAAGCGAAGCTGCGACAAAAGGTGAAAGCGTTTTTGGCAATAGAACGGAAGGAATTGCTTGCTGATGTTGAAAACTCTGAGGCTGATGATGTTGGGAAGAATGAATCGCAAAGACAAGAACAGTTGGTGGAGGAGAAAGAGCAACAAGAACAAATAGCGGTCTTGAAATACGAGAATGAATCACTGCAAGCGGAGATCGAAGGTTTAGATGTGGAAATCACTGAGGTGGAAAAGGAGATAGAGGAAAATAGGGAAAATGCAGCTGCTGCAGCAGAAGCCGCGCAAAGCGAAGCCGATCTTCATGCAGAGGCCGCAGCTAGTGCAAAGAAAGCCATGGATGAGCAAGAGTCTGCTTTGCGGTCTGAGATAGAAGCGCTAGAAAAGCAGATACGCGAAATAGAAGAGGAAATTGAAGAGCAGGAGCAAGGGGGTGATAGCGTTGGTCTTGAAGATAGCACTCCTGGTGCAGAACAAGGTTCCCCGTCAACGGGAGGTGAGCGTGGCGAAGACGGATCAATCGCAGATGAAGTTGAGAAAGAGCTTAATCGAGCGCGAGAGGAGATAGGGGCACTGAAAACACGTTTCGATGAGATAGGACTCGAAAAGCTTCGGACTGCAGTTGTAGGGTCATCTACAGCGCATGATGAAGAGCCGGAGAAGAATGATGGCGCTGTAGTTTGTTCACCCGATACCTGGGCCAGTAGTCTAGAGACTCTATTTGCGGAACTACCTGCCTCCACATCTGATGGGGAAGATGTTGAGACTTCTACAACAACAGCCCTTTTAGACCAACTTCAAGGCATTTTGGCAGCTAGCGAGCAAGGCCCAGCTGCAAATTTGGGCATGGAGCTAGAAGGCCTCGTCACACGTCTACCAAACGAGCAGTCAGATTAAGGCTTTCGATTGAATTAATTCAACATGTGCCTGCGATAATTTTGATTTTCAGGGAAAAAGATGAAGTTCGTTGTCTCATCAGGTGTTTCACCCGTTCATCTCGTAGAGATGCTCGTTGTCTCCTTCTAGGAGGAGGGTGTCCACCACATCATGGGAACCCGATGAATTCCTGGGACACGGGTAGGAAAAACTCATCGAGAACGTTGAAAACGCCAAAGCCCTACGCGCTGATCTAATCCCAAGTGACCACCTTGCTCGATGCTGTCGACAAAAAACACGCGATCAAGGCGCACCGGAAAATTCTAAACTCCAAGTTTGAGGAGTTTGAGGAGACGGAGAAACTGATCCGAAACCTGGAACAAGAACGGGACCGATTAGACGGGCAGCTTCGGACCATAGCGACTGACTTCGGAGGACAAAGGGAGAGGATTGAAAAAAGCACACAAGTTATGGCACCAGGTCTGGTCGTGATAGTGTTTAGAAGTATGATACTAATATCTTGTTGAGCACCAACATTGCTTGTCAACAAGGTTATGTTTATGGTTACGGACCTACTTAGCATGATGGCCATTACTAATAATTCTGTACTTATCTATCTTTTATTACCTACTATCTTTCCTTTTCTTTTCCTAGTTAGCTTGGCTCCACCCGTGTTATGGTTACGGACGATGTCTTTGTCTACTCTATGAAGCTTTTCCTCTAATCCTAAAGAAATGCAAAAGTTGGAATCGGAGAAACTCCAGGTCTGCGACGAAAAGGACCAGCTACGGGAACAATTGAAAACGTTAGAACAGCAAAAGGAGAAGGCCAAGGACGAGATGAGCTGTCTGAAAGAGGACATGGCGACATCAAATTTAAGGCTTTTATTTACCCTTATCCACCCTGCTTATGAGATATCTTGCTTGCTCGAAGACGCTTGTTGTATTCAAGCGGAAAACGCACGACCCAGGTCGGATGATGCGTCTCAAGATGGAAAACGCATCCAGCGACGCTCGTCAAAGCACTTAAATAAAGGGCCGGCTCGTTTTCCTCTTTCTACTTTTAGGTTATCGTTATCCCGTCTTGCAAAATAAGGATGAGCGCTAACAAACGAAGCGTTAGAGCTGAGTCAAAAAGAGACTGCGGATCTCTCAACGTCCCTAGAAAAGGTCGCAGAGCAGGTGCAGATAACGAAGCAAAATCTCCGAGCGCTGCGAGAAGAAGACCGACTTTTCGACGATGTAATGGATGAAGACCTTCCAGATGTCGGGGATCAGTCAGGTGTATGGTTCAGGATTCAACATGATGATCTTCACCTTGTACGTAGTTTAGACTTCTTCAATTTAGCTTCAATTTTAGCTTCAGTCTGTAACTTAAAGATTAAGTTTTGCTTCACCTAGTTGTTCAAACACATCTTCATTCAACCATGCTTTGGGTTTAGTTTCGGAAAAACAAATAAAACATCATTTTTTAGAAGAACTAGAATCCTTCATCCGAAGAGACCAACGACGAGAACGCACCAGCTTCTCCGGACGCCGATCAGGATAAAAAGGAGACAATTATGCGTGAGCGAGTACGAAGTCTCATGGCGGAATTGAAGCCGCTGATAACAGTCGAGGTCAATATGAGTACCGGAGAGGACAGGACGCTTAAGGGCTACAAGGAGGGGGCTGACGGCGCGGCAAAGAAGGGTATTCGAAAACTCAAAATAACTGAGTTACTGACTGAAATAAGGGAGGTAGCTTAACGTCAAGGCTACCTTTCCTTGTCATCTTCAGTATCTCGGTTATTCTGATCAGTTACTCGCTTATTTCAGTTTTTCGAGTACTTACTATTAGAATGGACAGCACTAGAACTATTTTCTGATGCATCAAAACCAACAGACGTTACTAGCCCTAGTGCAGGAGAAGCGCTGTTGTGGCACTACCTGTTTCACGAGAAGCGAAAGCGCGGCTACTGGATAGATGGGCCAGAGTTACAAGGAAAACTTCAACAGCACTTTATGATGAAAAGCACGGAAAATGGAACTAAGGAACCTGCTAGGTAGAAAGTTCCACTCTACTTCTGTGATGAACAAAATGGTGGACAAACTCGTCAAAGATCAGTTAGTAACGACGATACGAAGAAGGTGAACAAGTTGTCGCTGACAGCTCTAACCCCTCACTTTCCATAGACGACTTCTCCTGGCCGCTAGAGGCGATGAAACCAGTGCAAGGGAACTGGATTGACCAGCTCGAGTCGATGCAGAAAAAGGTAGTTGCGTCCACTTCAGGTGTAGACGGTGTGAATGAAAAAATCAATAACGTGCAAGCGGAGTTCCTTCAGTTCCGCCAAAACACCGCCACGAGCCTGCAAATCAATTCGAGTCTGCGTATAATTTTCATGACTTTAACATCTTCATTTTGATCTTCCAACTTCAACTTGTTTCACCATGCAGTCATGCTCCCCCTCTACGACACCTCCATAAAAAGAAACAGGAGAGTTGTGACTACACAGGCATCAATCATTAGCAGAGAGCTTCCGGTGCAGGAATCCAAACATCATCTTCAGGGGCAGGAATCGAAGAAGCTTCTAAGACTGCTTCCAAAATGCGCATGGACATGGAACTAATGCATTCCGAGAGGGACACAGAGTTGAAACGAAAAGAAGAAAACATGGAAGAATATGCTACGTTACTAGCAGAAAAAGAGGACAGAGCCCAAGAAGAACGAACCCAGGACTTGCAATTAGAGAAACTTGCCTTCGATATTGAGAACGAACAGTTTCAACTTCAGAAACGTACAAATAATTTTTTGTGAACGATTTTTTTTGCGTGTAAAAAATGCACACTTCTAACAACTACAGTCAGTCTAGAAGATGTGCTCCACTAGAACCCAAAATTACAATTTGAATAAACCTATCTTCAACGTCCGAACATACCTACCTCCATTTTCTCAGGTTCTCGAATCGGTGTCACCGAGAAAGCTAACGATGCCTTAGAAGAAGAGACCAAAAAGCAAGAGCTTTTACGGTTGCGGGAGGTAAGTATTCCTCCTCTAGAGGAAGAAGTACAGGCTTTACGCACAGCGGTTCACGAAAAGGAAAAGGAAAAGGAGGAAGAGGTTTCGGTAGAGGAAACTTCTGTCGCTTTGGGAGAAGGTTATGGTCGTAAAGAACTAACCTACTAAATTTGATAACCTAGTAAAATTGAATTTTTTTAGTTGTGAATAACCTAAAGGAGGAAGTTTCGCTCCCTAGTGTATCAGATACCTGGAATCGCAGTTGCTAACTCTTATCGTCTTCACTGGGAGATAAATGAGTCCTTAATTAATGTCGCATGTTCTTTGATTTACCACCACCTTTAGAGACGTGGTGATGACGGTTTGTCCAATTTCTTTGCTTCGTTCCACCCGTCGCACCTTCTAACTGCTCCCGAATAAAGCAGCCGACGGACAAATACCAAGCAAGACTCACCACATCTTCGGTAAGCCCTTGTCCGCTAGTGACATTAAGAAACTAGGAGCCCAAAATCCTACAACCACCGGGAGCGAAACTTCCTCCTTTGGAGGCGCCGGCTTCTCCAATACGAATAACTCCATCAGCGATATCCGAGATACCGCTTTATTTGCAGAACACAACCTCCTGGCAGAGCGTAAGCGAAAACTCTTTCGACTACCAGTCCAGGCCTATACATTGCAGGCTGATGCAGCAGCGGCAGATCTATTGCAATTGCGTAGCCAGATTGATTCAGTGGAGAAAAAGCTCGACGAGCAGCGTGACCGGATTCAAAGGCAATACGAGGAAATCCTGGAAAACAAACGCAAATTTCGGGAGGTTCAAGGTCTGTATTTGACGCCGACGAAGGAGTTGGAGTTATGGGAGAGGAAATAGTATACATAGTGGGTGATGTTGTACAAGTACAACAAGAGGAAGAGATTGTGTTGTAAGAGGTTAGAGATAGAAAGAACAATCAAAATGACGATCAAAAAATGAGGAAGTTCATGACCATCACCACGATCATCTGTAAACGCTCTCTAAGTCACTACGTCCAAAACGTATTTCGGAAATACGTCGCGACGCTACCAGCATCGCATACGAAAGCACGGAGCCTGCTTCCGGTCATGCACAAATTCTTCAATGTGGACGTAAAGCAAGATGGGACATCCTCATCGGCTGTTATGGAGGTTGATGCTATGTTTTTTATCTAATCGTAATCCCGACAATCATGATTCCTTGATTGCACTATCTGACTACTTGTACTTTTTACTTGAAGAATTGAAATGCAACGGGCGGGTCTCCAAGATCATGAAACATGTCACTTGGTTTTGATGTTATAGATGAAGTGAAATATTACGATTACAAGCCGAAATAGATGATCGTAATGCGTAAAAAGCTAGCTTCTTTTTGTTCATAATCAGTCCTACTGGTTCCGTGGCTCCTTCCGTCGCGGGCACACCGAAAGGGGGGACGCCGACTGCCGCCTTTGCACCTGAAAGTCGTACTTTAGGGACACCAGCTGCTGCTGGCGCAACACCAGTAGCTAGCACGACTGACTCCTAGTAGCTGTAGCAGTGCGATCACCTACTATTATAAGATAAATGCAAATCTTTCGGAGATGAGCGCCTGTAGTTATTTCCCACGATGAAAGAGCTGAAACAAGGAAAGACGGCGAGATTATGATTGTCATGTCGCCATATGATAGAAGAGAACAAGTTTTTTGAGATCGCTCACTTTTTGTGCTTTCAAGATCTGGCCTTCAAATTTCCATTCTCATTCAAGCAAAGAACGACCTGTACTAGATTTTTGGATTTTCAATTTCAAGGTAGGAAAAAGAAAAGCGATATTCGACTGATAATCGTTCAAAAATTCACTTGTTTTTAGCTTCGAATGAGTCCTTGTTATATTTATAATTGTTGTCCGATTTCCCTTTCTCGTCTTTTCCATCGTCGAGAAGATGATCGATGAACAACTATCGATAAACGTGATCTGATTTTGGTTTTCCTCCTGTTGTACACCTAAAAATTATTGATGTCAAAATATAACTTCAAGCTATTGGTATAGAGCAAAACGAAGAACTTTGTTCGAACTGCTTTACTCTGTTGTCACTCTATAAAAATCACTGTAACTTACTCAACTTTGTACTTTTCCCATGATAGAGAGGAAAGACGAACTACAAGACGACCACCAATAAATGAAGGAGCAAAGGTTGTGACTTTTGAAGCTTGATTGCCTGCTGAGCAGGACTGATGCTGCAATATTAATATGAGAAGCGGCGCGCTTTCGTAGTACTTCAACAGTTGTGCTGCTGTACAACAAGTGGTGATTGTGGGTGCGACCACGTCGTGCGAGGAACTACGAAAGAAACAGTTCATCATGAGCTGCATGTGCATGAAGAAGATTTTGTTGTACTTAGTTGTTCTGTATCTTCTGATGAGCGTCGTGACGTGGAACGGTTGTTGCCTGAGCATGACGTAGCAGCAGCTGTTTGTTGATGTCCTCTGAAGATCTCACACCTCTGAAGATCCCGGTGTTTTGTAACAAGAGCTGCCTCGTCATATTGTTCGACAGAGATGTGTAGCAAGAGCACAAAAAAATGGCGTAGCTCCTGCATTGTTTCTCGTTGCTTTTTATTCAATTGAGCTCGAGGTCGTGATGCAGGATGTACTAGTACTAGTTTGTTACTACTAGTACTTGGATGAAGATGACGAAGTGGCCAGGGTATGATCTGGTGTTGACAACAAACTGTGCAGGGGGTCGACGGCGCAAAAGATTCTTCTAATTAAGTCCTTCTACTTCACACACTAAGAGGCAATTAATTAACGCAAAAATACTCAAGTAGAAATCATGTCTGGAACCTTGAAAAATGAGGAAGCAGACACGCCAGTGCATTATTTAACGCGCGGCGCTTCAGCGGGTATTCGTGCGGACGATCACCTGTTACGACCGAGGCATAGAGCGAGCGGGATGATGAGGATGGCAGGGGACGGGACAAAAGATAATGTTCCTGTTGGTGCCACTACTTCTCGAAGAAGTACAAGAACAGCTCGAGGTGGTCGAACGTCAGCCCCAAGTAGGGACGTTGCAGGAAGAACGAGCAGCAGAGTTGAAGAGCAGAAGATGTCGCCTCCTGACGGTGCTGCGTCATCTTCAAGACGAAGTTTTGTTCCAGCTTCTCGGTCTTCTCGTCAGAGTCAAAATGAATTCAGTGCACCTACTAGATCATCGAGAAGTCGAAGGATAATCCTTCATCATACTTGTGGTCGACCGCCGTCTCTAGTTCGACGTCCTGAAGATGTGTCACCTTCTCCAGTAGGAAAAGCAAAGGGAGACACACCTGTAGGGATTGGAGGCTCAGCAGAAGAAGCAGGAAGGGGGGGATCGTCAAGGCTGCATCCGAAACTAATGAAGTCTTCTACTTTTGGTTCTGGGAAGAATGTTGTAAAAGTGTACCGTGCTACGCCTACTCGCAAAAACAAGTTGTCACCGTCACAGGCACAGCCATCAAGGTTAAAGACGAGGAATAGCGTTAGCAGACGTAGTGTCGCACGACATCAAGAAGAAGAAGAAGGTGAAGATTGGGATGGCGGTCAAGTTCGGCACAAAGTGTCATCGACTGCTGGTCATGACAGGGGGAACAACAATCTTCAGCCAAACGAACACAGCCGTTCTTCCAACTCCAGCACTTCTTCTTCAATCTCGAAGATGAACAACCGCACTAGCCAAATGAATGGCAATAAAAATCATGGTGCTAGTAGTTCCAGTACTAAGGTGAAGTTGTCATCACGGGATTTTTTCGAGCAAGTGGTGACCAAAACCGTTGATGCTATCAGCGAAGCGATTGCGCGGACTAGTACAGTAGCGACTTCAAGAACCCAGCCTCCAGGTGGTGGTGGATCTCCAGACAGCCCATACATACCACCTGCACGTCCATCCGCGTCATCGTCCTTAGGTGGTCAGCTGCATGGGCCAGCTGGTGCTGGTGCGCGTGTGTCTGCGTCATCCTCCTCAGGAGGTGGTCATGATGTTCCTACAAGAAGAGCAGAGGGACATCTGCAGCACCAGCAGAGAATATCACAGCATGATGATCTTCATCATGCGGATGACCCTGATGTTAGCGGAGACCCTGATGTTAGTTTCCTGTATGACAAAAGCGGTCGACCGGTGATGCCTAGTCCGTTCTCCTCTGGTCATCAAGAACATCATCTGAAGAAGCACAGTACTACCTCTACAGCTGCCCATACTAGAACCTCTGCTATTGGTCATTATAATATTGAGGAACAACCACATCTACCACGCACGAGTACTAACGCGTACGCGACCTCTTCTTCTCTGGGACGAGGTCGTTACAGTGGTCTGAACGGAGTAGATGATGTAGGAACACTGCCATGGACAACTAGGCCAAGTAGAACCTCTACAACTAAAAATTTGGGGTCTTTCCCTCAAGAACAACGCCCGATTAATGCTGTGGAGGAGTTTATGCATATGCCTCCTACTAGTAGCAGAACTAGTTTACAGCAGACGATCCGACCGGGGACGCCAACTGAAGCCACGGGAGGCAGAATAAGCACTGAGTTACGCGCTAGCACGGTTGGAGTGGGTGATCCATGGTCGACGTGGGCCTCAGCAGCACAGAGGACAGGAGGCTTCAATACTGAAGAGACAAGTCTGCTTACCTCTATCATAGGCCCGCATCGCAGTATAGGACTCTATGGTACTGTAATGCAGGAGTGTACTAACTACCTCGATCTGCAGCTAATATTTTCGTTTCTCTACAATATTACTAGGAATGCAGAATTTGAAATGTCGTTTCAACGTATATCGTATCATTATGTCATTCTTGCCATTGGGCTTCCGAAGTTTTACAACCTCGATTTTTAACAAATATTCGATTTTGCTGGCTTGCCTTCTCTTTCTTCCCAAAACCTCTTAGGATGAGAGAACAGAAAAGAAGAATTGAGCTTCAACTCAAGAAGTAGATTAATGACTTACTAAGGAAAGCGCCTACAATCTAAACAATTCATCACTCTTCATATTATCTCCAAATTTGTTTGTGTCTACTGCGCCAGGTGACGACGTGGATTGGTGCAAACCCTACTACATTGTCGAAGAGGAGGAGACTTTGGTGGAGCAGGAGCAAGACAATTCTCTTTCAAACGATTCTTCACCATCTGTTCCTCGCGCCCCTACACCCACTACATCTAGGACACGACGCGTTTCGTCTGATACTCTTTTGGCGAGTAATACACAGCTGAATTCTCGAACTGCATCCTCACGATGTGCTAAGAGCGGAGATTGTGCTGAGTCTTGCTCATCGTCGAGTGGTGGTGAGACTGACGCGTTTTATCCAGCGACGTCTAGTAGCGGCAGAAGGGGCAAGGTGAACAGCGGTAAAAATAGTGGTATCAGCACACGATCGACGACGTCGTCGCCGACTTCGCGGCACCATCCAAGAAGTGGGAATATGCATCAATCGAACGCAAAAGCTTCTTCGAAACAAAGCTACAACATTTTTAAGACTAGAGCTTCTACTACTTGAATTTGTACGCGTAGTACGCATGCTACGCGTGTACGCGTAGTACGCATTTTAGGCAGTCGTGAACTTTCTTCTTTCTGTGATATACCGATCTGCTGCTGTCTGTATGACCTAGCAAAGTTGACCTTTCATCTTTTCTCAATCCTCGTCCTCCTCTCACTTCCTCTAACAAGAACAAAGCGGCAACTCCGATGAACAGTGGAGCTTCTGTCCGTACTGTTTCTTTCGCGGAAGGTCACCATTCCATTCTTCCGGAATCGCCATCTTCATCTGTAGGAGACGAGACAAAGCAAGGAGCGTTTAGAACGTATGGCAACTGGTGATGATTATATATTAGAGAAGTAGTTTATAGAACGGATGTAGGATGGACTTGGATGGATCGGATGGACCCCCCTGATTCTTCCGATCCTACTTGAAATGGTGGGAAGTCCATCCGATCCATCCCATCCCGGATCTGGCACACCTATAAAATAAATTACTCTATTATAAATATTTATCTACTTATTTGGTTAAATGTTTTGTAATTGATGATTTTTACACTTGATGTTTCAGGTTCTCGTACTAAGAGAACTACAATAAAAGTTCCTGATCTAGTACTTTGTACTAACAAAACGAAGATTAGCGCACAAGAACTCATCTTCGTACTTCTAGCAAGTGAGGGACTCAAATTACTGACTTGTAGAGTTCTAATTCAGCTTAACCATGCCTTCAGCGATGCCAGGAGCTACAAGAACGGGACAACATCAAAATCTGACGGCGTCATCGTCTTTACTACCATCTCCTAACGGCACAAGTACAACTACCTCTATTAATAAGCGAACTTCCCAGCTGGAAGATTTTCAATCACCATCGAGTTCAGCAGGAGGAGGAGACCTCCATGAAAAACAGGAGCCTTCGATGCTTGATGGAATGGTAGACCTCCTATTTGGCAATGGGGATGATAAGCATGAGGATTCTGGTGACAGACGAAGTCTGAAAGGAAATAATTACATGTTGTCGAGGACATCGTCTAAAAGTACTTCTAGTAGGATGAAAAACCGGAAAGGGCGCAGTAGAGGGTCTCCTGTAGATGAGAATTCTAGTACTACTAGCAGAGCAGGCACGAAGACCACGTCGAAGAGAAAGGAAAGTAGGCACCATAATCGTGAATCTTCAAGAAGACACAGAGACAGAGGAGGGAATAGTGATGCAGGTTCTGGAGGGAGAAGCCATCGCGGCCGTGGGCGTGATACGAGAAGAACGGATGCTTCAAGGAGTGTGTCTTCTTAAGGCAGGTGAAGTTGTTCAACATGAACATGATTTTGATCTAGTTGCACTAGTTGTATCATGATGTTTTAGAAGATGAACAAGGAAGATGACAGGGATCATGATGTTGTCGTAAGCTCTAATGATTATCTTCGCGCTCACGCAGTAAGAGAACAAGTCGCTCCCCGACGACATCGAAGAACAGAAACAAGGACCACAGTAGAAAGGACAGAAGCGTCAAGAACACGTCATCAAGAAAGAGAATACGAAGCCACAAGGGTCGAAGCGCAAGAGAAAGGAGCACTTCGACAAGTAGGACCAGCAGTTCTAGCGACTTCGAGTGCAGTGACAGCGATGAAGACGACGCAACGCCTAATGCAGACAGTACAAGAAAGGCAAAGACCAATGGAGTTTCCAAAATCACATCATCTACACCTTCATCAAGGCGTCGGGATGATCGTGACCACGGTAAGGAAAAAAAACAGAAGCATCACCAAGAGCAGAAAGACCCTAAAAAGATGACGACTTCACCTACTTCTAAAAACTCTTCATCCTCATCCGGTGCTAGAAGAAGCACTGGAAGAACAAGAACCACAGATAAACAAGCAACTACTTCTTCTACCTCCAACAAGAAGAAAGGTGTCAATAACTTCTTGTCAAAGGACGAAGATGAGAATAGCAATGGAGATGATGACATTCCGAGAAGGAAAGTTGAGGAATGAGATGAGGAGTCCTCATGTAGCTCTTCACCTAATCCTAGAAGGTCTTCGCCAGGAAGTAGGAGGTGAGTCCCGACTCGAAAATGTTCTTTGCTAATTAAGAGTTCTGTACTTGAGTTTTAATTCCAGCTCTTCTTTTATTTCGATGTTGATGTAATTCGTCGTATGTTCTTGCTCTGGCACAACAAATAATATTACGCGTACGCGTTTTTTTTACTTCCGTTTCTTCCATCCAGAAGAGTTTCCCCGCGGAATCTTTCCCCACCTCCGTTTCTTGTTTACGATCACATGAGTAACTGAAAGTGATTCTCTCGCGACGTCTCGTCGAGGTCCTCGACCAGCACATCGCGCAGGATGACCTAAAGTTTAATTAAGTGGTCTAAAAACATCTCGAGGCGCAGATGTTGGGACTTTTCTGTTCCCACGAACAGTTACTTCTTCCGCAATATCAAGACAATTCGTTCCCTTTGGAAGTTGCGAACTTCTTCAGCAAGTGTAGAGGAGTAGAAGAGAGAGTAGTTGCAGAAGTTGTTCTCTATTTGAGACGAGGGACAACATCGATAGCAAGAGGTGACGCCAGGTTCTGTCACTCGTTTAAAACTCTCCTTCTAGACCACGAGTCGTTTTGTGAAAGTTCTCCTAATTGCTATCAATTTTCCATTTCCGACATTGAGCAAGTCGCTGTCTCCGTTCTTCCAGGTATCATGTCTGTCGCTGTACTTAACTCTTCACCTCCCTCCAGCGTTCATCTCTATTTTTCTTGTCTTTGCTGAGCCAGATCACAATAAGCGAACCCTCCTGGTGCACCCTCAGAAACGGATTATCGTGGACAACGACCCCATTATACTGGATATGTCTCAGCTTCAGATGCAAAATAGTGTGTGAGTTTCATTATAAGAAACTACTACTCCTCACAACTAGTTAGATCTTTTGAGTCCTTCTCTAATATTAGATCTTTTGATGTGTCGCTGTTGCTGGTGTTGTGTTGGTGCTGAGGTGTATTTGATTTCAAGTCCTTCTTTCTAGTTGCAAAAGCGCGTGCCACAATGTTGTTCCATCATTCATCGCGATGAGTATCGCAAGAAGAAGTTGTCATATTTAACTCGTCAATCAACCTTGCCGTTACCACAAGGATGTTCGCTGGTAATAGTATGCGTCGTTTTCTGTGCCCTAGTATGGGCGGGGCAGCGCTTCTAGCACATCAAGACAACGACATACAAACGAGCAGAAAAGAGCGGAACCAACAAAACGAGCAAGAATCTTACTCTTCGTCTGCTCTCAACCGAACGTCGCTCAGAAGTAGAAGAATACCCGCCGCTTCTCGTGATAGAGTTTTCTTTATGTCAGATTTAAGTAGTTGGTTCTATCTTTGTCCCCCACAACCTTCTCCGATGGGGTAGTTGTTACTCGTACTCGACGAACAGGATTTTTTTTTTGAAACTCTTAGTAGTCATCCCTTCGTCTTGTTCTCTACTCCTAGTTCCAGTTTCGTCTTCTCTAATGTCAGTGAACAAGTTCGGCGAGGAGAGGTCGCGAATTGGTCGGGCACTCGACGCAGCATACGAGCTGCGGAGACGGTCGTTGTTAACGACGTGAAAGACCTAACAAGGTTCGTCTGTGGGTCCAACAAGAAACTTGCGTTTGGGCAAGAAGGTTCATCACCTTCTGGTCTTCAACAAGGTTTAGGTTCACCAACATCTTCCACCTCATCAACCTCTAAAAGTCAAAAAAAAGACTACCCCGGGAACTTCTACTTGAAACCTCTAGGAGCATGTTTGAGTCCAAACGGGTGCGGGATCCCGAACGAGGTCCAAGAAACCGCAGAAGGAGCTGAGGAGAACTTTTAAGACTAAAAGATGTACTTCTTGAGTCTCTTGGCTATTGTCCTGCTGAGTTCTTGGCTATCTTGCTTTATTTCGTGTTCTTTGTTCAAATTTTTTTAGGTCTTATGCGAACGCGGCCTCTAGGCAGACGGGTGAAGTCTGTTCGGACGACTTTGCGTCTCCTGCCAGTGTGCTGCTTGTTTCATGGTCTGATTGATAGTGCCTCTAAGTAGATATTGTGGAGCAAGAACAACAAGGTTCTTTATCTTCTCGAGGAAGTCCAATAGTACCACAAATGCTCTCGTGTGAGAAGCTTAGTTCCATTTCGATCGCACCCGACAGAAAAAGCGTAACTTGTGGTGCTGGATGCACGGTCCAGCAACTCCTTGACACTCTCTCCGAAGAAGGCCTTACTTTGTCCAACTTTTCGTCCGTGACAGACCAAACCTTAGCTGGGTGGACACAACTGGGCGCACACGGAACGGGAATATTCGATAGCACAGTCGATGAGATGGTATTAGCTATGGATGTCGTTACTCCAGAGCACGGGCTGATACATGTCTCACGTCGAGCAGGCGGTGGATCTGGTGGATCTGGAAGCGGTAGTGGAAATAGGAGGAGTCAAGTTATGATGGTCTCGACTGTCGAGGAAGAAGACGATACTAGCGTACGTAGATGATGACGACTTTCACTTTGTGATAGTACAGCAATTACCAAAATCTTTATCCTCTTTCTTCATCACGCTTGTAAAGTTTCTCTACTTGAAGAAAACAGTGATTAAACAAGAGGAATCATCCTTATCCTATCCTATCCTATCCTATCCTATCCTATCCTATCCTATCCTATCCTATCCCATGTACTTGCTATCTATAAGTCCTATCAAGTTGCACTTCTAATCTTCATCAACAACAGTCATTGTTCGACAAAGATTTTGACTATTTCAAATGTGGACTGGGTCTCTTCGGAGTTGTGGCGTCGCTGACGATGAAAGTCGTGCCTAGATTCACACTGCAAGAAAGTACCTACGTACTGAGTAGAGAGGAACTGGTGTGTGGACACCAGGAGCGACTACGACGACATCAACACGTCAGGTACCACTGGGTGCCTCACACAGATGCTGTTGTGGTCACAGTTTGTGATCCGGTGGATGCAGTAGTGGGAAGAGGAAGCGCTCATGTAGAAGGTGGACGAGGAGGTAGTTCTAGTGGTAGTAGCCGTGGACAAGTAGAGCATGATCAAAAACACGACTCAGTGGAGGATGGGGAGGAGCCTGAAGAGCCGACATTTACAGCAGAGCGAGAGGAAGCTCTAGCACGGGATCCACTCAACTGGGAAAATGTGAAGCAAACCAATGTTAAGGGAAGAGCTTGACTTGTCATCATCATCACGTAGGAGAGTAGTAAGTAGCTAGGTGGTGCTTTGGTTTAGAAATTCAGGGTAGTTCGAGTATGAGCAGTTTATTTGAGATCGTCAAAATGGTCAAGTCTCGAAAAAATGGTTTTTTATGACCTAATAAGTCATTTTGAATCGTTATGATCTAATTGCAGTAGTCTCAGGCTCAACTTATTTGTGCATCATAATTCTAGAAGGATACAGTCTACGACCACTACAACTACTAGTACACCTATTCCATTGATGGGTGATGTTGATATGCAGTTTGACAGTTCTGAAACAGGTGACGCATGATGAGAATGTTGAAGAGGATGTCGGAGATTTCAAGTTTGATGAAATCCTCGAAAAAGTGGCTTTTTATCGCCCACGAATTGAATTCAAACCTCTGTAGCTCACTTTTAGCAACTTCCATCACTCTTAAGCTCAACTTTCTGTATCTGAGTAGAGTGTCACAGTCTAAGACTAGTTGTACACCTATTGGCTGATAGTATACACTTTGAGTGAGCTAAAGCAGGTTAGACCTGGCGAGAATGATGATAGTGAAGCTGGCGAATGCTTCGATCTTGAAACTTCGTGAAATTTGAAACCCTCAATCCTCGAAAAAGTTGTTTTTTATCGCCCAGCAATTCAATTTGAATCCTGGCGGTCCACTTTCAGTTACCTTATACAGCTTTCGCCTTTGGTCGCGCATGTGCTTGATGCTGCCTCTTCTTTCGGCATTGTAGTGCTCTGGCTCAATGTAGACGAACGCCTTTCCACTGGTGGCATACTGCTCCAAGCGCTTCACGCGCGCAGCGTGAGTCTTCATGGCTGGGGCCATTTTACCTCAGTGGGGTGGGGTCCTGATCTCCACCGAAGCGCCCGATATGTCGCGCCTTAGCAAGTTGCCGCTAGCTTTCCCACGGTGCAAGCCTCTTCATAGGGAGACTCTGCATGGGATCCGACTCACGCCACGGGTCAAATAACAAAATCTGCCGGAAAAAGGCAAAGCGTGAGGTGTCGCCCCTTCCGGGGTTTCGGGCGCATGAACTTCTCCGCCAAACGAAGAAGGGCGCGTCTTTTTGTAGGGCTGCGGTCGGCTGGGCGAGCGCAGGTCTTTACTTTTGAAGCCGTGGCGTTCCGCGAAAGCTTGTTTTCTTTTTCTAGGTGCCGTCGGACTCAGTCCGAGGGTCTTTCGGGGGGCCGTGGCGACGGCTTTGCCCTGTCTCCGGTCGTACCGTGAGACTTTTTCTTTCTTGTATAGCTGGGGTCGTAGCCAAAGCTAATCTGAACTACTGTCGAGGAGCCACACCCGAAGGAACAGCTACAGACTTTGGCTCATGGCTGTTGCCGACTAAGTCGGGAGCCGGGTGCCTTTTCTGTTTTGTTTTAGTTGCCCCGCCACTGGGCTAAAGTTGGTTTATTTTTGTGAAGCAGATCAGGTGCTGAGTCTGCTTTTGGGTCGACGGGATCGCTCTCGACGTATCGAAGAACAACGCCGCCCCCTGGAGAAACGCGCGGGCCCGAAATCCGACTGAATCGGGACTACCACTGCGCACAGGAACGAAAGCGCCAAACTTTTCTAACCTAAAAAAACCAAAAAAATACTAGACCAAAAAAGTCAAAAATTTGGTGGGTTCTAAGTCAAAAAAATTACTCTCTTGCGCGTATAAAAGGCCAAGGGCTCACTGCTTGCGAACACTAGGACTGCTCGCCTTCACTCTTAAGGTGATGCCTTTTTTATATATAGTTCCTGGCTTGTTTCAGTTGTGCAAATCGTGAAGGTTTTGCATGATTCTCATGCGGTTGCAAAGTTGTCAAATGTGTGGACCTTCTTGCCCATAAGTAACACGATAAGGATCCACATCATTGGCGTGGCATTTCAGTGCTGCGACCTTTGTCACCATAGGACTCTTGCAATGACTTCCATCATGTTCATGCCCTTGATGATCTTCATACTCATGGCAGTACTCGGATCATCGTGCTCATCTTCTTCTTCGCCTTCTTATTTTATACATTTGCAGAACAGGGGAACTGGATCATTTTGCATCAGCGCCTTCTTTTTCACAAGTAAATGAGCCTAGTATAGTTGTATGAAGTACTGTTACGTGTAGAAAAGTAGAATAGCGATTATAGCCATACAGTCATAGACATAGAGACGGTTTTGATTAGCAAATGAAAGATAAAGATTTCAAGTTTGATGAAATCCTCGAAAAAGTGGGTTTTTATCGCCCACGAATTGAATTCAAACCTCTGCACCTCACTTTTAGCAACTTCAATCACGTTTAGGCTCAACTTTCTGTATCTGAGTAGAGTATCACAGTCTAGGACTAGTTGTGCACCTATTGGGTGATAGTATACACTTTGGGTGAGCTGGAGCAGGTTAGACCTGGTGAGAATGATGATAGTGAAGATGGCGAAAATGATGATAGTGAAGATGGCGAATGTTTCGTTTTCGATCTTGAAACTTCGTGAAATTTGAAACCCTCAATCCTCGAAAAAGTTGTTTTTTATCGCCCAGCAATTCAATTTGAATCCTGACGGTCCACTTTCAGTTACCTTATCCAGCTTTCGTCTTTGGTTACTAAAGCTAAAGTGTTGAGTATCAACATCTTCTTTTTTACAAGTAAATAAGCCTAGTATAGTTGTACGAAGTACTGTTACGAGTGGAGTATACTGTTACGTGTTCTCATCTTCTAAGAACGAAAAAGAAGTAGAATTCTGGAGGAATTCCATCGTAGCACGTGGTAAGGCATTCACTGCAGAAAACGCATCTTCAGGCTCAGTAAGGGAAAGGGATGCGGGGGAGAAGAAACCTGTGCTTCGAGACGACCGTGCATCCGCATATTATCATTGGAACCTACTCGGGCTCGGAGAGAAGAAGAAGGTGAAAACTAGTGCAACTTATTTTACTGGTCGTGCTTTGCAGCGAACTGGCGATAGTACGGAGATTCTCGGCTTTAACTGTGGATGCAGTCAGCAGGTTCTGGAGGTTTGCTTTAAAGTGAACAACGATAGTGGAGGACGTTCCAGCACTTCTAAAGGAAGTAGTAGTTTTTTTAGAAGTGCATCGTTAACCCGACCCGAGGACGCTTTAGATAACGATTTGCATTATGTTTTTGAACTGTTGGACAAAATCGAGAGACAAGAAATCCCGGCACCCGCACCTATCGAACAGCGCTACACTCGAGCTTCGACAAGCAAGCTTTCGCCTTGTTATAGTTAAGCAGGGAAGAAGAAGTAAGTAGGTAAATATAATGTGAATGCCGTACTTGTTCTTGTACAATTAGAAAGCGATGAAAATTCCTCACTAAATCTTCCACTGGATAATTTGTTCCAGTTCTAATACCTCCCAAATCCAGACGACCTTTTCACGTGGGTTGGCGTCATCATGTACCGAATCGAAAAGCAGGCAGAAGGTCATAAAGACAGTAAACGAGATCTTCCGGTGATAGACTCAACAACAACGGAGAAGTTTATTAGAGATGACGATGACTCGGAAGAAGTGGCATCCACTTCATCTGCTGAAGAAACACAGCATGTGGAAACAAGCGTCGAAACCAAAGCCAAGAAAGAAGAGGAATCCACCCAAGCGGATGAGCAACAATCTAACGTGAGTAAAATCGACGCTTATTTTCCCTGGTATGCAGGTCAGCATCTGGGGTTGTGCTTGCGGTACGGCGGAGTGTGTCATTGGGGAAAAATACCCCTTAGTTACGAACGCGAGCTCTTCCCACTCGCGAAGACGTGCGTGTCGAACAGGTACGACCTTGCAGAAGTCGAGAGAGTTAAGGTTGCTGTAGGTCTGGTACAAGTAAGCCTTACTCAAGGTGTGAAGGGGAGTTTGAGCAACACGGTTGGTGTAAGTCTGACCTAAGTAAGAGTTGTAACACGGTTGGTAGTACAACGAACTGGTAGATCTGAAGAGACAAGTAAGTGCAAGTACTAGAGTTGTGGACACAGAAAATCTCAGTCATAGATCACTTGCTATTGCCTATTTATGCCATATTTTTACGTAGTTTCTAAAACAGTTAGGGCAAAGTACGACCCTCACAAGCTTTTGGGTCCCGCACCATGGGAAGAGCGAGCGATGGATTGAGCGATGGGGAGATCGTCTGGGTTCTCAGAAAGCTTATGATTGTCTGGTGAAGGTGAACCTTCTAGTCGTAGTTGAAAAGGAGGAGTCGGTACTAGAGTAGGGCTGTCTGAATAAATTTCTAGAACATATTAGTACCTCATCATCAAGTAGAGCAAAAAAGATATTAGTACCTCATCATGTCTTGTTAGTTGCTGTAGAAGAACTACGAGTGCAGTATGGATAAATATCTTCTCACCTACACACTGTAGAATGCAAAAATGATTGTCAACTTCATTCATGACGTCTACTTTTACTCAAGTCTAAAGTTTGTCCTACTGAAGACGACTTCGAACGAAGTGACTCCTAGAGCTAAGCACATCTCGTTTTTTTGACCTCAGTGCAACATTATAGCACTTATGACTGATGTACATGAGTCAACTTCAGAAAAAATGTCATGATTTCCAATTCTGATGAAAGCTCTTCATCAGGAAATGAATTTGAAAAAAACAAGATAAAACTGAAATTTTTGTGTTTTAACTTGAAAATTCAAATTTGAAATCTACTCCCCATTCAAATTTAGAAGACACCCAACTTTCAAAGAACCTCAATTCTCGAATTTTTATAGATGCATGTGTATGTGATGGTTGCTCTCGAAATCGTTGTCACTATGAACTCTACGTGCTTGTTCTAAGATTTTGATTTTTCAATAAAGATACATTATAGTGTGTTCAGTAACAAGCAGCATGCTCCTGGTTTTTCGGTCGTTTCGGTCGTGGCAAGAAAGTCGCCATATGAATGGTTCCATCATCCTTGTGCATCCATCTATCGATTCTTCGTTCTGTCGGTTTGACAAGTCGCGCGGCTAGTACAGCAGCCGGTCTCATGTCTAGTACTTGTAGTACACAAAGTGCTAGAGCTCTTCTAATTATACAACGCAAGCTCTCGTCTTAATTATATGTATGCGCTTCACTCGGTGCTCGTCGACTTTAGACAGGTGGTCACCCATCATCCTCAGAGGCGAGCAGGTGCCGGTGGGGCTCGTTGTGCAGGATCCATAACCTAACCTAACCAAAAGAAAAACTGCGTTCTGTGTAGTGACTGTGGTTGCTAATTATCTGTGCTTGTAGTTCACCAATGCTTGTTGTTCAGCAATGCATGTTCATCGGTGCTTGCTTACTATCGGCACAACTTGCGTTCTATCGGCACTTGCCACCTCCCACTATCGGTGATTTCTAATCGTCTTTCAATCGACATCTGTTCAATTACTTCTGACTCCATTTGAAATCAACATCGCGTCGCCTCCACAACTCGCATCCTCTCGTGAGCCTCCAAATCTTCCCCGCCTATTTGTGTAGGTAAGTAACATCTGGTGAAACATTTTCCATCATGTCGTGGTCATGCTAGGCAAATTTTTTAGAATTGGATTGCCAGCTTATATTCATTCACTCATGATACTCTCATCCAAGGCGGTCGTCGAGTGCCCTACTGTTTTGAGTCTACTTCTAGTAAGAATCAACATTTTTCATCTTCATACTACACGACTACGACCTTCATCCTTCATGCCATTACCCCCATCAAATGATAGAAAAAGTAAAAGGAATCAGAATACGAGTTTGTGAGGGACGAGCACGAACTTCAACAGTTTGCAGATCTGAGACACGATTCAGATTGAAGCACTACTCAACATCATCAAGACCATCAGCATCATTAAGATTTCGACACTCAAGAGTAACATCAAGACCATTCAAGAACTACAACAAGAGCACTTACTTTCTTACCATCGACGACGCTTCATCTGGCATACTTTCGACCTTTCGTCAACACTACATTGATTTCAAATATCACTAAGAGGACCAGTACTAGAGTTTGACTGACACTGATCTGTAGAAAACCACTGTAGATCATTTCGAAATCCACACCGTAATTATTTCATCGTCACGTCAACAGGATCATACCGATATCTCATCTTCACTGAAAGACTCTATTTGTTTGAACAAGAAGATGGCTGGTCTACTCGGCAAAGCGATGGCTCTCCAAGACGCCAACAACAGTGAAATCCTCCCGAAGGTGGGGCGTGACGACCGCGGGGACACTAGCCGCGAGGACACGACTGTTGTACAAAAAACAAAATGATACTATTGCTATAATTGGTGGATCTTTCGGTGATCATGATCCATTATCAGACTTTACATACATGAGAACCACACCACCAGTCACAATCTCACCTTGAAAAGATGACTTGTTTGAGAGTGTCTAATACGTGAACTTCAAACTCTACTAAAACAATGAAAATTCAGGGTTACTACGGCAGCTTCGACTATGGTAAAAGCGCCGGAGCTGGTCGTACGACCACAACCACGACCACCGAAAAGCACTCGAATTTGGGCTATAACTTAAGTGTAGTTCTTTTTGTTTTTCACTATCTTCCAGTGTGAGGCAACTCCTTGAGTTGTGGGCTTCCCGTTCTTGGTGTAAAAGGAAGAGAAACCAAGAGGAAGAAAGCTCCTCCTTCCTCAATCACGGATAGCGAAAAACTAACTTACTACCTTTAATTTTTAAACAAGCTGGACAAGCAGCAGGTGAAGGTGCGCAGGACTGGAAGAACCCTCTGGTGCATCGAGTCATCTGCTTGGTGCTGCTCTGCTTCGGGCTCTTGTTCACCCTGGTAGGGGTGGAGCGCTTCCTCGCATCTTCCGACAATCGAGCTCCGAAAACACGTGGAAAAAAGGGCGCCACTGCAGTACCAGTGATGAACACGAAGTTAAGGATCATGCTGGAAATCGGTAGATGACCACAAAGTTAGATCAAGAGGCTGTTAGATGAAAAGCAAAAAGCTAGCAAGAGGCAACACAAGCATCTTAACTGTGATTTTGAATACGAACAGTTTTTCTTTGCTCGGGATCTTGACTTTAATTTTTCTACCATCAGAGGATGAGTACTTAATATCTGTATTTTGAGTTGTTTGCCTGCAGAAGCAGAAGATGAAATGTACTTGCCTTAAGTAAATTCTTGATTACGAGTACTTCTTCGCGCGTCAGTACCCCAAAGTCAAAGTACTAGAGGATATACTACGGAAAAAATTCACGAACCCAACAGGAAGAAAATAATATGCTCAACTACTACAGTTACAGTATCAGTAACTCGCTGCAAGTTCTCTCCAAACGCAAAATCAAGCAGGTATGTGTCCTCCTGTGCTAGTCTTTTGTCTGTGTCCGTCTTTGCTCTGTTTATCCCAGTAGTATAAGTTCGTTAGCATTTAGCAAGGGGAAGGGGGTACTCATAGCCCCTGTAAAGTTAGGCCGTCATCAGTCAAGTTATGTATAGGGATACTAAAGAATAACATCACTCAAGCTAGGTTTTGTGTAGCAGCGACGTTATTCAGAGAATATGCTTAGACAGCTTCTCCGACGGGAGATCTGTTATTAAGAGGCCTTTAATAAGAGGTCTTTTTGCAGGGGGCATTTGTTTCTTACGCAGCCTGGCTTGAATAGTATTTCCTTCTTTGGGCCGTTTGACTTTTGGACAGTTTGGCCATTTTTCGAGCCACTTTGGGTCGAGTTTTTGGTTAAAGGATCAAGGGATAATCTTTCTGCGTTAAGTAACGATCCGCGAGACGGTTTGATCATGCAAGGAAAGCATTTGGACACTTTGATATTCGGCGTGAATTTATTAATTACTTCCTTCTTAACTTTCACTGGCACTTATCTCACGCTTCGTCCGTTGTTGATTCGACTGGTCGCAGGGGGTGCTTATGACCATGGCCTTTGACCCTCCCTGCCCGTCGTGGGTAAGCTCGTCGGTTTGTCTGTTCAGATTCACTGCCTCCGATCATCTCCCATCCCCTTACCCTCTTCTCCCCATACCGATAAAACCCCAATCAAAAACTTAGGAAGCGTTCGAGCGTAGAGTAACTGGCTCGAATAAGAAGCACGCGAGGACTATGCATTATAACTCCATTATCTTCTAGAAGCTCCAACACCATTAGACTGATTCGGCCTCGTCCTCGGCCCTGCTCTCTGCGCCGCTAAATTCTAGACTGCGGCCGGCGCTTTCTCTGCACCGGCCTCGTCGTGGGGTAGTGGCAATAGTATTCGTTTCCTTTTTTTATCGTTATCCTCTCAAGGTCTAGGTCATATATGTTCCAGGGCTGGAGGCCCCCCCCCCCATCTAACTTTTTGAGGGGGGGGCTGCCAGCCCCGGCCCCTCTTTTCGAGGGGCTGCCGGGCGGGAAGGCCTCAAAGCGCCCACTTCGGGCCCCTTCTTGCTTCTTGCCTGTACCCTAGAGCGCCACCAACCCGGAGGACGTTGAAGCTGGCGAAGGAGGCAAGGCAGGGCCCCGCTGCTTTGTTGTGTGTACCCTACAGACCTCCCTGGCAAAGGTGGCAAAGGCAGGGCCCCGCTGCCTTGTTGCATGTACCCAACAGACCTGGCAAAGATGGCAAAGGCAGGGCCCCGCTGCCTTGTTGCCTGTGCCCTACAGACCTGGCAAAGGTGGCAAGGCTGGCGCCCTCTGGCGTGTTGCGGTACCCGACAGAGCTGGCAGAGGAGGCAATGCGGGGCCCACCCCCTTGGCGTGCTGCATGTGGCCAACCATACAGACCGCGCAAAGGTGGCCAGGCTGGACCCCTCTGGCGTGGTCCCCCACAGATCCATCCACAGGGGGGGGCCTCCCTCCCTGGTACATATTAATTTATATGCCTACCACGGTATTTGAATTCGACTCTATGATCTTATTCAGGGGCTAGTTTTATTAAATATTTTAATATTAATATTCAAAGAAGAAGCGTTTACTAATTCGGATTCGGAAAATTCATAAAGTAAGAAGAAAGTCACTTCTTTCTAGTGGTGGCCCACAGACACGCTTATGTCTTGTTCGATGGTGATTTTCATTCTAATGTGCTCTGGATGATCTTCAAGTAAGTCATCGCTCTGATTAAATCTTGATTTTCTTCTTTCATTTTTTTTTTGACATCGAGATCGACTACGTAGTCGAAAAGCAAAGCTTTTTTGGAATTGTCCTTTTCATCAATCTCCCGAGCAACGTCCTCATCTAGGCAAAGATACCAAATAAGTGGAATGAGTCTACTTCTCTTACTCTTCTTCATCTTGTAGCAAGATGAAACACAGAAGGCCTTTGAACTTGCATGATAAGTGCATGGGGATGGGGGAGGGCTTGCATTTGCATCAAATCCAAAAGACGACGAAAGCCATCAACTAAAAGTGCTTCAACAGTCATCAAGATTGACTTTTAGAATTAATTTTTTTCATCAGATTGGACGTTGATCATCATACTATACGGAGTCGAGCACGACACTTCTCAAAAATTTGACCGTTAGAAGGAAGTAGCTGGTCTAGAAGATGATATTAGCTCTTCTACTACTTAATATCTCTTCTAATAGTAACGGACGCGCCGCGCGAAGAGGCGGGTGGCCACAGTGCTCATGCGGCTTTGAAAATCGACGATCACCATACTCAACAAGACGTGGGCACACCTACAAAAACGAGGGAAAAAATAATCTCCAACAGCGATCACGCGGATCCCTCTGGTGTGGGTGCAACGATTTCTGGCGATCGTGCCGATATCGTTCCTGGTGTGGGTACAGCGGTTTCTGGCAATCACGGAGCAGATCTCCCTGTTAGTACGATTTCTGGCGGTCATGCAGCAGATGCCGCTCTCGGCGTGGGTGCAACGACCTCTGGCAATCACGCAGCACATCTCCCTGTTGGTACGAATTCTGGCAATCGCGCAAATGTCGTTCCTGGTCGTGTAGGTACAACGACCTCTGGCAATCACGGAGCATACCTCCCTGTAGTTGGTGCGATTTCTGGCGGTCGTGCCGATGTCGTTCCTGGTGTGGGTACAGTGGTTTCTGGTGGTCACAAATATCGCGCGGGAAGCATTTCAACGCTAATAGATACATCCGATGAAGATGAGCCTGAGGAGTATGAGGGCCTGACGGCTGGCACTGGTGTTATGGGAAGAATGCAGACTCTTTCTCGAACCGACTCATGTCGTTGTAGAGAGCTCCGTGAAGAATGAAGGCCATGAAAGTGCTGTTGTATGAAGTGTTAGTATCTATGTATACTTTAAGAAGTATCGATAGAGAAAGACGCTACAGCAAGGAGGTTGTGGCTTCTTTACCTGTTAGCCTATCCTCTCCTATTCTGCATTCGTCATCCATAGAATCCACAAGAGACGCCACATGAATGATCAGGAAGGCTGAGCACCAACTAGATTGCTTCATCGGAATACGCTCGCGCTCGTGTGGATCGTGGTCGTCGTTTGGTCGTGGGGTAGCTTACTGCAATGCGATTAGCGTTGAAGGCCAGAACATCCCACCCGCCACACCCAAGTGAGTGGAGTATCCTGTCAGGTAGCTAGTCGCACTCGCCGGAGATCGCTAGAGCGAGAATGGAGACTGTGCTCCGTGGCTTGGCTTGCAGACAATCACCAAGACGGCACAGGCGTTAGGCCTTGCTTTCTATGCTCAGCCCCAGGCGCGCCCGAGGCCTGTGCTCCACCAACCTCGCCCAGCGTTAGAAGATCTGGCCGGGAAAATGACGAAGTTCGGAAATCGTGACGATCCTGAACTTGTCTTGGACTAGATGCTGCCGGCGTCTTCGTGTACGCAGGACATTCAGCATGAATTCCGTCGGTCACGCCAGCCAGGTGACCGACTCGATTTGGCAGGAAAGAATGTTGCCAGGGCTCGCCTTCATCCCCACACTGAGACTGACAAGCCCCCGATCAAATAGCAACAGAATAATATGTAAAAACAGGAATTGTCATCCCGGGTTCTGGCTAATGTGGTGGCCACGTGGCGGCGCGACCGCCTCCCCCTCACAGTGCTTCCCCACCGGGAAGCCTGAGGGGTGGGACGCCTAGGGCTGTAGCGTCCATATGTTTAGCTAATGCGCCTTATGTATATCCTTATATTTAGTGCTCCTGCGTGCGCCTCTGTGCCTTTCGCTGGACCTGGACCATACGAGTGTGAGCGTGGGAGTTGACCTCAAGCGCCCTGTTTGTCTATTCTACAGAGATCAAGATCTGGGGCTTTCTAGAAGTGGGCTCGAAGCTCTTTTTACATTCATTAGAAGGGGTAGCAGGGTTAGTTTTGAACATAGATTAGGTGGCTTTCTTGTTACTTCCTCGGCTTTTCTGTTCTACCCTTCTCTCATATCCGGTTCCCTCTTCCTTGTTCTTGCCTCATTCCCAACTATCAGGCACTCTTAAAATGAAGCTCGTCTCAAAACAAACAAGCTCGCCTGTCTTGCGGAGCCTCTTAGATAGAGTAAATACCAGTCCAGCGTCTGACACTGGCACAGCATCAGCGTCCATGGCCTCGCTCCGTCTATTAATCACACGTTTTGCAACTCTCCTAAAGTGAAGTGATAAAGTCGAAGATTAAGAGGATGAATTTTCTTGATTGTACCGCTAAGAAGTTGTAAAGGCTAGCACAGTAAGACTGATACCCATGGCGATAGCCTTTCTCCGAATTCACCCGTAGGCGACCTTTTTTCAGATTCGTCTAATAGCAGCATCCAAACAAGTTACACGTCCACCGATAGTGCGTTTCTGCAGCAAGTAGCCACGCCATTGGTTTCGGAAGTACCAAAGCTGACATTGTCACTGATAATAGTGCTCCTAGCTTTAGCAAGATTGTCCGGATCTTTAACGGGCTCTTCTTAATTATTAGACCAGGGCACCACTTAAAAACTTTTTGAAAAATGCAGCCAGGTGCAAGGCCTGGCGCACAGCCATACGCCCTGGCCATCGCGTGACTGCAGGCCTTCGGCGTCGTCGACATTCGCAGAGAGGCAGCCGCTACGGGTACCTCGCTCGCCGTCCGTGGGACGAACCTCCGACGTGGAGGCTTGAGCCAGGCAAGGGGTGCCCGAAAGCGGCGCTCTTATTTGGCCACGATTGTGCAGGGTCAGTTGGGGCGCATTTTGTGCCCCTTTTTGAAAAAAGTCCGCTGGGTCATTTTGCGAAGGCCGAAGCGCCTCCACCTAGTGAGGGCTAGGGAGCAAGGGGGTGCCTTTTGGCGGCCCTTGCCAAAAATGGTTGCCAAATGACCCTGGCCGTTTCGGGTGTTTGTCAAAGTGGGCCCTTTTTCTTTGTCCCCCTTTTTGACACCCCGCCCGCCAAAGCGCCTGGCGGTCCTCTGATCCCTCCGAGCCTCCCAAGGGTTGGGACCTCCCTGGCGGCGCTTGTAAGTAGGGCCCACACTTCGCTTTCCTTGGGAGGGGGGAGTCCCGCTCCGAGGGTTCACTGCTACGCCCTTTATCGGGATGGCCCCAGCGGTCCCGAAGAGGTTGGGCTCTGTTAGGCTAGCAGAATTCAAAAACAACGAACGTGGTGCAGCGAGAAGAGCCCTGCTGGACTAACTTAAAGAGGCCTCCCTCAGGAAACAAATGGCGCCCCTTAGAAGTTCAGGAATTTCTATTATCGAAGAGCCACCTTGCGATCCCCTGAGGGCCAAAGATGCGCCTCAAGATTAAAGGAACCCTTTGAGGGGCCCCTCGGAATGGGATTGGGCTAATGAAAGACCTCTCCTCACGGGCCACCTCTCAGCAAGAGAGCTTCGCAAAGGATTTCAAAAACCTGGCGCGTGGCATCGGGGTCAGCCCTGGCTGGCTTGGCCATAGCCGTCTGGCCCTTTGTTGTTTGGGTGGATCGCGTTTGTGCTCCCTGTTTGTCCTTGCCTTATTTAAGTGGGGCCGCTGTCGCTCGTCTGTGCTGGCAATTGGTTGCAGCTGGCATTTGTGGCGTGAAGTAAGTCTGGAAGTAGCAGAAGTATGCGACTACTTGGAGGTAGCCGCCAAGAGCAATAGTCGTCCTTGGCGCCGTTTATTTTGAGCTTAGTCCGGCAATGGATAGGTAGTGCTTTTGGCCTCAGTCATTTCTCTGAAGCAGCGGGGGGGGGACGAAAGAGGCGGCCGACGGCGGTTTGAGATGTTAGCGCAGTGCTTTTTCTTTTTCGTTTTTTGAAAACACCGCGCAACAAAGTGGGGAGGGACTGTCGCGGGCGCTGTGCGTGTGCCATCAACAGGATCGACCCGTCGAAGGCGTTCAAGCTAGCATCGATCCATTCAAAAATGAACTGGCGAACCTCTCTCGCGAATCTCTCTCAGGGTTTTTTTTGAAGCGAAAGCGCTGCTACCTCGCCTCCTCTCCCTTGAGGATCGAGAGGGAGGTCGGCTGGGTGCTTGTTCGTGAGTTTGGGTGAGAACTTTAGCAGAGAGAAGACAAGAGAGGCTTAGCCGATATCAGCCAATACTTAGCGCACTAGGGATGGGATGGCCCCGGCCATCACAGTGCGGCGCCGTTGTCTTTTTTTTTGCTTCTCTTTGTCGATCAATCACTCATGGGGGGCTCGCTGCTCTTCGTCCCGTGTTGCTTTGCCACTTGGTGTGGCTGCGCCGTTTAGTGAACTTCTAAACTGCAGCAAACAGGGACAGCCAGGCCAGCAGGGTGGCGCCGTGCGTGCAGGCGGCTGCGGGTTTGTTTGGCAGAAGGTCAACTACTCGGCGGCCGGGAGAGCTGAGCGCAGTTCCGGTCTATAGAACTCGCTTCGCCGCAGTGTGTGGCAGAGAATGAAATTGTCGCCCCCGCCCGGTTCTCTTCTGTTTGCGGTGGGCAGGAGTTAGGGGGAACCGCCTCGAGCTCGTCGGGCTCTCGGTCGGTTTCCTTTTCGCTTCTGAGGGTGTTCGGCTTTTGCATTGTTCGGCAGTTTTCGGACGCGGTTTGCGCTCTTGTTCTTTTCTGCTTCTCGGCGTGCGCGGGGGTGGGCTTCTGGCGTCATTCGGCTAGGCTTGGCTTTGGTTGGCGAGTTCTCTTTCTGCTCGGTGTAGAGTGAGAGGAAGCGGAGGCAGGCTGTAGCTGTGGGCCTTCGGTCGTGGCATGAGGATCACGCTTGAGAAAAAGGCGCGGCTTGAAGACCGCGGGGCAGCACTAGAAACAAGCGAGAAAAAGAGGCACAAAAAGCGCCCAGGTTCTGCCAAAGGCGTGACACTTTCAACCGGCTACAGAAGCCAAAAAAATGACAGAAGGCAGCGCCTTGCCTTTTCTGACATTCTTGCAGGACGTGGCGAAGGTTTTTGGTGCACTTTTTTGACGCAAAGGGTGGCGGCGTTGCTTTCTCATCACGGGCAGAGAGTTAAAGACGCGTCTTCGGCTGTGACCTCTTCGGCAGCTGGTTGAGCTTTTTGGAGCTTTTCAGCTGCGCTCGGGCTTGGCAGAATCGCTGTGGCGCTGCCACTGGGGCGGGCAGTGCTTTGCGTACCTCACAGGCCCGCGCCGGGCGTGGTCGCCCGCGGATGTCCGCTTGTGACTGAGGTGGGCCCGCAGGGGAGCAACGAACAAAAGGGGAAACACGAACACCCAGCAGGTGTGCCTCTTTGAAGTGTTCAGTTCGCCCTTATTCGACTGAGGTGCGCGCGTGACAAAGATTGCCGCCCCTCATTGGTTTGGGGAGCGCCGGGCTCACATCTTCTGCAAGGAGTCCGGGGGGAGGACGCTCTGGAGGGTCCGATGAGCATTTTTGGGCGAGAGCTGCGAAGGGCGTCTGCTTGCTCTAGAAGCAAGCAGCAAGCAGCAAAAGAGGGGGCGATCGTGGTTTTCCTACTGCGGTGGGGCCTGCGCCCCGCTCTCAATGTGTGGCGCGGTCGTGGGTGGGAAGGCATTTTAGCTTTTTTCTGTTTCAGCCAGTGTTCTCCTGATCAGTACTTGGGCGACAGATTCAGTCAGCATTGGCTTTCCCGCTGTGCGTGCGTTGTTGGCGCCGTCTCCGCAATTGGTGGCACGGCTTGCTTTTTGGTTTTCTGGTGCGTGCAGTGGGGTGGCCTTGTGTGCCCCCCGACATGATAGCGCCGCCTCGTGAGTGGCCTCGCTTTCGGTCATCATTTCGGCGAAGCCTCCGCGACGACGCTGCGAGCTCGGGGACGGCCTCGTCTCCTTTGTTGGTCGGCCCAGAGGTTAGCAGGTGGCTTCTGGCTGGTCTGGCTGCGATTCGCCGGGAGATGCGGGCTTCGGCCCTTCCTTCCATTGCTGGGCAGTGACTGATCCTCCCCCATTTCACAGGGATAGAATGGCGGCCTCTGTCGGTTGGGCAATGGCGCTCGGTGGGCCACTCACTCACAGCCTCGAAAATGCATCGGCGGGCCGCGCTTTGTTTCGTTCTTTCTGTCCTTGGGTGGCGTGTGTCTGTGTGCGTGTGTGGTCGTGTTCGTGCGCTGCTCTGGCTCTTGGGAGAGCTCTGGCGCGGCTGCATAGGGTGGGCTTCTAGTGTGTTCCGCTGGCTTGGGTGTTGGTTGCTTCTGGTTTTCATGAAAAGAAGGAAGCGCCACAGAGTGTGCCCCTCTGGCTGACTGAGCACCGCGGCCCTGTCTGGTGTTTCGGTATGTCTGTGTCGGTGTAGTCGGAAGGCCGCTTGAGGGCGCCGTTGGCTTGGCGGCAATCTTTGGACACTGATGCAGCGGCAGCAGCCCATATGATTTCGATTCATTTGCGGCGACCATGTGCTGATGAAATCGCGCCTGCCTCTGAAAGGGTTGCGTGGGTGGGGGCGCGCTTTCTGAATATCTGCGAGGGGCTTTCCCCTCCCCATCCTTGCTGACTGACACAAGGATGCAACGGACACCGAGAGCCCGCCGGGCTCTACTGCCGCAGTGATTTGTCTCCGGCCCGTAAAAGTTAACCAAAGTTAGTATGAACAGGCGCCGCCCGTGCCCGCCTGCATCAATGGCCGACGCCCTTTCCTTGGCCCGTGGCAGACTGCGTCTGCCCTGCTCGTGGGGTCTGCTCTCGGTCGCGGCCCGGTAGTCGAGTACTGCGAACGGGCTTCGGGGGTTCACATGCACTGGCGTCAGGGTCGCAGAGGAGAGGTCCATGCGTCGTCTTCGTGAGCCTCTGTTTTTTTACTTGGGGACCCTCGTTCCCCGCTTTTGCTGTCTCGGCTTCTAGTATTCTGTGTTATAGCTATTTTCCAGGGATGTTTTGAGTCTACAACCGTCTTCTCTTTCAGTGTCACGGTCAGTCAGTGATGCTGTAGTAGAGACATTAGCAGAGGGCTTTTCCTTTACTCTGCTGTGGCGCGCGGCTGCAATAGACTCGGGCAGTAGTCTTCTTTACAGCTCCACTGTATCTAGAAGGCCAGACTTTGAAAAGCCCTCCTAGACCTAGGCATGCCCCATTACTCTGGTGCCCTTTATCCAGGTAGAGACCGAAATTGAAGCGATTAACTGGAGCCTGAAAGAGAAGGGCCACCCCTTGGACTTGAAGTCACAATCGGGCTACCATGATGTGGCTGTTTTTGAAAAAGAGTTCGACTACCTCCGCACATTCTTCTGGAATGGGGTATGCAAAAATTTGATGACCCATGCTGAATGTGAAAGAGATTACAAAATTGGGTCAGGCTCCTCCGGACACACGTGGGATATTGGCAAGTGTCGTGACGGGCATAGTTTTCAGGGTAAGGATTGCGTCGCGAAGTACATCGGCCCTGGTCAATACACGACGAAGACGCTGGCAACGGAAGTCATGCTGCAGCACCTCCTGTGGACCTACTTTCACACCAAGAAGAGCAATATGCCAAATTGCATTCCGTTTGTCGACCAGGTGATAATCGAAGGAGCCTTTGGGGGCGCTATCATTGTCATGGAAAAACTGGCCGCGGCTGAGCCCGTGCAACTCTATGCTGCCGGTGGTAGCGACCCGCTGGAGCATGCCGAAAGGGCCTTCGAGTGTTTGAAGATTTTGAACAACGAGATCTTCGTCACTCATGGTGATTTCAAGGCCGCTAATGTGGGACTTGCAACACAGGGCAGCGATGAAGGCGCACTCCGTCTCATTGACTTTGGGCTTTCGACCGCGTGGAAGGTCCAGAATTATCCAGCGGCCGGTTCGGGCTTCGAAGTTGTCTTATGCTGGCTCTGTGGGTTGCATGATATTTCAGCTTCTGCGTATTGTTATTGGCTGATTACTCGCTTGGTGATTAACATTAAATTACTGTAGTAAGCTTTGTCGACGTTTCTTTGGCTCCTCAGCACTTCTTTCGCGTTGACTTCTTACAAATTATCACTAGGGCGCGCCCGATCGCGATGTCTCCCTGCTTCAGCTGCTTTAGTCTGAAAATGCAGCGTTGAGACGAGTGACGCCGTAGCTGTAGATGAAACGTGAAGTTGTGGCGGTGGTGTATGAATGCTCCCACAGCTCCTGACGCGTCCGCCGGAGGCATCAGGGCGCTTGCGTTTCAAGGGTTAGCGATCGCCAAGGAATTGAAACGGGCATACTCCGTAACTATCTAACAAGGAGCACTCTTGATGTAGGGGCCTCCGCCAGGGTGCTGCGTCCGCCGTCACCGTGAGGGGCATTTTATAGAGGCGAGAAGCCAGCTGAACTCTGCACAAAAGCGGCCGGAATTGTTTCCAGGCATACCGTTGCGGGGGTGGTCTGCTTCGCGGCGTCTCCCTTTTGTCTTCTTTCGGGTTCGTGTGTCTTTTTTCTTTGCTTCCCCCGCGCCCATCCAGAATCGACCACAGCAAGCGGCGAACAGGTGCCGGGAGGTTCTGGAGGGGCGCGGGGATTCTCATCACGCCCGGAGTGCTCCGCCGGAACGCAGGCAAGAAACTCCCTTCGGGGGCCACAGTGTGCGGGGGCGGCTTTGGTGGTTTTCACCAGGCCCGGGGGGTTGAATCTTGTCCGAATTTCTGCAGTATTTCCGGGGCCCCCTCTGCTCTGGCTCGTCTGTGGTCTCTGCCTCTCTCGGCGTTGGGCTCGAAGCTGTTCCGCATTGCCCAGGGCTGGTCGCTCAGTGTCTTGCCGACTCGCCTTATGCTTGTTTCTGTCGCTGGCGTCCCCTAAGAGGGAAGTAGACAGGGACCTCACGCAACCGAGCCGCGGAGGGCGAGGAACTGCCTTGAAAGTGCTCTACAGTAGTGCAGAGACTGTTCACCGGGGGGCCCCTCTTGGACGGGTGCACGGCTCAGAGGCGGCCATACTTATAGATATTGATAGGGGCCCGCAGCGCTACTTCATGTTCCACGCGCGAGCCGATACTGGCTGGGGCGCGTGCGTGTGTTGGGCCTAGTCCGCGTGGTCGATGCCTGTCTCAGTCCACGCCCGTCCGCCTGGTCGGTTCTTTGCCTTCTGTCTTTCATGACTGTAACTGCTGGCGCGTCCAAATCTGTGCCCCCCCCCGTCTATTCTCGTGGCCAAAGTGTTGCCTCGGGTGCACGTGTTTCGTAGCTTGTGAGCTGACTTCGCGTCCGGTCGAGTCCACGCCGCGTCTTCCCTAGAAGTCCGTGTCTGACTCTCTGTGCCCACCCCGCGTTTTGCCTGTCCACCTCGGCCCCTGTCCGTGCCGTTCCGGGTCCATATGCCAGCGCATGATACTTAGCTATGCAAGAATTGTCGCCTGCCTCGAAATTTCTTCACCTGTTTCTATGCATTACAGCACGCACGCCCCTCCGCCAGGTGCCTTCCAAGAAATGATGGCCCCGGCCCCCTTCATTGATTTAGCCCCCCCTCACGTCCTTATTGGACTGCCCAATAACTTCCCAGCCAAAGTTTCCCCGGGGTGGGGCTGTCTGTGCTCGGGAGGTCTAGGAGAGAGAGCGGGCGCCGGGGGGTGTAGATAGGAGGCGCCTGGCGTTGCATCTTGCGCAGCGTCCTTCGCGGGTGGGGTAGCGCAGTGCGTGGAGCAAATCGCGGGAGTAGAGTCGCGCGCGCCGCTGAGCCTCGCGAGGAGCGGAACCATTTATGAGACGTGCGCGCCTCTGAACCTCTTGCGGAACCTACCCGCAGGCAGGAGCACGCCGGACCGGCGTAGGATCCTCAAAAAAGTGGATTGCTTTGGGGCGGCTCTGACCCTCTGCGGAGCTCTTCTTGCTTGGGGCGCGCCAGGAGGGCCGCCACGGCGAGGAGCCCTGCCCGCGATCGTGTCGCCCTCTTTCCTTTGGGGCCACCTCTGCTTGCGGACCTTCAGGCCCAGCCCACAGGAGCGCGCGGAACCTCGTAGGAGCCTCGACGCAGGAGTGGGCCCTTGGGTTTTGTATAGGGGGGCCAGCCTCACAGGGGAGTGGGCTTCCCCTTTTCGTGTCTCGTACCTTCTGCGGGTGCTAGAGAGAAGTGCCGTGGAGTTTTAATTAGATGACTCACTTTGGTGAATGTACTCCTTTCCATATCTGATATGATGGGCTTAGCCTTTCTTAGCAGCTCCCGCCCCTATCTGTAAAGACTGACAAACGGGCGGGCACTGTCGTGTGTAGGTAGGTGTCTCTGGCTCGAGATAATTAGCCGGGAGGGCTGCTAGCAGTCTTACTCGTGTCGCAGGTTTTCTTCTTGTAATCTTTCATCTAACTTTCGTCAGGGGGCTATGTATGACTCTTGACTTTCTCTAGTTCTTGACAACAATTGCTTGAAACAGCTGACAAGCATCCGTTTGCGGGGCCTGCTGTTGTAGACGCGTCGGCCTTTTTGCTTTTATTTGAAGTACGTATAAGCGAGATGAGAGTGAGACTGACATGGCCTAAGGTGGCTCTCTGACTTTCTTATTTCGTGTGCTCTAATCATCCTCGGCGCAGCGAGGGATAGAAAATGGCAGACCGAGCCGCAGACTGTGGGAAGAAGAGTTACGTGAAGCTTTTCAGCTTACATTTTTTATATTCGCTGCGGTAAATTCATCCCATTCCCTATCACGGCGCCCGCGGCGTCCATCTGCGTCTGCGCCCGTAATCAATGGCCCAAGGAACGCGCATGATACTGTGTTTCCGTTTTTGTTTTATTTTGGCTCTCACCGTCTCCAGCTCCACGCTTGCTTCTCATCAGGGTGTTCCAGTCTGGCTCATCTAAAATTTTTCAACTGATGGCAAGGAACTGTCATAACAAAATCACTCACCTCATGGCAGGCCTTCTGCGGGTCTTTGGTGTTGAAGGTCTGGGCGCAAAAGTCAAGTCGGCTGCCTGGCTTTCCCACCCAGCTATTGTTTGCTGTTTACACTTTTACAATTCTTGTTCTTAGCCTGGCACGCTTCAACGCCTAAGCCTTTGATGTCATTTGAGGGCCTCCCCATTCGCATTCTATCTTCCACACTCTCTCCTCGGGCCGGTAATTCATTGTAGCTCTGCCCCTGTCTGGTGTTGAGTGATCTAGTTTCGATACTTGCTGCGATATGATTCTACCATACCAAGTAAGAGGAGGCCGCTGCTCAAGGTTTTCGTTGTATCTTTTTGAATTTTTCTAAATGTCACTGTGACGCGCTACACCTCTACTAGTGGATCAGACACAGTGTAGGCAAAAAAGCAGTCCTTAATCTCAATGTGCTGGGGGCGATGCGTAGTGGAGTACTTTTAGCCTTGCGTGCTGGTCATCGTAAATGGACTGCAGCGCGCGGGCTTTCAGATTCAAACTGAAACTATTAAGCGATAGGTCACTTCCCGTGGTTTATATTAAAACTAATCGCTTCCAAAGTGGCTCACGTTTAGATCTCCCCCATGCCCATAGGTTTAGAAGGCCTCAACACTTGGAAAGTTGTTATAGACCATACTAAGCCGGGCTAAGCTTGAATCTATCTGAGACCTTCCCGGTCTGTCTCACGTGATGCCACCGAGGTAGCACCTGCTAAACCTGCACGGGGGAAGTGGGTGGACGCCATGCGGCTCGTGTTGCGTGTGTCGTGTGTTGTCTTTGTTCTGTCTTGGTCGTCCTTCGTTCGTGTGCTTAGTACCTAAGTGAGGAGCTAAGTAGGGCGCTGACGCTGCGGAACTGGATCAGAAGGCCTCGGACTTCGCTGGGCCACATTCTCCGCCTGGGATTCTCCTAATGGGTTCCACAGTTGCGGAAAAGCTTAAACGGTGTCAGCCTCCTCGTTTGGTTTTAGTTTTTGGCCGCGGAAACAGGTGAGGAGACCGCTGTAGCTTGGCTTTAGCCAGTGCCGGGCCTGCGCGGTGCGTGCTAGGTCTTCTCTTTGTGAAGTTTTAACTTGCTCGGAGTTGTGTAGTTTTTCTGCCTAGGGTGCGTGGTCTGCTGTGGCTACATGGAAGCTGAGTCTTTCAAGCTGTAGGAGCCCCGTCTAGTTTTAGACTGTAAAGAGATGGAAGTAGTTCGCTTGATTTCGTAGGCAGTTCACTTCTATGGGCCAAAACGGGACGAGCTTCAAGAGGAAAAATCTCCACTAAGGGCCCGGGCTAGTTCAAAACAGGGCGGGAGTCTATCTACGTCTAAGAAGTTAGGACAAGCGTTGCTTGGTTGCTAAGCGTGGCCCCCTTCTTCTTTGTTTTTCCCTTCTTCTTTGTCCTCCACGCGCCTCTTCGCCGTCTGTCGTGCTCGGGGCTTCGTTCTGCTTCTTCTTCTTTTCTGTTGGCCTTCTCCGCTTAGCGATGAGCCCCGCGACCTCTGGTCTGCGCGCTTGTGAGGGAGTTCAATGTAAAAGAAAAAGCCTGGCGCGCTCTTGTAGTCGGGTTAGTTACCACCACGAACACCATGCAACACCATCAAGAAAGCCCGTTCGGTGCTGGCTTTGTTAGCGCGTCGGCGCGCGTCAGATGTGTCGGACAGTGCCGACATCTGTCGGCGAGGGAGCAAGCCCACTCACAAATAAAGCGCAAGCTTGGGGGGTAGTTCTTATGACCCGAACGCCGACGCCCCTGGGAGGTTTGTTCTAGGCTCGGCGCGTTGTCTCCCCACGTTGGTGGGGTGTTTGTATAGTCTGGGTTCTTGCGCTCTGTGCTTGGGACGATGTCGGCAAAGCCTTGCGACTGCGCAAGCTGGACCGGTTCGCACTTCCTTGCCCACCGTCTCCGCGTGTGGTGTGGACAGGACAGCGCCGCAGTCGTTTGCTGCTTAGATCGCCGCGCCACTGGACAGCCTTACTTAGTAGGCCGCCGGGCTACCTGTAGCCGACCTGCTAGCGGAGGGACCTCCTTGAGAATCGGAATCGCTGAAGAGGCCCATAGGAGTGGAGGCGCTTCGCCTAGTGGTTCAGCCTGAGGCGCGCCACCTTCACCTGCTGCGACTGCGGCGCTCCAACGTGGGCCACAAGTTGCCCCGCATCCTTCCCAGCTGTCTCGAGTCCACTCCACTCCCGGCATGAGCGTCCCACGCAAGTGGCGCGCAACGTGTTGAGGCGTGGGCGTCTCCTGTAGTTCTGGCAGCGGGCGCTCATCCCGCTGCAGCATTCGCCGCCCCGGTGATGTCTGACCGATAAAATAAGGCAGCGCTAGGCGCAACAACTCGCCAGCCGCGGCTTTGTTTTGGAACTCGCCGGCCGCCTTGGCTTTCTTGGTAGGCTTTTACTTTGGGCGAGCTCGTCCCCGGCGATCTGCTCTCGGTCTTTGCCTCGCTTTCACTCTGGCTCGCTGCCTCCTCTTGGTCATTGATTGTGGATTGTTGGAGCTCTGCTACCAGCTTCGTTGGCAAGCGTTCGCCACTCGTCCCGGGGCTTCATGTCATACGCGTTCCACTTCTTCAGGATTTTCGTTGCGTGATTTTTACCGTGGAGCCAGCCTGGGCCGATGGCGTGTCTCTCTCTTCGCTTCTCTTCTTCTTGTCCACTCGGACGGTACGCCAAGCAACAAAGTGAAGTCAAACGAGTGCGGTTCGATAATCTTGCTGGCCTCTTATCTTTTTTGGTTATGTCCATCGTTGTAGGCTTGGGCCCTTTGCTGACCTGGCCCGCGTAGCTAGTCACTTGCGTTGCTGGGCGCTCGCCTTGTTCTTTGGCTGGTTTTCGTGCAGTTGCTATGATGTCGCCAACGTAACAAGCCAACATGGCGCAGAGCTTCCCGCTTGCTTCTGTTCTGTAGTGCCACCCTCTTGGTGTTGGCTTTGGCAATGGCGTCCACCGCACCCCCCGGGCTGGAGTTTCGCGCCCGCCTTTTCATGCCAAGCGCTCGGAGATGGCTCGAACCCGTGCAGAGCCTCTGTCGTAGCTTTTCTTTTGCAGGGTTTTCATCCTCTTCGATGATTTCTTCTGGAGGCAAGTCGAAGAAGCTCGGGCCCTGGTCGGTCTGCTTTGGGGAGAGCTTGAGTCATGTCCGCGCCGTCAATGTCTCACCCATGCTGCGCGGCATGGGCCAACAACTGGCGTCGGGTCGTATACTGTTACTAAGTAGCTGCCTGCTGGCATCGGGGCAGAGGTCTCGTCCTTGGGCAGGGCGTCTTGCGTCGGTCTTTTCGCCACTAGTCGCGACTTCCGTCGGCTGTCGCGCTTTTGCACTCTCACCACGTGCGCGCGAGCCGGTCGCTTAGTTACGGCGTCGCGCCCAGTCTGGCGCGCACCCTTGGCAGGATCCAGATCGCTCCAGACTTTCGGACCTTTCAGTCGATCCATCCTCCCCTTTAGCGTCTGCTTCCTTCCATGGATCTGCTCCAGGGCTTCGCGTTGCTCCTTTCCTTGTTGTGGGTCCACTCCGTGCTTGCCTGGTGCGGTCAGCAGTGCGTGGGAGTGGAATCTTGCGCAGCCGCGTCGACATGCTGCAGCCCCTTCGCTTAGGGCTTTGCCTTTGCCACAGAGAGAACCTGAGCAGCATCGCTAGACGCCTTGGCTTTGCGCTTTCGCTTTACTTTATCCAATGGCATCCAATGGCCTTCGCGGTCTACCTCGACCGCGCTTGGGTGTCACGTCGGACGCAGAAGCCCTTCTGAGTCTGTTCTTCGTTCCTTTGTTTTCTTGGCCAGCGCTTTGGCGTTTGCTTTTACATTGGTACGTAGGCAGGGTACCGGCTTGGCTTAGACTTGACTTCGCAAGACCTGCGCCACGGCTGGCGCTGGCCAATTCGCCTGCTTGGCTCGCTGGCTAGCATTCTTGCCCAGAGCAGTTGCCCCACTCGCCGGGGAGTCTTCATCTTTGTGCGCTCTGGGGTGTGTAGTCTGGCCCAGATTCAGTCCCTGGCGGCTTTCTTGCAACTTGTTGGCGCTCCTCTCGTAGGTGTTGTCGCGGCCTCGTCGCCTGGCGTAGTCTTAGGCGTGTCCACCGTCGGCGTACTAGATCCATCCAGCGGACTCATTTGGTTCTGAACTTGTCAGCCGAAGAAGCTGCCCCGTAGCATTAGCCGCGCGCAACATCCGGAGCGCCTCACCAGTTCCACAGGGTGGCGCCGCCATGGATGTACTCAGCGCCTAACGCGTCTGGCTGTGTTGTTGGCAGTAGTTCCGTGGGTGGCTTGTCTAAGGTGCTCGAGGTTGTCGCTACTCACCTTGTAAGCCTCGCAGGGCCTAGCTTGCTTCGTTTCTTGTAGGGCGGACTCTCTTGTGCTGTGGAGGTGACAAGAGCGAAACGCTGAGCCCTTCGGGCTATAACAAACCTGCAAAGACGGCGGGGGCCCACCTGGGTGCGTTCTTGTCTGCAGGGTGGTCGCCATTTCATACATGAAACACAGCGGCCCAGACCGCCTCAGCTTATGGAAGTTCGGCCTGCGCTTGTGTCTCTCTTCGCTCGTATGGTGACTGCTTTGCGGTCGGTCGATCTTCTTCCGTGAATTCGCGATCGCGGAGACTGTAGAGCAAGGCCGCACTCATCCAGCAGATATCTGCGAGCCGAGCATCTACCCCCCAAGTCAATGCCTTGCCTGACTTTGTTCCCGCTTGTTCTCCGCCATCTCTCAGGGCGTGAGCTCTTTGTCGGCTGGTACGGCGGGGAGGAGCTGCTGGCCACGATTTTCAACTCCGCCAAAGCCTTCGCTCGGTTGATGGTCTGGGGTTCGGGCTTGTTATCGGGTCTGGTCTCAACATCGGGAGGCCTCTTATATCGGCAGATCTTCTGCGGCGCTTCATCAGCGTGCTAGCCTGGCCTCAATCAATGCCATGGCAGCACCATCGGGGCCCGATCGTAGCCCCAGTGCACCAAAAAGACAAGCACCCCCGAGCGTGCTTGTCTCTGGAGCTCGCTGGCAGTCTTTCGCGAGGTCCTTGAAATCGACTCGCCGCCGCTGTTTCGGCCTCACAGGCTTCCAGGTTCTTGTAGGCTGTTGCTTTTTCGCTGGTCGCTTTCCGTGGTCTTGTGGTTGTGTGTGCCGCTAGACACGCCGCGCACTTGATGCCTTTGCTTTTGGCAAAGGTGGGAACGCTTTGGCCTTTCATCATGCTCCAAGAGACTTACGCGCGTGCGCTCTGTGGTTCTCAGCCTTGAGATAGCGCGCATCTGTCTCGGCAGTCCATGCTCGAGCTGGAGCATGATGACCGGCAAGCCATCCTGGCTTACGCCTTGGGGCACGTCGGCCCCCGGCTTTTCTGACTGAACTCCGCCCAGAGGTGGGAAAGAAGTCAGGGCACCTGCTTGCTGCAAGTTGTTGGCAGATATATACACACTACTCAGCGCCGGCCGATGCACGCTGTGGCGCAGTTCATGGCGAGAACTGTTGCGGGGCCTGGGGGTGCCCTCCATTGCTGCCCCAGGGATTTCTTCGCCTGAGGCTGTGCATAGATTGCACTTAGCTCCCAGGCGCTCGAAGCGAGACAAATACGGCGAGCGGCGAGGCTCGGCCCCGCTATCGACAGTCGCGCCGACTGGCTGGCCTTCGTCCGCTGTCTTAGGTCTTGCGTGAAGGTGTCTAGTCGAGCAAGTTGCTGGCCGACTTCACTCCCCCGATCGTGTGCTTGTTCATTTTTGTCTTCGCCGTCAGCCTGGCTGTGCTGCCTCAACTAGAGGAGGGCTGTGCCCCAGTTGATTCATTTGAAAAAAACAAATATTAAAGGCTTCCTTGGTTGATCGTTAATCTATTTGGCGGTAGTGGTGTGGTGTATTTGGTTGAGTGATTGGATGAGAGGAAGTGTAGCTTTTTGGTAGTCTTTTCATTTACACAAGTGCGGACTTTCTTGGCCCGGATGTCGTGAGGCATTTGCTTGAGCTCCCTCGGCGTTGCGTGTTCAATAACATTCAGCCAGTGCCCTATGGCTAAGCGCGACGCTTTTGGTTTCAGGCTAAGGAGCGAGAGCCTTGCTTTCGGTTTTTCTTTACTCTCATCTAATTAATCAGCATCAAGAAAACTAAGCATAACAAACCTGCAGCACTCACTCACCCGGGCTAGCTACTAGTGAGTGCGTTGAAACTAACTCGGACGTCGATGCTTGGGCGCTCCTTTAGCGTCCCCCATCTTATGGAGCTAGCCTCTGCGTTCCGCGTAAGGTGGTAGCTGTTTTGGAAAGGTGAGGAGTTCCGTTGTTTCAGAGGGTAAATATGCTCGAGCTGCGCTGTCGCTGTCGGCACCGCTTGGAGATAGTGGCGCGCCGTCACCTCCTTCAGAACCTCACCGAGGCTTCGCAGAGTTTGCGCTGTGTCGGGTTGGGCTGCGGCCTTGTCTGCTACTTCCTCCGCGGGCTCTACCTGGCGTCTGGTCTCTGCCCCGTCCTCTCCTCCTCCTCTGTGTGAACGGTTTTGCGAGCGGCTGCGGCTACGCGGTCGGCCTCGGCAGTCCTTGCTCTTGTGGTTGGGGCGGTGGCTGCGGCTGCTCGTGGCTGCACCCGTGTCACGCTGACGCGAGCCCCTGCCGTGTTTGGAGCTGGGGCTTCCATCCTGGTCGCCAAGGTTGCCACGCGCCGGACACTTCTAGAAGCAGTGGCCATCTGTTTGACACCGATCACGCCTGAGCTTGCGCTTTTATTTGTCGCCGCTGTTCTTCGGTTTCTTGGGTTGCTTCTTCGTAGTTGCCATTATGCTGTGGCTTTCTCGTCTCGCTTTCCTCCACTCGTGACTTGTAAAGTAAGAAGCTTCGCGCTGCTTGAGGCTTGCCCCAACCGCGGTGAGACTGCAGCCTTTTTGGTCTAGTAGATGCGGGGCCAAGTGCTTCCGATCCGTTTTGGTCTTTTTAGGTTTACGAGAATCGTCGCCGCTGCAAGGTCACGCGGCTCAACCGCGGGCATTTCTCGCAATTCTTCGCGGGTGTTGGCCATCAGTTGGCTCACTGACTTGGCCCCGCTCGAGTTTGTGACTGACAGTAGCCTCTGGGGTCGAGTGCTCTTACCGGTTGGTCTTGGGTGCTCCCTCTCGGCCATCAAGATCAAGGCACGTAGACGCGACCAGATTGGCTCCTGCCGTGTGGTCGTCTTGCTCTTTTTGTCTCGCCAGCTGATGTGCCTCACCTTGCAGGGTAGCCAACAGAGCACCCCTCAGGGGCGCTGTTTTTCTTTTCAGGTGAAGAGCGCTCGGACTCTTCTGGAGGGGTGTCCTTTTCTGTTTTCTCTGGGCTGTTGTCTACAAATTCAACCAGGCCAGCCTCAGCGAGAGCTTGACGGGCATCCGCTCTCCATGCCTCGAGGCAAATCCTTGGGGGCGGCGCCTCTTTTCGAGGAAACGGCATCCACATCCAAGACAAGCAAGAGGCAGAAGAGCTCCTCAAACTTGTGGAAGACTGGGAACATTACGAGCAGACGGGGGAAATCATCGACCAAGACAACCGGCGAGCCTGCCCCTGGGGGGTGAAGAAATGCCAGGGGGCGCAGTCGGATACTCGCCGGCGTGGTATGTGCCAGGTAATGCACGGCACAGGCCAGGCGCGCCAAAAGTGGCTAGAACAGGCCAAAAGGGTAAGAAAGGACGAGAAAAGGTGGGAGGCATACCACGGGGCCAAGCGAATGCGCGGGGACCCGATGACAAAGGTAAAGGCGTACCCATACAAAGAGAAGGCGTGTGGCTGGCCGGTGGAGGAGCCGGGAAAATGGTGCGAAGGGTGCAAAAGAATAGAAGGAGGAGAAATATGGGCCACCCACTGCAGGGAAGCCGAGGAGAGAAAAAAAAAGGAGGACCCTGCGGGGAAAGAGCAGGGGGAAAAAGCCAAGGCCCAGAGAAAAAGACAGAGGGAAGAGGAGCGGGACGATAAGGCAAAAAGAGAGGCCCAACGCAAAGCCCAAAAGAGAGAAGAGACAGAGGAAAAGAGAAGGGAAGGAAAAAAGAGACCCGCGGACAAACCGCTGGAGGGACTCAGGGAAGGGAAGAAGCCAAAGAAGCCCCCAGGGGCGGAAAAGGCTGGGGGAGAAAAGCGGCCAGCGGAGGAGCCGCTGATAGACCTCAGAAAAGGGAAGAAGGGGAAGAAGCAGCCAGGAGACCAAGAGGAGGAGAAGGGCAACGCCCTCAAGAAAAGGGGGGCACAGAGCAGCCCAACAGCAGCGAAGAGGAAGCAGCAACGAGAACAAAGAACAAGGCCGAAAGAGAGGAAAGGAGCCAGCACAGAAGTGAAGAAAAAAGAAGAGAAAGGGCGGAGACCTGGCAAAGGGACCGCCGGACGAAATGAGGCCAAGAAGACCACGAAGGGAACAGAACAGCAAAAAAAAACGGCCGAAATGAAGGGGCCGCTTAAGGGGAGACCCCCCGATGAAGGGGGAGGCAGTGCAGGAGGGTAAGAGCAAGCGAAACGGGCTCCCCTCGCCTCCTTGGGGTCCCCCGGAGAGGTGGCGGGCGCGGGTCTGGCCTCTCTCTGCGGGGTCGAGTAGGGGCGATCTTTTATCTTAAAGAGGGCAACCCTCTTAGGTAAAACGGTTGCAGGGATGGGATGGCATCCCGCCCCACCCGATCGAGGGGTTTACATCATCGTCGTCGCCTCTTTTCGAGCTGGTGAACTCCGTTACTTGCTGCAGCATTTGTGGAGCCCGTTTGGCGTCTTCGTGGTCGTCTTGCTTTGCTTTGTCCAGCTTGTGGCCTTTCGCTTTCTCGGTGTCCTTGGTTCTCGCGTGCTCGACGCAGTTCAGCATGGTGATTCTCCTGCATCGTAGCAAGCGTGCTGGCTGCTTGCTCTTGGTTAGCTTGGTTGCGTCGCGGTCGCCTGCTGTTGCTGTTGTAGATGCGTCACAGGCTGCGCCTGCTGCTGCGCCGTGTTGTTCGCCAACTGCAGTAGTGCTGAACTGCGGCCAGCTTGCTGCGTTTGGGGCTGCGGCTGTTGCTGAAAGCCACCGCCTCAGGAGAGGACCCCGGGCCCGGGGAACTGAGTCGCCTGTTCCCACAGGGCTGGGCGCTTGCTGGGGCCTGGCTTGCTTGGCGGTGCCTTGCTCCAGTACCCACCTGGCCCAGCCTCGGCGGATCGATGTTGGCCCCCCTCTGTAGCTCCATCGCTTGCACCTGCTCCCGGCACAGCATTGACCTGGCGCGCCTTCGTGGTATCCACGCACCGCCTCGCTCTTTCTTGTGGATTTTCTCTATCCTTGAAAACGCCACCTGCTTCGTGTGCTGGGTTTTCTGCTCCACCGTGTTGGCCTTCGCTTGTCATTTTCTTGCCTTTGTCTTCTTTCAAAAGTGAACTGCTTCCAGTGGTAAACTTTTGCGAAGGCTGTCGCTGTTTTGTATTTCCTTGCGCTTTTTTTTGTAGTGCTGGCATTCCAGTGGGGTCACGCGCTTGGCTACTTGTTTCCTTCTTTGCTCAAAAACGTAGGTAGAAACTGGAGCGGAAAAAAGTATTGGGTTGGTTCACTTGGTTGGTAGATGAATCAGTGTGATAGTTAGACCATCCTGAGACTGCCTGGGCTTGGGTCATTCTTTCACCTCCTCGTTGTGTCTCGCGTGATGTCACCGAAGTGACACATGTGAAGGGAATGGGTGCCATGCAGTTCGTGTTACGTGTGTCGCGTGTTGTCTTTGTTCTGTCTTGGTCGTTCTTCGTTCTTGTGTTTATTTAAGTAAGTGTTTAGCCAAGTAGGGCGGTGGCGTTGTGGAACTGGGTCAGAAGACTTCGGACCCCGCTGGGGGTATGTGTCAAGGTTCTGCTCGCATTGGGCCAAAGAAGTCCCTAAAAAAATTGTCGGGGGTCGAGGTGGAGACTGGCTCTTTCGGGCTGATGGTTGCTTAGGCGCTCTCTTTTGTTTCAAAGTATAGTTATAACGGCACGCCCACAGGGACAGGTTGGGAAGAATGTGACGCCGGGACCTAGGTTCGATACTCACACCTGCCCAAACAAGAAGACACGCACAGGGGAAGTAGAACGCGGCCAGCCCCTGTCTCCGGTAAGGTAAGAAAAACTCGGGATGAAGGGCCCTGGCCCATAATGATAAACCCACAAGGGAACAAGAACGCGGCCGGGCTTCGGGTTCGTGATTGTAAACACAAACCAGGCGACGACCGCGACCCCGTCGGGCTTGTCTGTGGTGCTCCGGCTGGTGCTATGGGGTCTTGGCTAGTTTGTGCCTGGCGCTCTTCCCGGTGCTTGGGTGCTCTTGCTGGGTGGTGCTTTGGTCCTCTGTCTGATAGACAGGTGCCCAGGTGCAACGGCTGGCGCACTGGGTGGTCGTCTGTTCTGTTTTGCTTTGGGCGGTCTGCGGGGCTGGTGCGGTGTGCTCTCTGGCTGGTGCGGTGCTTTGGCTGGCTTGCTTGGTGTTCGGGCTCGCGCGTCGCTGTGGCTGGCACATCACTTTCACTAGCTGGTGCGCGGTTTCCCCTCTCTGGTTGGTGCGTCGCTCAGGCTAGTGCCTGAGCTCGTGCTCTGCTGTCCTGGCTTGCGCTCTGCTCGGGGTGTCGCTGCTTTGTATCCGCGGGGGTGTCGCTAGCGTCCTAGCGGGTTTAGAGGCTGTGCCCACCAGCATTGGTGCTGCTCGCTGCTGTCGTGTGTGTGGCGCTGGTCGTGTTGTGTGTGTGTTGTGGGTGGGCTGCGTTAGTGCCCGGCGAAGTGCTGGCGTATTGTCTGCTCGTACTGAGGTGCTGCTGTGGCTGCTTGCTGGTTTGTTTTTCTGTGGTGCTCGCTTGGGGTATTTCTGTGCGCCGTCGGGTCGGTCGGAGGCTGCGCTGATTTGCTTTTGCGCTGGCCTTGGTTCTTGTCAGTTTGCTTGCCTCGCTCGTTCTTTGATCTGTTTCGCCATCACTGTCGCCTCGCTGTTCACCTTTGGCGACCACTTTTGCCGCCAGCGTGAGTCCATCTGCTTGCAGAGCCGCCGCTGACCGGAAGAGAAACGGCGCAGCCGGCGGATATCATATTAGTATTTTTAGGCTAAACAAGAAGAACTTTTCTCAAATCCGGAAGAGGCTCTCTCAAGTGCCGACCTGAAGGAGATCGATTTCTTTAAAGAGTTTCCATTTCAAAGAGTTACTATGATTGTTCTGAAGGCAAAAAATTCTCCTTAAGGAGGCGCCTTAGGGAGCAGCTGTTATAAAATTGGGCGAATAATACACCCCCCCTCAAGGGCCACCGCCACCTCGCAAGGGCCGGGCCTTAGCTTGCTAGCTTCGTAGCCCTAGCTAGCCTGCTTGCTCACCCCTTGCCTGTAGCTACCTGGCTAGGATAGCCGTCGGTAGCCTGCTAGCTGCTTAGCCATAGCCAGCGTGCTAGCTGCTGCGCCTCCATCGCTAACGAGCTTATGAGGCAGCTGCTTGGCCTTATTTAGCTAGCAAGCTAGCTACTTGGCCGCCATGATAGCTAGCTTGCTAGCTTCTTGGCCATCGCTAGCTTGCTCCTAGCTGCTTAGCAATAGCTAGCCTGGTAGCTGCTTCCTTTGCAAGACCTAGCGAAGCCGCTGCTTTCTTAGCCATAGCCAGCTTGCTGGCTAGCTTGGCCATGGCCAGGTTGCTAGCTTAGCCCGGCAGCCAGAGCCAGCCGTTTAGCTGAATCTTGGCCAGCTTGCTAGCTCCGCCTTATCTAGCACGCTAGCGCTGCCGTGGCCACTCCAGCTCGCTAGCTTAGCCACAGCCAGCCTGCTGCCTTAGCCACAAGAAAGCGACAGCTAGCTCGCTTGTTTAGCCATGAGGGGCGTCCGGGATAGTCCGTTCGGAACCAGCTGCGCGTCGCTAGCTTGGTGGCTTAGGGGCTTGCGCTGTAGGCTTATTTGTCTAGCTGCTAACCGATGCCCAGTGCAGGAGCGGGCCCGTGGTGGGCCCGCTTTCTGGGCATGTATGAACATACGCCCGAAGTATAGGCCCACAGGGGCTGCCTGGCGGTGCTGGGTCGCGGCCGCTCGATGCTTGGTTGACCCTCCTCCAGCGTGTTTGTTGCTTTCGTCTGCTAGAGTGCTAGCTTATTTTGCTTTCTCTTCTGGTGCGTTGGGTTTGATAACTGGGCACCTGAACCTGTGGATGAGACGAGATACTTGCACCGGGCTAGTGAAAATCTTTGTGCTGATTTCTAATGTAAGAACGCCGCTTTTGATGCATCCGCATCTAAATCGGATTCCTAGCTGCTTCCAGGTGGGTACTGGCGTCGGTGCTGCGCTCCCACCTACGGTTGGCTTGCACATTGACCTATACGCATTGGCGATGGCGCTAGTGAGTCAGAGGTTTGGTGGTTTGCTTTCGATTGAGGTGAGGCGCGTTTTTGGAGCGTCTTTGGGATATGCTTTCATCGAACGAGAGCAGGCAAAGGGAGAGGGACTTTCTTCGGATGACTTGGATTTTCTGGAACCATATTTGCCTTGTTACGGCGTCGAGTCTGATGCGCGACCCCCTGTTCGGAGTCAAGAATATTGCTCGTGGCAGGCGAATTTCCAGCAGTTAGCAGCAGAGGCATATAATGAAGTCGCCATGGGCAGGGCAAGTGACGCGGAGCTCGCCCGCGTGAGGCCTGTTTGCTACAGGGGTTTCAGGCAGCACACGATTCAGCGCTACCTCTTTAATATTTTCGTAGATCGTGTTGATCCTCTTGATGAACGGCTTAGCGTCTTGGTGTCCAGGTGCCTCGTTTTCAGCGCGACGATGAACACCAAAGTCGAGGGTTTGCCACTGTCACAGGATGGGCTTGCTTACGTTGTGGCCGCATCGTATAATACTGCTCGCGGCGCCGACGTCGAGCTTCAGGTTGTGTCTACCAAGTCCGGGAGCGAAGTAAAAGTTTGGCTTCGATCGAAAGTAAAAGACATTAGGATGTCCACCATCCACCATGATATCGGCTACGAGTATTTGGTGGATCACTACGGCCAAGCTACAGAAGCGTCTTTGGTGGCCAGCTACAGTGGTCAAGCTACAGCAGGAATAGGAGTCTTGGGTCCTGACCCAGTGTGGGTGCCAGAAGCGCGCGTTCGGGCTGCTTCGCCACTATTTCTACATGGGCAAACTGTGATCCGCTATGTCTATGGCCAGCGGTTTCCGAACACCGACCTCGACATGGACATGGACATGGACGTGGCACAGGCACAGCATGCCACTGTTGCCTCTTCCATGTGGCGGCCCACGATTGGCCAGGTCTGTTATTATGAAGAGTCGCGTAGGTGCCTGCAGTGGCCAACTTGTTAGGGCCATCATTGTGCTTTGCGTCGGTCATTCTGTACTTCACCCGCCCACTCCAGTACGCACCGGGAGCCGCCCATCCTACACGCGACATGCTTGGGGCGCTGATTGTGGTCGCGGTATTCCGCATTCTGCCATCTGGGTTCTTCTTCGAAAATTAGGCCAGGGCCCTTCGTTCGCGTTGCATGGCCTTGTGTTTTTTTGTTTTTGCTAGCCCAAGGCTGAGAAGGGGAAGGCCCCGGCCCCTCGGGACTGATTCCGCCCTCGCGCTAGTTTAGCAGAGGACCTGTCGTGGAGCGGGGGCCCCCTCCCTGGGATGGCGACGCATGGGCGCTTTAGATTACATGCCCAGCGAGGTTCCCTCCCTGGCCGGCGGGGATCCTCGCTCTGAGCGAAGGCCGCGCTTCAGAGGGTTGATGTCAAAAAGGGGGACAAAAAGAGAGGGCCCACGGATGCACCCCAAACAGCTTGGGGCGTTTAAGTAATTGGCGACCATTTAGGGCGGCGCAAGTCAAAGGGCTTGCCTGAGAGGGCACCCCGAGCCCACACAGGCTCGGCTCTTTTCGGTAGTTTTGTTTTCTGAAAAGAGAAAGGGGTGCAAAATGCCGCCAAAGTGGCCCGGGCTCTTTTTGTCCACAGAAAGCACCCGCCCCGGGTGCGCCTTGCCTTGCTTGGCCCGGACTTGCTTCTGCGCCGGGTGTTGCCTCCATGCAGGGCGGGCTGGATGGCCGTGGCCGCTGCTTCTCTGCGGATATCGGATGGCCGGCGGCCACGCGGTGCCCAGGGTATTGTGAGTGTATTAGGATGGGAGTGTGCCAGGCCTTGCCCCTGGGTGGCAGCATTCGTTTCTCAGTCGGATCGTCCTCAGTCACAGTCAGGCGTCGGCGCTGCATAAGTCTGAGCGATCTGTTGCCACGATTGCTGGGCTGGACGAGTGAGCGTTTGGCCGCACATGCACAATTAAGCGCTTAGTATACAAGCACCTACCCAATTCTCCTCCATTGAGTCATGATTAGTTTTCCTTCGATAGATGGACCTGGACGAGAGCAGGAGCAGCACGAAGTGGTAGAGCAGAACGAAAACGGGCTTCTTCTTTTTGAGCTGGGAACCTCTGTCTGGCTTTGGGATGCGAGTGTCGGTCGTTTGACTGAGTGGCGGATAGAATCCTTCCAGCAACACTATCCTCGACGTGTTATTTCGTACAAGGTCGTGAATGAGCTTCAGCAACAGGAGCGCAAGGATGTCGAAACGCACCTGCTGAGGAGGCTTCCGCTGTCATGATGTTGATGATACCTAGTTGTACTTAAGTAAAAAAGTGTAAAAATAATATGTACACTAGAATACTTTATAGAACGGATGTAGGATGGACTTGGATGGATCGGATGGACCCTCCTAAGCCTTCCGGTCCTACTTGAAATGGTGGGAAGTCCATCCGATCCATCTGACATCCCGGACCTGGCGCCCCTGCTATAGATTATTCTAGTATATAATGTTGTTCGTTAAATAATGTGTTCATAAATCTCTACTCTTTCTCTCCATCGTGATACAGATGGCAGGTGAAAAAAAATTATAAACGTTTTTCCGATTCTTGTTGTTGTAGTCACTCATCAGGATCCATGTAGTTGATGATGATGATCGGCCACCTCACTTCTAACACTATATCCCCAAGAAATATGACACGGGGAGAGGCCTCGCCACCACTTGCTGTGAGCGATAGACTAGTGCTAGTCTAAATGAGTCATTTGATGTTGAATGATCTTCGCCAATTTTGGATGTTGACAATGTATAAATATTATTTGACTTTTCATCTTGACAAAGGGTCAGGGAAAGGATGATCTTCATCAAGGTACCAGAAAGAGAAACAAGTAGATGTAGAGAGATGCATGAGTTTGAGTGCAGGTGGCGGGTGATGTTATTTCCCGTTACAGCCATTTTCCTTCTGACGTTTCTGTGCAGTTTTTTTACGTCGAAAGGGTCAGCATTGTTTTGCTCTTGCATATGTCCCAGCGAATACGAATTCCTTGTCATTATGATTGTCTGCGTATCCTTTTTTTGCTGAATTTCATTTGTATGGTCCCCCACCCTACTTCCGATACCTGTTTTTGTCTACCTGTGTGAAGAACTGACGTTCAGTGCAAAGATTGTAAATAGCACGCCTGCTCGTGATAGTCTTGTACATCAGACAAGAAAGATGCGGCTTTGATGTTTGATGCGTTGTGAAGATTTTTGAGTTTTCTTGGGTACCAGCATAATAGACAAACATGACTGATTCCGCGAAAGATCTTGTTTATTTTTGTACTACGTAGTTACAAAGAGAAGCTGTGACTCATCATCTTCTTGTTCCATTTTTGTTTTTCAGAGGGGGCGCTGAAATGAGTGACCATTGCATCATGGATAGAGAATTGCGGTTGTAGTCACCCCCTGGCGGCATAAATATTAGCTTTTTTCCCTTCATCCCCTCGCCCACCCCGCCACATGCACACGGGGTTAGGCACTGGATCAAATAGAATTGTTAAGAGCAACACTGTCATGTAAGTTTACGGACCTCATAGACATAGTTTTTCGCACCTCTCGTTAGTGTTACCTCGTATTTATTAAAGATATTATGTTTTCGAATTTCATCTGGAATAATTCACAATCAGTTCTTTCAGTTGTGACAGAAATTACTATCGAGGATGTCCTTCTGGGAACAAGTAGTAGTAGGGGGACTGCACCAATAGCCACCTAATGCTAATTTACTAGCCTTTTCTCAGGAGAAAGGAGTATTACTAGCCTAGAGGAGGCGGGAGTATTATTCTAGTATCGGGAGAGGTAGATAGGGGAGCCATCCCTGGGAACAAGGGGCATTATTAGATGAAGGCATTGACAAAAAGCTTTGCGGTGGAGCATTATTCAAAGCATATCCAAACTCCAAAAGAAGAAGTCGCTCCTCGTCATTTTTCATCTATCGAGTTGCGCCAGCTACACACGGACAGTCTTTCTTGCGCAGTTGATCATAGATTTAGCCATATTAAGTAACCAAAACGCAATACTCCCTAACTGCTCGACGTAAGTAAGTCTCTACATGTTTAGGCTGCTGGAGATCTACGACGCAGAGGATATGAAGACACCCTCAGCGACAGGGCCTGCTACTTGTTGATGAAGCTTGCCCCTGTTCGAACGCGGCAAGATGTTAAGTACTAGTAGTCCCTATTTTCATACTGTTACTACATCGAACAAACTTACTAGCTCCTCAAAAGGCTTCAGCTCAAGTAGATGACGTTTAAGATCGTAGTAGAAAGGAAAAATTGACCTGCTGCTGCAGAACGTAATTGCATGACTGGAGTTCAGTCATCTGTACAATCATCCATGTGAAAGTTTCTTAAAGTAGTGGTAATGTAAGCGAGATCGCAATCAGAATTTACTTGAATAGCTGAAATCTAAGGTCGTAAGATAGCGATAGATACTTAATAGCTGAACAAAACTCAATGTTGTTGTCAAGATGACGTGTCGAACGTCAAGCCATATTGGATATAAGTAGCCATCCATCCATATTGAAGATGTCCGCCCATTTATTGAAGATACCTCTGTGGTTGCTACAGGCAAGCTATTGAAGATACCCATAACCATATAGCTACAATCAACAAACTAACTATCAGATCATAAGTGTGCCCATCTTATTGCTTCTACAATCAAAACAGTTACCAGTTGTTGTCCTCGGCGTCCATCTTGCTGTTGCTCTTCTTGTTTTGAAATGTTTCTGGTCTGTTAAGCTAACATCTCCATCGCGCTGCGACCTAGAGCCAACTGGGCGAGGCATGACTGAGGCAGCTGCGCGGCGTATGCTAGTATTATCGAGTATTATACCTAAGCTGGGTGACGAGTGACTGTGGGTGCGCTAGGTTGTAACACCCTAGGAGGTTCTCGTAGTCGTTCGTGCCTGCGCGTCATACTAGCAGCTAACAGAGTCGAGCTTTTGTTTGTGTACCATGTCAAAGAAGAACGAAGTACTAGATGAGAACAAACAATTGACATCATTTCTCAAGAAAGGTGGACGAACATGAAAAAAAAAGTGGAAAGTGCATTTTACGTGAGCAGCAGCAGCAAGTGTCTACTAATATCCAAAAATATTTAGGAATGTAAAGGTGGTCGCATACTCGTTCATACTTAATCGGTTACACTTTCTCAAAAATCGCATAAGAATACTCATTATATACATGACGCGCATCATGATGTGTGCCATAATGATAATTGTAGCACATACGCAGACGCAGCGACTTTGCTTCATGCAGATGATCAGTCTCAGGCTGAGGCGCTTCGCTCTTCGTTTTTTGTCCATGCAGCATAGTCCTTGGCCTGTGCTGTTGGTTCAGGGTTTTGAGGTACTGCCGAAAGCCTTAGCAGGAGCAGAATCGCGGGAGAGATGTGCGCAAAGTCGCGGCATTTTTACGGCGCGAGGTGTATGCATCTAGTCCGTACATCTTTCCCATGCGATGACTTCCGTACATGTCAAAAAAGTAAAATTTTGGAAACCTTCTACGAATCGCCCCGGTGTCCGTACATCTCAAGAGTACACTTTTCCCGTGGTTTACGTATAAGATATATGTCGCGAGATATATTATAGCACAGCCGTACACATCTAGCCCGTACATCTTTGCCATGATTTGCGTACATCTAAAGCCGTGAGCTCGCTCCTGTTTAGCACTTACGACTCGTTTCGGCTTATAATATAGATGATCGTAGTGCTTACATTTAGTGAGTTCAGTAACTACAAGCAGCATGCTCCTGGTGGTTCTGTCGTTTTGGTCGCTGCAAGAAGGTCGCAATATGAATGGTTCCATCATCCTTGTGCATCCATCTATCGACTCTTCGTTCTATCGCTTTGATGACAAGCCGCGCGGCTAGTACAGCAGCCGGTCTCATGTCTAGTACTTGTAGTACACATCAAAGTGCTAGAGCTCCGGTAATACAACGCAAGCTCTCGTCTTAATTACTTATGTAAGTATGCGCTTCACGCGAATAAAAACTGCATTCTGTGTAGTGTGCTTGCTAATTATCTGTGCTTGTAGTTCACCGATGCTTGCTCAGCAATGCATGTTCATCAGTGCTTGCTTACTATCGGCACTTGCTTACTATCGTTAATACTCGCCACCTCTCGATGCAGCCAGAGCCAGACTATCGGTGATTTCTAATCGTCTTTCAATCGACATCTGTTCAAAGACTTCTGACTCCATTTGAAATCAACATCGCCTCGCCTCCACAACTCCCATCCTCTCCTGAGCCTCCAAACCTTCCCCGCCTTGTGTAGGTAAGTAACATCTGGTGAAACATTTTCCATCATGTCGTGGTCATGCTAGGAAAGTTTGTTGGAATTGGATTGTCAGCTTATTCATTCACTCATACTCTCATCCAAGGAAGCCGTCGAATGCCTTAACTGTTTTGAGTCTACTTGTAGTATAAGAATCAACATTTTTCATCTTGTTCATATTGTAAGAAATCCTACACGACTACTACTTTCCTTCATCCTTCATGCCATTACCCCATCAAATGATAGAAAAAGTAAAAGAAATACGAGCTTGTGAGGGCGGACGAGCACGAACTTCAACAATTTGCAGATCTGAGACAATTCTCTGATCATTTAAGTACTACTCAACATCATCAAGACCATCAGCATCATCAAGATTTCGAGACTCAAGAGCAACATCAAGACCATTCAGGAACTCCAAGAACACTTACTTTCTGACCATCGACGACGCTTCATCTGACATACTTTCGACCTTTCGTCAACACTACACTGATTTGAAATATCACTAAGCGGACCAGTACTAGAGTTTGACTGACACTGATCTGTAGAAGACCACTGTAGATCATTTCGAAATCCACACCGTAATTATTTCATCGTCACGTCAACAGGATCATACCGATATCGCATCTTCACTGTCAAGCCTATACGCTTACCCTGCCGCAGGTGAGCAAACTCCTATCCTATCCTCCTACTTGTTTGACCAAGAAGATGGCTGCTTTACTCGGCAAAGCGATGGCTCTCCAAGACGCCTACAACAGTGAAATCCTCCCGAAGGTGGGGCGTGACGACTGCGAGGACACTAGCCGCGAGGACACGACTGTTGTACAAATTCTCTCTTTTTAATAGTATTTTTTTTTTGTGGTAAGTTCTTGTTCTGCTTGATGCTGCTGGAGGTATTTTTAAAAACCAAAAACGAAATGAGACTATTGGAGTGTCTATGTGAAATTCTAAAACAATAATAATTCAGGGTTATTACGGCAGCCTCGACTACGGTAAAAACACTGGAGCTGGTCGCACGACCATTACCACGACCACCGAAAAGCACTCGAATTTGGGCTATAACTTAAGTGTAGTTTTTGTTTTTCACTATCTTCCAGTGTCAGGCAACTCATTGAGTTGTGGGCTTCCCGTGCTTGGTTTAAAGGGAAAAGAAACTAAGAGGAAGAAAGCTCCTCTTTCCTCAATCACGGATAGCGAAAAACTAACTTACTACCTTTAATTTTTAAACAAGCTGGACAAGCAGCAGGTGAAGGTGCGCAGGACTGGAAGAACCCTCTGGTGCATCGGGTCATCTGCTTGGTGCTACTTTGCTTCGGTCTCCTGTTTACCCTAGTAGGCGTTGAGCGCTTCCTCGCATCTTCCGACAATCGAGCTCCGAAAACACGTGGAAAAAAGGGCGCCACTGCAGTAGCAGCGATCAACACGAAGTTAAGGATCATGCTAGAAGTCGGTAGATGACAAAGTTAGATCATGCTAGAGGCTGTTAGATGATTGAAAAGCAAAAAGCTAGTAAGGGGAAGCATTATATAATTAACTTTGATTAAGATTTTGAGAATACAACAGTTTCTCTTTGACTTTGATGTCTCTATTATCAGAGAGAGTGGAGGTACCTTCATAGTTCTCTATCGTCAGAGAATTGGTATCTCCATGCTGAGTTGTCTCCCTCTAGATGAAATGTACTTGGCTCGACTAAATTCTTCATTACGAGGACTTTGTGGTGCCCGTGCGTTAATACTCCAAAGTCAAAGTAGAGGATATACTACAGAAAAAATTCACGAACCCAACAGGAAGAAACTAATATAGTAATATGTTTTCAGTTTGAAGAGAAGTGTAAGTTACCAGACGAGTAGTAGTTGAGTATAAAAAAGTCAAAGAGGTATGTGTCCTTGTGTGCTATTCTTTTGTCTGTGTCTGTCTTTGCTCCGTTTATCCAAGTTAAGTAGTCTAAGTTGCGTAGCAAGGTGAAGGGGGTAGTCATAGTCCCTGGAGTGCTACTAGGCTGTCATCATTGCAGTTCTTATAGGAATACTAAAAATCACTCAACAAGTACAAGACAGGTTTTGTGTAGGAGCGTTTTTTTTGAGAGAGTGAATGTGCATGTGCTTGGAAAGAGACCTCCCATGAAGATGAAAGGCGTCCCTTATTTGAGGGGCCTCCCCTCCCTGAAGGAGCCCCTCTTAGGAGGCCTGTTTTAGGGGGCCTTTCTTGAGCAGCCTGGCTTAACCTTAAATGGGCTGCCTTTTTTTGGACCGTTTGATTTTTGGACAGTGTGGCCATTTTGAGCATCTTTGGCTCGAGTTTTTGGTTAAAGGATCAAGGGATAAGCTCTCTACGTTAAGTAACGATCATCCGCAAGACGGTTTGAGCATGATGCAAGAAAAGCATTATTTAGACACTTTGATATTGGGCGTGAATTAGTATTGGGTTGACGCTCTCTGCGCTGCTAAATTCTAGACTACGGCCAGCGCCCCGCTGGCTAGTGGCAATAATATTCGTTTAACCCTAAACCCCCTCGTCTCGAGGTCTACGCCTATCAGGGTATTTGACTCTATCATCTTGTTCAGAAGCTTATTTATTCAAAGAGAAAATGAATCCTTAATATTAATTTTTCAAAGATTTCACGAACACAAAGTAAGAAGAAAGTCACTTCTCTCTACTGGTGTCCCACAGACACGCTTATGTCTTCGATGGTGATCTTCATTCTAATGTATTAAGTAATCGCTCTGGGTAGCGATAGTACTCTTCTTCTTTCTTTTTTGAGACATATGTTTACTTACCTGGTTTACTTTCGAGCCTACCTCTATACCTTCACACTTTTTTTGACATCGACTACGTAGTCCAAGAGCAGAGCTTTTTTGTTCTTTTCCTTTACAACCTCGTGACCACCAACGTCTTCATCTAGGCAAATCTCGTGAACGACATACCCAAGAGGGAGACTGCGTCTACTACTTCTCGTTCTCTTCGTCTTCCTCTTCTTCTTGTAAGATGATACGCAAAAGAACTTGCATAATTATAAGTAGAGCATGGGGAAGCTTACAACTGCATCAAAAGCAGAAGACCAAGACGATGAAAGTCATTAACTACTTCAACAGTCATCCATGATTGACTTTTTGGATACTAGATACTTTTTCATCAAATTGGATGTTGATCATATTTTTATACGGAGTCTTGAGCATGATGACTCTTCTCCTAAATAAGATCATACTTAGAACAGAGTTGCTCTTCTACTACCTCTAATGTTTACGGATGCGCGCCAAGAAGCGGGTGACCACAGTGCTCATGCGGCTTTGAAAAGCGATGATCACCATACTCAACAAGACGTCGTCGTGGGGACATCTACAAAAACGAAGGAAAAAACAATCTCCAAGAGCGACCACGTGGATTCCTCTGGTGTGGGTACAGCGGTTTCTGGTGATCATGTAGATGTTGTTCCTGGTATTGGTACTGCGGCGGTTTCTGGTGATCGCGCAGATGTCGTCCCTGGTGTGGGTACAGCGGCTTCTGGCGATCAGCACGCAGTTGTCGTTCCCGGTGTTGGTACAGCGGTTTCTCGTGATCGTACAGACCCTCGCGGTGGCACGATTGCCACCGACCAAGCGGATCGCGTCCCGCGAGACTTGACACCCTCGAGCGCTCACATCCACAGGACAGCAACTGATGGGCCTGAGGATGAGGACCAGAAGCTCCTCCTCGAAAACTCCCAAGAACTTCTCTTGGCTGGTGACAACAACATTAACAAGAACTACAACTCCAAGCAAAAGTCTGGTTTTGGTTCATCTGGAGACGATGCACGTGTTGGGGCAGGAGAGCAGCATCAAGTCGTCGTGGCTAGTTCGGAGAGCAGAACGACCCTCCCAGGTCCTGTGGTAGAGCCTCCCAAGATCTATGGTCCAGCAGGTGACGCACCATGCATCACGTTGGATTGGATGTTCCGGACGATCCGGCAACTCCCAGATAATTTGGGCCACGACCTTCCAGCCCGTCCTCACGACGACGACGAAACCCCTTCTGTTTCTGAAATTCCTGTCATGTGTTTTATGATGAAGGGCCGTCGATCATGTCTGTAACAAGTCGTGAGTAAAGCGCTATTGCGCCACTGTTGGTACGCCTGTGTAACGGAAAGAAATAAGTGCCTCTCCAAACGCCGAGAAAGCACTTTTTACAGATATTAAGCACTTTCATTTTAGTAAAAGGCGCTCTGCAGTAGTTTTGAGGTAGTTTTTATAATATATTTTGATTGATGGTTGATGCAGTAGTCAATCCGCCCACGTCTAGTCCACTCACTTTTTTATTGATGCAGCTAGCGCTAGGGGTAGGAGTACGAGTAGGACGACGGGTAGTAGAAGGACTACGAGTAGTTCTTGTAGGACTACTAGGATCATCATGCTTCGTGCCCTTTCATCTTTTTGGCACTTCTTTCTCTGGACGCTTCTACTCACGCTTAAAACGTATTTCTTGTTCTGGGACCCGAGTTCTAATTTTTCAGAACTACAGGATATTGATAGATAAAAGTAATTATTTGCTGCGTGAGTGTAAGAAGATTATTTAATCCACTCTCGTCTAGAAACTCCAACATTATTTGATTTGTTCCACGCTAATCTGAATGCGTGGCCCGCTGGGCCGCGTGGTGGGACGTCCGCCTTTCTGCAGCACGAGCTCGACCAGAAAAGCGCACTCCGTCCTTTGGGTGCTGGATATGCGTCAGGGCGGCCCGTTAAAACTATAACGCGGCCCCCCAGTGGACGTGGAGGAGGACATGGAAACGCTGGATATAATAGTAAAGCTGTGGCACCAGCTCCAGCTCCAGCTGCTCCTGCACCTGCACTGCCGGTACAGAAAGCTGTTGCAAATCCAAGCGGATATGGTCGTGGATACAACTCTGGTCGTGCGCCTAGCGTGAGAGCACCGGCGCCCAGTGAAAGAGGGCATCCCCCTCCCCCGTCAGCACCACAAGGAATACCACCATCACTACCAGGACAGCAACTCTCGCCTCGAGAAATCGTCCAGCAACAAGAAATTATAGACAATCATGGACATGAGGTATTAAAGCTAAAAGTGTGGTCGTCCATTTTTATGATCACAATAGCAAGTATTATAATATCAGAATCAGATGGAATTATAGATGATTTATTTGGATCTATTTTGAGAGCAGATTGACACGACCAAGAAAAAATGGATGCCTTGGCAATATCAAATCTTGGATGTATTTCCAGTCAATTTGGTGCACTTTCGAAGACGTGTACAGGTACTTAAGTAGGGAGATCTAGAAAAAGTTAGTAGAACAACAACAACAACAAGCCGGAAAAGGCTAAGGCCAGGAGTCCGTATTTAACTACAACAGGTTATGCAAGCGAAGCAGCGGCTGAGTCAGGCCTTGGTAGCGTCGCGGCACCCCTTGGGGCTCACAGAATGGTCAGGAGGGATCGCCGATGGTGTTGCGTATTTTCCGGATTGGTCATGGGCCGATGGTAAGAATGGTAGGCCGCACTATGATTTTTCCGAAGAATCGTTTCCAACACTCGCATCCAGCATAGCTGGAAAAATCTATAGCGAGGTACCCTGTCCTCGTTTTCGGGAGCATGGCCATCGCGACTGCGTTCTGAAGCGGATCTACTATAAGAGCTACACGGCAAGCGGGTTCATCACTGAGGCCATGCTGCAGCACCTTCTGTGGACCTACTTTGCTAGTATTAAGCAACCCGGCCAAGCCGCGGCGCCGAATTGTGTTCCGTTCGTGGATGGCATTTATATGGACCCCGAAACACTTGATGCCTTTATTGTTATGGAAGCAGTGGAGATGCTGCCGAGTGGGAAGATTTACGATGGAACACCAGCGGGTCAACAGAGAGCCGAGGAGGCCTATCGCTGCTTGAAAATTTTGAACGAGGAGATCGGCGTTACGCACGGCGATGTCAAGCAGGCCAATATGGGGATAGGACAAGATGGGCATCTTCGTCTGCTGGACTTTGGCCTGGCGACAGCGTGGATCGAAAATAATAAGACACCACACCCACCGATCCTGGAGATCGTCTTATGGAAAGGGCTACACTTTTTCTGATTTTAGTTAAAATTTCAGCATGATCGTAGGAGCCTCTATTTTTTGCCTTGGTAGCTCTAGACATTTTTACTTGGAGGGGGGTCGTCCGTGTTCTCTATTATGGACCCACAGGCAAAGAGCTTGCAAAAAACGTATCTTAATAGCTTACGGAGTAATTGAGTGGTCAATCGTTGTAGACAAAGATCCACTACGAGACTAGAGGTAGCTGTAGCTCTAGCTCGATGAGCAAAAATCAGCAGCAATGTTAAGACGGGGGCCAACTGTGGTATTTCATTGCATACAGAGTCTCTACGTACTTGCGTCTACCTTACCTGCATTATAATTCATTTATTTTGCATCTACTCACCTACTTCTACTCTAGGTCTTTGCAAGAGTTTCCATTTGATATAGGAGGAGCCGTCGAGGCGCCTCCCATCACTTTTTTCGGAAGGGTGCAGGGAGGCTGCGGGGCGGTGGAAGTGCACAAAGTCGCCCCCTCGACTTCTAAGACTAGCCGTAGAGCTGTTTTTGTAGATAGTATGGATAAGGCGAGCTGCCAATGAAGGCTGGTCGCACGACATGCAGAGGAGCCCCAGTCGTGGTGGCGCTCATCTTGTATTCTCTCGACATATGAAAATAATAGAGTAGATGCCAAACCCTCCGCGACCTCCCTTGCTTTCGCTCTGATGGTAGTGAAGTACTCTCGCCTCCCTAATATCTCGTCTGGTGCTATTAAGGGGTGTTGCTGCAAGTGGTGCTTGTGCCTCCGGTTATTGGCCGTATCCTTCCAGCCGTAATCGCCCGCCCCCCCGTGCCCTCGCTCTGCTTTCGCTTTTCCCGTGCAGTCTCGTGGCCCGTGCGATTGGGTGGCCGCCTGTTTGCAGGGGCAGCGCAGCCTCCTAAGGAGGCTTGTTCTAGTCCACCCCCTCGATGGGGTAATTCTGGCATATCCATATATAGTGGCGTATGAATGAAAATGGAATTTTAGCGGGCGGACGAGCGTACTTCTATGTGGTGCGGCTGATCATGATGAAAGAAGGCCGCGCTAGGGGTAAAACCTGCGCTCACCTTTATTGGACTTTGGGGCCCCGCTTTTGGTTTTCCTTGGTCGTTAATTGAAGAGAGTGACAGCAAAGCCCAAAGCCGTGCGCTAGCCTACCACGCTGAAAACCTGCCACCCACTAAGAGCAGCTGCGGCCCAGCCTCCGTTGAGTGTGCTGGTCTTTAACAGCAACTGAAGCGCCGCACCCCAGAGGCCCCTCCGATGGCGTGCTGCTCCGTCGCTGCCTAAGTTGGCCAGTCAAAGGCGACGCGGCAGGGGACCCAAGTCCGGGCAACCCCTTCACCACTGAGATTCCCCTAGGGCAGGGGCTCGCAGCGGATCTGGCAGACTTGCGTGGCGCGTCGGTATCTATTGGCGACGGCCGCCCAGCGCAAGCAGAAGCAACTCGTCCCACCCCCACGTGAGCATGGTGTCACGCTTTCGCCTGAGTCTGACAGCACCAAAAAAGGCCGGCTGCAAATATGGGTAAGCGCCGGGTGGCTCACAACTGTGGCGCGCTTTCCGTGGTATAGAATTTGCACGCACCGCCGTTGCTGTGTCTTATTAGGAATAGCTGATGACTCAACATATATGACTGCATGCTGTTGCGTTTCAGATAGTTACTTTTGACTGAAGCGGACCCGGACGAGAGGCGCGTTGCCTACTCTGCTCCGTGGCTGATGGCTTTCGTGCTCTAATAAGTGCGGGCGCGGCGAGAGAAAACCACTGGCAGACCGATAAAAAAAAGCTTGTGGGAGTTACGAAGCCCTTATCAATGCGTTTTTTGATAAATTCGGACGGAGCGACGAGTCTCTGTCTTTTCTTAATGCCTTTCGTGTAGCCTTTTCTTCAGCATTGTATAGGCGCGTAGGCTTCTCACGTGGTCTGGTGGATGCGTAGCCTATTTCTTAAGCGCTCTCAGTAATTATCTCGCATGAGCGTGTGGGCCCCCCTTAGCTACTTTGCTTCCCCAATGCGTTCCGGTGTACTAATAAAATACAACCTGGTGGAGAGCATTGTAGACGTTTCTGGATCGAGGAAATTGATTAGATTAGGTCGGTAGCTTTCTCACTTGTGTCGCCGGTTTCGATGTTGTGACGCCTCAAATTTTCATCGCGCTGAGCTCGCAATAGATTCCAAACAAGCAAGCTGGCTGGCGATGGCTTCTAGGCTAATTCTTCATCCCTGGCCTCTGAGCTGGCTCTCCATGGCTTTCAAATTCAAGCTAGCTGGCCGCGCTTTCTGGGTTGGCTCGCCACGGCTCCCAAGGTGGCTGACCAAGGCTTCCAAGGTGGCCGGCCAAGGCTTCCAAGCTAGCTGGCCCCGCCTTATGGGGCCAGGGCTTCCAAGCTAGCCGGCCATGGCTTTGAGCTAGCTCGCCATGGCTTCCAAGCTAGCTGGCCACGCCTCGTGAGCTAGCTCGCTGGAGCTTCCCGGCAAGTTGCCTCGCCATGGCTTCCCTCTGAGCTGGCTCGCCATGGCTTCCGCCGCCAGCTAGCTGGGCTAGCTCGCCACGGCTTCCAAGCTGGCTGGCCATGGCTTCCAAGCTAGCGGGCCGTGGCTTCTGAGCTAACTCGCCATGGCTTCCAAGCCAGCTGGCCACAGCTTCTGAGCTCGCCGAGCCTGGCCTTAGCATCCTCACCCACTGGCTCAGGGGCCAAGGCTTCAGAGCTAGCTAGCCATAGCAGTAGCCAGCTCACTAGCCTAGCCACAGTGGGAGTCAGCCTGCCAGCCTTTCTAGCCTGGACGAGCGGACTTTGTGACTTTTTTCGTTTGTCTTTCGGTGTCTTCGTCATCTGTCTAGCCGTTAACCTATGCCCAGCGCGGCGGGCCCTTGATGGGCCCGCTTTCTGTTTTTATGTACTTACAGCGTTTTAGTACTTTTTAACTCGAGCAGCTTCTTTCTTTGCAGAAGCTCTTTTTTTCAGATTTTTGCGCTGCATGGTTCTGAAGGTTGGTGGCTATAAGTTCATCGTCTTCATCTAATGTATGAGCACCGGTTTATATGCATCCGCACCTTCTTCGGATTCCTAGTTGCGTTGCCCAGGTCCCCGGCGCCGCGCTTCCTCCTACGGTTGGACTACATGTCGACCTGTACGCATTGGCGATGAGCATAGTTAGGGATTGCTTTGTCCATTCCGTTCTTGGCAAAAAATATGGAGACGTGACACAAATGGCGCTTTTTGCTACCGCAGCCCTGGGAATAAATATGGCGCTTGCCGAAGAACCTCCAGTACGGGTACTTGACGTGCGTAACGACGCAGCGCCCGCCCCTGAGGAGAGGCCCTATTCCGATTGCATCCAGTCACTCTCAAGAACACCGGCTAACGAGTCCCCTCCAGCTGATGCTGTTGAAGAATATTGCAGCTTGCAGCAAACACCACGGGAAATCCTGCGGAACTCCATGTTCTCTACTTTCACAACTCAACAAGGCCCTCTTTTGCACAGCGAACCGCCTGTGTGCTACAATGGTTTCAAGCGGGAGAGTATTGCGGATCTTTTTGAAAAGCCGAGCGTCGTGTCTGAGACGAGTGCATCCGGAAACCAGATTAGTGATCTTGTTTCCAGCTGTCTCGACTTCACTGCGACGCTCTCAGGACCTAGTGCCGTTCACCAGAATGAAGATGTTGATCTTGAACAACATGGGCAGCTCGAGTACCATCTGAGAGCAAACAGCAAAGCTGCTGCGGCGCCCAAGAAACCTACGGCAATTTGGAATGAAGAGAGTGCCTTTAGCGCGCGAGCTGCTGAGCTGATAAGACCTGCGCCACCTTCTTCCCCTTCGAGCGATCAACAAGTGCGTCAGCGTCTGGCCGCCTTCGAGGAGCGGCCGGTTACGGCTTAGATAACTATAAACCGTCCACCGCTCTCTTACAGGCCTACCAATTAGTCTGAATTTCTTGAGAGCGTCCCCTAAGGAGCCTCCTTAAGGAGGCTCTCTTAAAAGGATTCTCTATTATATATAAAAAGTTATGATAGCATTTCTTTAAAGGACAAAAAAAATTAAAAAAACTCTTAAAGAGCTTCCTGAGGGCGCCTCTGTTATAAGCTTGGGCTATTAGTAGGGCCGTCCTTAACAAAGGCCCTCCCTTAAGGGCGCCTCCCTCGCTCCCTTAAGGGCCCCGCGCCCTGGCTAACTTGCTGGCTTACCGCTTGCACGTACGTAGCTAGCTGCCGGGGCTCACCGTAGCTAGCCTGCTAGATGCTTAGCCGTGGCTAGCCTGCTAAGTGCTTAGCCAAAGCTAACCTGCTAAGAAGTGCGCAGCTAAAGCTAATCTGCGAGCTGCTTGGCTATAGCTAGCTAACTTGCTAGCAAGCTTACCCCTTGCCCGTGGCTAGCTTGCTAGAAGCTTCGCTATACATAGCGAGCCCGCTAGCTGCTTGCGTCCATAGTTAGGTAGCGGATTGGCCATGGCTAGCGGCTCAGCAGGCATGCCTAGCCTGCTAGCAGCTCAGCAGGCATAGCTACCCTGCTGGCTGCTTTTTAGGCATGCCTAGCCTGGTAGCTGCTGCGCCGTACGTAGCTATCGAGCTCACCAGCCACCCCGCTAGCTGCTCGCCCTTATCTAGCTGGCTTGCTATTCAGGCTAGCTCCTTGCCCGTAGCAGGTTTGCTAGCTGCTTGGCGAAATCTAGCTCAGCAGCTGCTTTGCCATCGCTAGGCTTCTAACTTTGCCGCGCCCCGCGGGCTTGCTAGCTAGCTTGGCGATGGCCGCCGTGCTCTTATCTGTCTAGTTTCTGCCGACCTATGCCCAGCGCAGCGGGCTCCTGATGGGCCCGCTTTCTGGGCGTGTGTTTATATGATAGAAGGGCCTTGCGGTTGCGTGTTTGAGAAGATATTGCGTCCTTTGGCCTTTCACGGTCCCCCTCGTTATATAATAGAAGAAGTTATCGAACGGATATAGGGTGGACTTGGATGGATCGGATGGGCCTCCCTAAGTCTTCTGGCCTTAGTTAATTGAAATTATGAGAAGGCCATCTGATGCTGATCCGCCCGATCCGTCCCATCCTGGGTCTGGCACATCTGTAGCCTTTTCTAGTTTAAATTTATTGCTGCTAGAGGTTGAAGGGGAAGGGGAACAGGCTTACTGATGTGGAAGATTTTTCCATGACCGCCGCTGATGTAGGCCGGCAGGGCAATGCCGTCACTGATAGAGTTAGAGTCAGGGGGCGCCTCACTGTTGGTGTCGTCAAATAGTATGTCCATCAGAGAATAGCTGAGAGCTTGGGGGAGGCCGTTGTCTCTTTTTTTTGCTCTTTATATAGTGACTAATCCAAGCCAGCACACATCAGCCTCTTACCCTTTACTAGAATTAGGCGCCTGATAGCACTCCGGCCACTAGAGTAGAGCCCCCACTCTTCTGCACGCACTCCCCCCTCCATGGCGTGACTCCGCTTTCTGGCTCTTTCCCCGCGCGCCAACAGTCTGGCGAGGCTGATCAGTGGGAGGGCACAGTGACTGGGCTCTTGGCGGCTTGCGGCCATTGAAACAAAGAAAAGGCACGCCCGGCAGTTCGAGGCTCGGGGGTTTTTTGGTCTTCTGTTAGGTTTGGCATCTCTGCGGAAAGCTGTGGTGTCTGAGTTTCAGACTTACTTTGAAGATTCGTCTACTTTGAAGAAGGTCAAAAACTTTGCGTCTGCTTTCTTTTTGCAGTTTATTTCGCTTCGATAAAGTCTGTTAGAAGCCTCCTAACTTTCGAACTTTAAAAATTCAGGAGTTCACGCGGGGGCCCATGGGTTCGTGGGCTCATGCATGGGCTGGGTTTGCTTGTTGATAAGAAAAGAGAGGGGGGAGTTTTCTACGGTGGTCGCGTGTCTTTGGTTCGGGTGTGGGAGGTTGGGAGCTTGCTTTGGAGGAGGCGCTGTAGCTCTTTTTTTTGCTCTTACTAGTGTTTATATACGTACCAGGGAGGGAGGCCCCCCTCTGTAAGACGAAACGAACGCCCCAGGGCTCCCGCGTGACGCGTGGCGCCTCAGGTGACGCCCCCCAGGGCTTCGGCGTGCGAAGGGTCAAAAGGGGTGCCTGGAAGAGCGTGACGCGGCTAGAACTTCGGGCGGGGGTCTGTGTCTGGAGGAGTGTGACGCAGCAAGGGCCTGGGGGTGGTTTGTGTTCGCTTGAGATTGACGACGACGCAGCAAGAGCTCTGGGGCGGCTTGTGTGTCAGTGAGCCCCCAGCGGTGTCTCTCTGGGTGGGGCTTCAAGCTTCGGAGAGCAGAGTGTTTGACCTGATAGGGAGGCAGTGGCAAGCTGGGGGCCGATAACTGAGAGAGCGCCGCAGCCGTATAATCTTGCGCAGAGACTTGCTGCGCGCAGACTCGGTAGTGACACCGGGGAAGGGCTAAGTGAGAGATAGATAGAGAGAGAGAAACAAGGAAGAGCGACGCAGAAAGACAGGGCGCTTACTAATGCTAGAGAGATGAGTGGCGGGCTTTGCTCTTGACTTGTGTGCGCCTTACGTACAGGCGTGGGCAATCGTCTGAAAAGGTGCGGGGCTCAGCGCCTTAGCGGTGGCGGGTTTGGCGCGCTTTTTTTGTCATCATGCGCCTCGCTATCAGGGTGTGGCGAATTCGTAGGGCTTGTCGCGTATGAATGGGCGGCATGGGTCGACCAAACAGGCCCAAAGAAAGCGCGCCAGGAAACAAAGGAGGGCAGGAATAGCCACAAAGCCGCCCGGCCAGCAGTCTCAGTTCTGGCGGTTAGTGATGAGGGGAGAGGGCTGTGGCTTCCAGACTGGCTCCCGCATCATTTTGAAAACGGAGAGGCTTGGCGGGCGGGTTGTCAGTATGTGGCCTGCGGTTCAACAAGCGCGGGGCCAACTGCGTGTGCGGTCGGCTGTCGTGGTGGGGTGGGTTTTTTTTTCTTAGGACTCTTCGGGGGCCATGCAAATCCTTGGGAATTTGCGTGACCGCCGCGGAGTTCTCGGGGGAAGGACGTGCGGGACGGTTTGAGCAGAATGCGATCAATCGGAAAGCGCCCAAGCCATGCTCAATTGGAAAGCGCCCATGCCATGCATCGCGCCGCCCGCCGACGTGGGCGGGCCGCCTGGCGGGGAGTTAGGCAGGCCCACCGTGTGCGGGTCGGACCCGTGGTTTTGAACACCCAGACAAGAACACCAAGCCAAGAACATTCGCGCAAGATAGAACACCCAGACAAGAACAGCCAGGTGAGAACATCCAGGCAAAGGCATACGCGTAAGGACACCCAGACAAGAACACACGGACAGGAACGCACAGGTGAGGACATCCAGGCAACCAAGGGCCAGGCGGATGGCTGGGCGTGCGCACAGGTGGGCCATGTCTCTCCGCTTTGTTGTTCTGCTTGGAAGTGGGACGCGCGTCGCCAGGCTGTGTCTCGGTTTTGTTCTGCCTCGGAGCGTGCGGCGTGTCACGCATCGCCGGGCCGTGTCTCTTGGTATTGTTCTGCTTTGGAGCGTGGCGCGCGTTGTGCGCAGTTTTTTCATGTTCCGCCGGCCTTAAGGATCGGGGCTGGAGCGTGGCGCGCGTCGTGCGTAGTTCCTTCGTGTTCTGCCCTATCTAAGGTTCGGGCTTGGAGCGTGACAGAGTCCGTGACACAAAAGGAGTACCACAAGAGGGGGGCACCACTAAGGAAGGGGGGCCTTGGCGTCTAGTGGGTTGGGGGCTCTGGGGTGTTCGTTTCGCTTTAATAATACGGCCCCCCCCCGTCCGCGTGCCCTTTTCTTCGCGGTGGTGACATGTAAGGACCCACGGGGGGGAGGCCTCAAAAGGCGGGGCTGGAGGTTCCTGGCGGCTCTCCGCGTGTATCCCCGAGGCGTCTTGGCTCTTGGACCTTATCAGGGGAGCGGCGGGCCGCTGGGGGACGAAGGCGGCCGCTGTCACGCTCGCGAGGCTTGGCCTTTTTGGCTGTCAGGGGGGGCACCGTGCAGGGGCCAAAGAAACTCTCCCACTAAGGAGCTTGCACGCGGGAGGTCCTTGGGGCTGGGGTACTTACATGCAAGAACATGGCAAGGGGGTCAGGCTCAAGCCTTGCCACCTGCTGCTGCCCTCGGAGGCCCTCCACCCCTCAAGGGGCTCCCCCACTGAGGAGCCTGCACCCGGGAGGCCTGTACAGTGGAGGGCACATGCAAAGAGGAAAGGGGGCGGCAGCCAAGCCTTGCCACCGTTGCCGCCTTCGGAAGCCGTCCGCCCCCGGCTTTCGGTGCCTGCTTGAACGGCCGGGGGGGCTTGGGTTCTGTAGGGTACAAGCAAAAAGCCGCGAGGGCTCGAAGGTGGGCGCTTGGAGGCCTTTCTGCCCGGAAGCCTCTCGGGGGAAAGGGTCTGGGGCTGGAGTGCCCCCTTCAAAAAGTTGGATCGGGGGGGCCTTCAGCCTTGAGCCCTGGCCCCGGCGCATATATAATTTTATAAAATTTATTGAGTAGAGCAAAGCATGATGGTGAGTGTAGTGAGTAAAGAAGCGACTACTCTTGCCTCTATAGACGCTTTCCTCGTGAAGCAGAAACATCTGAAAAAGTAACAAAATAACCTCCTCCCTGAACAGGACGCCGAAAGGCCTTCTCCTAGTTTAGCGGTGTGCTGCAGATTTTGGCTGGCTTTTGCTTGTAAAAAGGCGAGGGCCTAGGCCCAGCGACGCTCAAAGCCCCAAGTAAAGCAGCCGGCGCGCTTTTCCTCTTACTCTAACCTAGGTCGGTGCACACGCCCAGAGGGCCGCTGCGCTGGGCATAGGTTAACAACTAGACAGATACCCAAGCCACAAACGAAAAAAGTCGCCAAGTCTGCTCGCCAAGGCTAGAAACAAGGCGGGCCAGCTGGCTCCCACTGTGGCGGGGCTGGTAGGCTTGCGACTGCTATGGCTACTGCCTTGGCCAGCTTGCTGACTGGGAAGCCAATGGGCGCCAAGGCTGGCCTCGGCGAGCTCAGAAGCTGTGGCCAGCTGGCTTGGAGGCCATCCGTGGCGAGGTAGCTCAGAAGCCATGGCCAGCCTGCTCGGAAGAAGTGACGAGCTTGCCCAGGAGTCGTGGCCAGCGAGCTAGCTTGGAAAGCATGGCGAGCCAGCCCCGAGAAGCCAAGGCCAGCTAGGTTGGAATCCGTGGCGACCTGGCTCAGAGTGAAGCCATGGCCAGCTAGCTCAAAGGCCAGCCAGTGCCAGCTTGGAAGCCATAGCGAGCTAGCTCAGAAGCTGTGGCCAGCTAGCTTGGAAGCCCTGGCCTCCGAAGGCGTGGCCAGCTAGCTTGGAAGCCATGGCCAGCCACCCGGAAGCCATGGCGAGCGAGCTCAGAAGCCGTTGCCAGCTAGCGTAGACCTTAGAAGCCATGGCCAGCCAGCTTGGAGGCCATGGCGGTGGCGCGCTAGCTCTGAAGCCGTGGCCAGCTAGCGTAGACAGCTAGCCCGGAAGCGTCGGGCAGCTAGCTAAGAAGCCTTGGCCAGCTAACTCTGACTCTGGAGCCTTGGGTAGCTAGCTATGAAGCCTTGGCTGGCTAACTCTGATGCTGAAGCCTTAGCCAGCTTGCTAGCTCTGAAGCCTTGACCGGCGGCCGACTTGCTAGCTTACTGGCTGGGAAGCCAAGCAGTGAACTTGGACGCCATGGCTTACTAGCAGCTCAGAAACTGCCGCCAGCTTCCTCGCTCTGAAGCCATGGCCAGATAGCTTAGAAGCGATGGCCGGCCAGCTTGGAAGCCATCCGGAGGGAGCTCCAAAGCCATGGCCATGTAGCTTAGAAGCCATGGCCAGCCAGCTCAGAAGCTACGGGCAGCGAGCTCAGAAGCTTTGGCCAGCTAGCTCAGAAGCTTTGCGCGGCTCCTTAGGTACCCTAGAGGCCACGGGCTGGCCAGCTGCTTCTGCCATAGCTGCCGCAACTTCTGCGCCAGCCGCTTCCTTAACAGAGGGCCCTTAAGGAGAAGTCTATGGTAGCCACTGTTATTTAGGGAGAGGTCCTTAAATAAGGGAGTTCCTGAAGGGTGGCACACCTTGAAGGAGCTTCCTTCAGGGGCTTCTTGTTCCTTAAGGGCCCACCCTCAAGGAGATCGTAGAATTTGCTTAATTGTATATGTTCCAGGGCGCGGGGCGACGCCCCCCCTAGCGGGGGGGGGGCCGGGCGCCCTGGACCCCTTTTTGAGGCGTCTGCCGGGGGCGGAAGGCCTCAAAAGGGGGCCAAGGGGCCACCCCCGGTTCCTTCCAGGAGCTTTGTGTCCCCTGGAGGCCTGGGAAGTAGGTGGAGACCAAGGGGCTCGCTGCCTCCTTTTCGTTTGCATGCACCCTACAAACTTGAAGGGTTAGAGGGCTACAGGTGCCTGCCTGTGCCCTCAGTGCATCCGTTAGGCTTCGCCGCCGCCGCAGTGCAGCGGAAGGCCTCTGAAGACGGCAAAAGGCGAGGGGCTGGACCCCCTGAGCCGTGCCGCCTGTACCCTCCGGGCCCTTGGTCATCGGCTTGCTTGCTCTTGCGACCGTGGCCCTTGGGAACACGCGGAGAGGCCCAAGGGGAGGCCCGCGCCAAGTTTTGACGCCTTGCTTCCACCACTAGAATCCGCGGAAAAGCGCGCGGGCGCGCCACCACAGACCAGATCTCAGGGGGGGGGGAGGGGAGGGCCGTTCGGCCCTGAGTCATATATAAGGGTTAAGATCCCTTCGTGCAGTTTATATATAATTCAATATATCTTCTACTAGTGTGTGTTGTATGGTGTCAAGCACCACTTGTTCATTTGATACAACTAATATCTACTTCATCGAGGACTTTTATCATCTCTAATAAAGATCAGAGTGGAACTACTGGAATTCGGATGACAATGGAGAAGGGGCAGGAGATCGCCAAAGTGGTGACGCAGCGTACAGCTGCTGCAGCTGGCGCGACAGCTGGCGCGCTCCTTCGATTTGTGCGGGGGCTGATGGGGTAGAACAACCGACCCGCGCCATGAGAATAGAATGAGAAAAGAAGAAGAAGATGAAGCAGAAGGGCTGTCTTCATTCTGGGAAATACTCAGCAGATGAAAAACGATTTGGGGCATTTACGTTTACCAGAACAACAAGAAGAAGGTGAGGCCCGATGCTGTTCTCTATCTGAATGCTCACTACTTAATCTTGGTAGATTTGACTGCTACGTGGAGGCCCCATCCCAATTCCAATACCTTCACAATAGGCGACAGACTCTCCATTAATGCGAGTGCTGCTAGTGCTAGGCGTAGCACCTTGTGGCTCTCCTACATTACTGTGAGCACTCTTATTCCTGGGCACTTCCTCCAAAGAGACCCTAGCGTGGGCAGTAGCAGATACTTCTATATGTTAAAAGATAGAATGTATAGAACTGAGAGGCTTCATCCGTCCCTAGGAATTAAGTAGCCTAAGAATTTCCCAAAAGTGATCTTAGCAGGATGGCAATCAAATCATCGCACAAATCATCGTGCGTCATTTGGTCCGTTCTGATCTCATCTCCCATTTTCCTTAACCTTGTGACCATTTCAAGTCCTTTCGTCAATCACTGTTGGCCCTACTTGTGATGTTGTGCTAGCTTTTAGGTTGTCCTCTAGAGTAGATCGCGTTGCCTCAAGTTGAGCATGCTATCATTGCGAGTGCTGCTAGGGTTAAGCAGGCGCGCGGGAAGATGTTACACAGCAGATCATCCTTTCCTCTTGAGGATCGTTTGCTAGATATTCAACATGAAAATTGAGCTTTGTCAATGTTATGTTGAATTAGAATTCAAGTTGATGAAACACAAACACTACTGATCGATGTTGATCCATTGCTTTGGCAGTCACTTTCACGTGACGGCGAATTCGAAGCATCCTGTCATCCTTTCCTACCACTTGTTCCCTATTCGTTTTTGAAGTGAGTGACGACGATTAAATAGTTAGAGCTTAAAAAGTCATCGTAAACGTAATGTCGTTGTGCTTGTAGAAGTAAGTGATAAACATAAAATATAGCGGACTTCTGATAAGACTTGAAGAGGTTAGATTATAGAGGATATGATGTTGAATTTGAAGATTATATTTGGCATTAATTAATATTTTTGATCGATTCACTAATAAAAGTTGATTTTGGATCTGCGTCTGCACTTATGGTGATTCGTTGTATTTTTCGTGTGCAGGATCCCTGACGACCTAACTACCCTACCGTTCATGGAAATAGAGGAGGATGATAGGAAAAAATCAAAGGTACTTATATATTTAATGATCTTTTCTGTGTGTGCAGTGTTACCGGCCGTCAGCGGCCGCGTTCGTCCACCTGTCCTTCCGTAGATGGGTTACCTCCTATCCTATCCTGTCCAGAGACCCTCAACCAACACCGTGTGTGCAGTGACCTCCACGATAATTTACGATTAGGAGAAATCAAGGATGGCAATAAATCTATGAATGCTCAATATGTTATCTCATAACATACAAGAAGAGTGGCAAATTATCATGGCTTAAGAACTAGAACTACATCACACTCACATCAAACACACGAAGGAAAAACTACAAGGGACCCTCGAAGGTAAAAATGGTGCGTATTTTTTACGTGACTCTGTCTCTCCTGTGCTGGGATGTGGGCGATGATATATTGATTCACATACTTAGATTGTAGCTGGGGTCTCTTTTTATTTTGATAGCACATACTAGTACTAGAAGGGACAGGCACGCACGACGACGCTAGGGGGCGTTTATAGCGGGTCAGATCAAACATCACAGATCAATCCTATAGTATACCCACTGTGAGGGACTCCAGGCACATGAAAGGAGTGCGTCGTCGTCTTCTATCCATCGCGGAGAGCTCAAATGAGTAATGCTCGTGTGGTTTTTGATGGCAACATCAAGTCGTAAGCATATTGTGTCACCCAACACTACAGATGGGCTATAATTTGTCCAATCCGTCGTGGGGAGAATACTAGGTAGCATCAACAGGACTCAAAGAAAGTGCCCAAAAAAAGTACGAGTGATGAGGATGAAGTCTAGCAGACTTGTGCATTTTGTGAGTCTCACTTTTTTCGTAGTTTCTTGTGTACATCCAGTGAGAGTAAGTCATGACGTGGTAGTACTAGTAGAGTAAGGCCAATAACGGGTTTCGAGTTGCTCGAGTTGCCACGAGTTGCTCGAGTTGCCGAAGAGAAGAGCTCCATTGCTGGAACGAGTTGCCACGAGTTGCCGGGAGGTGTCCGCTCCATCGAAATGGAGCGAAGCGGGGCGGTGTGAGCGCAAACCCATCTGGTCGAAGTGGCGAAGTGTAAGGGCGTGCTGCGTTTGTTGTTGCTCATGAAAGGGGCAATCGGGTGCGAAGGGCGCCGGGCCCTTATGCCTTTTTTTCTGTAGCTTGCCAGCGCGCGCTTGTTAAAGCACAACCAAGGGGGCGAAAGACTCTGCCCGTTGTTGTTTTTGTTTGATGTCAGTGGCGCTGTGGCGTGTGGATACGATCTCTCCCTTTTTTCTTCGGATGTGTTCCCAATAAATCTACTTCGGGGGTGAGAGCGAGTAGCCCCCGTCTGCTTTATAGGGCGGCACGCCCAGCCTTGCTTGGGGGTGAGTAGACTAGAGAAAGCACCAGCTGGGGGCGGAAGTTGGAAGTGGATTATCACACTAGATGCGTAGTCCTTCTTTAGATGTCGTGAGTAATTAGATGACCAAGCAAGTGGCTGCGATGAGTCTCGAGCCCGAGACGGTTACTCGCTCCTGTCTCAAGGGTGCACCGCGAAGAAAATCAAGGATCAGAGACACGGCGCGCAGTGTCGTACGCTCCTGCTAAGGTTTCGCGGAGTCTCATAAAGCTGCGCCCGAAGGGCGCCGCGCGACAAATTAGGGTGGGCAACTCGAGCAACTCGAGCAACCCGAGCAACTCGACCCGATACGGGTCAAAAAGTGCCTTACTCTATACTAGTATTTTGTAAAAACTAATTAATAAAGATCTCGATTTTTATGATTAAAAAGTATAACTGCGCAAGTCACGGTGGGTCTCCAAAGTAGTATCTGTTGTAAGAGGACTACTCGAGACTTATGCCTATGCCTCTCTGGATCTGGGCAAATGCGTCGATGTAGCATGCCTACAAACTACAAAGACGATTCAGATTTTCCAAACGTATTCCATATTTTTGCAATTTATAAACGCTAAGAACGACATTACTTTTTTTCGATTCCCCCTGGAAAGAAGAAGTAGTCGTAGTAGTATTTGTAGCCGTTTCAGTAGTAGTAGGGTTAGGACTAGAAGTAGAAACACACGCCGCATTATGTGCAGCCACCTAGTGTGCTCGCCGTTAGGGAGATAGAAGTAGTACAACTGGAGGATGCAGCAGTGCTGCAACTCTGCCACCGGGAAAAGATAGGGGAGGCACTTTTCCCGGGAAGGAGTACGTAGCACTAGAAGTAGAAGGCGCAACTGATCACAACAAATTTGGAAGAGTACTAAAAACCGTATCTATTGAATTACACCACAGAAGTAGTTTTTGCACAGTTGTTTAGCCAGCCATACTAGCTAAGTTCCAACGTTGACCCCTGCCCCTAACCGGTGCTCGACGCCGGTAAGTCTCTACATGTATAGGCTGCTGGAGATCTACGACGGAGAGGATATGAAAGCACCCTCAGCGACAGGGCCTGCTACTTGTTGATGAAGATTGCCCCTGTTCGAACGCGGCAAGATGTTAAGTAGTTGTCCCTATTTTCATACTATTAAGTACTACATTTGTACGTGAGACAAAGAATATTTTTTGTACTCCTGTGCCTGAAAACCGACGAAATGATACTCGGACAAACTTACTAGAAGCTCCTCAAAATAAGGCTTCAACTCAAGTAGATGACGTTTAAGATCGTAGTAGAAAGGAAAAATTGATGACCTGCTGCAGACCGTATTTGCATGACTGGAGTTCTGTCGTCTGTACAATCATCCACGTGAAAGTTTCTTACAGTGGCAATGTAAGCGAGATCGCAAGCAGAATTTACTTGAATAGCTGAAATCTAAGGTCGTAAGATAGCGATAGATACTTGATAGCTGAACAATACTCAATGTTGTTGTCGAGAGGGCGTGTCGAACGTCAAGCCATATTGGATATAAGTAGCCATCCATCCATATTGAAGATGTCCGTCCATTTATTGAAGATACCCCTGTGGCTGCTACAGGCAAGCTATTGAAGATTTCCAGAACCATATAGCTACAATCAACAAACTATTAGATAAGTGTGCCCATATTATTGCTACAATCACAACTGATGTTACTACTAAGTTGTTGTCCTCCTCGGCCATCTTGCTCTTCTTGTTTTGAAATGTTTCTGGTCTGTTAAGCTAACATCCTCATCGCGCTGCGACCTAGAGCCAACCGGGTGAGGCAGCTGTGCGGCGTATGCTAGTATTATTGAGTATTCTATTTCTATATTGGGGGCGCTAGGTTGTAACATCCTAGGAAGTACTCGTACTAGTCGTTCGTGCCTGCGCGTCCTACTAGCAGCTAACAGACTCGAGCTTTTGTTTGTGTACCATGTCAAAGAAGAACGAAGTACTAGATGAGAACAAACAATTGACATCATTTCTCAAGAAAGGTGGACGAACATGAAAGTAGACACCTGCATTTTACGTGAGCAGCAAGTGCCTACTAATATCCAAAAATATTTATGAATGTAAAGGCCCTATACTCGTTCTTCGTAGTTAATCGCTTACACTTTCTCAATCTCAAAAATCGCATAAGGGTACTTATTGAATACATGACGCGTATCATGATTTATTTTCGCTGTTCACATTCAACATCATCCGAAAAAACGTAAGAACCGTATAAAAACCCCATTTGACACATGACTAACGTAGCTCCAATCTGGTATGTCTTTCTGAATATTAGAAGAATTATAAGTCAGCAACTTGAAGAAACGCCAAGCTCCAAACTCCTCCCTTCCAAGAAAGTAAGACGTTTATGATTCACTCGTCGCGGCTTCTCGGAATTATCGACAAACTTGCATTTCCTTGCTTCTGTTTGAGATTAGTAAAAAATGAAGTTTAAGTTGTAGTTGAAGTTGTTACCCCAAGACCCAAGCTAGTACGTAGAGCATAATATCCATACTGTTACCGAGATTGATAAAATGAAACCCAAATAACCTCTTGACATTACGTCTATATGCTGACCACTATTACTATGCGCTGACCACACTCAACTCTCGTTCCGTGATCACGAAAGGCCACTCCATGTTGTGTTCGTGCTACGATGGTGGCAAAAATACTACCAGAAGTAAGTCTAGATGCGGTAAGCCTAAGCAGGCTGAGAGTGATTGAGCATATGAAAAGGGCCGAGGCATAGAGAAAAAACTAAGAAAAATGGCCTCCACAATCCAAGAAAGGATGAGGAAGGCTCAAATACAGAAGGAGAGCTCGCCCAACTTTAAGTTGTCCTCTATTACTGTGTTGTTGTCAACAAGCGTGGTAAGTATCTTCTACAATAGACCTGCTGCTATCAATCATATAATGGGTGGCAGCGTGATCAGTCAAGAATGAATGAATAGGACTTTCGTGGTTTCTATTAATTTTTCATATTCAATATTTATATTATTGTCTGCCCCGGGGGTGGGGGCCTCGTCTCGCTTTCCAGTTCTACTAGGTGGCGGCAGCATTATGACGAGGATGGATAGTTATAAGGCTAAAAATAATATGCTAGTATCCCTAGGTGGCGGCTTTATGAAGGAGGAATATAAGGCTAATAATATGCTAGTAGCCCTAGGTGGTGGCACTATGGACGATTATAAGGCTAAGATGCTAGCTCGAGGCGCCGCCTTGAGAGCAGCGGGGGCTACTCTGCGTGCCCAAAGTCCAGATCTTGCCACGTTTGCAAGGTTAAGACCGCGAGGACACGTACCAACTGTCCAACATGACACAAACACCTCCGGAGCAAAAGTAAGAGCGGGAACAGAGGTTGAGCACGTGTCCTCGTCTTCAAAATCCTCTAGGAGATCAGAAGCTAGTAGACCAGCTGCATCAGGTGCCGGGGCCGGGCCAGAACCAGGGGGACTACTTCTAGGACAAGGAGATGTACTAGGTCTAGGGCAAGGTCAAGGATCAACCACTTCTATACCAGGAGGAGTACTTCTAACACCTATTATACCTCCAACGTCGGAAAAGTCCTCGTCGACGAGGAACAAGACAGCTGCAGTCCTTACTACCTCTAACACAACAAGTTCAAATGCAACCTCGACAAGAACAACAAAAGCAAATACAAAAGGGGACTCACACATGAATACCAAGGACATCAATACAGCAAAGGTCCTCTCAAACATGAAGGGACTGCACGAGTCGGTCCGTTCACCTCCAGCGACCCTTGCGATGCCTCCTCCTAGATCTCCTCAGTTAAGGCCATCACCTCTTCTTGAGCTTGTTCTTTGCAGCATGACTCCTTCTGCTGCTTTCATAATTTGTCTCGTCTCCATGTACTAGTAGTCGTGTATTTAACAGTTTTCTTGTACAACGAACTGGTGATATTTTTTTTCACAGTAGCTTCTAGAAGGTGTATTTGAATCACATGATACAAAAATCAGGATCCGGCGCTAAGACATCTAGCAAAAGGAGGGCTACCATTGCAGCCGGCTTCTTCAATTGACAATGCAGCGGCTAGAAGTACAGGATCATCAGGTTCAGGAATTGCAGGAGCAGCTGCAACATCAAGTCGAACCACACGCGGAAATAGGCCTCTAGATCGAAGAAAAACAATGTCCGGAGCCATTTCATTTAATTCCGACACAACTGGAATGAAAACAATGAATTATATGAAGATGAATTTTACTAGCAGTGCTGCTACCTCTACCTCGTCCTCGTCCTCCAGTAGTAACATGAAGATGAGTTTTACTTCTACTACTAATGCAGCTGCTGGCACCACCTCGTCGTCGTCCTCGTCCTCATCTACTGGTGCTGCAACTCGTACAATTACAACTTCCTGCTCTACTTGTTCTACTTCTACTAGTACTAAACCAGCAGCACCCGTTCCCGGTAAAAATCAACAACTACATGCACCTCCACATGTACTTGATAGAAGTACAGGACAACTAGTACAAGCACCACGAGGACAGTTTCTGTCTTTGAAGCCAGCCAGCACTACAAGTAGTGGATTTTTTTTTGCGAGTTCGCCCAGGTTGATGGACTTAGATTCAAGATTGTCCAAAACAGCATGTGGCGAACAAGCAGGAGAAGACGTGGCATCTTCAGAGGAAGTGTCTCCAAACAGAAGAAGTATGTACAACAAGAGTGTGGACCAAGTACAAGAAGCTACGTCATCTCTCAACAAACCTGATGCGGAAAAAACTACCTCTATCGCTATGTCTGCTGCAAGCATAGTTGTTCCGACCAAATCTTCAATAATCTTCACTCCATCATCTACTTCTTCAATGGTCGCTCCGACGTCTTCTATATTCGCTTCTGTCACAGAGCAGCTGCCTATCTTCGTAGAGAAAGGTAAGCAAGATGGTGGTCTTGAAGTTCAACGTGGTCTTGAGCAAGAACCGACACAGGAGCAAGAGCAACAACCACGACTGAGCCACAATTTAAACAAGGAGATGAAAGACGATCATGATACCCTAGAGCTTCTCGAGGGTTTCCCCCCTGAGCCACTTGCAGAGGGGTCACGGGTTAGCATCGCGGGTAAGGCCTACGACCTCAAGTACATGCTGGGCCAAGGCGCCTACGGCTGCGTATATGCAGCTGCCCAAAACTGCAGTGAAGATTGCGAGGAGCAAGGTCGTGGACAATTAGATAGTGGACAGGAGAAAGTTTATGGCTGCGGGTAACACTTGTTTTCGAAATAACAGATGATATTAAGTTCTTCATGATGCCTAATTGATAAATTGAAATCGAGCATACAGCTTCAACTTACTATTAAATACAACCTCTTTCTTGCGAGAACTACGAGGATTTGCATTTGCCACAACTGCAGAGGAGATGGATATAGTGACAGTTTAATGTTCCATTTTCATGCCTTGAACTTCTCGGCACTTAAGTTTCTCGCTTCATACCACTACTAGTTTACTTAACTGTAATATTATCGAACTTCTAACAAGAAGCAGTGGCGATCAAAGAGGTACGCTGTGGCGCAGGACTGGGACTCCCAGACATGACGCGAGATCGCCTATACTTTGAGCTCCAGTGTCTCCGCAATATACCTCAATCACCTTCTCCAGGCGCGCCGCGGCTTCTCGGCGCTACCTGTTTTTTAAGGATCGGCGATTGTAGTAGTAGTTGTTGATGTCGTTGTGCTTGTTGTCCACACGTGACGGTGACGATCGTAGAAGCGTCTTCCTCTCCACCAGGGCGAACATTGAGTTCAAAGGGAAGAATCTACTTATAAGTACTTGACTTCATCCAGAAGTAGCTGCGCAACCCGTGTCACGACCTGCCTCTGGAATCGGAGTTATATCTACTTCCCGAGATCATGACTAAAGCCTCCTCGTCGTCTAAGTCTTACCAATTTGCCTGGTTTTGGACACGATGCGGCAATATTGCGATTTGTGATGACAAAAATGCCAGGCGATCCTCTTGCGGATTCATCGCTGAGGAGAACTAAAGATACAGCGTTAAGCCCCTCGAGAAATGCTTGGCATGCATTGCAAATTTCGGTACGGATGCTGTGTCAAATGAGCGAGCTGTTCTCGCATGTGGCAGATCACTTAGTGCATCGCGACATTAACGGACGTAACATCTTGTTTGAACGGCCTCCTGACATAAGCGACAACAACGTAAACATGAACGACAAGAACAACGTTCTGGAGCAGAGCCCATGTCCTGAGCAAGATGCTGATACCAATAAATCAGAACGTGAAATAAAGCCACCTTCTTTTTGCCTTGTGGATTTTGGTTCCGCTATTGATACCAGGACGTTCGCGGAGTCCTGGGACAAACTACCACCGACTGGCGAATCTACGCAGTGGTGTCCCTACGCTTGGCGGCTACTTTGTCAAGACTGGGCGAGCAATTCTTCTAGTAAGAAGCCGACCACCACCTCCTTGGATCATAATTTAGACTCTACTACAACAACTTCTCTGATGTCGAAGACTCTACAACTGAGGAACAAAATGCCATCTTCTTCTATGCCTGTGGCTTTTTTTGGAGGAGGTGGAGCACCTCCTGGAGCACCAGGCTACTTCCCATCTTCCTTATCCGGATCAACGCTAGCTCCTTCGACAGCTTCACCTGATCGTTTATCGTCTCCCGGTGGGGCACCATCTTCCAGTGTGCTGCTGGGTGGTGGAGGAGGAGGGAACACCTCTACTTCTTTACTGATGTTTCAACATCCGCCTGTAAATGTAAAAGTAGCCTACAACTTTAACTCTTCTAGCTGCAGAGGAGGTACAACTACGGCATTATCACCAACTACTTCAAGTATACTTTCGTCGAATGCTGGTGGAAGTGGTGGAGGAGCAAAGCAGACTAGAAAGAGTATTGGCAGCATCAATTACGGTGATTCCAAAGTATACCGCGAGCAACTGGATATGTACGCTTTAGCCTGCGTCATTCTCGATACATTCTTTCGCGCCGCAGGGTGCACCAAAGGAGATCCCAAAACCACTTGTTCTACCTCTGAAGATGCAGCGAACATCGGGAAAGGAGTTTTGAATACACAACCACGACAGCCTGCTCTAGTACAGCGTCCTCTGGGATTGCAACTGCAACAATACCAGATGAATGCAAATACAACTACAACAAGTAGCAAAGGCAAGGGGACGAGAACCTCTACTAAAGGCAAGAAGATGACTCCAACTACATCGACTACGACATCGCTAGTGGGTCGTGCTGCACAAGGTGTTTCTGCTTCGCCACCAGGTATGAAGATGTTTTACTGTCCATCACTGCGAACTGGTGCAGCAGGTGGAGGAAGTAGTGCGAGCAGCAGCAAGGCGAATAAATCACCCTCTTCCACCACCACATCGTCGCATCAAGTTCAAGACCAAGAAGATGAAAACACAGTCGCAATCCATTCGGTCTACCTCGCTTGGCGGAATTATCAAAAAATCGCGGAGACTGCCAATGCAAAGCTATTCGCTTATTCCAAAGCATGTGTAAGTGCAGATACAAATTCGAAGAACCCCAGCAACCACCAGAGTAGACAGCTTTCACTGTGGCGAGAACTCCTAAATTACAATCCTGCAGAGCGTCTCGAATCGGCTTTGTGTGAGTTGGATTCTGTTTTTCAAGAACAACAACAAATGGCACTTCATAAAGATGAGCAGCAAAAAGAAAAAGCGCCCATATTTGTCACCTGTTTTGCTGACTTCGTCAGTCTTGTACGGTCCATGATGTTGGCTATACCGGTTTTATCAGGTGAAGCGGTGGTGGAGGCGGCAAACGCAAATGAGCATCATGCAGACGCGAGATCTTCAAATCCTAGCTCCTCAAGCAACTCTTCCAACTGCTGCAACAGGTGGATACAGTTGCGAGACAAAAGTCGAATTTTGAGGAAGAAAATTGACGAAGCAGTACCAGCTAGTTGTAGTTCATCTTTCTCCTCAAGTAATACTATGCTTCTAGAAGTACCCGAACACAACGAAAACGATATCTCTGAGCTGCAGTCTAGGACACAGCAGCAGGAGCTACAGGACGCAAGAATAGCAAAGAGCGTCGTCGCAAAGGACGAAAAGGATGAGTTGTCTTCTTCTGCGTCCTCCGTTGTGTTACGTCCGAGTAAAAGGGGAGGGCCGCTCAAGCGAATGGTCCGTTCGACACTCTTGGTAGGCGTTAGCATTTCCCCTGATCCTGATGAAGCTGGACCCTGATCTTCTTCGTCTCTTCTTTGTCTTTCTCCTCGTCTCTTCTTTGTCTTTCTCCGCGTCTCTTCTTTGTCTTTGTCTACTTTGTCTTTCTTCGCACCAACAAGGAACTGTCCTTTGAATTTGATTATTTCTCGAAATCAAGCAAAACTACAAGCAGAAACTCTCTCCCACTATTGTAACAGGCTGAAGCTGATGAAGACAACACTGCTGGCGTGCCATTACTGAAAATTACTTACTTTGTCGTGTTAGATGAAGTAACAAGTTTACATGTAATTGGTCTCGTTGACCTTTGTTACATTATTTAAGGTGCTCCTCATGCTCATCAGAGAGCAGGAGTACAAGAACAGTTTGGCTGAGGTTCCCTATGATCTCGCAGCATTGACATTATGAGCTCAGTGTTCTGAAAGCGTAGGCGGCTCCGACGGTTATTAGTTAATATCGTGAGTACTTCTACTTCATCATAGCCATAGGGCATGAAACAGCCGCAGCCCCAGCCCCAGCATACTGGCAGCGACGTACAACTACTAGCGTCACTATTATTTCATCTGGTCACATCTTCATCTTCGGTACCAGCTTGTATGAGAGCCTCTTGCTCTGTTTCCTCAAGAACATTGTTGTGACTACACGCAAAACATAGAAGATCAGAAATACCTTGAAATGTCGAAGGAGTGAGTCTTTGGGCTTGAGGGCACACGATTGATCATACGCGGAAAATATGTAGGCAGGGTCTTCACGGAACATGTAGGCAGGGTTTCTAGCCGAGTGCGGTAGCCCGTTTCTACTTCCCATTAGAAATACTTAGCTACTACTACGCCCAAAGGAAAACGCAAAGACCATATCGATATCAAAAGGATGGCTGAAACAAAACCGAAAAAGTGTTGTTGCTTCTTGTTGCGGAAAGGCGCTTCGTCGGGCGTGCCTGGAGTTAAGAACTCTGTCTAGTTTTTTACTTTCCTAGGTAGGTTTCTTGATCAATGTCAAGGACATGAAATCTATTTGATGATATCATGTTAAGCTTCTCCGATCATGAAGGTTGTTGTTGTTGTTGTTGTTGTTTACTATCTACCATGATGACCTTGTTTTTATGGTCCTCCAACTTCGATAGAAAGCATCAACACGACCTGCTCTAAGAATCCTGCTAATGGTACAAGCGACTGCCACGACCTCCATGCTCATCAACAGAAAATTGAGCAACAGCATCAAAGTAGCCGACAACTACAGCAAAAGAAAGCGTCGTCGTCGTGCTTGCGTAGAAGTACGAAGTCGAATAGAGCAGGTAAGAAATCAATCAGGACAAGTCTACGCCTGCGCCAAGAACAAAATGACGGGAGAAGAACAAGCGGAAACAGACCACGAGGTGGGAGGAATGATGCAGAAGTTGAAAATTATGATTGCTTTCGTCCTCAAGATTAATTACATGAAGTCAGTGGCCTCAGAGACTTGATGTTGGAAGTCCTCACTACATTTTCACTCCATAGAAATACTGGTCTTAGAAAGTCCTAGGCTCATCTTATTACATGAAGTCAGCTCGTCTTCAATAGGTGGACCTAGTACCATCGGATTTCCTGACCAGTAAATCTTCGTGTTGGTGTTGCAACATGATTTCATCATCTTCATTTTTCACCTCATCTAAGTCCGCATCATGGAAGATTCTCTTGCCTTAGCTAAGCGTCAAGTGCGACGTGCGAACGGGCAAGAAACCAGCTCTGGTGATGACACTGATGCGTCATCTCCAGTCTTGAATCTACCAAGATACAGTCGTGGAGGGGACGACTTCTCGGGTCCTTTATTACGTAATACAACCACTTCCAGTTCCAATGGATATCATGGAAGAGGTGGAGCGAGAGGTAGTAGCGGAGGTGGAGGAAGGGTCGGCGGTGGAGATAGAGAAACCAATCCTGCTACTGATATATGTGGACGACATCAAGAGAATATCTTAGCCTTGGCTTCTCGGTCAAGGTGTGCCGTACGAAGCCTGCGGGAGAACTGGGCTACACAAATTTTCCTAGCAAGAACCAGTCACGGAGGGGAGGAAAAACTATCGTTTTCCTTGGGGTTATGAAAATAAATGAAAATGGATGAATATGAAAGAGTATTATATATAGAAATGTTAACGATAACGCACCAAGTTATATATAGACCTCCTCCACGACTTATTTCATCCTCTGCGAAGATGTAGTCTTCAGTTTCAAAAGTACCAACCTTCCTCTCCTCTGCGATGTAGTCTTCAGTTTCAACAGTACCAACCTTCCTCTCCTCTGCGATGTAGTCTTCAGTTTCAACAGTACCAACCTTCCTCTCCTCTGCGATGTAGTCTTCAGTTTCAACAGTACCAACCTTCCTCTCCTCTGCGATGTAGTCTTCAGTTTCAACAGTACTAACCTTCCTCCTTTCTCTTCCTCCCACCTTCATTCCCTTTTTCGCTTCACGAGCCACGAAACCAGCGTTACATTGAACAGTGGCGCCACTCGGCAAATCGTGTGCAAGAACATGTGATTCAGGAAGCAGAGGCGCATGACATGTTCAACGCGACGAACATGGACGACGACGATGTCACAACTGTCTCGTCGGAAGGCACGACTGAATCAATGACGGAAGACCACGAGGATGGGGAATTGTTCATCTCGTTGAAAAAGAATAAGCCAACGCCGAACTACAAGATGCTCGGAGGTGGACAAGGACCTAACACTAACGCCAAGCCCCCTACAACGGCGTCTTTGTCGTGTTTCCTGGTCCTTCGCATAGACGAAAAGCGATTTGCACTGATTAGCTGGACCCCTGTACAGAGTCCGTTCGAGGAACAACAGCAAATCACGCATCCCAGGATACATCATATAGTGACGCAGTTGTTGCACCACATCTCCGATAGTACGACAAGAACGCCACACGGCTGTGCTGGTGCGTTGCCATCGTCGGTATTATCTAGTAATCAGTATGTAGTATTAGTAAATAATTTTTCTGCCTAATATCTGGTGCTGGAGTATCTCCATCAATCTCGCAGAACCTATGTATGTTCACTTTGCTCTTAATCTTCTTGCACGACTGACCAGCATCTCAAAGAACTCAATTATTCCAGGTACTAGAGCAACAAGTACAGAAGCCAGGTTCGAACGGACATCAACAGAACACTTCAGATTCGTCAGAAGCAAGAAGTAGTGTTACGGTTTTGCGAGTGATGTGGAAGATTTGCAAAGTAGTAGTTCTTCACAGCGTGCAGTTTTTTTCGAAATGAAAATGATCTTCCATGCATTTCCAGTACAGCGTCTGTCTTGCTGCAGTAACTTTGAAAAGAAAGAAGAAGTCGGATCGTTCTATTGATAGAAGATTGTCAAGTGCATTCATTGTACAACGAACTTGTCGGACTGCACTTCGCCCTGCCCCATGCTATGATATCCGCTCCCAGCTCTAAACCACAAAGCGATGAACAACAAACCAGCACTGGCGGTCGTGGATCCAGACGTAGGAGTAAGGATAGACGTCAGGATAGAGACTCGCAGATCCGACGGAGGTCAAGAAAGAGCAGTATTCTAGCAGTCGATCCGGTGATCCCCATAGATCGGAATTTTACGGACTCGGACCACGAATGTTGAGCTTCAAAATAAACTTCTACCCCTACGGATTTTTTTGAAGGGGTAGAAGTTCATTTAGACTTAAGGGATGGGGAAGTTTATTTTAGACTTTATTTTTGTGGTACTAGTACTACAAAGACTTACAGTAAAAAAGGACTTAAAGTCAGATGAAGCATGTCGTGCTGAAGAAGATTTTTGAGCCGATGTAGAAAAGAAGTCCGATTTATTTCCCCCTACGGCATACTACTTTCTCTAAGCTCTGTTGTTTCGCTGACGATTTAGCAGATACGCTTACAGAAATCATAGACTTTGTCCAGGAAGAACAGCGAGAAAAGCGAGAACGGCGCGCGGCTAATATTAGGGCTGGAGACCGTCCTCGCCGTGGAGACGATGCGACAACCGGACGGCGTGTTAAAGCTAAACTATCACGCAGCACTCACGACAAGAAGTCGAGCGACGTTCTTAGTATCATCCCGACATCTAGTACAGGTACCACTACGTATAATGATAAAAAGATGTCGAACAATGGCACTCTTACTACTACTTCTACACCTTCTTCTAGTAAGACGACGAAGTCCCTTGTCTCTACTGCAAGCCTCAGTACAACGACTGCAGGTGGTGGCTCTAGTAGTAGTACAGCAACATCAAAACACAAGAACAAGAGTATCACTGGAGGTCGTGGTACCAATCTCGTCTGCGCTTCTTCTTCTGGAGAATCTACTTCAGAATCGGACGGAAAGAAGAGAAGTTGTAAGCGAAGCTCTCGAAGCTCACAGCTTAGTGCCTCATCACTAGCTTCCTCTGGGATCTTTGGCCTGGTTTGATTTACGTGCCAGGTACAACTACCGGCAAGGCTGAGGGGCTTAATCTTAAATGATTTGATGGAAAAAGATGCTCGTTATTATACATATTAGTCTTTACGAATTCGAATATTCGTGAGCAAACTCACATATTATGGGCAACTTGTTAAGTAAAAAATTATGTTTTCACACATTGGTAAATGGTAAAGGTACTACTGGTATAGATATTATTATTTTTTACGCAAATACAACCCTTTTAAGCACCTTGTTGAGTCGGTTCATCAATAATTCATCATCATCTTCATGTAACCTCACCATCTGACTAACTGCTTGTTGTAGTACATAACATATTCAAAGAAAGCTACTTTACCTGTTTCGAATGATCCCGCATGAGCATGTAATGGAGAAGCAGATGTAAATTGATTCCTGTTGTGATTTTCTTTTTCACTGCGCTATATTGATGTCGCTCTAGGTTGTACTTTGTGTTGTTGTTGTTGTTGTTGTAGAAACTCGATGCACGACCAGTGCGTACCAGCACAATACACCACTTCTACCATGCACTTGATTTTGATTAATTAACAGCATAGCGCCGAAGCCGATTGAAGAGAATGAGAAAGAGTACCACTATTTTTACTAAAGTAGTTGCATAGTGAAGGTGGGCAAGAAGGTCAACATGATTTAGGTTCTACCATTTAAAAAGCATGTAGTCGTTGTAGTTCTCCTTGGCGACGTAGCATCCACATAGTACAACAGATTATATCACAACTACTTCATCTCGTCGCAACGAACTGCTTATTTATATTTTGTTCACGATGACTATCTTCACACACACACACACACGCACACACACACACGCACACACACGCGCACGCCCGTGATCCGACTCTCATCATTCTCAGCACATCCAATTTGAAAATACACACAGAATATTGGTTCTGCTCTCTGCTAGGTAGACGACGACACCAATAAAGGTATGTCTTTCGACTGACTGCTCTTCTGATTGTTTCCTGAGATTCAGCGTCGAAATGTTCTTGTTGTTGTCATACGGCTACAACGTTATTGTCTTGCTGTTCTAGTACTAAAAATGCTGAGTCATCTATCTATCCTGCCTCACGACCAACTACATCTACGAAGATCGTGTACAAGAAGAACATCTGCCGATGAGCGAGCGAGCCGCGATGCAGTGAACGATAATGCTTGATGAAGCCAAGGCTTCATGATCCGCTTTCCCCTAATGCAGGCGACAGCGAGCACAGCGTGAACGCCGAAGTAGCTTCGGTCATTTTGTAGCCGACGTTTACACTGGCAGCGAAGTTGTCATTGCTTCTAGTACTACGGTAATCGTAGTACTAGATTTACCATAATTATAATTGCGCCATGGTCATAATTGATGCTCCTCATACATAATTCTTCTAATATTTCTCTATGCAGCACATGCAGGCAATATCGAGGATTTCTTTTCATGTTTTAGTCATCGCCGTCGTCGTCCGCGGCCACCGCCGTATTCATTTTTGTCAAGCTTAAAACTACGTTAATGATCTTCTGAACAAGCTTGAAGTTGAAACTACATCCCTTGCTCTTGTGATGTCACATTGCTGCCGCCTGTGGTTCGTTGCCTGTGTATCATCATGAGCAGCATCTTCAGCAGATCAACTAAGAAGCCGGAGACGAACATTACCGAGTTTGAAAGTGGTCAGAAAGTGAGGGTAAAGTCTGGACTGGTGCCTTCTGTAGTTATGGACCCGAAAATTTTTGTTGATGTCGATGAAGTCTATAAACGATGTCGAAGTCGATGAATTTAGATGGTTCAACGTTCTTTTTAGAATTCCTCTCCTCATGATCTCGACAGAGGAGCGCAAATACCAATCCCTCATCACATTCGTTGTCTTGAGCGCGGCTTTAAGGTAAGAAGAACAACGAGCACAAGCGACTATGTACTTATGATTCCTCCTATCTCTAAAAATTGTCCTTCTTCGCAATCGCATGATCCAGTAAGGACACCACCACGAGCACGAACAAATCTCCCAGCTGATATCGATCACGTTATTGTGGATTTGAACGATAGCCCGGAAACGATGTCAACTGCCACTTCTTCTGTCGTGAATGGAGCAACGACGAGAACAACTTCTCCGAGGGATGCAGCCCATAGTTCAGGTGGAGGCGGACGCAGCCCCGTTCGCAGCAGCCGAACAAGTGCATCATCCTCTGCGCAGCTTATGGCTTGATGTTCAGCGACTGTGGTTACAGTTTAATAGAGAAAATTTGAATTGTAGTTGTTTGTCAAGTTGTACTTCTTTGTGGTCGTGATGTACTAGTTGTTGAAAATAGTGCTGATATTCTTATTTCTTGTGGTGTACCTACTGTGCCGCACTGTCTAAGAAAGCCGGAGTCGGTGTAGGCGCAGACTGTCATTTCAACCGCGCCTACGAGCACTCGCGCTTGCGAACGCGGTTGGAGGTCATTGAGTCCATTCGCGGAGACTTAGAGGCAGAAGCTGTTGAAGTTCCTGGGGTTATAGTTGTGGGGAATCAAAGTGCCGGCAAGAGTTCTGTGTTGGAAGCGATATCAGGGATTAATTTTCCAAGAGGCGAAAACACATGCACGCGGTGTGCTTCTATCGTTCGTCTGGAAAGCGGGAACCTGGAAGCAAACGAAAGAGCCTATGCCTTACTATCCGTAAACGATCCGGAGCAAAAACAATGCGACAAGATCCGCGACTTCTCGGCAATAGGGGTTCAGATCGAGAAACTAACGAAGAAGCTGGGCGAAGGACAAGATGGAGGGACGATTTTGGCGGACGATGTTATATACTTATGACACAGGATCAGGAACCTGTGAAGATGTTTTTGAAAAAATGATGAACAACTACACTAGTCTTGTTGGTGTACTCCTCGCCATTTTCGAAATGAAGCAGCAGGAGGGCGCTGGTGGCGCATCTTCGGGTATTATCTTCAGCTCGTCAACATAGACTACATCATTCAAGAAATGTCCTCTTCTAACCCACATCACCGTACGGAACCGGACAGGACCGACCATGACCCTTATCGACTTGCCAGGTCTCACTTTTGTGCACAAAACGCAAAAGAACATACACGATGTGACAGTGGAACTCATTAGAAGGTACAACTGCAAAGTAAAAATTACATCCACAACTTCGACTTTTCTTTGAGCACGACTGCATTGACATTGTAGCGCGGTCAATCTCGACCACATTCGTCGTAGTAAGTAGTAGCAATTAACGGTGGCAGCTCAGTTCTTTTTATCTTCTTGTTCTTGGGTCGACCACGGTTCTACTTGACGGCGCATCAAAAATCAGAATCATCGAGTGTTGTAACCTAGTACGCCACAAATAATAGGTACATCAAGAACGAGCAAGCTGTCATATTAGCAGTGATCCCGGCAACGGAGGATTTTGGGAATTGTGAGGCCTTAAACCTAGCGGCTGACGTCGATCCGGATGGTGAGAGAACTCTAGGCGTCGCCACCAAATGCGACATGATTGGAAACGACAGCGACCTCTGCGCCAAGCTCAGGATGGAACGCACTAGTGATATCAAATTGAAGCTAAGGGTGAAGAGAAAAGTGCAATTTTAAGCAGCAAAATCACAGAATAAGTAATTTATAGAACGGATGTTGTAGGATGGACTTGGATGGATCGGATGGACCCCCCTAAGTCTTCCGATCCTAAACCCGATCGCGCGATCCATCCGATCCATCCATAAAATCAGCACTTTTGAATAACCTCTCGTCATAGTCATGAATGTGATGCACAAGCACATGTAGAGGAATTGCTAACTTCATCTCTTAATAGCTTTCTCTTTCCTTCTTCAAGGGAAATCTTAGGCAGATCGCCGAGTAGATTCGTATCGTCATCTTTCTCTTTCCTTCATCTCTCTTCCTGCCGTTTATCCCCACCCCATCTAACATAACTAGGCTTCGTGGGTGTGCGTTGTCGCGGACCTGGTGAAGTTCGAGACGGCATCTCCTTCCAAGAGATGGCGAAACGTGAGCGCGAATTATTCAATTCGCATCCTGCTTTGACAGGGAAAGTTAAGATTTTAGCGGTAGTTGTAGGCTTCTTGTGATAGTTATGCTTAATGTATTAAGTGTGATTGTTCTGGAACTTCTACTTGTGAACTTCTAGTTGTACCCTTAAGAGTCGAAGTACCCTTAAGGGTCCCTTACCCCTGCGGCTGTATTGTGGTAGTGGCTGTAGTTCGATATTTACCTTCTCATCCACCTCTTCCTCTTCCATTCTAACACCCGTCTGAAAAAGGAGCACTGGGGCATGGACACGCTCGTCGAGAAGATCTGCAATATTCAGGAGCAAACGGTCGAAAGGTGGCTTCCTAAAGTCAAATTGCAAGTTGCCCAAATGATCCAAGCAAAAGAACGAGAATTAGACGCGTCGCCATTACCCTGTCCGGACTTTAGCAGTAAGCGGAAGAAGTTACTCGAAATCATCTACGAGATCGACCGAAAATGGTATGACTTGAGCCAGGCTCTGGCGTTTCGAGAAGCGGATCCGAGCATGAACATCAGTGCCAGGGTGAGAGGAATATTTGCACGTAATTTTTACCATTTATTTTACACGTTAGTACACCTTTGTTGATATCAGAGGTGGACAACTTCATTTTTTAGATCACGACGGCCACGGGGGGCTTCGTGATTCCTTGACAGAAACACGATAAGATTTGGTACGGTCGTTTGCCGAGAATTACAAGGAAAAACAATGTCCGCAAGCGCTAGTTCTTTGGATCATTTTCTTTTCAAATATTTACGACCCCCGCCATGCAGGCATGCGCAATTCCGTTCGCAAAGGCATCCCTAAGTTCCTCGACGCTGGTAGCCAAAAAGAGATAGGCAAGCTTTTACGCGAATGCAAGGCTCATGGGCTTCCCAACTTCGTCTCCGACAGTGTCTTCACCCATATGTCGCGACACCAGATCATGCCGCATCTCCAACAGAACGCGAAACACCTCATACAGGAGGTCTCCACGTATATGACCATCGTTGCTGGGGTGTTGGCCGCGGAAAGTAGCAAAGAATATCCAAAATTAAGGCTCAACTTTCATTGGTCGTGGTCGGCGTGGGTCACTGACATCGCAGAGGGGCTCTCCTTAGAGAACAGGGGAAATAAACGAAGACGGGATGAAAAGGGGAGAGCTTTGAAGATGGTCTCTTCCGTTCAGAATCAGTGGCCACTGACTGCTGACCTTTAACAAAATTGGGCACAGAGTTCGAAATCATCGCGGCAACGGTGGTGCAGAAACAGACGGAAAAAGCAAGGACGCACATATTGGAGCTGTGTGAAGCGGAGCATTTAGTTTTCGTGTCGGAAGAAGATCGATATCTGGACATTTTGAACGAGATATCGCAAACGGTGAAAAGTGTAGCGCCACTCTTGGCGCAGAGTACAGCACACCCAAGTATCGCGAACGCAGCGGTACAACAAGCAAAGATGAATCAAGGTTAAGATGCTTGGTCGTGAAAATCAAATTGCTCTCGTGTTGTTGATGATGATGTTTAAGCACAAAATCGTTGATTGCTCTCGTGTTGTTGATGATGATGTTCTTTAATCACAGAATCGTTGAGCTTGAGGTTCTGGGCAACTGCATCTCTTGACGACTTTGTTTTTGATCATACGTGGTCTACCTAGCTCGGTCGTTTTCATTGAATCGAGCCAGTCGTGTCATTTCACCGTCTAAGCAGACCAGGCCACTGCATCCTCCGGAAGCAACATCAACTTGAGCAATGGTGCGCCTCTTTCAGCAGCGGTGGCCGCCGGAAACGCACAGCATGATGTGCTGAAGCTGTGTGAGGCACAAGCACGCAACTTGCAACGCTACGGAATTACAGGTGAACACCTTTTGCGATTGTGCGGAGGAGCAGATGGCGCAGCATCGGGAGATTTTAGGAATCTGGGGATTGTAATCTTCATCTTGATGTGGTTCTCAATTCAGATCGGTCAGAATTCAGTGAAAACGCCCTCTTCTAATTCCCTAGACAACAACGCTGGCCCAGGCGGTGCAGGAGGAGGAGCAAACCTTGGTCTGAGTCAGCATATCGGGTCTTCCAGAGAACTGAATCTTGAGAAGGTGAAAGAGACGCAGGTGTCATTGATCGCGTACTCTCACATCATACAAGGCCGCTTTGTGGATTCTGCGTGCATGCTGTGCTACAAGTTTCTCGTTAAAGTTAAGCAGGACACATGATTATTTTTACACTCTGTAAAAACAGGTCGTGGACGAGTAGATTATTTACTTATTTATTCTCTTCTATGTCTAGTAAACAGAAGATTTTTTCTTACTTATTTTTTCGCTTCTAACTCCCACCTCCAGCAAGCGATCCAGCATGCCTTTCACGACATGAGTTTGGATCAGGATAGGTTGGAGATTTGCATGGCCTCCGACCCAGAGGTCGTCGCGAAGCGCAAAGTGGTCGAAGAATCGCTTCAGAGACTGAATAATAGCATGCACCAGCTGTCGAAGTGTGATTAACATTAAAGTTTAGGAGGGCTTGTTGAAGTGTGGTTACCACAAATGGATCACGATTTTAACAACGCGGTTGCTTTCCTGCTAGTACCATTAAGATTTGCGACGTATCATGAAAATTGCAATTTTTGCAGCCAGTCATTTTATTTATTTTCTAGTCGTGGACGTGGTTTGTAGTGTGGATGAACAAATAAGAATAGTGGATGATGACCTAAAAATAGCTGCCCTAATTAGTTTGCTTTTCTTCACGTTCATACTTCTCACTTGCAACATGTTGGGTGTTTACACTTTTGACATCACAGGCGCTCGATTTATTTCATATGCATGATAAGGACGAGGACCCATAATAGGCATAGTCATAGATGGATGGTCATAGAATTCACACCAGCTCCTGCAGATCAACATAACCACACTTCATCTGACGCTTACGCAACTACACGCGTCGTGGAAGAGCGAGAGCACAAAAAATTCGCTCTATTATATTTACAAGGAGCCAACACAAAGCAGAAGGTTGTGGACACGAACTTCGATGGTTCCCTCACAGCTTAGCAACGAGCATGGATAATGACTGAGTTGTACTAAGAGTGACTGGAATGAGAGGTGGCCTTTGGGCCGCATTCTGTCTTTTGCACCCTGGGCGCTGCTAATTCAAAGGACAGCTTAGTCCTCGTCTCTATCAGGGTAACCCAAAAAGTGGTGATCATAGTCTTCACGTATCTACAATAAACAAGTCGTCCACATCAACTGACTTATCATGTCATCTATATATAAATAATCAGGAAGATGAGTTGATTTTACCGCATGTTGTAGAAGTAATACACGACAGGAGTAGAGGATTTACCAGTTGATTTTACCGCATGTAGAAGTAATACACGACAGGAGTAGAGGATTTGAAAATGATCGTGTCCTTCTGTAAGGGGAGCATCCTGTTTGTCGTTCTTGTTTGGTTACATCTTTTAGCAAAAACCGTGCAGGGACGAGATGCGACAGCAAGTGGTGACGCGGATATGCCTATCGAACGGCGGCTTCTGGTTCAAGAGGAAGTTAGCATGCCCATTTTTGAACCACCGAAACAAGCAGGTGCTCCTCAAGAAGAAAAACCACTGCAACAGCAGGACCAAGCGCAGGAGGAGGACCCCGCAGTGCAACATCAAGAACAAGCGGAACAACAAGCTCTTTCCGATAATCAACAACAGACGAGAAAGACATCAGAAGACGTGGGTGAATCACAGGCAGGAGGAGGCGTCGAATCACAGGCAGAAGGTGCCGCTCGAAATGCACACGCAGATGCACCTGTTCATCAGGAACTGCATGTAGATATAGCTGTTGGAGGAACAGGAGAGGCACGTCAGGTCGTTTCTGCTGGACAAGACCAGGAGGCTGGACTGATTGCCGAAAAAGCGAAGGTGGAGGCAGACGCTGCTGTCAATATTAGGGACAAAGTCAAAATGATGAGAAGACTATAATCTATTGCGTTTTATTTGAAGAGCGATTAAGGGAAGATTTCTCTCTCCCTACAACTATGTTGGAGGCTTTTAGTTGTATTTTATTTTTGCGGGGGAAAACAACTACTAGTACGCGTATTACTAGTTGTACTTACAGCTGCGACCAACATCCTGCTTGGAGTGGTTGTGCTCCTGTTTTCTTCTTCTACCCTCTAATTCGGTGACCGGCGTGGCAGCACTTGGACAGACTCAGCGGAGTGGTGCAGCATCTGTATATGAGTGGTTCACTACGCTTCTTCAGTAATAAAAGTCGTATTTACGTCAGTAAAAAAGAAAGTTGTTCGCTCTACTAGTACTACGAGATATTATTGATATTGGACGAGCCTTCTTCAACATCATCTTCTAATCCTGAGTGAGGAAAGTGCGTGAGATTGACCCGGTGATTCTTGATCCGAACGGACGGGACTTCTTAATGAGCAAAGAGCTCATGCTCATAGCGTTCTACGATTTAGTTATGGCCTCAGAGTCAAAGGAGAACTTAAGGAAATGAAGTTGTAGAATGTAGCTCTAGCTGTAAATTGATGAGATATTTTTTGTACGAGGGAAGATGAAAGAAGAATAACACCGGAAGAAACAAACTGCATCTAATTAAATTATCACAACTACCGCATAAATGGGTCTACACTACGACTACTACTACTACTACCCCGCCGGAGGTCTTGGCCTACAAAAAAGACAGGACCCTCAGCCTTGAACCTAGTCGTGGTCGATTGCCTATTCTTAATTCTTAATACATCAGCTAGTACATCAGGGGGTAGGAGTAGGAGATAGCCTATTCTTCATCTTCCTTGCTGGAAGATAAAGGAGATGTCACAGTCACGAGGACTTCCTTTCCTCCTAGCCAAGAACAGATGAAACAAGAAACCCTAGACAACTAGACCCTAATAAAGCCACTTCATTTCTAATTTGCTTCTTCTTCTTGAGACGCCGAGACCGTCTTCTAGTTGTTCATTTCACCGATTAGACTTGAACCTAAAGCAAATTTATTGGCCGTTAAAAGGAGGTAGTTGACTGTCAACATCATTGTCAGACATCATGGTTTTACTCAAGAAGTTGATTAACTACTATCTACTTTCATATATCCCAATTGTGGTGCTGGGACTGACTGTGCTGATTTTTTTGACCGATATGAACAAATTGCGACACGGTTGCCTGGCATACCTACGATGAAAATCGACCTCTCGCCTGCGGCTACGAGAACTATAGTACTATGATCTATTCCTATCTAGAGCTCCTATCGTCAGGAAATCTTAGGCAGATTGCCGAGGAGATTCGCATCGTCAGAGCTCTAGCGTGGTCTACTATAAATGATTGCAATTGCAGTTCTTGTTACGAGAAAATTGGTATGAAATTGTGAATAGCTGCCCGTGGTACTGGTACTGCTGATGAATTAGTATAATAAGAGAATATATTATTTTTAATGAGGATTATACTTTTCAGGTAGAAAATAATGCGTTTGGAGTTGTTAGTGGTCAGCCTGCAGGGGGTGTCTCGGTGGCTAAGAACCCAGATGGTACCTTTACCGCTGGAGAATGGCAGTTGCGAGTGCTATTTCGAGAAGATGGAGCGTCTCAATTAATTTATGCCTACGTTTCTATCTTAGGCAGATTACCGAATAGATTCGCATCATCGCCTTCCTCTTCTACAGTAATTTTAGAATAGCATCCTATATCAAAATCAATATAATATCCTGCTAATTAAATTCTTCAATACCCCACGAATGGGAAATGGTACACTAAAACTACTACTATCCTAAGTACAACACTAGATACATCAGCGTTTGTAATTGGGCAGGTAGGTATGATAAAAACTACACGGCTACTTGTTTCTTGTCGGAAGGTCATCCACGCATGCATCAAGGACATCTTCTGCGGAGCTGCACCAGCTATACTTTGATGATATTGATTGTGGGCGAGCCAATTGCTCTCCTATCCAAATCAAAAAATCATCAAGCGTCAAAATGAGGAAACAACATGTGTCGCTAGAAGTAAAAGATGGGCGCTTCGTTCCGCCACTCCAACATTGCATATGCAATGTACCGCTTTTATTAGACGATTAGGTCCACTACCACTGACATTGTCTTATTTTTGTATTCCTGCTGCCAACTACAAGACGAAAAGAGTTCATCTTCTAACTCGATTATGGCTAATATGTACTTCTACCGCTGAACAAGTATGATCCCCATGCAACGCCATCCTTGCCTCCTTTTTCAACAGGAAAAAGGACTCAGGGACGGGCTCAAGGATGCGACGTGGCAGCTCTAACTCATGGCGAAAAAAGTGCTTACGGAAGACGCTACTGGAACAAGCAAAGAAACGCTCGCGTTGTCCCGCGATGTACGCGCCGCAGTGAATACTCTAAAATCTGGCTATTACAATTAGGGGTGTGGCGGGATATCTACCATCTGACTCGTCCAAAGCGACTTATCTGCAAAGCGACTCAAATGTTGTAGTGCATAATCTTAATCTTCATGAATATTTTCTTGAACTACTTCCAAGAATCTTCAGTAAAGGGTCGACGTGACGACACGATTCATATTTCTGGTAAAAAGTAAAAAAAAAAGACCTGCTACAAATATACCTCTACGTCCACGTGGGCAAGAAAGTGATGGTCGCTTGTTCAGCGAAACGTCGTTCCAACATGGCCCTGAAGCTCCTGTTCCTCATCTCTTGTTCATCAAGTCTGCAGATGATGATGTTTGGTAGAAGGAACTGCGCAGTTGGTTCGGTCACTGAGTTGTGTCGGCGTTGCCCTGTGGACTATTATAAGAGTGTACTGCTGCCTGAAAGCGGTAGTACAACTGGTCCTCTTAGGACTTCTTCATCTTAATGGTGAGTCATGTACGTCTAATATTAGCTTGTTACAACTCGTCGGTCTGGCTTTTATTTCGGTGTAGTGCAGCAAGTGCTCACATCGGTTCTTGTATGATCTTCCTCTTGTCAGCAGAAAAATGAAGGAGCAGTCGTTTTAAATACCCAGGTCCACCTAGTAATCCTTCCTTTTGAAAGGAACACATGTCCTCGGTTATCTTCAGTTTTACAATATGAATATCAATGCTTGACGTCGGTCGTCCACATCCTCCATGTTGTTGACCCCTTACTCGACCTCCTGCTCTTGATGATAACTAGTAGTTATTTTTAGTAATGAAGGGACCATTATCTTCGAGCAGAGGGACCTCAACGTCAACATCAACTAGTACGACATGCAGAAAGTACAACTGCAAGTTTTCTTCACTAATGCTTTTTCGCACCGGAAGATCAACATCAATCTTTATGACCCTCAACAGAGCCATTCAACTTATTGGATGTGTTTCCAGAACTGCTCTTTTTAGCTCCGTAGTTGTTAAAAATGTAGATCAAACAAGAGGCAAGCAACATCATGATGAACAAGATAATTCTTGTTGGCGATGCGGGTGTCGGCAAAACGAGGTTGGCCCAGGCACTGGCACGGTCCCAAGAACTTCTAGATGCAGAGGAGGACCACTTCTATGCTGAAGACGACGAGTACGTGCCAACGCCTGCACAGACGCAGACTTTGCTAGCTTCCTCGTTGGCTCTCCACGATTGTGGCTTCGGTGGAGAGGACGTGCATCAGGCTTTAGCTGGATATTTCAAGGTATCTATAAGAGTATTTCATTTAAAAATCGCCTTTGTTGGAACTGGAAGTTGTCGTTGCGTATCTTCAGACCGAAAGCTTAGCTGGATTATAATATATTTTGGAGATCATACCTACGTATGAAAAGTGACGACGAGAACGATGACGTAAGACTGATTGAGCTTGAGCCCGCTTCGGATCCTTAGATTAGTCCCTAAAATAAATCATACCTACCAACCAGGATGCCAAACTCGCCTTACTGGTCTACGACGCCTCAGCCGGCCTCGACTCGTTTGAGGGCGTGCAACATTGGTTCGCGCAAATTTTAATGAACCCCGAAGAATGTCCCGGCTGTAGAGCCATAGTCGTAGGCACACACGCTGATGTTGAAGCCGATGGTGCTGACGCAGGAACAGGGAATGCTAAAGACCTCATTCCCGAAGTGGAGGCCTTCTGCAAGGAACGGAGTTTGCCGCATTTTTTGGTCTCTAGTCGTACCCGCACTGGAATCCTTGATTTGCGGGTTGCAGTTTTTGCCGCTTTCGGTCTCGTTGCGCCTCAACAATCTACGCATCTTCAATCTCGGAAAGAGATGAAATCTCGAATGCGGCAGCCCACGAGTTACTCTTTTTATGGCCTTGAGCTTGATGTAGTTGATCAGCAATAGTTCTTGGTATGAGACTGTGTGCTGTTTTACTGTAGTTGCTGGGGAGGCTTCTAGTAGTGCCAGGTGGTCAACATCGCCAATCCTTCTGTCTAAGACTTAGGAGCTGGAATCGTCAACAATGCAGAGGAGGCAGAACTGGCAAAGGAAATGCTACAGAGAGATTGCAGGAAGAAGGACATTTTTGCCCCGAAGCAAAGTGAAAAGCCGCCTGTGCAGAAGGTAAAACGAAATATCATTAAGGACAGCCTTACTACTTGTTATACTACTTGTAAAAGTATCCAGTTGTTGATATTAATGAGAAAAATGAATTCTTCTGGTATTTGGTTTGGTAGCCTGATTTTGATCATAAGGGAAAACGGGAAGAGAATCCTTGTGATCGAATTCAGGTTACCAAATCCCACTCAACTTGCAAGGTGAAGATTGCAGTTTTGGGCGCATCTGGGACGGGAAAGACCAGTCTTATTCGCAGATGGATTGCTGCTGATGATGGATACCAGGATCAGCTTAACTACGTATCTTTCTTCTACCGTTCCTTGTTCTCTATCTCCCATAGTACCACTTGCTAGAAGATTTTTCGCTCTCTGTTCTTCATCAAGAAGACACGAAAAAGAATCATTATTTATAAATAAGTATGACCATTTGCTAATATTCACAATATAATTTCTCCAATCATTCTCCATCCATTACCACAACAACTTACTTCCACCAGGGCCGTGGTCATCCTTCTCAGCGTTTGCTCCGGATGCCACAGCAAGATGTTTTGCTAGACTTTTGGGAGGCTTCTAGCAGCTCTTTTCTGGACAACACAGCTGTGCGAGGATCTGTTCTACGTGGTTCAGCTGCTGTCCTGCTCGTCTACGACGCGACCGATCCAAACTCTCTTCACTACTTGCGCTTAGTCCTGCATGGTGGGTATTTAAACGCAGTTGCGGAGAATCCAGCTTTAAGGGTTTCCGAATTACATCCCTCACTACCATCCTTGGCTCCTTTTCAACGGGGAAATAGGTCAAGGATGTTCTGAAGAATGCAACTCGGAAACCTCTAACATCTGCTGGTGATGAAAGTGAAACAGCCACTTCCTTCAGTACTAAGCCAGTCCTCAACTTCGTCGGCAATAAGGACGACGTCTTCAGACCGGGCCGTAGCAGCGTTGTCGATGACGCTGAAAACTTGGCGCGTTCCAGCTGTGTTGGCCACTTGTGCTGTAGTGCCATGATTGACGACGACTTGAGCCTGGACCACATCCTTCAGGACATCGTGCACCAAAAAAACTGCGCAGAACAAGTGGAACAACTGGGACTTGGTAATAGTCCTGGAGATCGAGATGCTGTAGTTGTTGGCCAAGTTGGAGTTGGTGAAGGGGGAGATCCCTTGTTAGAAGATGCTGCCAATGATGTAAATGTGGATGAGATGAAAGCACAAGTCACTGTTTTGGAACATGCACTGGAGGCAACGCAAAAACAACTCATGGTGTCGAAATTGACTCTTGTTAAGGCTATATGTTCGGTTTGCTAACCATTGTGATAATAATTACGTGCTTTTATTTCTAGTTCTACTTAGTTGCACTCTCCAAAATCTACCTCTTGTCAATCAATTATCAATCAATCAATGTACAAGAAGATTGAGGGGTCATCTAGATCTAGATCTTCTTCATAATAAATATAAATGATCCTTTTTGGTGTCTCTCTTTGTTCTGGACTTGCTCAAAAATCAGGGACATCGACGGACAACTTCCTAACCTTTACATAATGATCCTTTTTGGTGTCTCTCTCTAATCCAAAACAGCAGGAACCATCTCTGCAGAGCCGAATGCAGAGTCTGGGACTCACCGAGTCGAACTTTGGTGATGAGCATCTTCTCCTAGACAAGGTAGGGACGATTGCAGTTGCTGTTGCAGGCGATGAAGAAGCTCGCATGTCGAATCCTAGACCGCACTCACCACCAGAGTTCTTGGTTGATGGTCTTGTTGGCGATGAATCCCAATCCAGCGACCTACTAGAGAACAAGGGAGATCAGGTGCCTTCAAAAATTTCTGCCAAACAAGACAACAAGAACACTTCTCCATCCACGACTAGTAAAGTCAATCTATTACAAGCAGGAGGGGGAGACCTAGAAGTTGCATCTATTAACGTTCCAGCGTCGTCAAAACGGATTTTGAACAACTCGTCTGTCGTGAACAATACACCAAGAGCAGGTAGAGGTGCAGCTTCCTCCACTTCTGCTGGAGCTTTCCCACGTCTCCAGGATGCTCCGATGCCATCTAAGCGTATCCTGATATCGACACTGACAAAAACGACAGCGAATCATGTTGACGTCGAAGGTGGACCCGACTTGCAATCTGCTGCCTTAGATGGGGGTAAGACTTCGAAGATCACGGCTCCAACATCAGCAAGAACCGTGAGAACTGTAAACGCAACTACTCCACAACAAGTGGAGAGTCAACCCGTTCTTGTCGCGGACAATACTTGTCGATCTACAAATGCAGCAGGGGCGGTAGCCGCGGTAACTTCTACATTGAACGATACGGATACCACAACCACCGCTTCCTCAAAACAAGCTGACAAGACGATTCTTGTTGGGCAGGCGCAGAGGGAATTTGCAGCAGTCCTAGAACAGCAGAGACTTCAGCGGGAGATGGAATCTTTGGAGAAAGCGTTGGCAGAAGCTCGTGCTAGCATTAAGGCTACAAGAAATCTCCCATTTTCAGGGGCATCTTCTTGGTCCCGTTTTTCGAGGGAAAACCAAACGAGACCCAAGATGCTGCTCAAGATGGACGACTTCTCTCGACTTCTAATAACATTGCAGCTTTGCAACAGCAAAAAGGCTGTTCTCAAAAGGCTTCCTCTGCTCCATCTGGTGGTGGATCCGGTGCACCAGCAGTAAAAGTTGAGTCTAGAACAAGCTGTGGTTCGTCCATGGATCAAACCGTGTTGATGAGCGCGGATGAGGAGGTGAACAAGAGCGATATCGACGAGGTTGTTTCATCTCGAGAACTAGACCACTCGACCACGACCGTTCCACCTGGTGCCTCCCGGAAAGGTAGCTGTGAGGCTTCGAAAGAGCTCGAAACGCTGGAAATCGAGGTCGAACTAGTGGAAGCAGAAGCAACGCCAACAGAAACGGTGAGACGAGATGATGAAGTAGATCCAACATCATCATGTGGCAAAAGTAGCAGTGGCACCAGTCGTGCAGCAACTAGAGCTACTACTGCAGGAGCACCAGTACAAGTAGACCTACTAGAACTACAATTAGAAAACTCCAGCAAACCCTCCACTTCAAAGAATGCGTCAGCAGCGATGAACGTTGAGCAGATTGTGAAAATGGATATCAGCTGTACAGGAAGCACATCTTCAGGAGGTGGTTGTACTTCATCTTCTTCTGCCCAGCACGAGATGAATGGTGGAGCAACTACTTCTATGGATTCCTCGCAATCGGCTTCGAAACAAGATGAATTTTGGTCTGCTTCATCTCCTTCTAAGAACACCATTGCCAGCGTCGCCACCAGCAACTCGTCTTCGAAGCAAAGCCAGGCTAGCAGTTGTAAGTCTTCGGGTTTCTCAACAGGTACTGCTCGCTCATCCGACGAGCAAAGCAAGAATACCAGAAAGAATAAATCAATGACTCTCGCTTCTATGGTAGCAGCAGCGCACGATTGCAGCACCGATGAGGAGCAGCAATTGAGCCGATTGCTTGGGCCACCTGCTGCGACAGGATGTTCAGGAGAGCCTGCTAATGGTAAGGGGTCAACGATGGGTGCGATCCGTAGTAGCCGCACTTCGACGTCGCATCTACTCCAGCCCACTGCGTCGTCTGCGAAGAATAAAGAGCAATCTGCTACTACAGCGCGAATCAATAACATCAAAGCGGTAGTGGAACAACAGGCCACCACTTCCATGATGCCTGCCACGACAAGTTCTAATACTTCAATCACCAAGAGGAAGACTGCAGCTACTTCGTCTCTTTCAAGCGAAGGCCCGCGAGCGGATGTTGCACGTTCGACAGCAGCTTCTAAAGGACGAAACACCCCTGCGAAGAATAAAGGTGACCACGTTGGTATCCAACATCATGTCGAGAACAAGAAAACCACTCCCAGGACTTCCTCGAGCACTTCGACCAGCCGAACTGGTCCTGGTTTTCGAAGCACAGGACGAGGCGGAGGAGCTTCGGAGCGATCCTCTTCAGCCGCGCCCAGCTCTTGTCCCGGCAATGGCCGTGTGAAGGCGAGTCGCTTCGCAGATCCAGATCCACTGTGGAGTGCAAGGAGATGTTCCAATAGTAGAGACGTCATAGCTGGTGGAGTATCTACTTCAAGCAAATCTTCATCTTCGACTTCTCAGAAGACGAGTAAGAACAGCGTTGTCTCTTCTTCCAAGAATACTTCTTCCAAGAACACGTCTAATGATGGAGGCGCACCGCTTTCTGCGCGATACAATAAAGCGCATCTAAATGCAATTCGGGCACTACCGTTGAGTGCCAGGGGTGTCGTGCGCGATAGCGCGTCGACGTCTTCGCGTTCATCATCGAAGCAAGGACCAGCACCGTCTGCTTCTGCTGCAGCTGTTGTAGGAGGAACAGCATGCTCATCCACTGTGTCTAGTACTAGTTGCAAAAGTAGCAAGCAAACTGCTGTTTTCGACACGGAGGAACCGCCGAGCACCAAGTGGACGGATTCTATGAAGAAGCAGTTGGAAAGCGCAATGAGACTGAGTCAGGCGAAGGCCAGTCGTTCCAGTAGATCCTATTCGCCTGACGCAAGGCGTCGCAGGCGCAAAAATCTGGAGAATGATTCTGAATTGGAGAACAAACCTGCGTTATTGACAAGAAAGAGCGCTACAAGAAAGAACAACATTGTGCAGGCACCGCCATCTGCGCCGCAGCAACAGCAGCAGCAAGTGGGTTATAACCGTGGAGGTGCTGTCGTTCAATCTCCATTACAAATGGTTTCATCTGCTGGTCCTCTGACAGCACCGGCTCATTCTGTTGCTGTTGCTCCGAGCAGCACCGGCTCCGCAGGCGTCGGCATTAGCAACTTGCGTCAGGCAATGCAGCGCGCGTCCGCGATGACCATCAGAGTTGCACCTGCTGCAACTACTGCTTCAGCTGCGGCAGCAGCTCCAGTTCGCTCGCAACCACATGTCGTACAGCGGCAGTCATCCGTGCTGCAGATGCAGCCTGCTCAGGTGCCTATCGTGTATGGCAATAGGACGATGCCCGTGCAACACATGTTGCCGGTCACGGGAAATGCAGCTAGTGGTTTGCTCCAGGAGGCAAATGGCGTTTTTGGCTCAGCCTATCATCGTTGTGGAACAGCAGCAGCAGCAGTTCCGGGAGCAGTTACGACGAGAGTGAGTGGAAACAACATCATCTCCACCATGTCGTCAGGAGTGTATCCCTCGAAAGACGCTTCCTCTTCTGGTGGCCCAACGAGTTGCTCAAACTCGAAAACAACAACGAACTCTGTGATGCAGCTATCATCGAGTAAGTTAAGTAGTCGCGCAGCTGGAGGTGGATGTAGTTCAAGTTCTGCAGGAGAATACTACTATATCTCTTCATCGGACGGTGGCCGTCAAACGGCAGGAAGTCGTGCATATCGAGCAGACACTACCGATGAAGAGCCACAAATGCAGACGCAGGTTGGGCACGATCACCGCAGGCAGGTATCTAAAGATCGAAATCTGACTACCATGCGGAAGATGATGGATGGAGGAAAAACGCGAGTCGAAGAAAAGCGTGCTGGCGCCGGGATGAGTGGAAAAAATCTAAAGACGGTATCTAATCGCAGGAGCGGAAACACGCCTGTCAAGGCGACACGAGCGGGCGGGGCTGCTGCCCAGCAAAATCAAAGTACTTCTGGCGTTGCTTCGCGTAGTACAAGAGCGTCTGAAAACAAAATCAAAACCACCGTCGAAGATGTGAAGGACAAGAGCACGACCAAAAACAGAGCACCATCCACCTCTACAAATACAACTTCCAAGAAGCCAGCAACAAAACCGTACATGCGACCGTCGTACACGGATCTCGTCGACGTTGACACTATGGGATCTACGAGCTGCAGCATTGAGCCTCGCAGTGCGCGGTCATCGGTGCTGTCAACTGCAGCTCCCAGCGCGCGTTCGTCGCGACGAACAGGTGGTCGACAAGGAGTAGAAAGCAACAAAAAGATCGTGATTGATGCGTCAACAAGTAGCACGGCTACCACAACAAGGAGCCAGAAAACTAGTAGTGCTGCCAGCACGCCTGTTGTACATGGGGGTGGCAATCATGTTATTGCAGCAAGCCCGCACTATCATCACGACCATCACCAGCAAATCAACTACGGAGGTTACAACAATTTTGCGGGTCCACCACCTGCAGCAGTGATGTCGATGTTGGGACCCGCTTACGCTCAGAATCCGCAGCAACAGCATCATTTGAGCCAGTTTCAGCACGGGCGGAATGGATTTCACTTCGCTCAGCAGCACCACTTACATAGGGTCGATCAACAGCACCACTTCCAACCACCTGGGCGTATGTATCTTCAAGCGGACGCGTCAAAGAGCGAAGAGGACTCACGGGCTTCGACAATGACAGCTGCAACGCATCCAGCTCAGACGATGTTGGGCCTGGGGTCTGTCTTTTTTGGGTAGGAGTTAAAAAACTGCATTGTTCGGGGGAAAGAACCAGACATACCATGGCATGCAGAACCACGAGCAAAAGTAGCACAACATGAGAGAGTATCGCGTATCATCTGAAAACATCTCTAGTCAAAAGAAAGTACTTAGGCTAGTACGCTTGGAAAAAACTGCACAAATTCAATACCACTAAATTTTGGGAAGAGCAGTATGTTGAGGTCACGTTGCAATTCTGTTTCGAAGTAACATCGAAAGATGAAAGATCATTTGTTGAAGAACTAAAAGCTCTATTGAAATCTAAAGAATGCAGCTCGTGTAAGATATTTGAAAGGCTAACATACTGATAGACCAGAACAAGCATGCATGATCATACTGAATGTTAGCGCGAGTTCCACTCCATATTCGAGCAAGAGCGACATCAAGATCTTTTAAATCCAAAGATTGGAGGTACTTAGTTCTTGTGAATCGAAATTATTTTTATTATTATATTATAGAACATAAACGAAAACATTTCCATTTCGTAAGAAGGATGCTGGATGGCATGGCATGGCATGCATTGCATGAGCCGAGGGGGTCAGAGTGCGACCTTCTTAGGGAAGCGACGCGGGGGCGAAGGCTCGGGGCGCGACATAGGGGGGCCACCGCGTTGCTGTCAGTTTTGCTTCTTGCGTTTGTCTTTGCACAGCGCGCCCTCCTCATCTTCAGCCACCCCCTTCTCAGTGCGACTGGAGCACGCAGAGCGCCTGGAGCCTGTCCGCGCTTCGTTGCAGTTTGGTGAGAGGTCGGAGCTTCAGGCTTAACCTGAGATGTAGGTCTAGTGTATTATGGCGCAGCCTATAGGATAAGTATATTTATATATGTACCAGGGAGGGAGGCCCCCCCCCCCGTGGATGGATCTTGGGTGGACCCCGCCAGAGGGGTCCAGCCTTGCAACCTTATTGGCCAGGCCTGTCGAGGGGCTGCCGGGCGCGAAGGCCTCAAAGCGCCCACTTCTGACCCCTTCCCGCTTCTTGCATGTACCCTACAGACCTGGCAAAGGTGGCAAAGGCTGGGCCCTCTGGTCGTGTTGCGTGTACCCGCCAGAGCTGGCAGACGAGGCAAGGCGGGAGCCCACCCCCTTGGCGTAGGGTTGGGCACATGCAACACGCCAGAGGGGTCCAGCCTTGCGTGCCACCTTTGCCAAGTCTGTCGGGTACATGCAGCACGCCAAGGGGGTAGGTCCCGCCTTGCCTCGTCTGCCAGCTCTGTCGGGTACACGCAACACGACAAGAGGGCCCAGCCTTTGCCCCCTTTGCCTAGGTCTGTTGGGTACATGCAAGAAGCGGGAAGGGGTCAGAAGTGGGCGCTTTGAGGCCTTCCCGCCCGGCGGCCCCTCGAAAAGAGGGGCCGGGGCGGGGAGGCCCCCCCCTCACTCCCTCAAGAAGTTAGATCGGGGGGGAGGGGGCCTCCCGCCCTGAGCCTTGGAACATATATAGTCACGACTGGGACCTCGACCGCCTTGCTCACTGTTCTCTTGCGCACACAGGCCACGGCGTTTGCGCTGCTCCTTGCTTGTGTCTGGGGCGGGGTCACAGTGGGGCTTTGGGCTGTGCTCGTGTATCGTAAAGTAATTCTTCGGCGGAGCAGCCCGGTACTGCGGCGGAACAAGTATGGCGCCCGAAGGGCGCCGCGGAAAATTTATTGCTTTCGGGGTGGTCCATCCATGCCATGCATGCCGTCCATGCAATGCAGTCCAGAAGTTCAGATATTGCCTTAGATTCTATTATAAAAAGAACAAGCGGCTCCTGTATAGAAAAAAACACTTTGGGTAAAGTACTGGAAGTAGTGGAAGTGGAGCATTGATTGATGTATTGAAAACTTACTCTCTGACGACAAAGGCACGCGCACGACGACTTGCAATATAATGTAACCTATTCTCGTACGCATATCTTGTCTTGTTCATCCACGAAAGGGCGACAAGCATCGCGTGCTGCATCTGTGCAGGTTGATCATTCACAAAAATTCATCAAAAGTCGAGGAATAAAAGCTGCTGCTTGCCGAATAAGGAGCCAACTCCGGTTCAACTAAAGCTATGTCGTATATGCAGGATTTGGAAGAGACTTTGACCATTTATTTGGAGTATCTTCATCTTCATCAATTGTCTACTGTAGTCAGGTTTTTTTTGTCTCTCTCAGATAATATCATCTCCACCAATTTGTTCTCGATCTAACTATTTACTAACAACTACACGAATCATACTAGCCAACTACTTACTAACAACCTCCTTACCTCGCTTTCTTTCGAAGAACTTTCAGCACATTAGTCTTTTCCGATTCATTCGAAACTTCTGAATACGTACTTACACATTTCTCTAGAAGTAGTGGGAGTATTAAAAAAAAATGTCGAGATTTTTTAAAGGCCACGACAGGCTTGTTTGGCACTGCCTGCTGCTATTTTGCATTTGCAGCGCCGCTTCTGTCCTCGGAACGCCTACGAAGCAACACGAAGGGGCCCACGTGAATGGAGCGCGGCGCGCACGTGACGTGTTCCAACAAATGGAAAAGGGAGGGTGGAAGCTGCAGTCAGTACGTGGATCGCACAGAAAATGGACCAAGGGCGAGCGGCAGATCATCATTCCTGCGCACGGCTCAGGCGAGCTAGATGCTTACGAGCTCCGTCACATTGTCGTGCAGCTGCGTCGCGCCAGACAGGCGAACTACAAAGTGGATGCGAGCTTCCTCAAAGCAGGGGCTGCGGGAAAAGTTAGCTGCCAGGCACGCCGCGGACGATGCTCAGCAACAGGCGATGACACGCAGCAAACCGGTTCGTCACATGCAGCTTCGTCACAGCAACTGCCTCCTGGGTTTCTAATGAAGGGGGCGACGGTCATTCCGCTCGATGAAGCAGTTGAGCAAGAACCGGTTTGCGGAGAAAAGGATTTGCAGGGCTACACGGCGAAGCTGAAAGAGATGAATGCCGAGAACGAATCGGGAAAAAGGGCGATTGATACCATGTTGCACTTCGTAACTTTTTTGCTCTCGGAAGGGGCCTCTCGTCTTGCCGTGTACCTGCTCATTTACCAGCTTGGCGCGCCGTACACAGAAAACAAAGAACTCTTTCCCTTTGTTCAGCAATTTGGCGGGAAAACTGTCCCAAAAGCCAAGCCGGGCGCAGCCTTTCTGCGTTCTATCACTCGAGAGCAGAAGATGCGACGAAGTTTACTGCTGATGGAGGCGTACCGCTTGGAGTCCAACCTTTTGGTTTCTTTGCTCACTAGTCCGCAGAGGTTCTTTGCCCGCGTTGCGGACAAGAACGACTTCGCCATGATTATCGGTGGCCCACGGGTTCGCTGCGAGGTGGAGAGAGAGTTGGCGCACTTGTGGCAAGACTTCAGCACCCACGTGCTTGGCCCAGACGATGTTTCTGATCTACACTTGCAAGATCGCGAGAACGAGGAGGGCGAGCTTCTCGTGACACTCATGTCACAGCTCGAGGTGGAACCTACAAAAAAGGTTCCTCCCCAGGATGTGAGTCCACCACTTTCGGCAGATGACGAAGTAGACGAGCACTCCACCAGCTTGCTACTGTTGACTCCTTCCACCTCGTCCGAATATGCAGCACTACTTTTATCCCATCATCGTGATAGACTTGTATCCCAAGAAGTCAGACGCTATCAAGAGGACACAGGCTTTGGGATCCAATCTCTACGAGAACTGGCAGGCCCAAGCTTCGACAAGGCGTCCGAGGTGGTCCGTAACATTTATCGGCGGGTCGGGGACTGGACAAGTGACGAGTGGACCGACAAGTTTCCTGAAGTAGAGGATGCACGCGTTCCCATCCCGCAGGAGAGCCTTTACAGACTGCTTCATCAGTGGCAATATGTGCTTTTGCACGTGGAGCTGGTGGCATATTACGACCGACTAAACCCCGAGGAGAAACAAGAAGCGCTACCCTTTTTTCGAGGCAAAGTACTGAGGGCGTTGAGAGATCAGTCGTATCTCGTAGCTGCCGTCTGGCTTTCAACGCCCATCGCGCGCGCTCTGGCAGCACGGTTCGAAGCGTTGAGTGCCGAGATTCTCAAGCGCGTGGCGGTACTCCAGAACGAAAGCGTCGAGGGACGGCACAAAGTGAAACAAAGTGGTACTATGAGTGCGGAAGAGGTTCAAGTGTCGCTTGCGGAGGTCGCAGATTTCTTTGCGAGAGATATCCTGCAAAGCTTCCGTCCGCTGCTCAGTTTGGCCGGCACCGGGGCGCGCGCTTTGGGGCAATTCGCGCACGTGCTGGACTCACTAAGGAACGCCAAGGAGATGCCTTTCTTTTGTGGTGTCTTTCCAGAATTCCACAGTGGAGGTCGTGAGGAATATCTACAACTCCTTCAACAGGCTGCGAGCGCGCCCTTAACGGAGGCCCCGATAATCTCGGAAGGCGTAATGGAGCTAGAGCCGGCACCGTACTACACTTCCGCGCAGCGGGACGAGGCGCTCACAGCGTGGATCGGGAAACGACTGGAGTTCCTTGTTGCGGCTGTGGAGCCTAGCGGGCTGCTTGCTCAGGGTGTATTCCGTGATGGCGGAAAGCGGAAGGTACTGTTGCGGTCGGTGTTTCCTGCGAGCGAAGACAACGACGAGAAGGAGGCAGCGGGTGACTGGGAGGAGGGGGACAGCGTCACTTTCGTGGGCTCCATGCGCGCACTACAAGACGCATGGGGCATAGGTGTGATGAATGACATGTTCCACGACAGCGCGTTCGGCGAAACTCTCGCCGAAATCACCAACAAGCTCGTGGACATAAAAAAGAATATAGACAACCGATTGGAGGTGTCGCAAAAGAAGATTGACGTCGAAGTGGGGCAGGGGACACACCCTGGCCTGTCGCAAGCGTGTGCTCACACGGCGCTACGACGCAAGCTTTTCCAAAAGCTGACCGTCGAGCACTATAGTCGGTTTGCCGCAGTGTGGAGAGCGGAGGACGCCAAGCCGCGGCTCGCGTTCCGGAAGCAGAAACTGTGGATCGATTTCTTGACGCATGTGCTGGTGCGGAAGAAGCCGCTTTTGATGGTCCCGGCGGGCGAATGCGACGCCGTGGACAAGGCGCGGAATGCGTTGGGTGCCGCGACGGAACAAGATCGTCGTGTTCTGCAGCTTTACAGCGAAAAGAAAATCGGACAGCCAACACGTAGGCAAAGAGATTTCTCCACCCGATATGCGAAAGAGTTTGAACAGTGGCACACGCTGAATTTCGAAGAGTTTGCCCTTCCGTTGCTTGGCTCGCATCAGCTCCTGGTGACGATAGGGACAACTGTGGTCCATGTAAACGACTGGCTGCGCAGCATGAGCTTGTTCGAAGGAAGCATTCTGTCGCCGGCGCGCGACCTGCGTTATGCGCACGAGGACTGGTTCGACGTCTGGCGCTTTTTGGGAGCTGGATTCTTGCTTCACCGAGACCTCTCCGACGTGATGCTCTCAAACCTGCAGGAGGCGGAAACAACCGATCCGGGGCAGCCGCTGCCGATAACACGCGTAAGAGTTGCGTACGGGTGGCAGGGGTTTCGCACGGAGAGTTACCGAAAAGCGAGCGCGCTGTTGTTGCATAGTAGTCTTGTCTTTGATGAGCTGTTCCATATCTTCACAGCGCGGGAGCGGAATCTCGACCGAGACTTGCAGCTGACAGGAGGAACCGCGAAACTCTACCACGGAGACGTGTACGATTTTGAAAGCATGAACAAGACGATCTTGCCATATCGCTTGTGGCCAGTAATTTACTGTGACTCGATGAACGCAGCCAACCGGTGGGTGGATCAGCTTCTGAGACCCCACCAGCTAGCCAGTCACCAGCATGAACGCCTGCCCACTTCAGCGGACGCCTTGGCCCTCGAGCACGTATTTTCGTACGCGTGGAAAGCGCGAATAGCCCTGCAGTGGACTGAAAGTCGACAGGCTCGTGGTTGGATGTTTTGGTCTTTGATCAGCGATCGCTTTTTCCCTGATGCAGGTGCTCTCTACAATCGGTCATTTCCGCATGTATCGACGAAAAATTTCATGCACCTGTTGTGGACCCAACAGGTGACAAAGCCTGCCAATTCGTGGCGCAACATCGACCTGATTTCCGAAGCTGGGAATTTGCTTTTCGACTTGGTCTACCTCTACGGAGCTGAGAGACGAGGAGCTGACGCGGTGGAGCAAAAATTTGCTTTCTCAACAATTCTGGGACAGGGGGTAGACAGAAAGACTTACACTTCCCGCCAGACTCCGGATGATGAGCGAGCGAGAAAAGTGGCAGAAGAGCTACGCCGCACTGGCCGCACTGCCGGGGGCTACGGGGACGAGACGGAGGAAGGGCAGAGGAACATTGGCCAGAGGGTGGCGCATGCAGTTCAAGACCTTCCGCAACGCCAAGAGGCAGAAGAAGCCTGGCAACAATTTTTGCAAGGACGAACTCGGAGGGTGGGGGCCAACGGCATGATGGATATGGCACTCGCAAAGGAGCCGCTGCAGGCAAAGCTGTCTGTGAATGAGTTACAGGACCACATGGGGAAACTGTTGCAGAGGCGTCCCTCGGAAGGTGGTTTAAGTTTTTCGCCGTACGACACAGAGGCGAGTGACGCACGTCACGCCACGGCAAAGTTCGCTGACATCGCGGTGAACAGACTTGTTGGAGTATCAACGCAAATAGCAAGCTTGTGTGGCACCGACGAAGAGAAAAAGAGACATACGAGAGAAAACAGCGTGCTTCTTGCTTCGAAAGAGCGCCTGAGCATTCCGAAGTTTGGGGAAACTGTGGACGCGTCTGGACGGTTGCGCGACTTCCGCTGCGCCTTTATCGGATGGCTGCATCCGTACTTGCTCATGTTTTCTGAAGACTTGACGCCTCGTCTGGAGGCGGACGAAGGGTTCCTCACGCTGCAGACGGTGCATGCTTTTCGAACGAAATTCGTCGAGGCCGCCCTTGGTTTGTCATCTTCGAAGCAAGATCCTCGTGGTGTCCAGATGAACGCAGTGTGTCCAGATGCGATAGCGAATCTCGTAATCTCTGAGCGCGAAAAACTAGTGGTGAATCTCGAGCAACCGCTGAGATTCGAGGTCGACGTGGACGAGGACAAGAACAGGAGGATCTTTAAGGAGATGCCGAACAGCGTGATCGCGTTTTTTCGACTTTTGAAAAACTACTACGGGGGCAGCACCGCCGCGCATCCGCATGCCCTGCCTCAAAATATAAATGGAGAGAAGCCAACGTGGAGATCTTTAGGTGTAATGAGTGCGGCGGCGCCTTCGTTGCACAGCAAGTTGCAAAGCAATACGAAGATCGCACAGCTGCTGTCTTCGTGGACCCCCTCACATTATTCGTCTTCCCCATCTTGCCCTCCTCCACCAGGAGGTGTGGCAGGAGCTTCGGGAAAGCCGAGAGGCGACGGTGGAGCATCTGCAAAAGAGGCACCCACAAGGCGCGATGAGGAGGACTCACAGGCGCAAGGCGATGAAGACGGAGACCCCCGGATTGAATACGGGCCGGGACACAAGATACACGGCAACATCGCGAAGACGTTGCATAAACTCTTTGGATTGGCAGAAACGGAATTTGACAAACTCGTGTTGTGCGGGCCCGAGGTACTAGGCAACGAAGATCGTGACGCAGCTTCTCGCAAAGTCTGGGAGATCACACATTTGAGCGACAGACTGCAGAAGCAGGTATACGCACTGGCAGAAGCGTTGGCGCCGATTTTTGACGAGTCAAAAGTCGTCAATCCGGAAGTTTTGGCGTTCGACGATTTCGCCGCCCCGTGGAGTAAGGGAACGAAGGCATACAGTGCATTGAACGGTGTTACAGCCAACTTTATTCCCGGATACAACTACGTTGACTACGCGCAGCTAGGGAGGCGCATAACTGCCCTGTACGAAACCAAAACGCCGAAAGGAGGAGGTGGCCACCGTCAGGGTGGAGGAAATGCAGGGGCTTCGAGAAAAGTAAAGGAAACTCGAATTACCACAAGCAGCTTGAACGAGGTTAGGAAACTGACGGATCCGCTGTTGAAGTCAAACGACGTTGTGCTCCTACCCAAAACAGAGAAGGCCCAGAAGCTGCTACTTAGCTTCTCAAATATATGAGAAAACAAAGCATCAAAAAAGCTTGATCCGATCAAATAAATGAAGGACAAGCTGAAGTCAAAAACGTGTATGCGAATGAACTCTTGACTTGTTTTACCGACCTGCAGTTGTATCAAACATTGAATCAACAAAATACTTCTGATAGATCAAAAAATGATTTGCGTTTAGGACTAACTGGTGAGACGACGAGGATAAATCGGAAGGAAAGTCCTCGACGTACTGGCCGTCTTTACCTGATGTGTGAGGAGGTCTCTTGGAGCCGTCTCGTTGAGAGTAAATCAAATCTACTCAGCTCCTTCAAAATGAAGGACGCGCTGAAGTCCACAACGTGTCGAAGGACAACGGATCTGAACAACCTAAAAGTAGCAGAATACGCGGACCAACAGTGCCGGATGTTGAAGATGTACTTTGGTTGAAGATGTTGAAGGCATAATTATCTAAAAATGTCAAAGCAAGTGACTCAGTGCCAGAAGATGAAAGTCGCTTAGCGAGTCAAGCATTGCCGCTACTTATAGGCACATTCATTCGCTCATTTGGATCTTCCTTGCAGATTCGGATTTGAAATTTGTTGGGATCCAATTGACAAATAATGAAGATCAAGATTCTAAAGATCGTTTTAGTACCGCGAACAAGATCCCGTTTAGTAGAAGAGACTTATCAGCATGTTGTTCCCGCTTGGATACTTCCCACTCGACCGACGTGGTTGGAAACGTAAAATCTCTGAGATCCTACTGTCACGCGTTCTTGTTCCCCGGAATCCAGATCTAAACTCAACCAAACCCGTTCCATCTGGGAGATCCGAGTTTCTTGAAATGAAAGATCAGTGAACAGCTTCCATGGGGGTCATTACTTCTAAAAAACGACCGCGAGATCAGAACGAGATGAAGATCTCTGAAATTCCATGCTGTTGAGAAGATGTGACGCTAAATCTAAATAACGTATTCTAGGCAACATTGCACTCTATTTCCATGCATCTTCATTCTTAATTCTTCCAAACTCTTGCAAATTCCAGGGAAACCAAAAACGACAGACGTGTCGTCTAAGGACCTGTAGGGAATTTATTCTCCACCACCTCTTATCCGAAAATGCCGCATTCCTTTGGTAAGCGTGCCCGCACCAGGGATAAATTCTCCAAGGCCTACCGTACCAAAGGTCGCGCCGGTCTCTCGACCTACTTGACTCCGCTCAAGCGAGGTATTCTAGAACTTGAATCTTGGATTTTATTCTTGGGATAATTGTAGGTACATCACGATTACAGGATTTAGATGTCATCTAAAGAATCTTCGCATCATGTAGTTTGAACCGTCTGCTCAGCAGCCGTAGAATTTAGAAGCTAGATGAGACGCCCATCAGGTGTTGCTAGACTACTAACGTTAAAAAGCTTGACCACAGCTTACAGTTGGGGCGCAACCTCCTCTCAAAAATCCTTGCTATCTGTCTTCAGAAAACCAATATCAACCCAACACTGCAGGTGACTACGTCGACATTGTCGCCGATGCCTCCGAACAGAAGGGTATGCCGTTTCAGTTCTACCACGGACGCACGGGTGTTATCTTCAACGTGACCAAGTCCGCTGTTGGTGTCGAGGTCACCAAGGTTGTCGGCAACCGTCAGCTCCGTAAGCGTATGCATATTCGCATTGAGCACGTCCGTCGCTCTCGTTGCAACGAGAACTTCTTGAAGCGTGTCAAGGAGAACGATGCCATCAAGGCTGCGGCTAACAAGAAGGGTATAATTACTTGCTTGATTTTCAATAGTACTTTGCTTGTGTATGAATATTCTTGTGAAGGCATAGTCGGTGAAAACGTGTTTTGGCAGTCCTTCACAGAGAGCTATCGATCTATCTCATATGTGGGTAGTTTGTGTGTTACTTTCATCTTTCCCAAAATCCAATCCAATACTCGATACAGGTGAGAAAGTTTCCGTCGCTCGTGTCCCGGAAGGTCCGAAGCCAGCTCAGATGATCAAGTCCAAGACTACCGTCACTGAGGTCTTCGCTCCTCGTGAGTTCGTCGCGAACCACTTCTAAGTCGGTTCCTGCCGAGAGGTGGAAGTTTGGACGTGTTGCTAGTGTGTATTGAAGGATGAGGAGAGACCTTGCAGAGCATTACAGCGCTGTGTTGATCCACGAGCAGCGACCGAAGAACAGACGCAAGGACGAGCCTTGATATCTAGGAACAAGATTCGAAAACACGACATCGGATACAGACCAAAGCGGCTGGAAAAAAGGTGCGGAAAATCAGGTGGGAGCGAAATTTGATCGGACATGGATGAGTGACAGGACTATCTGAAAGCCTTTGTCGTTTGATCATACTTTTCGTTGAGTAGAGGTGTACTCAGGTCCAAAAAAACGTAGGCGCGGAGATTGTCATCCCCGTCAGGAAAAGGATGGATGCACGAAAAAGTCCAGTGTGTTCGCGAGAAATTCCGAATATTTGGCCAAAAATCACGACAGAAGAAGAGGATGGCACAGGAAACTGCAGAGGACGAAAGGAAGCTCTTCCGTTTTTGAGAAGACAGAGAGGGAATGAGAGAGAATCACCAAAACGCGTCGATGAAAATTCAGTACTAGGCCATTTCTGAGCAAAAATTGCCGTTAACGTTCCTCGTTGCCAAGACCTAGAATCATCGCTTCAATTATCCGTCATCAGCTCGAAATCTACTTGTCAAAGGCTACGTGCAAACCAAAACATGATGTCTCGACCGTAACGCTTCTTCGTGCTTTGTCGCTTTCGCTCGGCTTTGTAGCACACTTAAGACCAAGGCACGCCGAAAAAGACTATCGTCGATCATGATGACAAAATTAAGGCGGGTGTGGCGGATACCATTCCTGGTCATAGCGGCGCAGATGGTCGAAGCGGAAAAATACCGCGATGGTGCGAGCGGTATCCGATGTCAAATCTGCAAGGAACTTGCGCGCAGTGCGCTCGGTATGTACAGGTTATGGCACCAGGTGTTGGTTTCATTTCCATCTTTCGTTGCATCAACATGCGCCTCACGATGTTACTTACATCGGATAGCCTAAACGGAATAAATCCCTTTCAATGAGATCAGGGAATGAACTGGGAAAAACACTTGACTGATCTCCATCTCAGCGTCGAAAGCAAACTCTTACCTCTGCTCAGCTCACATGAAAAACCTTCATACGGGGAAAAGATGAACAGCGGACCCGCGAAGGCCGTAGCTGCAGCCACGGGTGAAACGTCAAAGGACGGCAACAAAAAAGGAGGATCTGTTTCCGCAAACATCCAGATTCCAACATCAAAAGCCTCGTTGGGAAATAAGGATAATTTTCTAGCACGTCTACAGAAACACGTCTGTCAACAGAACAATCTCTCGCATCTGCCGAATCCCAAAGGTTATGCACTACACTTACCAACACTCAAGTACGACTGTGAAGATTTGGTTGAAAACTTAGGAATGGATTTGATAGACGCTCTGACCCTATCTGAAGATGTTGTCAAAGATTTCTGTGCGGATCAAGACGAGTGTCCCGCAGAAGATTCGGATGACGAGATGTGAGAATCGTTCGAACTTCTAGTTTTATAGATGAGCGCAAGTTGAAATTCCAATTATGAAGTATGATCTCGTGTGCGGGAGCACCCGAACTTGAACGTAGTAACGTGTTCAACTCCAAACGGCATGCGATGATTTGCATAGCGATAGTTCTTGTCCGTGAAATAGAGAGAGAAAGTTTTGTTGATGACGACCCCCAACGGGTTCGTGATATGTTCCATAAAAGTCATCGAGAGATGAGCGTGAAACATGTGAGGGCTTTATTCACGAAAAAAATGTGGGATCGTTGAATTGTCGGAGAGACATTTCAATTTCATTTGCGTGACATCGTTCTTTGCATTCTGCCACTGTACTACGACATAACCGTAAGACGACTCGGGTCACAACGGAACCAGGCAGTTACTTGTAGCTGCTACGTGGTTCGAATGAATGAATTGACTGGGAGAGTAGAGCACTTTCTACGGTAGTTCTGTCCTTTGTCGAGACTATCAGCATAGGTTATTAAGAATCCTTCTTAGTCGACCTTGTTCCCATTCCTTTCGTTTTAGTTGATTTTCGGTTGAGGTGCATATGCATTGCAAGTCTGTAGGCTGACATCGAGTGTCTTCGACAAACGAGTACGCACTTGGAAATTATGAGATGGATCGATGAAAGGTCTCTGACTCTGTTGATGAGAGTGGAGACGCAAAAATTTCTGTTAGCTTGACGCCTCGTCAATAAGAACTAACCTCGTCGCTTGTTTTGACACGTAATATTAATGTCGACCTTCTATCTCCCGCTTATTTTGTTGCCCCAACGTGAACGTCAGGAGCACCAGCAGGGTACTGAATATGTTTGATTTAATACCGCATTTCATCCTTGTGGTCTCGTGAACTGCTCCTGCATGATACTAAAATTTTCCAGCATTGCTTATGCGTATTATCACTAGGATTTGATTACGATTTTCCGAAAAGTCTTGGTTTTGCGCCGAGGACGTTGAATGACTGGTGGTATAGTTTTCCTCCTTGTACGCACATCATTTTCCGCCAAGAACATGATCTTCCAGCACCTTGCTTAACCAAACAAAATAAATAGCCTTGGGTCTCTTGTCCGAATTTAGTACTTCTGTGCAGTTGTCGGAGGTACTAGATCCGAAATGTTGATTGTTGATTAGTTCTTGTAGTGCAAAATCCACCTCCTTGTGCACCGAATTTGAAAAATGGTCCTCCCTCGACTTGGTTGAGTGGTTGACGTCTTGCACGATATACCAACGAACGAAGCGCGCGTTGACTTGTCAGGAGCACTGCGGCTTTCCGATAAGTAGACCGTTGACCTTCTAGTTGTAGTCCTCGAGAAGAAACATTCGACGCTTTCGTCCTGTTCTTTGTTCGTTCACATTCAACAACCGAGAACTACATTATTTTGTTCTGCCAAGAAGAATATCGACATCATGTTGCAGCGAACGAGGCTTTTTTTGTGGCAGCATGGAGGCAGGTGCAAGTCTACGCAGCTGCAAGCAACTGCGTCTTCGTCTTCAAGCACAACTACAACGGTAGCTGGAGGCGGGGGACAACAAGTAGATTCCTCATTTGGAGGCTCATCATCATCCTCATCAAGTCCTCCAAGTGCACCTCCCTTGGCAAGTAACAGCAATCGTGAACGTCTGGTGATTTTGGGATCCGGTTGGGGTGGTTACCCCTTTCTGAAAGCCTTGGACACACGGAAATATCAAGCCATTCTCGTTTCCCCGAGAAACCATTTCCTCTTCACGCCACTCCTAGCCAATGCCGCAGTGGGTGGTAGTGACATCGCGAGCATTTGCCAACCTGTTAGAACACTTTGCGCAGACAAAGGTGCGAGGTTTTACGAAGGAAAAGCGATAAAGCTCGATAAGGAGAATAAGCTGTTGACTTGCAAGACGTTGGATGGTCGAAAATATCCTTTGAAGTACGACAAATTGATTATTTCCGTTGGGTTTCAGGCGAATGACTTTGGGATGAAGCAACTGTCCGACTACGCGTTCTTCATGAAGGAGACGGCTGGTATTTGTTAGACTTACTTCTAATTCTATGGAAGATTCTTACGGTTAGGGTTAGCACCACACTCCTATTGCTATTCACACGTTCTTGTCGGGTAACTCGAGGATTTTTTCAGAAGTAGCTACTGATTGTAAAAATTCTCAGGGATCTTCCTTCCACCAAAATGTTGAACATCTCCAGATGCCCGCCGTGTCCACGACCACATCATGCAGTGTTTTGAGGATGCAGCTACCCTCCATGCTCAAGAGCCAGGCGAAGGAGCTTCACCTGAAGAAGTCGGAGACTACGAGAATATGCTTCGTCGACGACTGTCGTTCGTCACCGTAGGAGGAGGTCCAACTGGAACTGAATTCTGCGCAGAGTTGGCAAACTTCGTGAAGGAGGACGTGATCAAATTGTACCCATACTTAGCAAAATACTGGAGCGTGCATTTGGTTGAAGCGGGGGATTCGATACTGCGACCATTTAACGACGAAAAACTGCAGAAATTTATGCAAACAATTCGTCGCCCTTCTTATTATTATAGATACATAGATGATCTTGATAGCCCCCAATTCTTATTCTTGAAGTTGAATGCAAGCTAGTACTTCCCCTTTTTACTAGCGAGACGAGGTCGTAGAACGCTATTAACGGGTGGTATTCACCCATAAAAATAATAATGGAGAAGATGAAGTTAATGTAAGTTTTTAGAGTTACCTAGAACTAGGATGCGTGGTTCACCTCCAGATCATTCTTCCACCTCATAACCTTTACTCATTCCACGTAGCTGCACTGGACGAATTTAGAGAGTCCTCATCTGCTAACCTTCACGGTTACGAGCATTTAACAACGCAAGCGAAAGTGCAGGTGCACTTGAACAGCGGAGTTGAGGATATCATGCCAGACCAGTTATTCCTGAAAACTGGCCAAGTTCTGGACTTCTCAACACTGGTTTGGTGTGCTGGCATCAAGCCCCTACCCTTCGTGGCAAAGCTAGATTTGGCCAAGAACGAGAAGGGAAGCCAATTGTTGACGGATGGCAGCTGTAAGGTCAAAGGGGAAGACAGCATATACGCGATAGGGGACTGTGCGGCGATTGAGGTGCTTCAAATTCTCAATGCACTCGTTTCTAATGGAAATTTTTAGTGCAGGGGTTAGTCTACTAAACGACCTACAATCTAGTCCTTTCGTCATTATCTACATACTTACGTCGCCGCGATTGGGGACTGTACGCCAATTGAGGTAGTAAGTACTTGTTCTGTCGAAATTGAAATTTTTGAAGATGTAACGACCAATACAACCAAGCTACAAGACGGGATAACAACACATTGATGATGTTCTGCTTAGGCGTAGAAGAATGATCTTCACGATCACCCGTCGTCCTCAACACCTACAGGGCTACTCACTTCCGCAGACGGCTCAGATTGCTGCGCAGCAAGCTTACCATCTTGCGCAAGAATTGAACTTTATGAAGGTTGATGCACCAGAGATGAAACCGTTTCGTCACGTGGATAAGGGCACACTTGCCTATGTCGGTGGGACCAACGCTCTGTACCGCAGTCCCAGCAAATTCTTGCCGAACTTGACAGGCAAGATCGGCTACTTCACGTGGCGCAGCGCCTACTGGTCCATGCAGCTGTCGATGCGAAATCGCATGTTGCTTGCCGCAGACTGGTCCAAACGCTTAGTTTTTGGTCGCGATTTGACGCGTCTAGGTGAGGCGAGCGCGCCGAAGCACACAGACGACGCGGAGCCGGGACCAACCAGAGGCTTGTTCGCCAATGACCACAGAGAACTAAAGGGAATGGGTGGAGGTGGAGGTGGTGGCGCACCAAGTAGAAGACAAAATAATAGAGCAGCAGAACAAGAAGTACAAGTGGAAGTAGTTCCTGCAGGTTCACGTGAAGATGCGCAAAAGCATAGAGTTGCTGAGGCGACTGCGTGAACGCGAAGACCTCACGGTCGTCCTGCTTGTTCGCAAATAGTCAGGAAAAATTCAGTTTGTGGACTTCAGTGCATGGCAAGTAGTTTTCGGGCTATTTTTTTGTCGTTCTCATCTTCGTACTACACCAGCATGCTCGTGGTCTGCCTCCCTACCCCTCGTATCTTATCCCTTTCAAAGTCTCGGTACTGCCGTTTCAATCCTCTTGCTCTTCAATCATCTATTTGCGTTCCTTTGTCAATTACTCTTTCGGGCTTAAAAAGGACCTACTGTTGGATGAATCAGATCAAAAGCTAATATATACAACTTAAAAAGCATATGATTAGTTCTTGTTAAGAAACCGAAACGAGTTGTAGATTTTGAACAACAACGAATCAGAATAATTTAGAGCTTGAGCTTTTTTTTTACCATCATCATCATCATCATCAATAAGAATAAAGATAACGATAATATCACCCACAAGAAGCATTCATGATCTTTTAGTTGAGGACTCAGGGTGTCATCGTATAACTAGTCTAGGTGCTGGCATGCTTGCCAGTGGTAGACTCAATGAAATGGAAAAGCATGCATCAAGACAAGCATTAAGGCGAGAGGTTTGGATCTCCTCATCGAAAGTCATTCTAAGTACGTATTTTCCATGCAACTCCTACTACTTGTTCCACCTATTTTATCATTTACTTCACCACGAGCACGATCTCCACCAAGACGACGTCTCAAGAGAACCCTTGGCACGACCATAGGCAACATGCTAACACTTCTATAAGGAGGAAGACGAGTTCTGAACAGTCACAGGAGCTCGTTCTGCTTCTGCTCTAACCTCGTCTCCCTCGAGCGCATCTTCCTGGTGTGGGGCTAACAATTGTCGTTTCTCTTTCTCTTGTGTGGATAGAGCTATAATATCATATTTAGTTGTTGATATCAAAAACCATAACCATTGCAGCTCTTGCTAATAAAGAAAAATCATTCTTACTTGTTTAAAGAGTTTCATCAATGAATTACAAGTATATAGCTACCTCCTGCTGGTCTAACTGTGAAAACTACTCCTCCCGACCATGACCGCAGCTTCCGCTTATATAGAAGTCCTCCAGAATTTTTGTCGTGTGCTGACGATCGACAAAAATCATATTTTCCTTGCCGTCCTCTGGGTCTGATCCGCTTTGAGCAGTACGCTTGAGCAGTAAGTTTGTCAAACTAGGGGAGAACTAGAACTGCACGACCGCGACCGGTCCCTTTGCAGTATAAAAAGTACCAATTCTTTTGTGGACACGACCAGATATTATACGGCACTGATATCTCCTGGCGCAGCTTCGATCATGACGGTCGTAGTCGACTGAGTGATTATTTGCTGCAGCAGCTATGGTCATATCAGATCTTCGCAAGAACGTCACGACAGACACAGTCTCCTTTCTCACGACTTCTGTCAATACTCCTTGAGTCAATAATCGTCTTATTACTATACTCGCGACGCCTTGTTGTTCGTCACCGATGTCCAATTATGGAACATATTAAGAACCTCTCACTCTCAGGCTCAGGGTGGAGTATGTAATATCTATGCGCATTCGAACTGGCTTACGTCAACTTCGCTATTATAAATTGTTCTTCATAGGTGAAACAAATGGAAAAATGACTAAGACCTAAAACTAGACGAGTCGTTAGAGCGACCACTTGTTAGAGTAGTTATTGCTTGAATAAAATAAATCAACCCCCGCCTATTCAATCAGATTGTCCAGGGGTTATTTTCCTTTATCTAGAATGGTGGATTAATTTGTGCAGAAGATGAATCTCCTCTTATTTGTTCGAGACCAGCTTTCTTGACGTTCTGACAAAATATCTGGCAAAAATGCCGTTTGCTAGAGCGTCGCAGGAAGTGTTTTCACACGAAACTACTCCTGCAATTTTCCAAATAATACGAACTAAGATTGGAGGTTTTTTGTTTTCTGCGTTTTGCTTTTTTGTTGATCTGGAACAACAAGATCAATTACCACGACAGCAACCTGGTTTTTCTTAGAAGGCCTTGCAAATCCTCATTCAGCTTTTGGCAGAAAGAAAAACCTGTTGAGGATACTAAAAATGCGAATGCGGCAGAAGTATTTTTTAGCGTTACAACAAAAACATCAATTGACTACGTTTACGAACGCTACCGTAAAGGTAAACGTCGTAAAGGAGGTATCGATATACAAGCGGCATCGTCTTACTACTCTCCTGTTTGACTTTGATGTTGATATTGTTTGAATTTCAGGCGCCGGAATATGTCGTTGTCGTCGGACGACATCACGAGCAACATGATGTCGTCGGCCGGACGATATGTCAACTTGTTACAACTTCTATTGTTTGTGTCGGAAGATGACATCTAAGATGCACTTAGTGAAACTCGCTAGCATCCAAGAACAGCTGCTACAACAATAATTTGCTGAGTACTAGATAGTTGCACCGATATCTACACCTTACGCGAGGACGACGTCGAAGAATTTCTAGACCAAAAGGCGAGCATTAAAAACAAAGTGGAAGTCAACAAGTGGTGTCAAGGTCGTCGTCAACTTCATCTATCATGTTGTTACTGCCAGCAGTGGTTTAATGTAAAAATTTGATGTCCCCGCACGACGACGTCAACATGAGCGAAACAGAGAGGTTCAAGAACATTATCAGTGCCTTGAGACATGCACGAGTCGGTCTTATCATTTGTGGATGAGAACGAGAAGTTCTATTCTGTTCCGTATGACGCCCTTGTCGTGCCAGTCTGCGCACTAGATCTTAGTGCGCGATTTATTGTCTTGCATTATGTTGTGTTGTATAGAAATTGTATCTCTATCTCTATCTTCTGTGTGCAATACGAGAAGAGCGAGACATGATGGGCCAGCATGAAAGCTGCGTTTGATGTCCAGTCTGTAGAGGGATGTCCAGTATGTAGAATCTGTTGTCGTGAGGCTGTGTTCGACGAAAATAAAGTTGTGAACTCTGTTGAGTTTGATCTCATTTTTCACATGATAAGCAAGATGAATTCTCCTCCACCCATCATGTCTATTCTTTCTATTTCTTGTGATATTATTAATCAGGAAGCAGGCAGCGGCCAATGGTGCTCACCCCCACCTTGTTTGTATTTTCCTTGTTTGTGGTTTTGCTCCGGATGAAAAAATTCCGGCTTTTAGAGATGTAGTTATTGCGTGTATTATTCTGATGAAATTGAAAACACTAGATCATTTTCATTACTTCACTAGTCATCGCTGTCACTGCTTCATCAAATCATGGGTTTAGAGAAGTTTTTTGACAAGTTAGAGGAGTGGCGGGTCTACCGTGCGCATCTGAGCTTGGATGAGCGCGAGGCCATTCAACGAAAGCTCTGGTCTCATGCTTTGCCTCATTGGAAACGCAGTTCGCAGAAGCTCAAGGCTGATGCTGCTGCTGGTCCTAAACGTGGGAACCGAACAAAGGGTGGTACCTTTAATAGTTCAAACTCGAAGTCCTCCGCCGCTTCCTCTCCCGGCGCCGTTTCTTCTCCCGGACTAAGTTCGTCTCCTGAAGTAGACGGTTCTTCGGCACCTCCGAAGGTTCCGGTTGATCCGAGTACTTCTGATGGAGGCGCGCAGGACATCGAAAGCTGCGGTGTCGTGTTCATCATACAGCGGGGTGAAATCGTCAACCTCTTGGAAGAGTACAGACGCGTGGGCCGAAGACGGTTTTTGAGGAGTGCCTTCAGACTCCCAGACCCGGAGAAAGTACTCAGAGAGGGAAAGCTCGCGAAGCTGATCCACGATCTAGAACATGGGGGCTTGAAAGAAGAAGGCGACGAGGGGGCGGAAGAAAATTATGCGACTAGTACGGGGAAAGAGGAGGGGACGAGGAGGACTACGAGTAAAGAAGAAAGTACTGCTGGTGCAGCAGGAGCAGCAGGGGCAGCATCCTCGTCAGGTGGAGCAGCAGCTGGCGCGACTACAACAGCAACGGGTGCTGGTCTCGAAGCGGGAGAGAAGCCTTTAGATGGCGCCACTACTTCTGTTGAAGATTCTGCTGCTCAGATGAAAGAAGGCCAGCACAGCAGACCTGCTGCCCTTTGTGCTCCTTCCTCACAAGAGGTTCTTATTGATGATTTAGAATATCTCAGCGGACTCAGAGAACGAGGTGCTGGAGGCGCATACAGTACTAATGCAGCAAGCACCGGTAGCCAGCATGGTGCTGACTTTTTTTCACCACTGGAACGACTTGATCAGAGTGTCCTCCAACTTGGTCCATTTGGGAGCTCATCATTTTCTTCAGGCAGTAGCAGTTGTCCGGGAAGCAGTAGGAGTTGGAACAGTGCTGGCGTGCAGAAGCATCCACCACCGCAGATTTTTCCTTTATCTTTTACAGTAACATGGGACCCAAAGACGAATCAGTGGATAGCGCAAGAACTCGTAGAACAACATGGAGACGCAGACCTAAGGACGCTGAGTAGGCCAATTTTATGTGATGTGCGCGCATCTGCACCGGTTTCCGATACCGATCTTAGCATCACATTCCTGGAGGAAGGGATGCATAGTGCTGGACCTGGTGCTTGGATGAACAATTTTACCAACGCTCAGGGACAGCAACAGCAGGCTAGCGGTAGAGTGACGCCCCCACTGCCGGGAGAGGAACAACAAATAGTCGGTGTTAGTACGGCCAAGCGACCTTCCGGTACTAGTACAACTGGTTCATTCGGTGGAAAATCATCAACGAAAATCCTGAAATATCTAGACGCTGAGGTCCTCACAGCCGACGATCTCAACGCCGCAATAGAGACGCAACCACCAAGCGGCCTTAGCCAAGACGGTGTGCCGACATTAGCTTCAGAGGATTCAATTCCAGGCCTGCCAAGGACCGACTCAGTCTTCGTGCAATTCGCTGGAGGCAATAAAACGTCAAAGCTTCAAATTGGTGCAACCGGGCCGAATCTCCTTCCCCACAACCCTAATGCTACAATTTGCCCCACAAACAATAATGCTTCCGCGTCGAATAGCAAAAATTCAACTGCTCATCTGGCCATGAAGAGCAGTGCTGCAAATAGTAGAGCGAATATGTCTCCCACTGCAGCGGCAATCCCAGTTGGCTGTAGCAGCACGTCATGTCCTGGTTGTGGTGCAGCGCTGCTTCACCAGGCCAGTCGGCTTGACGGCGTAGTTCATTCAACGGTCCTATTGCCAGAGGAGTTTAGAAAACGCAACGAACCTCCGAGGCATCCCGGTGCGTTCTTGGAACAGAAGAGGCAAAGCCTGAAGGACGAAGAGGAGGCGAGAAACAAGGCCGACTTAGCGTTGCAAGCCCAGCAACAAAGAGACGAGGAGACAAAACTATGGACGCCGTTGAGTGAAGACGGCATAGAAAAATGCCTGCAATTGGCTCTGAGAAAAATCCACATCTCCAATGAACACGCTGCCGACGATACGGAAAAAGACTTGCTCTTCATTGAAGAGTTTTTGCATTCTTCGATAACGTTGCTCCCTAGCTTTGGCGAGCGGCACGTGCAGAAAATACGGCTTCTCGTCGTAGCAGGGTATATTCTAGCAGCACCAGCGTTTTATTGTACCTGGGATACAGAAGGCGTCTGCTCTCCGCCAGACGACAACTCCAGTCCTTACATCAAGGCCCTGTACTTCACAGCGGTGTCGCTAAGTACAGTAGGGTTTGGAGACGTTACACCGGCAAGCGACATTGCGAAGGTATCATTGGTTCTTCTTCTTGTAGTTACAAGATGAGTCACTAGTACTTACATCATCCTCATCGTAAAACTGTTGAATCGTTCTTTTGAAAATGAAGTGCTCCACTGCTAACTCGGTGTTTCATTTTCGTAGTTTGTAGTCCCAGCAAAAATACTTTAATTATTCTAAAAACGCCGCATGATGTTGACCTTGTTGTTTTTTTAACCTGGTGCACAACATGCACAACAACTACAGATTTTCACGATTTTTTACCTTCTTTTCGGCCTCGCGATTATCTTGGGAGCGATGCTAGAGCTGGTAGCTGATGCTCTCGACATGTACTTCGACTACCTTGAGGAGAAGGAGAAGCGCAAGAAGCTTGAGACCCAAAAGAAGAAGAAGAGGAAGAAAATGATAGAAGCGATTCGGTCGAAAGCACAAGCTGCAATAGAGAGGGACATGGAAAACTACGTTGATGCAGGAGGAGCAGAAGCAGATAGAATAAAGGCTAGGAAAGAAAAATTGAGAGGTACTACTTACTCCTAGAAGTAGATGTTTTTAGAGAACACAGACCTGCTCATAGACATAGTTCAAACCTCGTAATGTGAGTTACTTTCTTGTAATTGCATGCCGGTGTCAGTTGTTAATGAAACTTGAACAAATAACACAGTAATGAAACTTGCTTCTGTGGATCCACAGCATTCATTTTTTATGCCAACTCTTCAATTTTTGATTATCTCTTTTTCACCCACACGCAACAGCTTCAACGCAAGCCCGGCTGGACAATGTTCTTTCAGAAGAGGCTCTAGGTGCCGTGGACGAACAACTAGAGCAGGAACTTCGCCTGGCCGTAGAAGCCGACGCTTATTCCGACGTGAGTGACGAACAAAAGCTTACCCCGGAACAAAGGGCAGAAAGAGCCAAGGATCGGCTAACGAGGTGTGCGAACAACATCCTACTAGACCATATTTGGAACTGTCTAAACGTGACTCTATTGCGTGGTTGCATTCAAGGGTCCTTTCGTGCGCTGTGGTATATCGCGCCGCCACCATTGAAGTGGCTGCTAAAGTACCTCTGGGAAACGGTCGTTGACATCGTTCTAGGCCGAACGCCTCTGGAGCGTAGCTGCGCGATTCTCGTCTATCGAAAACTGTTCGAAACGCTGTGTTTGATTTTCTTCCCAGCCTTGCTAGGAGCAAGCGTTATTGGCACATTGGAAGATTGGGACTGGATTGATTCTGCTTATTGGTCCGTCGTCGCCGTGACCACAGTCGGCTACGGTGACCTCGTTATCACCGAAATGAGTTCTCGCATTTTTTGCATTGGGTATTTGTTGATTGCGGCAACTACGGTTTCGGCTGCGCTAGGAAATTTAGCGTCCGTGCACGTCCTGAAGCGACGCATGGTCAAGGAATGGAGGTTTAAACAGAGAAAGCTGACCCCAGACATGATGGCGGAGATGGACACGGACGGAGACGGCGTAGACCAATTTGAATTCTGCCTGGCGACGTTAGTCGCAACGGAGAAGGTAGAAAGAGTCGACTTGGAACCAATTATGGAAAAATTCAGAGAGTTGGACGCAGACAAGTCAGGCGTGCTGACGAAAGCAGACATGTTGGTCAGGGCAGAGAAAATGGACGATAAGGATGAAGAATAATAATGGAAGTGATGTCATCAGGTACAACTGTAAAGAGTAAGAGTTCAGCGTCATTATACAGGACAAGGTTATTTACAACTGTAAAGAGTAAGAGTTCAGCGTCATTATACAGGACAAGGTTATTTACAACTGTAAAGAGTAAGAGTTCAGCGTCATTATACAGGACAAGGTTATTTACAACTGTAAAGAGTAAGAGTCCAGCGTCATTATACAGGACAAGCTTATACTCAATCCTTGTTGTCCTACTCCTCTAAGAGTAGTATCGAGCCTACTCAGGGCAAGGAGCTTACCTCACTCTTTGTGCTCACCTCACTGCCTGTCCTGATGAGTTCAGCTTACCGTATAACTGTAAACAATAGTGGAAGTGATCATCAGGTAATTTGTTGTAGGAGCTTATCGTGTTGTAACTCATTGCTTTGATGTGAAAAAGTGCAACTCCAACTCAAACTCAATATTTTCAGCTCCTGGTAGGCTTACGACCATATCATAAAGGTAAAATGCAATTCATTGCTGCATCATGTACTACTTGTTGTAGAAAAAATCGGGGCATGTCAGCAATGTCCAGCGCTAGCAGGTTTTTTTAGCGATTTAGCGTTGAGCTTTGTGGTGCCACGTTGTTATCCAAGTTGGAAATATGATCAATACTCGAAAAATAATCAGCAGTATATATCTATCTATGTACTTATGCAACCTACTCTTTCCCGTTCGTCTTTTTTTGACAGCTACAACAGCGTTCATTGGTTATGTGTTTGATTTTCAGTTCATATACAACATCTTGTTCAACATTTTTAAACGTGAAGATTTGGTGACCGTCACCGGCACATCATTTACTTGCTTATTTCAGTTTATCGGATACATGAAGCGACATGAGGATCTTAAATCAACATCATGGTTAAGCTGCTCTCGGCGTTTTTCCTCAAGGCCGTGATGTTGGGAATGTTTGAAGTTAATAACGGGAAGATTTGGTGACCGGCACTGGCCGCGGCATCCTCGCAACATCGTGCCAATATGAGTGAGGCGTTCTGGTGCGAACCTGATCATTCTTGGGTGTGCATGTTCTGAATCTGTATTTGAATTGCAACCGAAACGTGATCCAGAGTTTCTATCAATTTTGGCACTCTCTTCCTGCCCTGTTCTGCTCTTCTACGTAAACTACGTACTACCACGTGACGCGTCCTCCAACACCTGGTGATCCTTCCTTTTCCGCTATCAACATGATGATGATGGCACTGACGTTGAGACTTCTTGCGTCGGTATTTCTACTATCATTACTATCTGCCAATGTTGCCAATACGGTCCTCAGTAGAAATGAACAAAATTTGAGAAAGCAATCCTCTATTTTTGACTGCGATCGAATGCGCTCGGAGCGACTAGATCAAACAAATATTTATCTGCGCCTGTTTTGTAGCAAGTACTTTTCAAGAATCCGATTACCATCAAAAAGTTTCTGGTCTTCTGACACAACTACAACTGCAGCGCAAACTTTTTTACTCTACTCTCTTTCTGAGATTCACTCAATTTTCGACTCCACCTCCCGAGGTCGAACCACTACTCTGTCTTTTCTAACTTTCCTGTCTCGTTTTTGATTTTATTTTTGCTGTTTTTCCATCCCGCCCTCTACAGTCTACCTACGTACTTTGTTCGTCCTCCCGGCAGTTTCAGCAGCAGGCTTCGTTTCAAAACAAGGCCTAAAAGTACAAAAACTCAAAGTAGTATTTTCTACCTCCACAAGCTAACATTTCTTCAAGAAGAAACATCAGCAACTGCACCGAAGGTTCAACAACCTCCCACCACCTCAAAACCAAAATCAAAAATAATGAGCGGTGAACAAGCTAACGGAAACGGCGTCGCTGACGCTCCAGGAGCAGCTGCCGTCAGCACCAACATGGACTCTGGTGTCGCTGCTGTCTGGAACGTGGTGTCGGGAGATCAATTCGAGATCTGCATGGGCGTGAACAAAGGTCATGTCGAGTTGAAGAAAATCGCCATCGCTGGTGTCACTGCACCACGAATGGGCCTCAAGTCCCTCCAAGTGGACACCAAGGACGAACCCTTCGCCTGGGAATCAAAGGAGTATTTGCGAAAGATGCTCTTGGCGAAGAAAGTGCAGTTCAGAAAATTGTACACCAGCCAGAGTGGCGCTTTGGACTACTATGAAGTGCGTATTGCGGGTGAGAAGACCCACGTCGGTCTGAAGCTGCTGTCAGCAGGCATGGTGAAGGTGGCGCCGGGAAATCAGGTGCTATTTCTTTTCTGAAGAATAAAAGACAACCAAGCACAAGAACTATTAAGTCACATAGTTCTAGTTGTGCTACACGAACCACCTGCAATGACGGTATGATTTTTACAGGTTATGAATGTGCTGGTTAGGAAAAAGGACGATAAGGATTGTTCGTTACTAACCACCAGGTGAAAGGCCTCCCCTTCTATTCCGACTTGGAGCAAGCAGAGACCGAGGCCCGATCGCAGGCCTTGGGCGTGCACGCCTCAACCGGCACTGTGCGCGACCTCGCGGCCGCCCAAGACTTCCCAGAAGACTTCTTGGCCCAGAACAAGGGAAAACTGCGTCCCTGCATCGTTGACTACATCCGGGACGCCGGTACCTACCGAGTAGTCTGCCTGCCAACAGAGGATGATCCGCGATATGTGAGCGCGCAGATTTTGCTCAGTGGTGTGCAGAACCCGACTTTCAGACGGTACCTTTACTTTATGTTCATGTTCTTTTTCACAGACAGGAGTTAGTCGCAGATGAAAGATGAAATGAGAAAAAGTCTTCATCCAGATGAAGTTAGTCCTCTCGAACAATCAGATTTTTACTCAGATTCTGTTCACGACGTAAGTCAAAACTTCATTCTGTCTTAACAACAGGGAAGCCGGAGGTGTCGAAATTGAGAGCAAGCCAGGGAACGGTGCCTTTTTCGCGCGAGCCTTCGCTATCGAACGTATCCTGGGAAGGGAGATGTCGGTCCATATCGAAAGCATCCAGAGGCAAGGAGGTGCGGGAGCACAGACGGTACTTTTATACTTCATCTGAATCGGCTTCGGCTACACTTAGTTACCATACTAGGTACTCAACGTCTCAACATCTACGTCGACGTATTCTTATCGATTTTTCGAGTAGAAAATAGAGTGTGTTTTAATCTCCACATCATACGGGTACGGCTACAGTGACTGAAGAAGATTATGAACCACACTCCTCGAAGTACCCTGCAGTAGTGAAGAACAAAGAAGTAATTCGTACGTCTCCGCTACTAGCCGCGAAGGAGAACTGCAGATCATCATGATACTGAAGCTAATAATTAGCTCCAAATTTCGTTGTGTTGACAGTCACCTCCTCCTGTATTCAATTTCAAAAAAACAACATTTACTTTTACATTATAGTTATGAGAAGTATAGATAATTCCAATATTGTTCACCATCAACACACACCAGATCTCTTTCCTCGGTTCCCTGATCCACCCGGCGAAGGGCAGCATCACCGAATTTTTTCTCGACGCCGGTTTCGGGCAATATGTGGACTGGTCAGCCGCTAAGAGTTACAGTGGCCCGGATGCGTTGCAAGCTGCGCAGAAGAGGGCTCAGGATGCCCGTAAGGGCCGGTGGAAGAACTGGGATGGCAAGCAGGACTCTTTGGACAGCTTTGAGTTCACGGGTAAAGTGGTTGAGGTCTTGTCCGGAGATGTGATGCGCATTGTGAACACGGAGACCCCAGAACGACAGGAGCGACGATACTACTTGGCCTCAGTGCGAGGACCACAGAGACTGAGTCCGTGGAATGCACCATGCATCGAATTTTTGAGGAAAAAGTGCATCGGCAAGCAATTCAAAGTCAGACTGGAGTACAAGAAAAACATCTCAGTGTTTGGAGAAGGTACTTGTAGTTCTACGAATAAAAACAATTATGCGAGCTATATTATTGAATTAATATCTAGCATGTTGAGAAACATTTTGTATTCGAAGGAACAGACTGTTCTGGTCTCACTTTTAATACAGAAAGATGAACATCATGAACAAAATGAAAATGTAGGCTTCAAAATCAGGAAAAAATATCGCATCTATATTTAACGTTACCATCTTCCTCATAATCCAATCCAATCCTAGCACAAGAAGCTCAATCTTCACAGGTGCTCACCCGCCTCCGTCCAACGAAGAAACCCAGGAATTGTACTTTGTCTCTCTGCTCGATTCTAGCAAGAAGAACGTGATTGTGGATGCGGTGGAAGCGGGTATGGTCATGCTGCAACAGAACATGGGTGGTCCAGACAGCATGAATGAGCGATCCAGAGATTTCGACGCCCTGCAAGAGGCAGATGCTGTCGCACGCGCAGGCATGAAGGGTCAGCATGGTGGCGATGCCAAAGCGCCGAAGCCGCCAGCCGTGACGGAGTTGGTCCTGCAGCAGCCGGGTGGCCCGAAAGGTCGTGGCCCGACGACTAAGAAGGAGTTGTCCGAACGAGCAAAGTCGTTCGAAGCTCAACTCGTCGCCAGTCGAAGTGGGCATGACGCCGTTGTCACGTACCTGATGAATGGTTCTCGTATGCGTCTGCGACTGACCAACGAGAAGATCACGTTGAACTTCCAGATGAACGGCGTGCGCGCACCAAATGCGGAGAAGAACATTCCGGCAGCCGCCGCAGCCAATGTGCCGAAGCCAGAGCCGTTTGGAAACGAGAGTCTACAACTGGCTAGAGAACTGTGCATGCAACAGGACGTCAAGGTGGTCATCGACCGGGTCGACCCGGCAGGGACGTTTCAGGGAACACTGTACCTGCTGAAAGGCAACGGCCGACAGGATATGGCTATGGTTTTGTTGGAAAAGGGATTGGCGTACTGCGATCAGTGGTGCAACAACAGCACATACTGGGGTGCGGAAGGAAAGGCGAAGAATGAAAAGTACTTCGCTCCTAAATTCAATCTTCTTTTTTGAAGACAGGAGAAGTAGAAATACACGTGGTCTACTTGATCATAGGCATAACTCCTCTTACTCGAGTCTGCTCGTGCTCAACACCCTACACCAACGCTCTACAAAAAATAAGGTTGAACTACTGGTCTCTGGAGCACGAAGCGCAGGCGGTTGTGGAAGTCGCAACGGCTGCCGGCACTCCGATCCAGGGTAAGATCACCCAAGTCAACTCCTTAGACAGTTTCTACGTTGTGCCGAGTGGAGGAGCCGATTTGAAGATCCAAAACGAGCTGGCACTCAATGCCCGCTCATTCGCAGATGAGCCGCAGCCGCAGAAGAGAAAGTACTTCTTGCTCATTTCTTTGTACACTATAAATTAAAAATATTTGCTGGAGGTGCGCGTTTTTTATAAATTTTTGATCACCAAAAGAACCACACCTCCGACCACTTGTTGGTTCTACTAAGGTGGAAAGTAGCCGTACTAGTTAGTACAGCCATGTTCTTGATTTCGGTTAAAGAATTTCTCTTCTCATGTTCTGACTTGACCCTCAGGCTCAAGAACAGTCAAAACTTGTACTCGACAATCACCACCTTCTCGACTTTTACAGCGTATACGCCGTCCAGTACTGGGAGGACAAGAAGTGGTATCGGGGCCGTCTCGAAGGTAAGGGCAGCGAAGGTCTGTGGTCCTTCAGCTTCATTGATTTCGGCTTCATCGCGGACGTCGACAATGTAAAGAGAATTCAAGCTGGCAGCTCGCTTCTGTCAACTCCGGCAGTCGCTCAGCACTGTGGATTGTACGGCATCAAAACCAACGATGAATTCTGGGAAGACGCCTGCGGAAGCTTCTTCAAAAAGACCGATGGAAAGACTGTTAGTGGTACTTGTTTCTACTTGTTTATTTTTTTTGGACTGGAGATAGATAGAACTTTATATTGATAATTAGAGTTGTAATGACCTGTACTTTTTCTTGTCCTTTGTACAGGCCTTGTTGAGGTGGTCGTTGAAGATTTGGTGCAAGAGGACCTGGAACAATCAAAGAACGAAGAAGACGTAGAAATTGTTCTGATGTAAGGGTAGAAGCGGTAGGTAGAAATTGTTCTGATGTAAGGGTAGGTAGTCTTGTCACGACGATAGGAATAGGATGGTCGTGGTTGTACTACGTTTCTGACGGTCGCTATGGTTGTTTCTCATCATCAATTCGTGCACAACTTAAACAAACTCCGCTACAGGTACCATCGAGATCGCTCACGGCGGCGTCCAATATGTCACGCTTTTTGTCGCTGGTGCATGCGTGAACGAAGCTCTGGTCAAGGACTCGGTTGCGCGTTTGACCCGCAAGCAGAACAAGCCGAGCAACATCGACTACGCCACCTGGAAGGCAGCTGAGACCGCAGCCAAGCGAACCCGTGCCAAGCTCTGGCGTTACGGTGACGTCGGTTCTGATGATGAGGAATACTAGATTGTTCCCTCTCCTCGTAGATCTGGTTCTGGAGAGGAGAAGCATCACTTATTTTATTAGCACTAGCTAGAAGTAGTTCTCTTAAAAGTGTGGAGGTTTACGTTTAGTACTTCTACGTCGTCGTGTATCTATTTTCTTGAGGTTGAGAATTTTTCAGAAAGGAGCACTTGGTCGCCCTCCATGGACGGGACTGCCGAGGAGATCTGCTGTTCTGTCGACGTGGCATCAGTGCTAATATAGTTTCACCCTACACGTCGTGTATCCCACGAACAGTACTTCCCAACAGCAACAGGCGTTTTGTGTAATTATAATCGTTGGCATCTCAAAAATGGTGTTGAAATTGGAAAGGTGACAATTTGGTAGTAGTTGTAATTGTATTGATCTAAGCATATTCTTGTACAACAACATATTAAGGTAATTAGACATAAAGCATCATGGTCGTGAAAGATGATTTCTTTCGTATAATTTCCGATAATATTATCGTATTTCTAGCACTGAAATAAAAAGCATGACTGCGAAGGACCTTCAATCATCTATCATGTTCATGAAGAAGATAAAACGAAACACAAGGTAAGTAAACTTCCTAGAATGGTGGTCCTGAGCATGCTTCACTAATTTCTCTCGAACTGTATACGACTCTGAAAGACAAAAATAGACATCAGGGTATTATCACCAAGACTTTGGTGTGCCCCCGTGACACTGGAATAAGATAATAGACATCACTGCCTAGTCCTAGGACTAGATGAAGATGAGCACTAACATTATCAAAAGCAACATGTTGATGACTACAACATCACATGATCATGTTTATTGATAGCACTTCTTGTCCATAATCATACCGATACCTACTAGGTAGACTTGGAGCAGGAATATGCTGGAGGACAATGTCCTTGTGACACGCCTTTATTGTAACTGTGTCCGTCAAAAGACTTTACTTGTTGTGTTTCCTCGGCCTCAATGTGTGCATCAGGAAAAAGATGAAAACCATAATTTTTTTTATCAGGACTAACACAACATCAAAGAACTGGAACAATGGCCATCAAGTGTTGAAGAGTAACTCGCTTGCGTCTGCCGAACCGTCCGGCGCTGCGTCTGGAGCGGAGAAAAAGATGAGGCCGCGGTGCAATGTTGGAAGAGAGGTAGGATTTTTCTCCAGAATGTGATCTACCTCAATGGAACGCGCTCGCAAAAAATGTATTCAAAATTGTAGGATGCATGCAAGCCAGGCTGAGATGAAGCGCATTCTGGAATGTGCATTCGTGCGAGGAGCACATAGCAAAGAAAGATGTTTTGATTTGTTTCACTGTTTCGCCAGAATTTTCCACTGCTTCTTATACTTTCATGGAAGTCTAAAAACTAAGATTGGGATTGCGCAGGCATTACGATTACCTTCTTCTACACGTTTGCAAAAAAATGGGCGAAAAAACCAAAACGATGAGGCGTGTGAGCGTAGGGGAATCCGCGTCTCACGACTCTCGCCGAAGCAAGCCTTCAACGTTGCCCGTGTCCCTGTTCTCATCACGGCGTTCGCGGCTCTGCTTATTCTGCAGCCGCTCTGTAGCAGATTCCTCGCGGTGTTTGCGATAAAACAAAACGCCGCTCCTGCGATTGAAGAAAGTTATTCGTCCCGCAGCCCACGCGTCTTCCTACTCTCCTCCGTCTCAGCAAGCGATTACGAGTCTCAGGGTCGTGCTATTGCACCCCACTTTTTCCATCACTATGTCGCACGACTCGGCATACCACGTGAGCAGGTTTTGCTGCTCTTGCATGCCAATTTTGTCCCTCAAGGGAACGGGAGATATCAAGTCGATTATGGGAGCTTGTTGGACTATGTTGCCGCCGGTGGAATAAAAGATAGAAGAGAAGCAAGAGAACAACTCCTACAGCAAGAGGAATCTCTTCGGCAGTTGGAGGAGACGCAGTTGGATGAGCTGCTCAATGCGGTTTCACGCCTCACAGAAGTCGAGCGCTTTCTCCAGGAGGAGTTTGGTGTTTACAACACTTACCGTGATATCTCTCCGTACCATAGTATGGCCCACTGGACCTTCAAGCTAGCGATGCTGCGGAAGCACACCAGGGACGAAGACTGGATCCTACACGCGGACAGCGATGAATTCGTTTTCTTCCCGGAATTGGATGCCGGTTTCAAGGTGGTTGTGCCTGTTGGGCACACGGTTTTTGAAGGTACTGAAGAGGTCGAGAGCGGTACACGAAATAAGGCTTGTGGTCGTAATTTTCTTGATAAAAATTCATCAAAATATTTTTTTTTGATATAATTCATCACCAGCAGCGCAGTCGCACGTGGTCATTCCATTCTATACTGAAGAAGAGGCTCTGAAGAATGCACGCTTAAGAAAACAACATTGTGCCGTTACGAAATGAACTATCGACGTCAGGAGCTCCTACTCCACCCTCTAAGAAAACATTCACATTCGAGCACGGCGTAAGCGACGTCGCAGCATATTTAGATGCGACAGGGAAAAACGTGTACTATGGCTCTATGATCGATCGCGTGAGTGCGACTGGCTACATCGAACAAGGAGTGGAACGGGGTGGGGAAAGTTAAGAGTCGTTGTGGTGTAATGACGTAGGACCATCATGCAAGAAAAAGATGAAAGTGGTCTCTAATTCCGCTTATGTCTCTCTCTAACACCCAACACTTCTGGAGCAGTTCCCTTTCTCCTGCCAGGTCATTCAGGCAGATACGCGAAAAACAGTCCTGTACAGGGGTTACATCAGGGCCACAGACGGCACGCACAGCGCATTAGGCTATCCGAGACGATACCGAGATGGCATGTGCAACCGCAAAGAACTCTTCGATGGCGTTTTTGCGTTAAAATCTCTAGATCAAGAAGAGTACAACGACTTAGAGGCAGCTGCCGGGAGTGGGAAAATGGCCTATCCCTGTTATCATGACAAGAATCCGGGTCGAGATTTGCCTGGGAAGAACAGAGCTCGTCAAGTCATAGAATCAGATGATGTGGATCACATCACCACCGTCGAAGATGATCCAGAATTGTTGATGATGTCGTTTTTAGAAGATGCGGCGCCAGCGATACATGAAAAAGTTGTTACAACGCTGAACAATCCCCACATGGGGAATGGGACTATGAAGCATTTCGCTCTATTGCCGCCTTTGCACTACCACGCAGCCACGCCATCTTCCAGTCGGGCACTATTGGAGCATGTTTGTACGAAACATGTTGGAGATTTGAATAGTAGGAGGAGTCCCGTGTTGGTCTTGAAGTCAACGGGGAAGGATCTTCAAGGTGAACAAGATGGGCCAAAGGAGAAAAATGCTGCTCGTCAGACGACTCGTGTAGACGTTGATGATGAGGCTGCCTTCTTGGACGATGAGGATGACGCGGAGGGCGAAGTGACTGATGCTTCAACTGGAACAAGTACATCGAGAAAAGTACATCGAGAAAAGAGTGAAAATACACCGCAACCGCTTCAGACGTCGACTGCGGAGGAAGTCTGCCACTCATCATCCACCTCCACAACGAAATCCAGCCAACAACGCTCAAGCTTCCCACCCATAGTCTCCTACCATTTCCGCACTGCGACAGTGTATCACTTCAAGTGGGTCCGGGGGATGGTCCCTAAAATGGAACGCAGGCTTTGGAACAAGCTACGGCAGATGCCGCAGCACGACTGGTCAAAAGTTGTGGAGACAGACCCTCGTATGTCAGCAGCTGCTTACTTTAAGGCTAGAAGAAATCCATCTTCACAGGCATCCTGCGACCGTTTTCAAGGGGAGAAAGGTCCTCGGATGCGTCTCAAGATGGATTTCTCTTAGTTCTAATCACTGGCTTGGTCTGCCCAACAACACCTTGCCATATCAGGACTTCAGTGAATTGTGTCCGGCTGTGGGGAAGAAAAAGATAGGGAGAGTCGTGGTTGTGCCTGGAGTTGTTAAGGCTTCTTCCCGTTTTTTATCCAACATCGCCTGAAGCAAAAGCATCTTACAGACGTTTTAATCACACACATGTCAAGGTGCATGCCAAGATGGATTTAAGGATGCACGACTCTAATGTACTCGGTGGTGGCGTTAGAGGAGATGAAACAACGAGCATGAAGGGCAAAGTGAGAGTCAGTTTGCGAGATGTTGTAGACGCTCCACCCAAAGCTCCTGATGTTGGTAACCCTCCCGATTATATCACATCAACAGACTCGTCCTTAAAAAAAAAAGATGTTGGGAATCTGAATCTGATCTCCATCGTCGGCGTCGTTGTTGGTAAGGATGAGTTTTTGCATTCGCTTGAAGCTCAGGATCATGAGGAAGCTGATGCGATTATTTTGGAAGCTGATGCGATGGAGCGGGAAGAGCGCGACGTCGAGGTGAACGACAACGAGTCCTCTGGCTCCAGCTCCTCGATGTTTCACAACACGTTTACAACCTCTGAGGAGAATATACAGAGAGTATTAAGGCTCAACGTTCATTGGTCACCATTTAGGTTGGAGTCACTGAGATCGAAGAGGCGGCCCCTTCTTGAGAGAACCAACAGGGGAAATAGACGAAGGGAAAAAGGGACAATGTTTTGAAAAGATGGCCCCTTCCGTTGAGCATCAGTGACCACTGACTGCTGACCTTTAAGAGTAGTAGCTTCTCGAAGGCTTTTAGCAGATGAAGGTAGTGCCCAGCAACAAGACGAAGAAGATAATGAGCGTGATTCCAGAGGTAATACATCAGCATCATACAAGGGCTTCATCGCAGATGAAAAAGGCGGCAGAGGAGTCAAACTCGACTCAATGCTGCGGAACTGCGAATGCCGAGAGGTGTATGAGGGCGATCCTTGTCCTTGCACTGGACGTGATTTACGACAATATGGGAAAATGTGCCACGCGTGGAGCGACGAACTAGTGGGGAAGAGCGTTAATGAAAATAGAAAGGAGTTTTTCATCCGTAAGGATGGGGAAGCTGAAGCGGGTCGGGGCATCACGAGAGGACCTGATCATGTTCATCAGGAAGATGAAGGGGGTCGTGGCATCACGAGACCTGATCATGTTCCTCTTCATGCAAAGAAAGCAAAAGGCAGCAGTAGGGAAACAGGACAAGCAACTACAGAAGTGGAGTCGCCAACGGCATCAACAACTTCATCAAGGTCTTCATCAAGATCTTCACCTTTAGCAGCTCTTCTCCCTCAAATAGTAACCCCTTCACCAGTTGCAGACTATTTTGATTCTACGGTAGGGAATCGAAGTCTGACAGCGATGGAACTAGTCCAGTTGACGAACGAGGCGCCTGCGCACAAAAATCATGAGCAGACAATATCCGACATGTTGCGGGTGGATCTGTTTTATGAAACTGACCGACCACTCAGTATTCTGGAGGTAGATCTTAGTCTCATTTTTCTAAGATGCACATTAGACATTATGATCAATCTATCACCTTGCTAGTTGTGCTCCGTCGTGAGCTTTCATCTCAGTGTCCTGAGGATCGATCACTGGATCAACAAGCAATGTACCTTACCTCGTTCTTCCCTCTTCATTCCTTCCCCGAGATGATCATGGACGGGCCAAGTTTCGAGCCGCTGCCTTGGGGATTGGAGGCCTACAAAAGACAAATGGAAGATCAGTCCTGGCTCTACCTAGGAACAATAGGGAACCTGGCAACAGCGCATGAGCTGGAGTGCATGTTTGCGTTGGATCCGAGGAAGCGGAAGGAGTGCTGAGCAACAGGAGAACTTCTGAATATCGAGTATCATCAATAAATTGAAAGACTTGATAAATAAGACAAGCACTTGAGTTACAACTGGATCAGGGTACCTATGCTGATTCGTCACATTGATGAGCTTGATGATCTTGCGCCTACCGAAACTCTGGCGCTATTCTTATTCACATTGGTATTCGTTTTCGTCGCACAATGTCAATCTTTCAATGTTGTATCCCTTACTGCCAGTCACGACGAGAACGACGATGACGGGGAACTTCAGCCTCTCAAAACAAATAAGTACAAGATCAGGACGAGGAGCGCGTAGGAGCTCAGGGACCTTTATGAGGCATACTGCACATGGGCACATTGCAAGTCCAGGTGGAAAAGAAGCTGAAGCGTCGGTCAGCGATACGCAGCTGAGGGGTGCGTGTTTTTGGAACTCATAAAATTCTCTGTTGCTTCCAAGACGCAGAATAACGGATTTACTCCTGCTTCGGGAAATTATTCCTATCGGTTATTCATCTTGAACAACGTGATCCCGACCAGAAGAGACGTGATAAGGGTCAGAATCACAGAAAGCCACAGTGTATCATCTAGTGCAGAGACAGCTACGTCGAGAGGCAAGAATCAAGAGAAATAGCACACATGATCAACAGAATCAAGGGGCAAGAGCAACATTAATCGACCGAAGTAGATCCATCATGAATTATTTAACAATCCAAAGAATATTTGCCAGCACCCACAAATACAGGTTCTCAGGCTCTACGTCTACAAGTACACGAAGCTGCACCAGGCGTAACTGTCGCTTCTATTGCTGCTCAGGGAACAAAGTCCACTCTTCTTGTTTTATTTCTCAAATCAGGTGTTCGTGTTCAGGCACAACAGCGAAACAGCTGAACAGCAGATGGTGATCTGCACGGAACTCCATCTTCTTGTATCAATTTTCAACCAGGTCATGTGTATGACATGATTGCAGTTGATGTTTTTTCCATCTTACCATCAATACAGCTCCTCGGCTGCTCCTGCGCATCCTCCTGACACGCACATCCAAATTACACAGGTGGGTGGTACGTTAGATCGTGATCGTCTCTTCAGCAAATAATATTCTCGATTGTCACTATCCTAATCATTGTCTTTGAACAATAAGTATATTAAGTCTCGTGTCCTCGTACGTGTTGTTCTTGCTAGTGTCTGTATGTTGAAATTTGTTGTTATCATCGTATGCTATAAGTAAGTAAAAGTAGAAATTTGTTCTAAGTAGTATTTTTGTTCATTTGCAACTCTCTCTCTACTCAACAAACATCCAAAATGTCAGCAGCAAAACGCTTACGCACATCAGGCGAAGACATCACTACCACTGGTGAGGAGAAGGCTACAAGAACCATGGAGCAGGATACGAGATTACCAGTGACAGTCCTGTCCGGTTTCTTAGGGGCAGGCAAGACAACCGTGCTGAAGCATGTCCTGGAAAATCAAGTGGGGCTTAAAGTCGCACTGATTGTCAATGACATGGCTGCGCTGAACGTCGACGCCCTCGCGGTCGCAACGGTGAAGAGCAACGGTGGGAAGATGGTTTCTTTGCAAAATGGGTGTATCTGTTGCACATTGCGTCAAGACTTAGTCCAGCAGGTGGCTGAGTTGGTTCAGAAGAACAAGTTTGACTACCTATTGATCGAGTCCACCGGAATCTCTGAACCTATGCCAGTGGCGCAGACTTTTTGCCACTCAATTGAGGACTTGCAGGAATTGGCCAAGGCACCAGAACCCGCGGAGGAAAAGTAACAACTTGTACTTTAATGTCATTTGTAGACAGCTTGAACTTCCTCCTTGATGTAGGTTCTGTCGTGCCTTTGATAATATTAGCTTCTGTGCTGGCAGGCTTCAAATATGATACTTATAACCTCCAGGACCAAGAAGGACCCCGCCAACCTTGCCGAAGGGGGCGTTCAAAAACGCAAGAGCAGCGACGAGAACCGTGCCCTCACTTCCGAAGACCACGAGCCGCCCACGATCGATCCGAAAGCTCGCAAATTAGCTGCTCAGGCTGTGGAGCTGCGAAAGTTGGCTAGGTTGGACACCATGGTCACGGTGGTGGACGCTGCACATATCTGGGAGGTTTTGACGTCAATTGAGGCAGTAGGGGATTCTAAATTGACGAAGTCAGAAGCTGAAGCAGCCGAGGAAGGGGCAGTGGATAAGACGAAGTACTATTCTGGTTCTGTTGTGTGCAGTTCGATCGTCTTCTTCTTCATGGTTTCATCGGGCTTAAGTGTTTTTCGTGCCGTTAAATTTTTCTCTTTCATTATACTAAGCGTTTGTGGTCGGAAGAATTTTCCTTTTCATCTGGCAATTGTTCACACCACCAGCACCAATGAATTATACATCGTCTATTTACTTCTCTTTCAACATGATCTATAAACAACAACAACACACGTCCAAACACCTCATCAGCTCCGTAGTCCAGCTGTTGATAGACCAGATCGAGTTCGCAGACGTGATCCTGCTGAACAAAAAGGACTTGATTCCGGAGAAGAAGAGTCAAGACTTCTTAGAGGCTTTGATCAAGCGTTTGAATCCCGTCGCGAAGGTCCAGTGGACAACCAGAGGCGTCGTCGACCCAACCCACATCCTTGGATCGGGATTGTTCGACATCGCAAAGGCCTCAACAAGTGCTGGCTGGCATCAGGATCTGGCGGCTGAGCAAGAGAAAAGAAAGACGGCTGGAGGCTTGAAGGTGAACAAGAATTCAACATCAAAGTCTAAGAATCCACTAAACCGTACTGGAGATTATGGCATCGCGTCAGTCGTATTCCGTTCTTCGCGACCTTTTCATCCTCAGCGACTGTACAACTTGTTGGACGGTTTTGGCAGTTTAAAGAACGTGTTGTTGGAGGATGTAGTCAAAGTAGCAGATGAGAAGAAGAAACAGAAGGAAAAGGAAGAGCAAGACGAGGCTAAGAAAGCAGAGGAAGAGAAGAAGACTTCTGAAGTAGAAGAGAGTAAGGACCACAAGTCCCTCAAGGACAATCTAGCTTCATCTGCAAGCAAGAAAACATGTAAGAAAGGCTGCTGCCCATCTTCATCTTCCAAGAAGAAAGAAGATTCTACTGCCCAAGACGAACAAGACGAATGCACCAAGAAGGATCTTTTCAAGGGTGTTTTCCGATCCAAAGGTCTTATCTGGTTGGCCAACTGTTCCGCTTACAAAGTCGACTGGCATTCAGTAGGACGTCAATTCTCGATGAAGCCCGGCGAAGCTTTTGATGCTGCGGTGAGGGAAGCTGGGTATGACATCCATGAAATTTCGGCAGGAGCACAGGATCAGAAAGGCCACAGCCATAGTGATGATCATGGACATGGACAACACGGGACCCATGACAACGAGAAAAAGGTCCTTGAGGAAACTTCTACTGACAAAACAAGCAGCGAAGCAGGCGCATCAAATCCCTACGGCGCGCTCACCTTCAACGATTCGATCTGGGGTGATCGTGGGAGTGAACTAGTCCTGATCGGATGCAATCTGCATGAATCGAGGATGCTCAAAGCCTTAGAAAACGCCTTGATCACAGAGGAAGAATTCAAGAAAGCTAGCGAGGAGAAGCTGAAATTTGATTCTTTCATTGCTGGAGTCAAGGCAATTGGTGGCGACGAAGCTTTGGATAAGTTGACGGAGAAGTTACGGCAGAGACACTTCTGTATCAGTATCAATTTCATCCTTGTGTTATTTCTCTGCAGCAAATCCCATGAGTTGAATACATCTTCTTCACGTAGATCTCATTAGCATTACATACATCTTCACGTCGTAGATCATCTCATTAGCATTTTTACAGCCGTCTTCCTCTAACGAGAAAAGTAAAGGAAGGAACTGGTGGCCTCATCACAGCCTTTGATCGGTTTTTCAATCTTGAGGATCCCTTTTTTGGAGGCGAAGCCGCAGAACGCTTTATGGAATACGTTGAGGAGGAAGACGATGATTCCTCAACTGGTGGCGAAGGCGAGCAAGATGAGGATGGAGATTCGACAGGCCAAGAAGAGGAGGGTGACGAAGAAGAAGAGTCTGATGATGAAGAGATGGAAGCTGAAGGTGAAGCCTAAAAAGACTTGTGGAAGATCATGAAGGGAAGAAGCGTCATGGCGGTACTAGAAGACCCTGATGCCTGACGAGTGTCCTCGTGGCAAGCAGGAACGACAGATGGGGAAAATCGATGGAAATTAACCAGGGAGGGGTAGCTCTAAAAATGCGGGTGTAAGAGGATGGAAAACGGGGCGTTGATGTAAGGGCGGAATCACTGAGAGGAAAATCAAGATCAGTGAATGACACTTGATGTTGATGTAAACAAGAACAACGTGTACAAAAGCACACCCGCGTTGTTTAGACTCACCGCGCAAGCGCACATAATCTTTTGGAAGAACAAGAGCAGCGCAGTGATGATCAGATTGGTTATTGCGCGAACACCCTACTGTGTATTCTTCGGAGGTGAAGTGATGTGCGACAAGAAATTGAAAGTGAGAGAAGAGTAGAGGACCAGGAGTTCTCCTACATCTCGGTAAGAAGAGGAAAGTGGCATGTATGTGAGAAGAGCGTCAACGTCTAATATGCTAACAAAAGAAACGTTTGCTCAAGCGTGTGACAGATAAGGAGAAGGAGTCGCCGGACGAAACTACTCAAGGAACAAAGCAAAAATGACTGTCTTGAAGCTCACGACCGTTCTCCCCTTGTTCCTGGCTTTTCAAGCTGTGGATCTCGTGAGTGCAGGGCAGGTTTACGCGGCGCCCCTCTTGCAAAGTCCGCATCTAGTGGTGACGGGAACTCCCCCGCCATTCTTAGCGCCAGCATTGCCAACGTTTCCGCCGCCATTCTTAGCGCCAGCATTGCCAACGTTTCCGCCGCCATTCTTAGCGCCAGCATTGCCAACGCTTCCGCCCCCGCCGCCATTCCTAGCGCCAGCATTGCCAACGTTTCCACCACCACGAAGTGAGAACTCTGCGGATGGCGATGCAGGATATCATGGAGGAAGCACGTCCAGAGATGGAGCTGTAGGTGGAGCACGCGGAAGAAGCACTACCACTAGACCACATCAATTATGGGCTAGTAGAGACGGAGGTGGTCCGGTTTGTCCTACAATGACTTTGACGAACCAGGAACGCGGTATGTTTTGTCAAGCGTTTCGCAAAATTACTGGCGCTTTGTTTGTGGGAACGTGTCTATTCGCATTCACACAGCCACAGACGTCTAGGGGAGCAGATGGAGATCAAGGTACCAGTGGACATCTTCAAGATTCCGACTCATCATCATCTGCTGTGCATCCAGTACCTCTGCTGCAAAAGTGGATGCTTGGTGTCCACAGAGATGAAGTGAATGCTGAAATGACAGTCAATGGGCGCAAGACGTACTTCTATATTCCGCCGGAGGACGAAGATGAACTACAGGATTTGAAAAGTACGACTGCGTCTACGAGTAGCAGGGATAGCTCATTTCTGCCGCCGCGATTCGAAAACGCTGACGCTCTAGGTTTATCAGAAGAGGAAACAGTAGTAGAAGATGCGAACTACAGACGAGAAGGCCACACTTCAGGACTTCTTCTGCAAGCACTGTCGTCCTCGTCGCCTATTGAGAATAAGGAAAAGAATTTTCTAGTACCGAAAGGATACCACGCTCTTCGTCGTCGTCCTGCCATTTTTGTCTTTCATGGGTCAGGGGAGCGCGCGTTGGACATGGTGAGGCAAACGAAGTTCAAGCGTTTGGCAGACAAGTACAATTTCGTCATCGTCTACCCGGAAATGAAGAGGCCTGGCGCAGACGAGTGGGGCTACGACGAGAGCGACGCAGAATACCTAGCAAAGGTTATAGATGCGATGGGGGGACGTGACGTGGTGGAGGAAGCAACTTCAGGGGTAACAGATTTAGCTATTGAGGACGAGGAGCGCGAAAGTACAAGTAGTGGTAGGAGTGAAAGGGAAAGTAGCAGCAGTGGCAGGTCAATTCCTTCTAGGAGGGTCGTGAGTGGGGCAGCACCTTCCGCAGCATCAAATGAACAAGCAGACGCGGGGGCACACCTTGCGTCAGTAGAGAAGAAAACTCCATCCAGTCAGTTCCGCGTAGATCCTTCAAAAGTCTTTGCGGTTGGACATTCTGCAGGTGCGACATATAGTCTTTTTGCAGGGAATAGCTTAGGGCGTAGTCAGAAGATCAAAAGTAAGAACAAGAAGACTTCTGGTTCTGACGCAGTGCAAGCAGAAGGTGTAGGTGGAGATGAAGAAAGGGATACAAGAAGTAGAAAGAACTTGTTCGCAAAAGTCGCTGCAGTTGAAGGAGCGGTTGGGAGACTTGAAAAATGGGATATGGAAAGTAGAGGTGTGCCTACGCTGTTGGTGTGGAATCACGCAGACCCTGTTCTCAAAGAGTACAGTCCCGAAGGAGGCGAGCCTGTATATCTGAGACTTACAGTTTCGACGCTACGTCGTCACGCAGAGCATCCATGGATTCCGTTGGCAGGTGGTGGGAATCGCTCGTTACTTATGAGAGGATGTTTTTGAACTACTGGTACTGACTTTGTCCTGTAGTGTATGCGCAGGTGTACGTAGTATCATGTTATCGGCTCCCAGCAGCTCTTTGACTCTGTGGCTGCAGCACTAGGTTGTTTTGAAAATCCATCCGTCTCTCATATCCGTCCGCAAAACGCAGTTGCCGACAGACTCATCCACGCCCGAAGCTGAGCGAATAGAATATTTGGCGGACCCGAGACCTTCTTCACAATCAAAACTCAGTGGTGGGAATAGCAAGACGAATGGAGTAGATGAAAATGCAGCAGGAGGAGCTGCCGCAGCAGATGATGCGCCCCCACTGACACTGGTTGCCTTCCGCACCGAACCCGGGAGACACACTTGGGCTAGCAGAGATTGGTGCACGGTCTCGGCTTCCGACGAAGTTGTGCGCTTTTTTTTTGATTTGGAAGAACAAGAAAGTTCGTAAAAAAGGGGAAGTTATTGACTGAATTTGAAGTTTTTTAAGACTGCGAAACAAGTTTAGGTCATCACCACGAGTAAGTTTAAGTGCTTGATTGAATTATGAGATTATACATAGATTACAACGATGAGGGGAACATAAGACCACTCGCATATATGTCCTAATATCTATGCATATCAGCCAGAACTGGCTTTCGTTTTGAATTTCTGTTGCGCTCCACTGTCCTTACTGACACAGGACAGTCTCTCATTTGAAAATCCCAATTATACGTTGATCATAAGGTTGAACATGGAAGAGAATCATGATGAGAACTCAAATTCTGTCAAGAGGAAGAACAAGAGCTTCTGCATAAATTCCAAGGTGTATGCAGCGATCAGGACTAAGTACACGAGCCCGCTTGCGCGTTGGCGTTGGTTAGCGAGCACCAACGCTCTTCGACTGATAGGCAGGGGGGGCCTCGTTCTGGGTTGGTGACGACGCTCATTAAAACTTTTGTGATCGTGACCTGGACCAGAACCAGTCTTTTCCATGGGGATTATTTTTCTTGCATGTAAGATCTTCAGATTGAAAAGTCGAGGTGACTGAGAGGATCTTGAGGCACAATGTAAAACTAAAATATTAACGACCAGCGCTACAGGTGCAAAAGCTCTTGAGATATAGATCAAGGTACGAAGCTCCACTGGATTACAGGGACGCGCTCGACTAAATTGTCCGTGATTTTCTATGGATACATACGTGACTGACCGTTACGCTTACGGTTATCACAATTGATGTTGATATTGGGAATTAGTAAAATTGGGTCCTTCCTATTCCTCCCACGAGGAGGAGGATCTTGTATGACATTTCGTGATGATCAGATTGACAATACCTGTTGACGTTTGAGTTTGAGTCTTCAAAATTGCTCTATTTTTTATGGGAATTCGAAAGAACTTGAACTGTTACATGCAGAATTCAGCAGAAAATTATCAGCAGCACAGCCAAAATCCAGTTTGTGTATGTACATAGATATTACGTCGACAGAACGAATTTTTTCGCTCTGTCTATTCAGTACACGATGAAAAACCTTCTACTTTTTCGTCCTCTCATCTTCACAATTTTTCGCGCCTCTCTGCTCTCAAACATCCAGAGTCTTCTTCTTGTAGGCTGAGGCGGCGGTCTGCTCTCCTGAGTGCCCCCTAAGAACTTACTGCTACTGGTGCTTCCGTCTCTTCCGTGCCCCCGCTTCATTTTCGGTTTTCCAGGTGCGCCACATCTGCTGGTCTTCAGGGTCCACGATGTCGTTCTCAGGATCCACGTTCACCGTATTGAGCAGCGACGTACTAGACGTAATCGACTTCGATGCTAGAGATTCGCCATGTACTTGATGTGAGGAGAGGTGTTGTAGCGACTGTGACTGAAGATTGCCTCCTCGCGAGTCGACGGCTTTGCTAGAAGAATTGCTTGTGCTCGTCCTTTCCCGTGGTCCTGCTCTACTTTCTCCTGCGTAGTGATGTCCTTGTGGAAGACCAAGATTGAAGTTTGCATCTGCGTCTTCAGCTACGAACGTGACTTCAATACTACTGCCTCCGGCTGCTCCTCCCGTCGCCATACTGGGCTCTTGCACCAAATGGTTTTCTATTGACATCTCCATGCCCGCTCGCGAAAGCGATAAATCAGGCATACCGTGAAGGTCGTCATAATCAATCGACCTCGACGTTCTACTCCTTTGTTGACTTTGTTGATGTTGAGCATGATTTCGACTCATTCTGCTGGCGCTATGAGCACGAGAAGGAGACGCTCCCTGCTGGAGCTGTTCAGGCGGAACGTTGCGAGCAGAAGACGTAGACCTCACTTGTTGTTGTTCTTCCTCTATGCTTCTCATATTACTACCTCCACCACCGCTCAAAGTTAACTGAAGATCTTCCTCCTCTTTCGTCAACGTCAATTGCGAACCAGCTTTACCGTCTTTGCTAGGCGAATTCCGTTCTCTTGACTGATGTTCTTGGCTTTTGTGCTTGTCTCGGTCCTTTATCAGACTGGCCTCTTGCTCGCTGACTAAAGTGACAAAGGACTCTTCTGGTTGGAATAGAAAGCTCGAGGATTGCTGGAGGGTTGTAGCGGAGGTTCCTAGAACGACGTTTTCGTCCATGAGGAGCTCTGTTGGTTTCAGCATCTTGATATTGGCTGGACCTCCTCTACCTCCAGGTCCAGCTAGGCTTTGTTCTTTCGCTGATTTGAAAGCTAGACCAACTTTGCGACTTGGGCTTCCTTGGTCGTTGTAGAACAAGTTCTGTCCGGGATTGGGAGGAGCGCCGATCATAAGCGGTTGAAGATTAATATCTCCTCTCCCAGGAGAGGACATTCGGGTAGCTGCTGTTCCACTACCGCCACTGGTTGGGACTGCTACCACACCTCCTCCAGGCTTTTTCCTAGCACCGCCCTGAATTACTCCACCTGCCGAGGCAGAAGAAGTCGGCCTATTGCTCAAAGCCGCGTGTTTGGAGGCGCGACTTCCCGGCGTTAGCGTCTCGAGGTGTAGCATATTTGCTCCTGTGTCTACTGTGCGCCACTTCAATACCTTCGCCCGTGGAGAGATGTGGTCTTTCCTCCGCGCTGTAGAAGCGACAGAGAGAGGCCTTGCTTGCTGACTTAACGGATTCCGTAGGATATTGATTGCTGGATTCGAACCCGCTAAGCCACCGCCAGTTGTTGGCCTCTTGGAAGATTTCGATGGTCTACTTTCCTCAGCTTTTATTTGGAATTTGTCAAGAAATGGTTCATCATGCTGCTCTATAGTCTTCTTTATCGATGTGCCGCCAGATGTCGCCGGTCGCTGACGTCCGTCTTGTTGCATAAGCATTTTTCTATGCATTTCTTCAAGTTCTAGAAGCTGTCTCCGATGCTCCTCTCTTTCAGCACCAGATGTCATTCTCTTCTCCTGACCTACTTCTGAAGAAGGGTCGTTTATGTTTATTCCACTACTTGTCGCTGCTTCATCTTCGATAATCTGCCGTAGCTCTTGCAATTGATCAACAATTGTAGGTCCTTGTCGATGTCTTCCTCGATGACGAGTCGTGTAACCTCGTAGATCCTCTTCATCAGCACTAGGTGGACTTCTACTCCCACCACGACTGCCTTCTTCGCTTCTCGACCTATTGCGATTAGACGATGTTGCAGGTGATCGGTCAGGCGGAGGTGCTGGGGAGGCGATATGAAGGACTTCCCGTACGACATCTTCCCGCTTGTTCCGCCTGTCTGCCCAATAAATCTCTGCGTGGTGTAAACGCGTCTGCGCTGGAGGTGACAAGTTTCTATGTTTTTGTAAAGGTGGGGGACCTTCAGTTGTTTGTGTAGTTTCTAGCTGTCCAAGAACTCGTCCTCCGCCTGGTGCTCCTGTGCCTGTGCCACGTGGTGCAACTACTTGTACTCCCCCAATGACAAGGGATGCTCGGCCTTTGTTTTTCTGCGCACCAAGGATCTCCTCAGGTTCGTCGAAGACCACCGACGTAGATGTTTGAGTGAGACCGCCAGCTGTACCTCCAACACCCCAGATTGATGTGTCTTCGTCTAAAGTGCCCTGTTCTAGGAAGCTCACGTTATCTTGCGTAGCCCAACCCGCATATTTCGCTGTCGATGATGAACTGCCCCCTTGCTGTTCTCTAAATCCTACTCCTAAAACGGGAGACGATGCTGGTCTAGGCATATTCCTTCTAGTGGGACTGTTGTTAAAGAAGCCTTCTCCAGGTCCAGTGTGCAACTCGAGCAAGATCCTGCTCGTCGGCGCCTGCTTTTTGACGGCGATCACCTTATCGATCATCGCAGAGGATAGGAGTACAGGAACAGTTCCTCCACTCTCGCGAAGGCGCGTCATGTATTTGGCTGCAGCCTTTTTCGCTTCGTTCAGAATTTCAGCACGACTACCTCCTCCACGGATACTAGAAGATGCAGCTTGTGAGTACAAGGTCAATGCGCGTAGTTTCTCCGCTGTGGCATGGCGGCCACTTTCTAGCAGTCTCTTGCGCCTGTCCCATCGCTCTCGCACATCATCCCACAAGCGTTCGAAAACAGGGCTCATCTCTGGCACAGTCGGCTTCTTCCCTCGTTTCTTCTTCTCCCGCGCTTTGATCACTTCTTCCTGCAGCACGTCCATCTTCGTCTCCATCTCCCTCATCATGCTCGCCTGCTCCTCTATCTGCTCGTTCAAAGCGCTAATGGCTTCCTCACTAGCACGAATCGCTTTTTCGAAGTGTTGTTCCATCTGCTTCTTTTCCTTTTCCTTGATCTCAGTCACTTGCACTGTCACCTCTTCTGTGACGATCTTTTCTCGCATGTGGCTATTATCCTCAAGCCGCGACTTGGCTTTGGCTAAGGCCTGTCTTTTCTTCTCGTCTACTTCGGCTTGAGCTTTGGCTTGGAGGTCATCGACCGGGACCGGGACCTTTGGAGAATCTTCTGGCGACGCAGGTTCTTCCTCTTTTTCGCTTTCGGGTGGACTTAGAAGTGCAAGAAGGTGGTACAGATCAAGCGTTGTAAACAAAAAGGACCAATTTCTCTGACTCAACACACTAACATGATTTGAAATCATGCTTTCTCAACACTCTGAATGTGAGTTTCTTAGTACTTACTCTTTCAGGAAATTTAAAGCTAAAGGATACCGATACGCTTCTTCCCCCCATAATATACCAAGTTCTTCCCTTGCCTTGCGTCCCTCTTCCTCCAACATGGCCATTAGCTCGAGATACGCTAAAGCCTCAGGCGATTCCACTTCTGGAGGCGCTTGTTTGTAGGCTTCAAGCTCTTCTGCGGCTGCATCCCTTTCTTAGAGCAGACTCACCCAAATCCATGTTGTTGCTCACACTCATGGTCTAGAAGTTCTTTCCCCCTTATTTAATGCATGGAACAGCTCCGCTCCAAGATTGAGATTCTTCAGAGGATTCATTTTCATCGATTTTTAGGGTACCTACTTCTTCTAAGCCTTAACTTTCTGCTTGCAATCTCGCTACGTCCACCTCCGCTTGTGCGCAACGGCTTTCGGCGTGGTTGGCGCGCAATTCAAAGTCAGCCATCTGAGCCTTCAATTGCGCGATTGCGACGTCCTTCTCCATGCCTGATTCACTGGCGGCGCGCGATTTGACTCGTAGAGTAGCTAGGGCTTCTTTTTCGATGGAGGTTAGAAGAAGAGGGTGGGAAGAAATTCGAATTTCAATTTTCTGCTAACTTTATGTCTAAGAGTCTTTGGAATTGGAAATTTTAGAACTGAAATATTATCTTGCTGCTCGACATTGTTGTTGTTCATGTTCACATTCGAAATTGGAAATTGAGACAAGGAAGTACTGCTACTGATGCCGTAAACTCAATTGCTCCTCAAGCGTCCGGATCGTTTCCTCCAAACCAGTGTTTGCATTCTGAAGTCGTTCTATGTTAGCAAGATGAGCAGCTATCTGCTGCTCTGCTTCAGAGAGTTGCGCAGTGAGCTGGTTTACCTGGATAGGATGCAGGAGCATGTTGTCTACAACACCGTTACCGTTTGAATTCGCGCTTGGGTCACAGATGTTCAGAGGTGAATGCGGAGTCATATACTTGCATGCATGCTACAGATGTTGTAGATATTTTTCTGAACAATTTCGTGTAATTTCGGAGTGTCGTGGTCGTGCATGGCAATAACGGTTGTGCTCGTCAAACCTCCACCCCCATTGAAAAACTTGTGGTCAACACTCTCACTCAACAAAGGTATACTTGATACCTTATCCCTCTCCCTCGTCAACATCGTCGTGAAATTCATCGTGAGCTTCTTCTCCAGTTCTTCTTCTGCCTTTGCCACTGCCTCTGCAATTTTCTTGTCCAGCTCTCCACCAAGTCTAGACTCTGCATCTGCCAAACGGTCTTTGGCTTCGCGAGTTAGAGGAAGCAGGGTTGATGTTGTGATTTCCCAGTTGTTGAAGATGTAGCAGAAGTAACAGATACAGATATTATAGTCTAGCTATTATTTTCACTAGTTACTCGCATATTTCAGTTCTTTATAATCTAGCACAGATAGCTACTTGTAACTGTAAGAGCACCAGGTCTTCTAATCTAGCACAGATAGCTACTTGTAACTGTAAGAGCACCAGGTCTTCTAATCTAGCACAGATAGCTACTTGTAACTGTAAGAGCACCAGGTCTTCTAATCTAGCACAGATAGCTACTTGTAACTATAAGAGCACCAGGTCTTCTAATCTAGCACAGATAGCTACTTGTTGTAACTGTAAGAGCGCCAGGTCTTCGAACTTGGGAACAAGGTTGAGCTCAGGATGATTGAAAGATTGTAGTCGAATAACCAAGTTCCTCCATAAATCCAATTGCATCAGTGCTTCGTCTCGTTCGTGACTGAGTTCTGCCGTCTTATGGCGTTCTTCATCGAGGTCTTGTTCGAGCTGGGCATTAACGTCCTGAAGACTCGAGCACTGCTCTTCGAGCTCCGCTAGCCTTTGAATCATCGCGACAACTTCAGGATCGGGATGGGTTTGGACCTGTCAAAGTTGCAGAAACAAGTAGTTTATTTGCGTTGTTGACAAGAAAAATGAAGCAATAAAAGATGAATCAGAAAAATCTTAACAGCATATTTTGCGTCTATAGTAGTTAAAGGTTGAAACATTTCTTCATCTTTTAGTAGCCATCTCAAGTAGAGGAGGCTTGTAAAATAAAATGAAATGTTTCTAACCTTAATATAGTTGTCGTGCCTGCTCATGCGATTGATATTTTATTACTTTAACTGCTTCATCAACTACGATCACATAAGTCAATGGTGCATGTTGATGTAGTACTCCTTCCTCCCTATAGAGTCCAGTCTTGTCTGGTGGCTCTGTCTGTACAGCGGTATCTGCACAGCCCTTCTTCTGCGACAAAATGCGAGACACTGTTTGGTCGATAAGGTAACGCATGCATCAATCTTAGAAGAGGTGTTCTTTATGTTGTATCTCTGCGTTGTATAGTGCGCATGATCTCGGATTTTGGACTCTTCTTTATGTTGTATCTCTGCGTTGCATGGTGCGCATGATATCGGATTTTGGAAAGGTCTGATGTTGCAAAAACTTTGGAAGAAACTACTTACTACAAACAAAGATATTCAGTTTCAAGATAGAGATAATTTTTCAGCCTTAATCTTGCTTATCTTCGGAAAACACCGCCATCGGCTCGTAGAACCATGGAAACGTCTCAACTGACTTGATTCCTGTTTCGCCGCTTTTTGTCGCGGCAACGTCAGGTTTCACGAGGTCTAGAACGTCCCCTTTCCGATCACCCGCAAACCACGGCCGATTGCTCATGGTATGACTCCTGTGCCAGTCGACTTCCTTGATGAAATCGACCTGGGCTTTTTCGTGTCTTTCCTGAAGAGCCTCGAACTTCTGTTGGTAGGCGAAAGCGTCGAATCCTCCGAATTTGTCCCATGTAAATTCCACGGCAGCTGATGCGAGGTTCTCGACTGCAGTCCGGGATGAAAGGGGGATAGAGGGGATGAGGATGAAAGAACAATAAGGGAGAGCTCCGGTCAATGATCCTTACTTATGCAACGTAGCACCAGGAAGGGACGCGGAGGGAGTCGAACTACTAGAGATTAAAAATACTGCAACATGCACCAATACCAAAACCAAGCACAGTTACTGAAGTATTGGTGCATGTTGCAGTATTTTTAATCTCTAGTTCGACTCCCTCCGCGTCCGCTCCTGCTACGTTGCATAACTGTGTATAATAAATTCAAGACTAGCGACGTCTGCTTGTCGTACAGCAGGTCGACGTTAACAGCATCATAATTTCAGATCCACTGTCGGCACGAATTCTCGGGTGTATTTTCCACGAGAACAGAGGTCTAACAGATGTGCCTTCTGTTTTTCGAGATTTTTCGAGATTTCGTCTACTGTCCGAGTCAGACCACGTGCTGCCAGTCGTCTACGCGCTTCCTCGGATTCCGCAGAACCTAGTTTCGCTTCTGCCTCTAGCTTCGTCCATTCTTCTTTCGAGAGAATAGGTGGAGTCACCTTGGGAAAACGGTGGCGCTTTTGAGACCTGGGTGGTTGAGAGTTAGATTGTGCTGCTGTGGTTCTAGTGGTAGCTTTGACATTAAGTTTAAGTTGAGGACGTTGTGGACGTTTAACAAGCAAAGAATAGAAAACGAAACAATAGGCAATACTTTGTTCCTTTCCAATTCTCTGCACACACTGCGCATCTTTCGTCTGGTGCAAATTTTGTGCGCGATGTATGAATGACGCGATTGCAGGCACTACAGGTCTGTTGAAAGAAGAAACCGCCTCGACCACGATTATGCTGCAAATCACTGACCATCTCGTTTATCTCTTCGGCAAAGAGGGTGGCTCCAGGTCTCCGAGGATTGTATCGACTTTTCGTAGTCGGAGAGGCGCTGCGGCAAACCATGTCTTGATCTTCTGGAGCTTGGGTAGGACTGCGAGATTTAGGGGTAGGAGATGATAACATAGCTCTAGTAGATGAGCGATAAGGAGTTGTAGTTGTCGTTGTACCTGCTTTCTTCTTCATCTAGTTACAGCCAGATGAGCAACACCGACAGAAACCTTTTATAAGCATCAAGATCCAGTAACTTTTTTGGTGTCCATAACACTGTTGAGTGTAAAAACTCCATTTCCTTTCCTCCCAACTTCTTTGCTACCTCCCCCTCTTCCAGCATGAGCAGGCCACTGACCGTAAGCACGCAATTGCTCTTCTGTGTCTCTGGACAGCAAATTGTACGCTTGATACCGATAAACCTGCGCCTCTTCGTCTTCAGGTCGGTAGTTGCGAGCAGCGATGCTCTCAGCCGGATGCCCCTTGTTCAGCGGAGAATGGACGCTGTGCAAAGACGGATGCTGCGAGAGCCTCGTCGATGGGCTCTTGCTCTTGGCGTTTGGAGACAACGGCACTCGTGGCAGTTGTTGCGCCGCCGCCTTTGTTGGCTGAGGAGCTGTCCCCGGACGTTGAAAGGATGGCAGCTCTGCATCGTAGTACTGGTTGCTCTTGTTCTTTCCGTAGGATTAGCGCTCTCCGTAGTTCATCTTTCAGCTGCATCCTTGAAAAGTATGCCAGAGTATCGCACTGGGAAGATACTTACTCCCCCATACGTAGTTCTTTCAGGGATGCCCTCAATAAGATGCAGGAAGATACTTACTCCCCCAACATACGTAGTTCTTTCAGGGAAGATGCCCTCAATAAGTATAAGATGCTTTAGCTAGTACAGCCTTAATAGGAAAGAAAGGAGGATCCAGGACCCCCCGTCCTTGGTCTTGTGAATGGCGCGCGTTGGGTATTCCCAGTAGTAGAAACCTCCAACCCCTGTTCCAGTAGCTGCAGGTCCAAATCCACGGTCGCCGTGCGCTTCACGGCTGCATTTTTTGCGGTATCGTGAGGTGAGGCGGGTCCTATCAAATGCTGGAGATTTTCGTGCCGGTCCAAGTTGGGAGTTAGAGGAATAAGGACTCTTGATGATGTTCTCGACCCAGTAGTACCAGGTGAACGATTGAATTTGAGAAGATTGTGGTCGAGGGTGTAAGTGAACGTGAAGCCAAAAACGAAGTACCAAAATCAACACCACATCATCTTGCTGCATCTTGAATAATCTTTATCTTTTACAACCACATTAATATGTATGAGGCAGAACAAGGTCCAATCCGAATGGACTAACATCATCATGCATGAGGCAGAAGCAGTCTTAAAAGAGAAGACAGCAGCTCCGGTTTCCGTTTGATTGCCACAGCTCGATACTTTCGATCAGTGATCAATCTGTCTTCCTCATCCGCGACTGCTTTCAAATACTGCCCCACTGCGGTTAAGACGCCTGAGCCAGTCATTTCGATTTGATGGGCTTGTGCCTTGTTATCGTTTGCGGACTTAGAAGCTCCTCCATTCGTCCCATCCCCACCAGGACCTTGGACTGCAGCATCAGTGAGGTCGGCGAACGCGCCGCCAATCATGCTGCCGGTTCGTTTTTTGCCCAGCATCTTTTTCCTTCAAGGAGGGAGAGGAAATTCCTTGACCTTGTGCCTTATCTCGTGGGAGAGGAGTAGTTCAATGATAGACGTAGCAGAGTCAGATGTATTTCTTCGTCACGAGACGTCCATCTGTTTTTTCTGTACAACTATCTGTTTTCTAGTACTTACTGTTTTCATCTACATCTTCTAGAACTACATCAGCGAGGTTGATACAACTGCTACTGGTTCGACAAGGTCGGTGGAGGGTTTCCGAAACTAAGTCAACGTAAAGCTGAACCCGTCTTCAATCACTTTTAGCAGGGGACCATGCAGAGGGTAACGAATGGCGTCTTCATGCAATCATGTGTATAAAACGCACCGATCATTTTATCAAGACTTCCGAGTAAGGCCAAGAAGTTCCAGTGATTGACATGTGTTGCTCTTGATGACCGATTAAGTGATCACATATAGCCGGCGACTGATGCGTAATTCACTGATTTCTGGGAAAGACAGAGTTGACAGTGCTTTGAGTTGAGGTTGACGGAGCAGTTGTTGCTTTTGAGAGAAACCGACATAAAGCACCGACCTAAGGATTAGACCGTCTTGTATCCACGCAGCAACGCCTCCCCTGCCCCTTGTTGTAGGATACATGCGGCCGTAGGCTGAGCATTTTTTGGACATGCTTGCAGCCGACATGCTAGGCTGTAAAATTTCTTTCGTAAGACAAGTAGTAGAAATAGAATTGTCGTCCCATTCAATAAAAGTACTATGTATTGCGTAGGACTCAGATGTCCATTTATCAAATTCATTTCTTATCCCCTGCATTCATTTCTTATGCCCTGCCCGCAATGCTCACAAGATTAATGCAATAGCGATTACCATCCGCATCCGGAAGGTTATGGCCTAGATGGGTCCCATCAACACTTACTGTTTCCCCGTCGGGTAAGACGCGTACGAAACTTTTTGTTCCCCGTATGATCTTTTCATGATCTGCATCTGGTGAGGCGGAGGCAGTCTTGGCCTGACTTTCCTCTTCGTCTTCTACAAACACCACTTCTTCATCCCGAAAGCTTGGCCATCCATATTTCTCACACTCCGCGATCCAAGCATCCCAAGACCGTTCTACAGGTGCACGAAATAACGGCTTGCTCGTAATTGTGTCGTAGAATGTGATCGGGTCGGCAGCTGCGTTTTTCTGTTGTTCTTGAACTTGCTCGAGCCATGTTGTAAGTTGATCATATACAACAACTCCATCTTCAGACTTTCTGTTTACAACTTTGAACTGCTCCCTATGCGCATCCGCGGCAACATCCTGCTCACCTTTCGCTTTTTCCTGGTATTTTTCTTTTCGTACGTCGTCGTCGTCGTCACTAATAACGCTCTTCATGATCTCCTCCTGACGTCTCCGAGCAATGTCCTTTTGAAACTCCTCGTTTCTCTGCCAGTAGTCACTAGGCTCTGCGAGGTAGCGATTGAAGCAGCAAATTCCGCCAGCCAGGATAGCATCGCAATCCCAACGGAGTGGTGTCTTGTCTATAGGATCTCCAACACAAGTCCCAAATGTACGAGGACGCATCAACAAGAGTGCGAGGATATGAAGAAATGTCGTGGCGGGGGGTAAAAGGTAAAACTTTTCAGCCACTGTGATCTTCACTTTTACTCTATTTTTGATTCATAGATACGAATACGAATGATTCATGTAATCAAAAATGTTCACGTAGGTGCTAGTGTGACTATCATGACTGTGAGTCACCCACGTCAACAAGAAGTAGAACAAGGCGTCAACATCAAGATGAAGATCACTGACCGCAACGTCAACGTCTACAATGCCACTTCGTTCTTCATACCTCGTTTCATTCACCTGTATTTCCCGATAGACGTCCGTGTCCACTGGTGCGTAACTGCCTCTTTGAATGCCCAATTTGAAAAACGTCGCCACGCAGAGACAGGCTGTGCCGAAGGCTAGGATGAATGCAGCCAGCAACACTGCAAGCATCAGATTGCCATCGCGTCTGCGTTCCTCGTGGTTGCCTGGAGGTGGTGTTATTTCAGGAGATGGCGGCCGCGCAGGTTCAGGTGGTCCTGCAACCACACTTGTGGCGTTTGCGTTTTCGCTTTTCTTCCCTGGAACGCGTAATCCGGCGCCTTCTCGATGTCGAGGATCAACACCGAGTTGTTCACGGTCAAGGAGAGGTTCTTGAGACATGTTGTTGACTTTGAGTAAGTACTACACAAAAGGAAGCTGGACTTCTACCTTTCACTGACACTCGTGTTTCTCTTGTTGATGGGAAAACTCTAAATCTTTTTCCAGCGCGCGACCAAGTTCAAGATGCAGACGACCACTTCCTGTGACGTGCTAAGACCTAACCTTCTTCTTAACCACCTCTGGTGCTTTTCTTCTTCGTGCTAAAATACCAGGTCGAAACTGCCAATAAAAAGCCAAAACTTCGACCTCCAAATAAAAATCCAAAACTGTGGTATAACTTTAACTGAGACCACGTAGCTACAGCGTAGTTGTGAAGCTGCTATTAAATCAAGTATTCCCAAAAGAACTATATCACTATCGGGTTGGTACCGTTTTCATGATCAAAGTGGCCTGTGCCAAGTGCGAGGCGAGATAAGGGAACAAGTAAAGTGGATACCGCTGACCCTTTAGCAGGGATGTTTTGTTCATGACTTTGCGCGCTCGACTAGACCACGATAAGGTTTCATTACGTTCTGTTTCAGCTTTCTTTTTAGTATAATTGGGAGTATGCGAGGATTTTTGCGATTGAGATTGTGTCGGTTGTACGACACCAGCTTCGACGTCTTCCTCGTCAGAGAATAAACCAGGACGACTGTCTTCCTCGTCAATCATGGCAACGTCAACGACGTCTTCTTGCGCCTTTCCAATGAGAGACGGCAGCAAAACATCATGATTTTGATCATTGGAAAGGCGCAAGGCATCAAAAAACCTCCTTGTTCTCCTCCAGGTCGTTCATTCTGAGGAATTGACGAATCCAAGACGCCCACACCTTGTCAATCCATCGCCTTCAGAATCAGGTCCTTCTTGTTAAACAGCCTCAGCCTGACGATGATGTTTGCCTCCTTTTTTAAAACCAGTGCCACTGACAATAATTCCACCTGCAGCCAGGCAGAAAAACAAGCGGCGTGACAACATTTTGTTTTCTTGTCGAAATATTCGGTTTCGGTGTAGAAGTATCCTGAAATAGTATAAATTAAATCTTCTAGGAGTATACGGAATAAATATACTCGTTGCAGTAATACCGTGAAAACAGTAATGGAGTTCTTAGTTTTTGACGTTACAACAAAAATTCCAAAACAAACATTATCGAGTGATGCACCAGAAATCCAAAAGTTAGTACGTTTACGACTTAGTCTAACGTCGAGATCAGTCTGTCAGAGTCAATCTAAATTTCAATCTCCTGCCACAACTTCCTAGTGTTAGTCCTCTTCGAGCATAAAAGTATTTGCGTTCCTATCATATGCAGGAATCCAAAACGAAAACCTCCAAAAAAGATAACAACCAGTTCTACCTAGTAGTTCATCTTAGTAGTAATTTACTAAGTTCTTAGTTCTTGTCGTCGTTGTGGCTGCAGAAGTGCTTCTTTGTCCTTCTAGATGTGGTGAGTCTTCGTCTTTATCAGAAAATGCAACAGTTCGATAAACTGAAATACGCGAGCTACTTCGCTATTCAGGGAGATACTGAAAGAAGAGGAAAGTAGTTAAGACTCTCGTCTACTTATTTCAGTCAGTAACTCGCTTATCTTGAGTTTTCGTGATCAAAAAGTGGTTGTGGTTTCTTCCAAAACTTGTTTAGCGCTCTGCTTTGAGATTTAGGCTGAGCAATAGGTTCCAATTTCAAAACAAGTTCTGCGCTCTAGCCAAGCAACAGGAACAACAATTGAAAATTCTTAAGATAGCAAACAAATACAATGCTACTTAGAGAGTATAACCTACCTATTTAAAAAGGATGCTCATATTCGTCTTCATCTTCAGAGAAGGATCGACAGCTGCTACGAACAGTTGCTATCATAAAGATGGACATGGATCTCCATAGTCATGACAAAGATCATATGGCGAAGATCTTGTTGAGCTCCATTTTTCCGGTGAAGAACAAGAAGACCTTGTACCTAGTATAAATCTTGATGTGACTATATTATTGACTTTGATCAACGATGTAGATCGTTGCACTAGAGGCTACATTATGATCTTCTGCACTAATCGCTTTCGAGGAGGTTCTCGAAATTATAATCCTTCTATACTAGTACTAGAGATTTAGATCCAACTTTAGCTTATGTGATGTCTGTACTCGTCCATGCACTCGTCCATGCAGGTCATGCACCATCGTGCGTTCGGGAAACGAGTAGAATGCAACGGGTTTCCGTTTCCAACATGGGTATTGATTCCAGATGTTGATTTTCAGGTTTCTTCGTGGAAAAAACGTCACTTGAAATTCATAAGATAGTTCTTTACATGACACAGAAAAGTTCACAGACAGCTTTTGTGATTTTGTGACCGATCATTTTCATGACTACAGGGAGATCCAAGTTCAACTCTTGAATTACGTAGTAGCTCCATATGGACCTCACAATTGCAAAGGTAAGATCACTAGATCACCATGTGGCTGAAACTACGCCGGAAAACACGCGCGCACAGGTGTGGGATCCTGAATTTCGATGGCCTGCTTTCCGCAGTTGGGTCTTCATGCAGATGCCTGTAATGTACAAGAACAAGTGCACGCTGTTCTTGGAAAATTCACTTTGTTTGGCTGTTTGGCAATCTGTACAGATGCTCTGTGCGACATTTGTTGCACTGCATTGCTACGAGACTAAGTTGTTGATGTTTTGCGAGGAAAGTGGTGTGAAGAAGATGAAACAACAAAAAGTGAAGCTCTTGATAGTGTGATCATGATGTTGATTTTTATTACCGCATTGAAGCTCGATGGACCTGATAACCTAGCTTCCTCTGATGATTATTTTTTTTCTTAAATGAATAATTTGTTAGCTCTGTCGTGTACTGTGCAGGTACGTCATAACTTGAGCTTTCAACTCGTGCTTCCTTTACTACTGAAGAATACAATATTTCTGATCATTTCAAGGGTTCCAACGTCATCGCGCTTTGCCGACAAAATCGGGTTTACCGAATCTGATTTCGATTTCGAGGTAACTGCTATTTTTAACAGCGGTTGGTAATATGCTTGCTGATGCGAAATGGAAATACTATCATTGAGATTTGTCCTCTTGATGTTGATACTGAACTGATTAATAACTTAGACCCGTCGCCGCCGTGCTATATTTCCCAAAGCCCAAACTTTTTCGAAAGGCGCAAATATTTTCCAAACAAACCTTTTCCAGGGGCCCAAATATTTTCCAAAACGCAATCTTTTCCCAGACCCAAACTTCTTCCAAAAGCTCAAACTTTTCTTCCAAAGGCCCAACTTTTTTCCAAGGGCCTTTTTTTTTTCCAAAGGCCAACTTTTTTCCCAAAACCGTTTTTTTCTAAAAGCCAGCCACAGCGACCGCCAAACACACACACACAAAACCAACCACAGCCCCACAAAACCAACCACAGCCCCCGCCACAACCACCACAAATCCAGGCACACACACAGCAATACACACACACACACAGCCATACACGTACACACACACAGCCATACACGTACACACACAGCCATACACAGACACACAAAACCAAACACGCGCAGCCACACCCACAGAGCCACAGCCACAACCCCATCTACAGCCACAGCCCTAGTTGCAAAACAGTTACACGCACACAAGCACACGCACACAGGCACACGCGCACAGAGCTACAGCCACACGCACAGAGCTACAGCCACACGCACAGAGCTACACCCACACGCACAGAGCTGCACCCACACACACACACACACACACAGAGCCACGCACACACAAGCACGCGCGCACCTGTTAGACCGATAAGCTCCCAGAGAAGTACACCCACACGCACAGAGCTACACCCACACGCACAGAGCCACACCCACACAAGCACGCACGCCCCTGTTAGACCGATGAGCCCCCCGCGAAGCACTCTCTCGCTGTTTTTTGGCTGAGGGCTTAGCGCTTGCTTCCCCGGCCTAACGACATGGCCGGCGACTTGTAAGAATAAAGCTTAGAAATACTAAAAGCAAAAAGATAAGGAGCGATGAAGATGTAGTTGATCTGATGTTGATATTTAAACAAAGCCAGACATGAATTTGCTATTGTTTCATAAAACCACAGAAAGAGCTTACCCACGATCTTCGATTGACGCCTGTTCCGTTGCGCTTTCATTTTCTGTCGAGAAACGTTACTAAAATTCATTGGCAGACGTTTTACAATGTCGCATTCCCCTTTCAAATCACAGGGAAAAATCAGGGAGATGACCCTTCTCGAGGGTCTAGTACTGCGAACTCATGTCGGTACCGTCTACTTGAAGCCCAAGTTCTTTAACCTGTGTGCATGAGAGAGAGGAGCAGTACCTAGGGAACAAAAGGGTATTAAAAGATTTAGATGGTGTTCATTAGAAACGTCCTGCTAATTCATCTGCAACGAAGATATGAATGTGGATCATGTGTGTTTTTTGCTTAGAAATATCTTCACCAGAAAGACTTTATTGATTTCAGCTGTTGAATGAAGCCTGCAGATACAGCATATACAAGCGGGAGACTTAACCCCCGGGGGTCCTAGAGCTACTGGCGCGCTATGCTTTTCAGTGCTCTGGCAGCGCGGTAGGCTGGCTCGGTAGACCCGGGCCTTTGCCGGCGCCGGTCGTTGCGCCTACGGCCCATAAGATAAGACTACCGCGGAGCGTGGCGGGAGGCCTTTACCTCCCCAGAAAGTGAGAGAGCTGCACGCCAGCGCTCGTGTGTCGTGGCCCCCTCTCGCGGCTCGGCCGGTGTTCATGCACCGCAACCCCCGCGAGCCGATCAGCCGGCACCCCCCTCGCGAAGTTTTGGGGTGCTCGCTTTTCACGTCAGACACTTTGGCCCGGGGCGCTGTGGCCCAGGTGCGCGGCTACTCCCTCGGCAGTAGCAGGCGCTGTCCCCGCGCTGGGGGACAGGGTCGCTCTGAACCTCCAGCCCGCGCTGTCGGCCAACTACCGGGGCTTGGGCTCCCGCTCAACCTCTGGCCTCGGTTTGACTCGTGCCAGAGGCTGGCGGACCGCTCCGAGCCCTTACCCTTTCCCCAGCGGCACCTTCCCCCGGAGACCCCGACCAGGCTCCGGCCCCCTGGTGCAGACTTAAGTCGGCGGTTTTAGACTCGCATCCGCCGAGAGGAGGCTGCAGGAGCGTGCGCCAACCTTTGCACAAGTTTGCGCCAAGACCTCCCGCCGGCCAGCACCCGCGCCGGTGGTGTACCGGGGCGGCCGCCGACCTCCGCCGCGCTTGCCTCTCGTAAGAGAGGGGCGAACTCCCTGAGCAGCAGCAACGGCAGGGGCCGGCAGGCGTTCACGTAGTTCAGCCCGCCATAGTCAGGCGCCAGCGGACTGCTGAACCGTCTGCAAGTCTGGGGTGGTGTCGGTGAGCCCGTTGCACTTGTGGCGCCTGCTCACCTTTCAGGCTGCCAGCCTGCGCTTGCTTCAGCGTCACGCATGGAGAGCGTCTCACTTTTGACGTCCTCCATGTTTTCCTTGAAGCATGGGCAGGCGGCTCGATTTTTCCGCCGTCCTCCTCGTCGGTATGGCGCACCTCGTCGATGAAGTCGAAGCCGAAGCGGTTGCACCAGGCCAGCAGGTTGAGCACGTAAGTACCTGCTCGCCAGCCCGCTCTCCCAGCGCTTCGCTTTCTGCTGGAGCGCGTCGAGGCTGCGAGGGCCCTCGCGCTTTCATGAAGCCCGGGAACGCAGCCACTTTTTTGAAGGCGATACCTGGGGGGTTCTCGCTGGGCTCCGTCATGAAGTCGAAGGGCTGCAGTGCAGATCGGTGGCGCCGCTGATGGCCCTCGCGACTCGGCGCAACGTTTCCCAGCACTGGCCCCGGCTGCGTCTGTGTCTGTCCCAGTAATCCACCAAGGCGCTGGAGTCGACTTGTCTGCAGATCAGGCTCTGGGGCGCACTGCTTGTGCGTTGCGGGTTGTCTCCGTTGAGAACTGCGACTGCGCAGTTTGAGGCCTTAGGCTGGTTCTTTCCCGACTGGGCTGCGTCCCAGATGCCTGAAGCCGCGCACACGCCAAAAAGTAGCGCCGGCGCTTTTTAGTTTAAGCGTTGCCCTGCGTGCCGTCGTGTTTACGACGCTGCTTTCGTCCACGTCGAAAACGGGGCGGGGGCGGGCCGTGCTTTTCCGCGTGTTTTAATAACGCGGCGAGCGCGCTTGCCTCCTTCGAGGCTTTTACCCCGTTCATGAAGAAGCAGCTCTTGCGCTTCTCCTGTGCGTCCGCGACTTCCGTCGCGGGTGTCAAGACAGAAAGCCAGGCTATTCCTGCCTCCGTCTTTTTATTTTTCGACGCCGTTCACGCGTCGGCGGGCCAAGGATCTGCCGCCTTCGCTGGCCCGGCGCGTGTCGTCGTAAGGGAGGCCTCTGCCCTCTCCGCTGCTGTTCAAAGCCGCCGCAGTGGCTTTCGCCGCCTTTTTTGCGAACGTCTTGAATGAACAACGCCGACCCCGACGCTTCCGGCGGCTCCTCCGGGGATTCTTCGCTCTTGTCGGCGAAGTCAGCGGGGTCCCCCTCGTCTTTTTTCTTTTTGGCGTTGAGCGCCGGCGGGCGTTGCTGCTCCTCCTCTCCCTCGAGGAGCTTTCGCTCTTCCTCCTCGCGCGCTTTGCAGACCGACGCGCATGGCGTTGCGGCCGGGCGAGCGTTCCAATCGCCAAGCACCTCCGCGCTTGTGCGCTCGAACAGGTAGCGGGCGGCCGCCTCTTTTTTGGCGGTCTGCGCCGGCACTTCTGCCAGTTCCAGCCGTGGGCGCTCCTCCCGGCGCTTTCGTTTTATTTTGTTCGGCCAGCTTCGCGCCGGCCTCGAGGGTCCCTTTTTTAATCAGAGACCTCGAGGCCCAAGGTTCCGCCGCCAGGTCCTCGCGGTATGCGCCCCACGACAGGGGGACTCACATCAGGGCGCTCCCGCCCGCTTCGGTTAGGGTCCCAGCTTCTCCGACGAAGCGCGGGCCCTCCAGGTCATTTTTATTTTTGACCGTGTCGACAGATTCCGTTTCTGGGAGTTCGCCGACCATCTGCCGGAGCGCTGCAGCCCAGTCCTGGACGTTTGCGCAGAAGGTGGGCCCTTCCTCATACTGCGTCCTCTCCTCTAGTTGCTTGCGCAGCGCCTCCATGGCCTCGGCCATGGAGGGGCGAAACAATGGCCCGCCGATCAGTTTCAAGAGGGCTGCGCCCTCCTCGTCGGCGTCCTCGCTCCCCAGGAGGTTTCTGCCTGTGTGGATCGCGAGGCCTCCGACGTTTTTCAGGGGGGTCATTTCGTTTTTTATTTTTGCAAAAACCAGAGCGCGGGGGCGCCGCTAGTTTTCTAGATTCTGACTAATACGCGCACAGAAAGTCCCTGGATTTTTTGGCAAAAGAAATCTTTTGCCCTGCCCAACCTAGTTCCCAGCTTGAGCCTATGCATGCTGCCACCCCGCGCGGGAGTGGCGCGCCGCGCGCGCGGCGGAGCCCGATTTTTGCGGGCTCCCCCGCGCCCCCCACTGGGCGCCACGCGCCTGCCCACCGCACCGCCGGAGGGCGCGGTGGCCCCCCCGCGGCCTACGCGAGAGCACTTTGGCCCGTGCGCCGACAGCCCGCTGCGCCGCCGTTCCGCTCCGCTCTGCGTGTGAACTCCGCCCCTTGGGTGTAGCGTTAACGCGCCCACGTCACCCGACCGCGCCCGAGCCCCCCACTGAGGCGCGAGCCGGGGCTCGCCATCGCTGGGGCTGGGGTGCGCCAATGCATCAGCCAGCGGCGTCGCGCGTGATTGCATTTTTCGCACCGCACACGACGGGGCTCGCGGGGCCCGTTGCCCCGAGCCCTCTCCCGAGTTGGTCCCTGAGTCGGCAGCCTTTTGGCGACTGTCGTCCAAGGGCCCAACCTCCCAAGGCGCGCGTCTCTTCTCTCGCCTATCTTAACTCGCCAGCTAGTGTAATCACTCTCCCCGCAAGCTCCTCCAGTGCGTATACAGTCTATCTCCATGCCAATGCCACTTCGATGAGAAGAATTAAATATTACCCCTCAGCTCTTCCTCTTCGTTACTTCCAGCGCGAAAGTTTTCGCTATCGTCCCAGAATTCACTACTTTCATCGCCTGGGCCTTCATCCTCCTGAAACAGATCCCTGAACTTCTTGTCTTCTTTCCACAGTGTGAGGAAGTCCTCGTAAGTGACGCGGTCAAGTTCACCGGGAGCCATAGCGCTGATGATGTCTGCAGCTTCTGGCTTTTCTAGACCTATTTGCTCCTCAAGGTACGCTAAGGTAATGGCTTCGCTAGGAGGTTTCTTGTTTGTTAGCCTCTTCCAGATTTTCTCCGCGCTGTTGACGAGCTCGGCTGAGTAATGAGGACGAGAAGTAGTAGTAGTACTATACCAAAGAACTACTAGTACTACTTACATATAATGCAGACGATCGAAAAAACACCCCAAGCTCGATACTTACTCATTGAAAGTATAGTACTATAAAAATAAAGAGACATGATCCACATCTAAGTTAATAACAAGAACAAGTCGTGGTCTTCGTAATTATCTTTGCTACGGTAAGCTTGAAATTTTGCCATTGAGAAGAAATTATGGATAAATCAGCTACCATCTTCGGTTCTATCGACGCTGGCCTCTTCACTCTCTTCAAAGGAAAAACTTTGTCCTCGAGTAAGAATATGTCGTTCATCTTTGTGAACTGCTCCATATTTTCTGGATTCTAAATCGCTGCGCGCCTCTTCACTGTCAGAGGATGAACTTTGTGCTGGAGTAAAAGGATTTTGTTCTTCTTCTTCTTGTTCTTGAGGATCTGTTCCATCTTTGATGACTCCTAAGATCATGGATTGTCTCTTCTTACGTTCGATCATACTTGTTACACCACCAGCATCGCGGCTTACAGTCACATCCCCACCCGCTTCGTCGCTGTATTCAGATTCTTGCAGGAATTCCGCATTTGGTGAGATCTCCATAGTTGTCGTGCTGCGGTGTTTGTTGTTGATAGCAGCGACGAGCCCGCCCCCCACGCATCCGGCGAGCATGGCCGGGCGAGCCACCTTTGACATGCAACCAGACATATTGAGATTTTCAGTTATTCTTGGTCTTTCTCCTCCGTAGCGGGAAGACGTCGAACACTCGAAGAACGGGATGAATGTTGCGAGAAAAAAATGGAAAAACGGAGTCGCTCTACCACCACTTCTTCCTGCTGTCAAATGAAGATGAACAACAGCTATATTTTCATACATAAAAGGTTAAGAGAGCAGCAGCAATGAGAGTCGCCATAAAGTATTTCACGGGTCAATGTCAAAGTCAATCTGTTGCCGTTTTCGAGGTGACAATTTCAAGTCTGCTCCCCGAGGTGTCTCACGCTCATGGCACGTAGGATTTCAGATGAAGACGCCACTGCTCGCTGTCTTTTGCAATTTCCGGCTGACCAGTTTTCGTCTTCCTTTTCTCAACCCGTTTTCGTTTTTCTTGCTTCTCGTCATCCCTTTTGTCGTCTCTCCCTCTCAGAAAATCCATACAAAGCCACACTATTACTGTATACGGCAATCATCATCATCATCATCATGGGTTATTCTGTTATATTTGGAAATCTTTTTGGATGCTCCGTCAGGAAGACGGACTTTCTCCTGTCTCTAACGCCACGTTCGCATTCTCTCTGTCTTTCTCACTCTGACGAAGTAGAACACAGGACGTTCTCATCTCTTAATGTTGTTCGTCCATGTGCTCATCTCTTAATAATGTTGAGCGTCCTCTACTTCGGAATAGAAGGAGTCATCTTGTTACGTGTTCTTCTTTTTCGTGCATTCATGCTTTAGCTATTTTCGTTCATGCTTCCTTCATTCTTGAGTGAATGCAGTTCGCCAAAATGATCCACGTCCGCCATCCCGTAATAAGGAAGTACATATTATATATAATATTAGTCAATTTCTAGACGGGACAAGATGCAACACCACGAACAAATATCAAGAAGATGAAGCCACAAAAATGGGAGTGCACGGATGATGCAGATCATAAAACTAATCATGCCGGATCACGAGTGCAGGGATAGATACTATCTAGAACATTAAAACTATCTACTTCGTCTACGTATCTAGTAATTTTCTCGTTGTTTTATTAATTTTCCCAGTTAAGCTGACGGTATTTTTACAAAATGCACGTGCGGTTCCAGAAGGTGGAAGAGGCGAAGGTGGCAATCGTCTAATCACAAGAATCATGGCCAGGGAAATGACTACTAGTCCTTTACCTTTCATTTAGTTTCAGCGAGTGTGAGCTTTTCTACTATTAGTTAAACAAATAAATCTTCTCCAGAATAATAAGGTCACCGAGCTCTAGCTAAGTAGGCTTCGCTGTTCATATGCTTTTCAACTAAACCACAATACTCCAGATCTTCCCACAGAAGTGCATGAAAATGAAAGTAAGAAAGTGCTAAAAAAAGTTCTAATTCTTATTGTTCTAGCTCATTCTATTTCTAGTAACAGTAAGAAAGTAAGTATTTTTCTCTGAAAAAAACATCAACGTGTACAAATATCAAGCTTTCAGAATTTTCGAACGACTGGTCTATCCCCTCGTAAGAGCACATCCAACTCTTTGGACCGCGGCGATGCCCCAGCTGCTGACGAACCCGCTATTTCATTAGAAGAGGACGTTGTAAGAAGTTCATTATGGTGGAGGTGTTATTGCCTTGAGAGGGACGAGAACTAATATCTTCATCTTGTTCGAGATTCTCTCGCTTGGCACACAGGATGTACAAACTCTGGGGTGCTGATAGATTAAGATTATGAAGGCTTCTAGACTCCGTCAAAGTAATCTTCTACAACTGCTCTTAACCTTCGATAGAATAGTACTCCGATTTCCACCTGCTCCCGAAGTAGAAGCTAGCGCATCCAGTAAGGTCTTGCCCAAAAGAGAATTTGGCGAATGCTTGCTCCGGAGACCCTTGTTTCTCCGCACTTCCTGCACGCCGCGTGGCGTAACTAAGAAACTACGACTCTTAGAGGTGAGAGAGAACTAGCTACGTACATGGCGTTTAGGTTTACTAGCGACAACATCACGAGGAAAAGGACATATGATCCGTTTTTACAAGGTGTCGTGGGTGTATTACCTATAAAATCGGTAGAGCACACATAACTAGGAAACAAAAATACAAAAGAGTCAAGTAATAAATAAGAGTTATTGATGAAGAACAATAACAAGGAGGAAGCTGACGCCCTAACATTTGCACTCGATGCAGCGGCCCCTTGTTGTCCACTCGTTGCTTGTCTATCTGAGGACACTTTTCCTCTTAAGCTACTCGAACCTCCTGGGGCTCCTGTAGAAGACGAGGAAGCCCCACCTCCCCCACCGATGATGGTTCCCCCTTGCGCTGACGTGTTCGGTGGTGTGACCTTTCCTGAAGGAGGGGCACCTGCGCCAGTTGCCATGAAAGAACTCTGGCCTCCTCCTCCGTGACCGTCTATCTGCGTCCTCTGACTTTCTTGTATCGTTCTACTAGAAGTAGTAAAACCTTGATGTTCTAGACCACTAGAAGTTGTCCTACTCGTCCTAGGATATCCACTTATTACAGACGAAGTTTCAACATCTCCTGCTATAAGAGATTGGTCTTGGATACTGTTGCGCATTTGTTGGGAGCCCTTTGGAGCTATGATACTATTGCTTTTATTGCCACTACGACTTGGTCCGCTTGTTGTTGTTCCACTAGATTGAGCCATATTGTAATACATCATAGCAGAGAATTGGGCAGCAGCTGCATTACTATACAACTGTTGTTAGAGAAGTGAGAGAGACGAGTGTGCTTCTGCTTTGATTATTCATACCGTTCAACATACTTTCTTCATCTTGGCACCCTAGCCAAGGACTCAGCCGATTCAGGAACAACCTTTGCCTTCTCGGCTTTGTTGTAGATGTAACCCTTACAAACTTGAGAAAGAGTACCAAGATGTTGCAGAGAGAAATGCAAATGATGTTGTGCATGCGCTGGCCATAATGTTGTGCATGCGCTGCATAGTAGCTTGCTGCTTGCAGTTGTAGCGCGGCTGCTACTTCTAACTGTTGCTCTGCCTGCTGGGTATCTCTCGTCACATCAGGACTGTCATGATGTTCTTGAGGGTCCGCTTTGTTCTTGGTCTTGCTGTCTTCTCCGTGTTCTGTATTTGTTGGAGGTGAGGAACTCGTTGCCAGTCGGCCATCGTTGTTCGTTGAGCTTGAGTGGAGAGATGTACTTTGTGATGGATCCGGGTACTTCTGCTCCCCTGGATGTTCCTGCAACAGAGTTGGCCTCATTGAAGCGCTTAAGTGTGCGACGACATCTGCTTCTGTCACCGACCTGCTGCGAGCGCCTGCTCCTCCTCTGTTAGAACCACCAACAATCCATCGTGAGCAGCATCCGATTCCCGTTTTCTCTTGAAAAGCAGAGTCAAGGTGCTCTGGAAGATGGATTGGTGGATGCCCTACCTCTGACCCCAGCTGAGTGTCGATGATGCTGAGTACTGTCCTGTCTCAGCGAGGTCGGCGCCCCGGAACCTAGACTGTCTTGCCTCAGTCCGTGACTGTCTTGCCTCAGTCCGTGACTGTCTTGCCTCAGTCCGTGGCTATCTTGCCTCAATCCGTGGCTATCTTGCCGCAAACCGTGGCTATCCTGCCTCAATCCGTGGCTATCTTGCCGCAAACCGTGGCTATCTTGCCTCAAACCGTGGCTATCCTGCCTCAAACCGTGGCTATCCTGCCTCAAACTATCTTGTCTCAAACCGTGACTATCTTGCCGTAGACCCGTGCTGCCACCTGTATCCTGTCTCAGACCGGAGTTTTCTAGTTGCATGTTGTGGACGCGAATTCGCTGATGGTTCGAGGCCTGATGATTTGTCAAATTTTGAAGTTTCCCAGCATGATCTCCTCGATTAGTCCTCCCAAGTTTTGAATCGTCGTGCTCCTGGTGAGTGCGGCCAGCAGGATTAACCACATTACTCCCACGACCTACTGCAGGTTGCTGTTGTCCGGTAGTTCCAGTTGATCCCAATTGCGCTGGAATTTGTCCTGGATTGGGATGTCCCGGATTGGGATTCCCTCTCGTCGCATAAAAGTCTGATCCTGCGAGCTGGGCAACAGTTTGCCCCGTCGTCGCAAATGTTGTTACTAATGGTTTTTCGGACAGTGGCCTCTGTTCCTCGTCTAGCAATTGTAGGCCGTCTAGCACTTTGAGGTTTGGAAAACGCGACAGTAAAATGCCACGATACAAGGGTTTGCGGGCACAGGCGTTGTTGACAAAGGATAACTGTAAAATGCTCAAGGCTTCGTAGATACTGCTAGCGCCTGACGGATCTGCCGCCGCATCGTTGTTATTCTTGGCATCATGTTGACGGCCTGTTGATGCTCGACGTGAAGACTGCTCTATCGTGGAAAAAGCATCCCCAGGTCCACGCCGATAGGAAGAACCAACCTAGTGGGGATTGAAATGGGAAGATTAATATCGAAGACAAAAATATGGGTGTCCTCAGCGACCAGGACCGCGATGGTGTAATACTGTAGTCCTCGACGACGTCATGATCTCAAAAAAATTGGTGATTTTGAAGATAGAGTAATCCAATTCCACTTCATTCTTCACAACTAAGTTGTAAGTATTCAAGGTCTTGTCCACAGTGACTGTGTTGAAGTACCGCCATGCTCGCACTACCACCGTCCGTTGACGTGAAAAGACCTGCTGGATCCTTGGCTGAGACCACGAGATCCGTAGCGACGTCTCCAAGCCTGTTATTCCCCAACAAGACGCGGCGCAATCTTGGGACTAAGTGAATGTTGAATTTGAAGGTCCTGATGCTGTTGTCTTCCATGCGCAGTTCTCGCAAGTTCTGCAGACCGAGAAAGTCCTCTTCTTCGATGCACCGGAGGCGGTTTTTGTTCAGATTGAGCTCCCGCAAATTTTCCATGCGTTCAAAGATTTTGCCTCCGACAGACAAAATCTCGTTCTGGTCCAGGGCAAGGTAGCGCAAGGCCCGAACTGCCAGATTTGGCGCCGCCAGACCACTCAAGTCGGATATGCCGTTCGATCGGAGTTCCAAGACTTGCAGATTTTGACAGTCTTTGAGTCCACCACCTGAAGTAGATGTAGTCGTTGATGTAGAAGTGGCGTTCTTTCCTGTTGTGCCAGTACCTACTCCTCCACTTCCGGCAAGTAGATGTAAGTCGCACATTTTCGTTCTATTGCATTTCAAAATGACGATCTTCGTGCACGGACCTAGTTGCAGCAATGTGCCAAGTGGATTCTCATCTAGAACCAGTTCACGTAGACTCGGAAAGACTTCATCTTGGAGGAGGCTGCCCAAATCGCGTAGTTTGAGGCTACTTAAGTCGATCGATCGTACGTAAAAACAGGCTGGCGTTGGGCCTAAGGTTTCTTCCAAGACCTCCATCGTGAGTCTACCTGCGAAAACACCCTTGGCATTTTGTCGTTCTCCCGTTGATATGGGAACGCCGTCTAAAAGCTTCAGCTGCCGCAAGTGCCAGATCGCATACAGCCTATACGCAAGCGCCGCATCGGGTTGCTGTTTCCACAAAGTCGAGGAGTATCTAATTGATGATGATGTTGAGGTAGAACCAGCTGACATTGATGCTCCCTCAACATTTGCTGAAGATGTCTTATTCTGTCCAGCTCCAACTGCAACTGCTCCTGTAGAATCGTGATTCTGTGGTCGTGTTGATGATGAAGATTGAACTCTTCTGCCGTCGGCGTTTTCCGGAATGACAGACTGTCTCCCACCCGCGCGTCTCCCGGTTGTTCGCACTAGCCCCGTTGTGACCCCTGCCTTGCTAGTACCTCCCATAGCCGTTCCCGATTGATTTGCGCCTGCGTTTTGTTGAGTTCCTACAGCGCCTCCATGATTTGGTGCTCCCTTAGAAGAAGCTGGTGCCATTTTTGTTTGTCCTCCTGCTCCTGTATCACCCAGATTGTCCTGCAAATGCGGAAAAATGCTAGTGCCAGCAGTGTTCAACGCACCTTCGAATTGGTGGCCGTCTGGCAACGTTGTGCAGAGAGGGTTGCTGCTCAAATCGAGCACCAGCATTTGCTTGCAATTCCTTAGTTAGATGACCAGCCGCGTTAGAAGTATCCCTCCGAGTATCCTTCTCTTCATCTAAGTAAAAGAGATGAACCAAGAATGACGGCGAAGATGCTTCAGCGGTACTAGCCTTAATTTAGGGCAAGCACGGCTCGTAAGTCCTCAATCATATTGTGAGAGAGATGAAGCTCCACTAGATTCCCCAAATGCGAAAAACCGTCCAGACTGTCGATAAAGTTGTTATCTAAACTGATCTGGGTCAGCTGCAGGTAAAAACTCTTGTTCACCGGCATTGCTCGCATTTGCAACTGCTGCGATTTTTGGGAGGAGGCTAGCATGTAGCTGTATTTGTAGTTGTTTTTGTCCGCATCCTGCAGCTGATCTCCACCACCCAACTGCAAGTTGCTCTCGACGTCTTCACCTTCGCCTCCTTGGACCACAGCATGTTCTTGAGGAATCATATTAAGTAGTTGTGACCGAAACAGATCCGAGACATCGAAGATCTGGTTGTGTGACGCATCAAGCCGTCTCAAACTCGGAAAAAGGTACTGAATACCATCTAGAGTCGGCAGGCCGTTCCCTTCTACACAGACCTCGCTAACGTGTGGGAATGCACCCACAGGCAGAAAGGAGAGAAGTGAACAAGATGTTGATGAGGCAAGACTAGGATTGCCACCGCTAGACGAAGAGGATGTCGCTCTCTGTCTCACTTCCTTCACAAAATTCGCTAGATTCAGACGTCGCAAATTGTGAAAAGCACAGGGTAATGTTGGAAGATTGGTCGGACTTAGAGGCTTGCGCGCTGCTCTCTTATCCTGTGATATCCTTTCTTGACTGTGGCTTTTATTCGTCGTACGTTGCTCCAGCTCCTTCTCCTTGCTTTTCGTTGCGACTTTACTCTTCGGCGTTTCTCCGCCTGCCGCGTTAGATCCACTTGTGCCACCAGTGGCTCCTCCACTTCCGCTTGTCCCAATATTGTTCAGCAGCCTTGAAAGGTACCCGCCGCCATGTGTCATGGTTGCGTATATCTCCTGAAAGTTGATGTCGTGCTCTAGGACGAAAGACCTGTGCTGGTCGCTGTCTTGGCAGAGGGCTAGCGTTTCTGAGTGATACGAAAGAAGGCCCCACAAGAACGCTTCTGCGAGACTTGTGAGATCAACGACTTTAGTATCGCTTTTTTCCCTTGATGATAATTCCACTTCACCCAGCACAACGGCATCAGGATCTGCGAACAGTGCGCCCTCTGCGTTTGCTATTCTGCGATACGCCTCGAAAACTGCAGACTTTTCTAGGATAAATGGTGAAGATTTATTGTCGTGTCCGTGAGCTCCTGACTTCTTGTCTACTTCCTGTTGTTTGTCAGCAGTATTTTCCTTCCCCCCACCGAGGAGTGAAGTGTTTGATGCACTAGTTCCCCCTTTCTTGTTTTTCTTCTTGTTATCTTTAGTTTTCGACAACGTTCCAGTCCCTCTCTGCTCGTCTCCATCAACATCGTGTAGGTGCTTCGTGCTAGAGGTGGGCGAAGACATACCGAATCCTGAGTCGCATTCTTGTTCTTCTCTCCTACTAGAAGGCTGTGGGGGATGAAACGGATTTTTGCGGCTGAGCCAACTCCAGTCGTCAGATGAAGTTGATAAAGAGGACTCTCCAACCTGCTCTCCAACCTGCTGCAGGAGCGTCGGTATCATCACTACAGGCACAACATGCGATAGCAGGAATGTACAAACAGTGTGCTTCCTTTTCGCTGAAGCTTTTGCTGTGAAAAACGCATCTACTGACTCCAGCGCGTCGGCTATCGCCAGTTCTAGGTTCTGTCCCTCACGCGCGACTAAGCCATTTACAAGAGCCAAGGTGAATTTGAAGGCAAACCGAATAAGCCATTCTGGAAACAACGCGTCGTCGCCTGCCGCGTCGAACAGGTCTCCGATAATGTCTTCGTTTGGCCAAGCTTGAAGGGGGATTACGCCAGAGGACGATGAAGATGAACTTGCTGTTTTTCCTTCTCCGGAACTAGAACCTGACTCAAACAATGTATGCAAGCATCCAACTCCTCTTTGTAATTGCTCGTGGAGCGAGGTAGTAGATTTCTCATCGCTTCCTCCGGTTTGGACCGCATTCCTCGAAGAAGACGTATCTCTATCCTGAACCTGAACCCTACTCGTCTGGAAATCTAGATCACCAGAAAAGTCTTTCTGTATCTCCTCGAAAGCAGTTAGCCGTGGTCGTTTTATCTTGTACGGTTGTTTTTGGGCAGCCGTGACTTGTTTTTCCTCTCCTTCGTCTTGGGGTTCATCGTCGTGATGATCTAGGACATGAAGCAAAGCTTCTCCTCTTGGTAATGATATGTCCAGTGTTCGTCCGGAATCTGCTTCGTAGTGCTCTGAAGATAGTCTCCACATTCGACAAGAAACATCATCTAGCTCATGCTCATCATGTTCAAGGTCGTCCTCCATATCCGCGTGTTGTTGGGCGTCAGTCGCAGCTATGATTCGCGAGTGCAGACGTTGCATACTAGAAACGAAATACTCTTGGAATTGCTGCATGGTGCTCCACGTCCGCCGCCGTGATATTCGAGCACACGCCAGAAGCTCAAGAGCGCGATGTATAATGGTGCTCGTCGTGCTCTGTGAAGAAGATGTGCCAGAGCCAGCTGCAGAGGTATTGCCAGCAGAAGAGAATGCGCCTTCGCTACTTGCTCCTGTACTAGATGAAGTAGTAATATTTCTTTGTCCACCAGACGCGCCTGATGTTGTCGTCGTTGGCCTTGGCGAGCCTGCTGTAGCTGTACTAAAAGAGGAGAAAGACTTCTCTCTCTGATAGACTTTCCGCACTTGCTTCTTGACAAATTTCGCTAGCAACTGGACCTCTTGGGTGTGATCAAAATCGTCCAGAAAGCTCGTGTACAACTCTTTGTCTTTTGTTCCTATGATGTCTTGTGTCCCGCTAGGACCATTGATGTCCTCGTCGCTCACTAGTACCAAGTCTATCATTACCTCCGATCTCAAAAACTTCTGTGTCAACGTGCTTAAATCAGCTACGGATAGAGGCAACACATCTCCATTGCTTAGTGGCTCGCCATCGAAGAAGCGGGTCGTTTGATCGTAATATGCAGGACCTAGCGGAGGCACAATAATCTGCTGTTGTGTCGGAGATAGAGTTGCTTTTGTCGCAGGTTCGTGATGGTCGTCATCTCCTATCCCATCTTGAAGATGATCCCCAGCAACACCCCCCGACCCTAGACCCTGATCAAACGCCAGTTGTTGAAAGAAGTTCAGACTACTTCTCTTTATCTTGCTGCTGTCCTCTTCGGCGGTTGTTTCATCCCCTTCTTCCAGCTCACAGAATCTATAATTCTTTCCACCTTGTTGTTTTCCATCTCGATTCCGTCTACCACTGCTAGTAAAAGAAGAAGCTGAACTACTTGGGAAATACCCAGAACTAAGAGTCGCGTTTTCGTAGGCTTCGTTTCGTTCGTCTGATGTTGTTGACGCGCTATAGCCGAAGCTCTGCACTGCATGCCGTAGAACATGGGCACCGAAAGCGTGCGACCACCCTGTGATTATCTTCCGCCTCTTGTGGTCGCTCCTGAAGAAAGACGACAGCGCTTCCTCCACAGGAGCGGCTTTTGAGATGGCTAGTGGTATTGTCGGAGGTGCTACTGCAGTACCTGTACCGCTTTTTGTCTTTGACGAACTACTAGAAGGTGTAGATGCACCACCCGGAGGTCCTGTCTTGCTTCCTGCTCGCCCACTACTTGGAATGGCATTCTCTAGAGATCTCCTAGTCTTCTTTCTCTGATTTTCTAACTCCTTTCGAAATGCTTCTCTAGCGTTTCTGAGGCTCTCCGAGACCTCGGAGATGGCGATATTGCCTTCAAGCAAGTCCTCCGCGAAATCCAATAAGCATAAAGGCAGATAGAAGCCACCCACAAGGACAGATTTCAACCGTCGCAGTTCGTCATCGTTGCTGTACAACGGATTGCCTTGTAAGTATAACGATCGCAAGGAGATAGAGGACGAGGACGAGGCCGCTGGTCCTGGCACCATAGACATAGAGGAATCACAATCAAGCGGAAAAGCTATTTGCTGCAACAAACTTTGCATTTCATCCGAGTCCAGTAAAGCATTGTTTCGTAGGTCTAGAGTCTCTAGGCACGTCTGCCTGGGCAAGCTTTTCGGTCCCACGCGCTGCACCAGGTTGTAACTTAGGTTTAAGCGACGGAGACGGGGAAAACGTGCGAGGAGAAGATGTTGACTCTCGTTCTTGTTGGCGCTTCCTCTTCTACCTGATGATGAGGATGACGATGATGGTTCTCCGCCAAACATGGTGCAACCCGGACTAGCAGGACTAGGACTGCTCGTACTCTTACCTTTTACCGCATGTTCTTGCGGATCTTCTAGTGGTCGTAAAAGCAAAAGCTGTGAAAGATTTTCGACGTTGTTGAAGGATAGGTTTAGGCTCTCTAGGAACGGCACTTCTGGTAGGTCAAATTTCCGCAATCCACGATGCGACAGCTCTAGAGTAAGGAGCTTCGCCAAAGAAGCAGTTGTCGAAAGCGAACTCCCTGCCAGAGGATACGCCCAAAGAAGCCCGCCGCTTTCATGAGGGTGTCCTGAAAATAGGAGTAAAAAAATATTACGAGGAAAGAACCAAAACGATCATTGGTGGACCACGGCTCCATCAAGTTGGATTCATAACATCGCACGATCAATAAGAGTACTAGGGAATGCCTACGAAAGCCATTAAAACATACCTGCTCCGTCCTTTCGATCACCTCCACTTGGACTAGAACCTATTTGGTGATCGACTTCCGTCTCTTGTTTTTTCGAGGCTTTTCGGCTCTCTCCACCACCTCGTCCTCCATCGGAAGAACTACTACTACCAAACAAACTTGCATCATCATCGTCCTCTGGAGGTTTTTTTTGTTTCTGCTTTGATCCCTTCCTCTTGCTCTTGGACCCAGTAGAACGTGGTCGTTTGCTCCCAGACGATCTTGAGGATTGAGGTCTACTTTTTGTCAAGGTAATAGGATTAGGACCCGGTGGGACGACTACCTCGACTCGTTCTTCGCCCACGCTTGTCAACAAAGGGTCTGGTGTCGCAGGTGTCGTACTGAGATTCGTCGGGTCCTCTGTATTCGTTGGCGAGCTTTCTCCTCTAGAAGGCGCTCCTGCAGCGGTCGTAGCTGGTGTACTGGTCGTTACGGGAGTCGCTGTTGTGGTCGTGGTTGCTGGTAGTTTCGACTTCGACCGACTGGACTTAGATTTGGAGCCAGACTTTGATCTCGATTTAGAGCGTGACTTCGATCTGGAGGAGAGTGGTCTGGTCTTACTCTGGGATCTGGATGCAGCGCCTGGTGATGGACTCTTTCCCACTTGTTCGTCGTCATGCAGCATTTTTTGCTGATTCAACGCACTAGCACTTGAGAGGGCAGCTGCTTCGTCCTCTACAAGCTCCTTCATGTTACAGAAATACGCGTGCACGTTCAACGCGATCCGCCGTGATCGTTGAGTGATCATGCCAGCTGTGAGGGTGATAATTTGTGGCGGCAGCTCTGCAAGTGGCGATGTTTGAGCGCCGCATGCTAAGTCCATGATGTCTACTCCTGCCTTACTTGTTTGCGACACAGGACCAGTACTAGAGTCCTCCTGTCCATGCTCTTTCACTGCGTTGGCGTCGTCTCGCAAACCACGACCACTTCTAGAGGGGGAATCCTCGGAGTCCTGTGGTGTAGGTGTTTTTCTGCTCATAATCAACTGGAGTACTGCTAGGTAATGAGAGAAATGCTTACTTTGCTGGGCAGAAGATGCTGATGGATGAGACGAGGAAACGTTAGCTCCGGAAGAGGACCCTGCTGCTGACGCCAAGCCTATACCCGTTGCCTGTTTAGCTGCATGCCTCAATACTGCGCGAAAGGTGTCATTTTGTTTGATCATCTTCTTTATGTGTGGCACATCCCGTATGTTTTGCCGTAGACTGAAGAAGTTGCGCTCTACAAGAAGCAGCCAACGATGCCAGAGCTCCATTTCCCCACTTAGAAATGACGAATACGCGAACGATGTCTGCAAATTTTTCCCTATCTGCGCACTCCTCTTTGCTTTGTCATCCGAAGTCGAAGAGGAAGATGTGCCAGCAGCATTCATCGCGTTGTTCGCTGACATTGATGTCGAAGAGATGTTCTCATTCTGCTTGTTACTTGTACCTGTCACTGAATTCGTATTGTCTTCGCCCTTGTCCGTCGATCGGAACCTATCAGTAGAAGATGACGCTGAACAAAAAGAGGTGGAAAACTCTGCCATGCAGAGAGACGTGGTAGACAAAAGTGGCCGTTCTGGCAAACTAAATGCTGGCACAGTCTGACAAGCTCCGTCTGAAAAACACACCTCTATTGGCTGCTCTAGCAAGGCATTACGGGGGTGTGTGAGAGGATTTGATGATGAAGAATGCGAGTTGCTCGAGCCTTGTTGTTTGCTGGGTGATGAAGATGAGGATGTTGGTTGCGGCTGTGTGGCCATGTTGAATCCAGCAAAAAACTGTGATCGGGCTTGATATAGAGGATCTGCAGAGCCATCTCCTGTTGTCGAACTGCCTCCACCGCTTGCTCCAGACTGCATAGTACTATAGCTACTCGGCGGAACTAATCGCTTGGCCGACGAGCCACCTCCTTGAAGTGGCGGCGTCAGCGGCCGATCATTGCCTGCTGTGTTCGTTAGAGTCTGCGAGATTGCACCTCGGCCGCCTCATCTTGACCCCTTTTACCTTGTAGTTGTAATATTCATGAGAAGAATACGAATACAAGGGAAAAGGGTCGTACCGAAATGCCGAGAAAGATGGACACTAAGACTAACTGTTGACCTTAATGAAGATCCAGCAGTGGTTCCAGGACCTCCCGAAGCTGGGTTCGCTCCACCTGAAGATCCGCCAGAAATGGTGTTGTTAAACATAGTTGCTAACCGTAGGGGAACTAGATACTTGTTATTCCCCCTACTAATAGAGCCAGGTTGGAGGTGCGACATTGTCTTTCTCATGCTGGTGAGAGGTGAACTAGATGCTTCGGGGTCTTCATGATATGTGTCCGTGTCACCTGCTCCTCCATGCCTATGCCTGTCGTCAAAAATGGACCCGCTGCTGGCGTACATTCCCACCTTGCTTTTCCGCATCTGCTTTGCTTGCTGGGCGAACGATGCAGAGGAAGTGAGACCACCTAGAGTCGCACTGACTGAGGGCTGCAAGCTAGGAGTGGTCGCGTAGTTGGCATTGCGCATTGCACCCTTCGGAGCGCCAGACGTGTACCTTTCGTGCCCAGAGCCTGGCTCATAGCTCAGCTCTACGAGGAATCGCGGGATAACTGCTGGAGTATCGTCTTCACAAACGCGAATCAAACCAGCGTCTCCACAGGCGCGATACGAGGTCGGCGGAGGGAAATGATATTGTTTCTTGCTTGAAGATGTCGAGGTAGAAGATTGTGCACCGCCTGTTGTGCTTTCCTGCTGATCATGTCCTTGTTTCACTTGATCCTGTCGAGAGGCACCCACGCTAGTCTCTGCATCTGGATCTACGTTTGATGGATCATTCTGCTCAAGCACTTTTGGAGAGCAGGAGGTTGAAATAGTCTGAAGAGCATCCGCAGGGTCTCCTACATCTTTCCTAGAAGTAGATGTATCGTTCTGCTTATCCTCTGAGAGCACTGCTGTGGCAGAGGTGGTTGGACCTCCTTCTGCTTGAGCAGGTGGCTGAGTCCCACTACCTACTTTCGCGCTTGAGGACTCTTGTACACCCTCGCTTACGACACCTACGGGCAAAAGGGCGGACGGCGACGAGGCATAAACATCACTATCGACAGATAAAAACGGAGAAAATCCGCCAGGGTCATCTTGCGATAAAGCCTCACACATATCAGGAAACTTTTGGGCTAATGCACAGCCGACTTTGCCAGATGCTGAAGAAGTATCTCCCTCAGGAGACTTTTTCCTTTTATTAGTGCCGTGACGTACAGCGATGTCTCTGTGCTCTAAACTGCAAATTAGCACTTGACTATCTGGGAATATCATCCCACGTGTTACAGGATCATCTCCAGAAGGCGTAGCTGTCCTGTTATCACCAGATGAACGTCCACCTTTCGTCCTTCTAGTTGATGATGAGGATCCTCCCGAAGTGTAGAAATTGTGAGTTTCACCAGCACCACCAGCTCCAAAACCTCCGGAGTCCGCGGAATCTAAGCAGAATTCTGCTCTAAAGTTTCTCATGATGCCCCTCAGCTTGCGACCAAGTTTGCAGCTGACGAACTCGCTAAGTCGTGCACGTTCCACCAAAGCCAAATCCGTGCACAAAACAACGTAATGCTCATCGTCGAGTAGAGAATCCCTCTGACGATGTAGGTTCCTCGTTAGTGTCGCTGTCACCTGTCGCTGTCCCCTTGAAAACCGGGGCACACCCATGGGGATTGAGGTGGAAAATTTACAATTAGCTACCTTGAGACTACGACTCTAGCACTGAAAACCTGCGATTTCTCTTGATCAAAAAAGGGAGATTTTCACTATCAACACTACCAAGGCAAAACGCGGAATCTCATGCGGATTCGACACGATTGCGAGCTTCCAAAAGTTTCAACTTTTACAGAAAAAGAGAACCGAGCTTCTTACGCTGTCCAATTTTGGACAGGACTAGTACACGCGACGCCCCTTTTTCCCATGTTTTCAAGGGAGAACTACAGAAAAAGAGAACCGAGCTTCTTATACTGTCCAATTTTGGACAGGACTACACGCGACGCCTCTTTTTCCCATGTTTTCAAGGGAGAAACTTCCGCTCTCATGAAGATGAATGTCGAACACGATCGAAGATCCTTCGACGCATGCCTTCTACCAGCGGACGAGAGACCAGCACCACATGGCGCGGCAGCATACCCGGCTAAGTGAGTACCTGCTAGGACTTACGAGAGAAAGTCCAGCGATAAAAAACTCAGAGAGCGAGAGGCAAAACCCTCAGTCGGCGACAGCTTGGAGAGATCGGGACCGCCTCAGCCTCGAGCAGGAGTTTGCTCTAGACATAAGCACAAGGCCGCTCAAGCAAAAGAGACCCACAGCAGAGCCCCTAGGCGTCATAGAAAGAATGGCCACAGCGACCCTCCGTCTTGGCTGAAACGAAATGCCAGAGGTCGACCACCCGCGAAGCAGAAAGCCGCGCCGCCTTGCAGGTGAGCGTAAGCAAGTAACGACGCCCAAGACACCAGCCAAGATAAAGCGAGGCGGAGGAGGAGCGTCGCAGCATGAACAGAGAAGCAGCCCAAATACATTAGAGCGAGTATGGCGCGACCTAATACTTGCCCGCTTCGCTTCTGTGTTCTTCCAGCCATAGAATCTAACCCGAGCGCACGCCGATAAGGCGCAGCAGAAGACGCTGCAAGGCATTCTAAAGCTCTAAAAGTTCCTGCGCAGATAGCTATCCAGATACTCAACATTTTTGCAGTGATGTGCTTGCGAAGCGAGGAACTTCAGCCGCCGATCTCACGCAAGAGGCTACCAGAGCAGATCGCTACACGCATAGCCATGCCCCTTGTCATGTCGCGCCACCTCTTAGTTAAGGCGTCACTTTTGAGGCCATTTAGCCTCTCTACTCGAATCCACTTCATCGAAAGAGTAAGAGGCGCACGATGATCAGTAACAACAGCACTCGCCAATGATGTCCATACTGTTCCTGGGGTGAATTGACTCAGTTCCATGCGATAAAGTGCCTTCTTGTGATCGCATTGCTCTTGTGATAAAGTTCAAACTTTTCTTGTGATAAAGTTCAAACTGTTCTCGTGATAAGGACTGACTCTCAACCCCTTTGCTGTAGTGGCACAGCTGTCCAACGCAGATTCGTCTTTGTTAACATTCGAGCGAGCCCACCCCCTGCCCCTGTCCGGCTTCCGCTGGTTCACGCAAGTCGCTTCGCCTCCAAACTTCCGCAAACCAACGCGCACCACGCCCAGCCATCCGGTTGCTTCATGTTAGAAAGATCAGCGAATGTCTTTCACGAGCACAGTGAAAGTAAATGTAGACGCAGAGCGAGAACACCAAGCCACGGACGGACTCACTGAAAATACATAGCCGCCACGCTTACTGTTTAGAGTTCTAGCATCTTCACGCTGCCGTAGGTCGCACCCTCAACGACAAAGCGGGCCACTCATAACTTATCAGATGCGTCAGCGCTCTCGCCCTAGATGCACCAACCAACTGGAAACGCCTCCAATCTTGCCCGCCAGACTAATGGCTTCAGCGTCGGGGCGGTCAATCTCCACAGCAACGCGCTTCAATTATTTCAGGAGCGCCATCTTCGCCAAGTCCTTGTCGCCATCGTATCGCTT